GTATATAATAAAGTTCACTCAATAGTATTGGGCTACACTCCAAAACCAGCACTTTACCGAGTCTTTGTACTTGGTGAAAGTTGGGGCTAAGTAGAATGCACTTATAAGGACAACAGGAAAAGCTCACTGCTTGCTCATCTTGCTAAGAGTTTGGTTACCATGCTAGGTAGGCACGGTTTCGGAGTCGCTTTCTTTTATCACCGGAGGTCCGCAACGAGCTGGCGTTTCTTTATTTTGCAAGCAACATGAACGATAGCCGTTCGGAGCAGATTCATGGACTTGTCTATCTATTGTCTATCGTCAATTGCGCATGCTAGAGCTACACTGTGGGCTGTTTCCTGTTGCACTTGTTAAAGCATTACGCGTCATACATACCGCATTGCATCCAACTGCTAATCCAGCAGTATCACCTGTGGAACACCAGGAAGTGCCCGGACCCCGGAGTGAGAGGGATGTATGGAATTGTGTGGGCGGACAAGAATCTCGCAACAGTGCAGCAATCACTATAGGAACACAAAGGATCTTAATGACGTTCATCTGCGAACGAAGCCGGGTGGGGTGGCTTATCCTTGCAAAGGCTGATGTGACTGGCCCTTGGGTCAGGCTCCGGACCCCCACTGAAACCAGGACCTATCCAATTGCTTCTTAGAACCCAACTGACGGAGATCTTTCTACCCCTGAAGCCAAAGTTTACCGGGGCCATCGAAACGCCGTGCAACTGTACGATTGATGCTGACAGGAAAACTCTGCCCTGTATTTCTGCCAACCTCCTTGCATTTATGCTGTTCTCTACAGCTTCAAACTGGTGGCAGGCGTAGCGTGCAAAATGTATGTGTTGCAGCCTTGCATCGACTGTCTGAGCCGTCCCCGCGGGTCGAGGTCGCTGAGCCCAGTCCACCTACACAATTTTCCAAGTCTGCGGACATGGGGTGAGTAGTCTTATTAGAGTATGCTGCGTAGGGGTCTGCTGGTTGGTAACATGCGTTACCGGTACTCGCCCTTTCCTGGACGAGAGGACTTCTGACGACAAGCCGGCATGCCCGACCAACGTGGATGGAAGGACTCTTGCGTTTACACCATTAGTAAATCGAGCCGGGCACGTGTGATGGTACCAAACCTACCAAGCCCCTTAGACGTCACGTGTACTCGATCCGAACAGTACGCCGCATCTTGTGCTTACACGTGGACGCAAGAACGCCCACGTTTCCCCTCGCGGCCAGTTTCCTGTACGCACCAACAGCCCTCAGCAGCACCGGCGTGAGCAAGCCTGTAGGGCTTCCCTTTACACGTTTGCTGCACGTAAAGGAACAACGGCAAGCATTGCTCTGCGTGTAGGCTAATAGCAAACCGATCTACTACTTCTATGCCCAACCACTAAAGGCCATGGTACCCCACCCTGCCCCACCCTAACCGCCCCTGTACGTACCCATTAAGGACCTCCGCGCCAGGCACACGCCACCACGTACAGAGCCACACCCCGCGATGAGCCACCGCCCTCGGGAGACCTCGGAGCATCACCAGCTGGCCCACGGGACTCTCTGCCCCTTACCTCAACCCCCACCTCCGTCTCCCCAACCTCCACCACCAACCCCTCCACCTCCACCCTCGACTCCTCCTCCTCCTCTCCCCGCGACAAGCCCGGACCCCGCAGCCCCCGCCCCAACATCGCGGAACTAGACTCCCGACGCTTCCGGCTGCACCACAGCACCCTCACGTGGCATCAGCGACCCTCGCAAGTGAGCGTGGTGATAGCAAACCGTATGGCGGACGTGGGGGGCCTCCTGGGGCCCGCGGAGCAGGGAGGCAGGTGCGCGGCAGCAGCAGCAGCAGCAGTATTAATTGGAAGTAGGTAGATATGGTGAAACTAGTTGATCGTGGCTTCTTTGCTGAAGTCTTTGGACGGAGCTTGTAGAGCTAGCGCCGTCACAAAGATGGTTCTAGCTGTGATGGTGTGTTTCAACAAGACTTTCTCCGTGCCACCTTGTTCCCCGGCTCTGTCCACCCGTCCTCCTCGAAATTGCAAGACCCGCGGGTCATCAGCAGTCTCTCGCGGAGGTCGTACGGCAGCTGAGGCCGCCGAGTCCCCTGGAGGACCCCGCACGCGCCGCCCACTGGGGCTACCACCTCGCTCGTTTGGCCTTCTTCTCCGGCCTGGTACGGCAGATGCTACGGTGTACGACAGTACGGCAGTACCAGCTGATTTGGGTCATGATGATTTATTTGGGTCACAAAGAGTTATCGTGACTCACTACAACAGAATGGGCAGTGCGTGCACATACACGTGTTGTACTGCATGTCATGCAGGGCTTTGCTGCTTTTGCCGCACACCATGTGGTGGCGTTGCTGCAAGCAGCGTCTGTTGATGGCACCACCAATCCTAGCAGCAGCAGCACTCGGAGCAGCAATGGTAGCAGCAGCACTAGCAGCAGCAATGGCAGTAGCGGTAGTGGTTGTGGCGGCGATGGCTACCGGAGAAACGACGGCATGCAGGGGCCAATGCGGCCGACGCCGTTCGAGCTGCTCATGGCGGCTGCAGAGCCGGAGCTTGCCACCCGTCTTAGCGACTGAGCTGTCGTGGTGGAGCAGGCGAGTGAGGCAGCCCTCAGCCGTGCTGGCTGGGTTGTAGCGCTCACAGCCCGTCCATCGGTCCATGTCATGTCGTCCTTGTGTTTGTAGCGCACAGTATTAGCGGTGGCTTGCAGCTGGTAACCTGATAGCGGTGGCTTGCAGCTGATTACTGTATCGTCGCGCGTATTTCCTGATGCATTGTCATCCTGCAGGATTACGACAACATTCGGTCAGGTTGCTACCCGGCACCCTGGGACATGACCACGCCTGGGCATCGGCAGTACAGTTTGCCGTACGTTGCACAAGGGTGAGTGGCCTGGCTCTTAAGGATTATAACGTAATAAGGCTGGAGAGCCCGTTCGTATTGAAGTTGAGAAGGTCTATAGGGCCACTGAATGCCTGATCTTACCCTCTTTTGCGTCCGTCTTCCACTTCCCACCATGCACGCATGCATCATGCGCGCAGCACGGCCCGGGTGCTGCGCGAGTGGACCGCCATCACGCAGCGCCGCCTGGCTGGGCAGCCGCAGCCGCTGTGGTTGCGCAGCGACCTGTACCCGCAGTTATACACCAAGACATTCCACTTCCAGACGGACGGGTGGTTCTCGGACTGGTAGGGTTTATAACGAGTGCGGCAGGAAGGGGCATCCCTAGAGGGAGAAAGAAGGAAGGAGGGGAGCTGCACGTCGGGAATGCATGTGGGGCCGATAAGGGGGCTGGTGGCTGTGCGCAGTAGCGCGTCATGGCGCTGCGGAACTCGCCGCCTTGAAGGCTGGTGTTCGTCTTCCCCAGTTCCCTGTGTGGTGCGCGTGTTGGCAGCAGTGTACCGTATCTGCCTGGCATGCTCCCCATGCCTAAGCGTGCCTGGACTCAAGGTGTTGCGACACATCCACTGCCCGTTAACACGGCTAGTAGCCGATCGCCCGCCGTGCCAATGGTGAGGCATGGATATGGATATGGACGTCAGAGCACCCCCTGCCAAACAAACAACACGACCAAACAACACGGCCGGCGCCGCCACTGTGAAGGCTCATCTGCCCCTCTCCCGCACGGCAGGTCGGCCCGTGTGTACGAGGAGAGTACGGAGGTGCTGTTCGCGGGCATGCAGGATGCCATGCAGCGCACCTCGCTGCTGCCCCTGGCTGCCTTCCTGGCGGAGGTGCAGGAGGCGGGGGCGGCGGGGCGGGGCCCGGGGGGCAGCAGGCGGGTGGGGCAGCTGAGGCTGCTGGAGGTGGCGGCGGGGACGGGCCGGCTGCACACATTCATCAAGGTGAGGGATACGGGAGGTGTTACTCGTTTCACGAGTTTCTGTACAAACTCCCGGCCCCGGTAGGAACTGGCGTTTGGGTGGGATGCCTGTCGTGCAGCGGTATAAAGTGGTCGTAGTTTTAATGCGGTATTCGCCTTCACATCTCTTGCATGGGCAGTTTGGATTCGCGCACCAATGGACTTTCTGTCCGACTCGCCTCGCCAGGACGCCTTCCCTGACCTGCCCTCCGTGGTGTCGGACCTGAGCCCCTTCTACCTGGCCCGCGCGAGGGAGAACATGCGCTACTGGAAGCGCACCCGCCAGCCCGCCCGCAGCCTGGGCGGAGTGGACGACACGGGCACGGAGTTCCTGCAGACGGCGGCGGAGGACATCGCCGCGCCCGACGCCTCCTTCGACGTGGTGCTGGCGGTGTACCTGTTCCACGAGCTGCCCGAGGCGGTGCGGCGGCGCGCCGTGCGGGAGTTCTTCCGCGTGCTGCGGCCGGGCGGCCTGCTGGTGCTCACGGACAGCGTGCAGGCGGGAGACAGGCCGGGGCTGGAGTCTGACGTGTTCGGGGACTTCAACGAACCCTACTACAGGTGTGTGTCTGCGACTCCTGTTGCTACGGTACATGGGCGTTGCGTGCATACGAATAGTATTAGCCAGTGCTGCAGCGTACAATGCGCGCCCAATCTTATGGCCCACCCGGGTAGGCATGCACTTAAGGTTGCTTGTCTGGCTGCTGGCTCTACCAGTTACCGCTGCCTCAACCAAATGCATGTCACATGTTTTGCATGAGCAAATCCTCCTCCGCACTAACCAGGTAAAACGATCCAACCATCACTGCCAACATGCCGCCACTGCTGCTGTTGCTCCCTGAACCCAGGAACTACATGTACTGCGACCTGGGGGCCATGTGCGAGGAGGCCGGCTTCACCTGCGACACGAAGTACATGTGCCTGGTCACCAAGACCCTCAGCTTCCGCAAGCCGGCCGCGCAGGAGTGACGAGTGGCCCTGCAGCCAGCAGCCGCTTCCGCAGCGGGATGATGATGCTGGAAGGAGACGTACCTGTACTCGCACGCCGCAGTACGCCGCAGTACTGCCAACCTTGTACTGCCCTTGTAACCTACAGCTGACGCTTGGCAACGTTTGTCTTGCGGAAGACTGGCAGCATGTAATGGGTTTCAGCAGAATGGTTACAAATTATTTGACCCATGGGTCCTTGGTGATGCGCTTATGATTGTTGCTGTAGATAATGGTGGAGCTTCTTCCCTCTCCTGCAGAAGTGCTTAGGAACTGTATTCATTCGCCACGGACCACTTATCAGTAGTAGTTATATGTATCCGTGTCTCTTGAGCACAGCATTGCGCTGCACACTGAACACGTGCCTACACTGTATTTATTGCATGTGGTCTAGTACAACCAGTACCGGTCAGCAGACTGACCGTACGCAGCTTCCTCCCTGTTGGATAACGTGCAATCAGTTGGCCAGCTTGGTTGACTTGCTGAGCATGACACTACTTTCGTAACAGGCTTAAATTCCGAAGCACTATCATAGCGCATTGCCTTCCGTACGGGTCTACTACCGCAATCCTGTTGAAAACGTGTCCACGTACGTGTCAATCGTACACAATCTCTGTCTCTCCCTGTGCACGAGGAAAAGTAGCAACAACTCGCATTCCTGCAGCCCAAAACGGTCCAAGTACGGCCACCTCGACAGACAGTCGCTAGCACTCGTGCTCACCGGGAGGTCAAACGGTCCAAACATAACAATTAGAGTTGCGCATTGCGAGGTCGGTACAGTGGTTGTCTAGTATGGTCCGCAGCACATACATCTGCTTCACATCACTACACACCAGTGGATGGCACAATGCGGTCACGCACCATGCAACACACCGCAGCAGTCCGGAGTCGACAAGGGAGTTAACTGCTGTCACGTACTGCTGTCACGGCATCTTCTCCCACCCTAACCTGGTATAGGACACCGCGTCTCGCACCTCTCCTCCAGCACAGACACGCTCAATGCAGCAGTGGTACACCAACCGTCACAAGCCATCACCCCAAATCGCGTCAGGATCGCAAAACACAACACAGCGGCAGCCAACCCACATCGGTGGCCACCAACACTCAGCAGCAGCACCAATCCGCCCGCGTCTTCCCCATACCGCTCCTCCCCAAGGAATCCCTACCTGCCTGCCCTGCACGCTCATTCCACCAGTCTTACACCCCCTCCACCAAGCCCCACACCTTTCCAAGCCCCACACCTCCACACACTCTCCTCAGCCCCCTCAACCTCGCATCCCAGTCAACCTCGCACCCCACTTCCCTCACTTGGGCGCGTAGAACTTCTTGGCCGCCTCCAGCACGGGGAAGAACACGAAGCCGCCCAGCGAGATCCACATCAGTCGCGGCTGCCAGCCCGACATGAAGGCGCTCAGCCCCTCCGTGCGCGCGATGGTGACGGTGGCGTCCAGCAGGTTCTTGTAGCGGCCCGAGGCGCCCTGCGTCATCAGCCGCGTCTTCAGGACGTCCAGCGGGGTGGTGATGACGCCTGAGGCAGGGGCGGGGGCGGGGGGGAGGAAAGGGGCGAACAGTAAATAAGAAGAAGAGGAAGGGGGCGGGGGTCCGGCGTGTACGGGGTAGGGTGGAGTTAGTTCCCTTGGCTGCCAAGGGGCAGCGGACGTGGAGGAGGACGAGAAGGGAGAAAGGGGAAAGAGGTTCACAGCAAGGTATTTTTCTTCTTCTCCTCGCCCTCCCGGCGCTGCCCCTGGCCCTCGCCCTCCCTCCCTCCGCTCCCACCCACCCGTGAAGCCGCCCGCAAAGGCGCCGATGAGGGAGGTCTCCCCGGGGTTCAGCTCACGTCGTACGGCAGCTCCGTACGCCTTCTTGATCTGCTCGTACGCAACGAACTCGATGGCGTCGAAGGGCAGGTCTCTCAGCATGAAGGCCCCGTAGCCCGCGTACAGGCCCCGCAGGCCCTCGCGCGTGAGGATGGTGCGCACCTGTGTGCGGGGGGGAGGAGGGAAGGGGAGGGGGGTGGCTCATAACTTCACTCCTGGTGTCTGCGCGTCTGGGTTTCGGAGCAATGGCATCCTCGGTTTCTCCTCCTCTGCAGCAAGCTTGCATACCACAGGCACTAGCATATTGCAGGCGGCTGCTGCACGTACTTTTCGTACGCTCTTATTATCCACCCCCAGCGTGCACCGGCCCCTCACCCCGTGCATCCAACCTCTCATGTACGTGTTCCTCCGCCCCCGCCCCCCCCCTCCTTCTCCCTCCCTTCCTCTGCCCCCTCCCCCGCCCCCTGCCCGCCCCCCTCACCGCCGTGACCGCCCCCTTGAACTCCCCGGTTTGCAGCCGCTGCTTCACCACCTCCGTGGGCACGCGGATGAGGGAGGAGGCGGCGCCCGCGGCCGCCCCCGCCACCACGGGGCCCAGGTACTGCCGGTCCTCGGACACGCGGGCCTGCAGCGGGGCAGCAGCGGGGTGGGGCGTTATTAGCAAGGTTGGTTCCTTGCAACTATGCGGTTGGAATTTGGGTTTACAAACAGGTTTGTTCCCGAGCAGTGGCGTGGTGGTAGGCCCAGGGGGGATGGCAGCTCAGAACGTGGCTGCTGGCTTGCAGCTCAGGGGTAGTGGTAGTGGTGATCAGGCGGGAGGCGAAGTAGGAGGGAGGCGGTTGTGGAGCGGCTGTGAGGGTCCATGCAGTGAGGCAGTGGCAGCAGGGTGAGGCGGGAGTCTGCAGTTATGCTGTTCCTCTCTGTTGTGGCGCCACCCCGCACCTCCCACCTCTCCTCCCGCACCAGTCGCCCTTCACCATCCTGCACCGGGGACTCTCACCAAGACTGCCACCATGTCGTTCACGGCATGGCAGGTCTTCCTCCCGCACCCTCCCTCCCCTCCCCTCCCCGCACCTGCACTGCCAGCTTGGTGGGCTCGTAGCAGGCCATGAAGATGGCGGAGGCGGGCGCCACACCCGCCAGGTTACCCCACACGCCTGCAGGGCAGCAAGGAGGAGGGAGTCAGACAGGCGGCGAGCAGGTGCTTGCGCAGAGGGGCGGGTCGAGTCCAGGGTCACGTGGCAGGTGAGGTGGGCTGCAGGCGTGAGTGGCCCCGGCCCCAACACAGCCGGGCAGCGCTCAATCCCAGACCCCAGCCGTTCTGTGCCGCACAGCCGTGTTGAACGTAATGCAACGTGCTCTGCAAGGCCCCTTCCCTGCGGCCCTTCCCGGTTGCCGGTTGCTGCTCCTCAACCCAAACCATCACAGTGGTTCAGTTCTCTCATGCGCGTTAGCGGGCGTGTTCGTTGCCCCCGCACCCCTCCAACCGCTCACCCGCGTACAGACCCTTGCCGCCGCCCGAGGCCAGCAGCGCCTTGAGGCCCCCGCCGCCAATCATGGCCTGCAGCCGCGTCTTGATGGTGTCGATGGGGTACAGGGCTGTACGGCATGGAGGGCGGGGGGAAGGAGGGGCAGGGAGGCATTGGGTTAGGGGGTGGTTACGGCTTTTCTTGGCGCTTAGCGCACAGCCAAAGAGGGCAAACGGAACCCGCTGAGGGTTGGGAGCAGAGCGGAGGGACAGCTTAGTATGAACGGACACGTTTATCAGCCAAAAACCTCTTTAAAGTTCCAGTCCCCGGTGACAATTTGCAAAGGTTGTCCAACTTTGCCCCACTGCTGGATAAACATCACCCCTTCACGCAGCTCACCCAGTTCGACTGAGCAGCCGGCGGTGGCACCAGCAGCCAGGTTTGCCGCTGCTATGCGCCACATGGAGGCATCCACAGAAGGTACCGCCACGCTCGACTCCGCAGCGGAAGCGAGCATGAAGAGGGGGACCTTCGGGGAACCTGTGCACCGATGGTGCGGCATTGAAATTCAGCCGTCCGGACAGAAGTCAACAAAGCCCTAGTAGCTTGGTTCAAGCAATTTGATTATTACAGAGCTATGCGAGCTACGCCGCAATATGCCAATCTACCTGATGGGGCCGCAGCGGGCGATGGTGCAGCACTCATCGTGACGCTGGTAAAAGGAACTGGCCTGGACCTGCGACGCTTAGATCCGTTTTGGCGACTAGGAGTACTCTTGGTGCTGATGCTGCACAACAGGGCCGGAGCCGCGCTGGTGGGCTTGCGCAGGAGCGGCTTCCCAAGTCGGCCCTGAGCAAAGACCAGCTCGCCTGCTCCCGACGAAGCCGTCTGCTCATCGCCCGTATGCTTCAGTTGGCCGTCCATTTTGCATAAACACTTTTCGTTGCAATCCCCGGAAGATTTCACGGTGAGCTCCGTACAATTTGGCCGAGAGCTTTTCCTGTCCGTATTCCTATTGGAAAGGTGGGAGTGGTGAAGCCGTTAATATATGGTATCTGTCGTTAAAAGTCTCGTATGCGTTAGTGGACATTCAGGCGATGCGCAATGCATCATGTTCGAGGCCGGAGGCCTTGTGGCCATTGCGGCCCCCGCTCGCCTTTAGTGTTGCGTCACCACCCTCGTCTTCTCTTTCCATGACTCCCCACAATCCCCCGGCCCCCTCACCGCCTCACTAGCAAATACCAATAGGAACATTACACCCTGCTGCTGATTCCCAGGAGTGGGAGATGCAGGGAGATGAGATCGTCTACCTTCCACCCTCGCATGGGCTGAAACCCAACTTCGCATAGCGCTGTGTGCAGTGCAAATCCATGGCCTGCAGCAGTGCTCATAGCGCCGCAGCAGCACAAAGGAACAGGGGAGACGAGCAGACGGCCATGGGTTTGCACTGGCACGTGCCAGATGGTGGTTGGAACAGTTAAAACGATGGTCCAGCGGCACTGTACGATATCTTACCGGTCAAACACGAAATCGGCAACAGCCTGTGAATAGGTTGCAAGCTCGGAAAGCTGGCTCGGAAAGCTGGATCAGGAAGCATGGCGAGGAATGCTGTTGATTAAAGCCGCAAGCACACCAGGACACGGTTGCTTGGGCCCAAAAGCATGCCGGCTGCGAAGGGAGAAGTGGTGCTCTGATAATTTTGGCGGGGCATAATTGGACCTTGGTCCGGTATAGGCGCGGACTTCGTGGTAAGGATGTACCGGCAGCGTTCCTGGCTTCCCCAGCGTAGGCCACGGCAGGAGCTAACAGCCCAGCCCCCGGCACCTATACGACCAACCCAAGCAGCAGTCAAGCACAATGCACGCATGAAAGGATTCCAGTTGGCCACTGCCTCGTACGTACGGCTGTGGCACCTGGCTTTCCACATCTAGTGTGGCATAAACGACTTCACCATGAGTGGACTTTGAGCATTGTCTTCTGTGTTTGACCTCCTTGCACTTCATCTGGCGGTTGTGGATTGGCGGTGGTTGTGTGTGGTAGCGGTTGACTAACAAGCGAACGACGAGGTGTCATTGATGTGGCCCGCAGCGCTCCACAAATGAAGGTGCATAGGCGTTAATTGCTCCACGCCTATTACGTATTACTTGCGCTTTGTGGCTATGTACCCAGTCTTGTCTGACGACTCACTGCTTGCAAGTTAGTCGCTTCACCTCTCCGACAACCTTGTCTCGTAGGTTATGTCGCTAAAATTACGAGCTAAACGCAGCAAAAAGTCGCCTTTATGGCCTACGATGTGACAGAGTCCGGTCCAAAGCAGCAGGGCTCGACCACTCCAAAAAATGCTGCAGCTCGCTTGGTCAACGCATACTGGGCCTCAGGCGTGGCGCTTATTGCGACTGCAGCCTTCCTGTTTAGCTGCACCAGCCTAGCAGTAAAGCTGCTTGGCGATGAGGTCCCAACATTCCAAGTGGTTTTAGTGCCTGGCGTCATTTGTTTCATCGCGAACAGCGTCCTAGTACAGCTTTATGGTCTAAGCGTCCGAAGCAAGTCATGGCGCATCGCCGGGCTTACTCTGCTGCGTGGCCTGCTGGGTGCGACGAGCATCATTTGCTTCTACCTCGCCATTGACCTGCTGCCCCTGCAAGGTAGGGCGTTGCCGCGGGCCGCACATCCAACTTCGCTTTCGCACTGCATTTGAGCTCTGTCCACACGAAAATTGCTCGGACCCAGCGCTTCTTAACACGTATATGCTCTACATTCCTCACCTCTTTCCTCTCTCTCATACGTCTTCTTCCCTGCCACCTCCTCACATCCTTCCCCTTTCTTCTCTTTCCCTCCCACCACCTTCACTCCCGTAACCCTCCCTCCCTGTAACTCACCTCCCCTCCCTCCAGATGCCGTAACACTCTTCTTCTGCAGTCCCGTCATCGCAGCCCTGCTCGAACCGCTTCTCGTTCCCGAACCGCCCGGAGGGGTCCGCGCGCAGGGCGGCTGGGCGGGCGCCGCCGCCACCGCCGCCACCGTGATTGGGGTGGTGCTTGTGGCGCAGCCCGAGAGTCTCTTCCACGGCGGCCTGCCAACGCTGCCGGCGCCCGCGACCGCAGCCTCCGCCTACCCCGCCTTCCCTGCTCCGTCGCCCTCCTTTCCTTCCCCACATGGTGGTGCAGCAGGGGTTGGCGCAGGATGGGGTGTAGCAGCAGCAGCGGCGGCAGCAGCAAGAGCAGCAGCTGCAGCTCCGCAGCAGGCGGGGGTGCCAGGTTTCCTAGCGGGCCTTGCTCCAGCAGTTGGAAGAGGAGGAGAAGGGCGGTGGGCGGAGATTGGGCTATCAGGGACTGCGGTTGCTGAGCCTGCAAGGGCGCCTAGCGGAGATGGTTTCGGAGCCCTGCTGCCCAGGGCTAGCTGGGGTTCTTCCGGGGGGCCTTGGGGACGCGGGTCATGGGGCGTGCTGGCGTCCTGGCGAGCTGTGTCCTGGAGGGGACGCGGGCCGCGGAAACCGGGCGGCATCGGCATCGCATCCGGTTCTGTGGGAAGCGGGTGGCTTGGAGAGGAACAGCGGCTGGGGCGGAGGCCGCGTATGCTGTTAGAGGGAGGAGAAGGGGCAGCAGCAGGGGCGGAAGAAGGGGGCGGAGGCAGCGGTGGTGCGGGGGGTGGCAGCAGAGGCAGGAGTGCGGCGGGAGTGGTGCTGGCAACCTTAGCGGCCTTTGCGAATGCGGTGAGGGGCTGAGGGCCGGCTTGATGGGGGCGGAGGTCCGAATATGAATGGATAGTAGCCTGCTTTGGACCGGCCGCTTTCGGGGTAGTGTGCCTTCCCTTTCCGAGGTCCCTTTCAACAGGGTCTACCATACGTTTGCTGCTGTTGTTCCAGCTACCGCCCTGCTGCTGTCCCTGTTGTAATCTGCGATCCATCAACCCAATCCAACATCAAACTCCTGCTATTGGCGGGCTTCTCCCACCCACCCACCCACCCGCTCTTTCCCCCGTATGCAGGCTGCATTCGTGGTGGTGCGACTGACCCGCGGGTCACAGAGCTCCGTGGTGCTCACCTGGTGGTACCACGGCGTCGTGGTGGCGGTGAGACTGGCAGGGAAGGAAAATATAGATGATGGATGATTAGTGAAGCAACTAAGGGAGGGAGAAGGGAATGGGGCAACTGGAGCGGTCTGAGGTGAGGGACAATATGACCAGGATGGTAGCGGTAGTGGTAGCTAGTGGCAACCCGTGACGAAGAAATCCGCGGGGACGGGGAGCGCCAACCCTCATCCCTCTCCCCACTTTCACCTTGTATGTTGCTCCCCCCAACCCCATTCCAGGTATCGGCCATCCCCCTAGCGCTGCGCTACCCCGCCCCCGCGGTGCTGCGCCCCTCCCGCCGCGGCTGCTGGCTGCTGGCGGCGGTGGGCGGCGGGCAGTTCCTGGGGCAGCTGCTGCTCAACCGGGGCTTCCAGCTGGAGTCAGCGACCCGCGGGTCGGCCATCAATGTGCTGCAGGCAGGTGGCACGTGTGTGTGTGCTTGTTTTCCGGCCGCTAGTAGGCCGGTGTCGGTGGTGTTGTTTGCACGACTTGCGTTGTGAAAGACACAAATTGGGCTTGACCTTAAGAGTCAGCCAAGACCCCACCGGGCCGCAACGCATGACGCACCCCGCCGCTTTTACCTAACCCCTTCTTTAGGCTTGTCATTCCTCTGGCGGGTTAGATACCGTGGTCCCTCTTCGCTATCTGCCTGCGTGCCTGTTTGTCTGCCTATTATATTGCCTGCCTGCCTGCTCCCTGCCTACCCGGGGCTCGGCAGGTGCTGTTCAGCTTCGTGTGGGATGTGGCAGTGCTGGGGGACAGCCCGGGGCGCATCAGCATGGCGGGGTCGGCGCTGGTGGCGGCCGGGGTGCTGGCGGCAGCGCTCTCAGGTGCGGAGTGGGAGGGCAGTGGGGTGGTGGTCGGACATGCACCGGACGAAGGATGTCGGGAGCTTTCAAGGAAGGATCGGGAAGAGGGAGCGGGGTATAGGTGTGCGGAGAATGGATACGGGGTGAAAGCGAAAGCGTGTGATACACGTCAGTCTTTCTTGGTGCCGTGAAACCTCGCGTGAGCATGCACACCTTGCCATCTGAGTTGCCATCTGTGTGTGTACCTGACGACCCGCGTGGCCCCACGATGACCCATGGGTCACCAGGTTCGTCCCCTGTCGCCGCGTCTCCCCACGCCGCCGCGCCCCACCCGCACCTGCCCGGGGAAGGCTCGCACCAGCAGCACCAGCACCTGAGCGATGACGAGGCGGCGGATAACGGAGTTGGGGGAGGCAGTGCTGACGCGGATGGTGATGGGGCCGCAATGCCCGGTGATGAGGAGGCTCCCGTTCCCCGCCACCACCACCACCACCACCGCTACCATCACCGCACTCCCTCCTCTCCTTCCTCATCTGGAGGACGTTTCCTAATCAGGACCGTGGCGGGAGCGTCACCAACAGCAGTAGCAGCAGCCGGATCACAGTTAGCAGCAGCTGCAGCAGCAGCTGGGGCAGTGGCTGCTAGCAGTGCGATACCGGGAACAGCCGCCGCAGCTGCACTCACGAGGGTTGGGTCGCCTGGGGGCGGAGAACCGAGCGGTGCCGGCGGTAACGCTGCGGGTGGTGGTGCGGGTGTGGGTATTGGGGCAGCACGGTTGGGGCAGAGTGCAGTAGGGGTACGGCAGGGGCACGGGGGCCTAAGTAGCAGAGTAGACAGTGCAGGAGAGGATGGAAGTGGAGACGCAGGAGTGGGTTAAGAGGAAGAACGAACCATGCAAAAGGCTCTCCAACAGACGTGGGCAGGAGAGGGAGGCCGAGGGCGGTTGCCGGTGGAGTTGGTGGCGTGACGTCGGCTGCTGGAAGCGGCCCCTTGTTCAGTCGACCAATTCGATTGCCCAACAACTTCATCGATCAGACCATGAGGTTTTGTTGGTCGTCTTTTGACGCATGTCTTGCACGTGGGCGGTTAGGGGGTGCATTGAACGGTAGTGGAGGGGCGAGAGTATCCAAGAGAGAAGTGAGCGGAGTGGAGTAATGAACTGTGATAGCTAACCGAGTATACCGGTATGAATGGTGAGTAGCTGATTCTGTTGTCGCCGGAGCTCCTGTTGCAAGGTCCGCTGCAAAAACAAAAAGCTGTTACATGTGGTTGCTCCCGTTCATATCCTCGTCCAGCATGTCGAATGACATTAACAACCATCGGCACGCAACTCACATGCCAGACTAGGACGGGACTGGGCGCGCCCATGTCCCATCACAACCACTCCTTTATGGTCGGCAATCTCTGCACAATAAACCCGCACAACACATTGTAATAAAAACATGAAAATCTTAGTCCTGGAAAAGGAGCCACCTTATGACATGCGTAACGTCACGTATTCCCCATACACGCCAAACCTCCCATTGAGGTACCGGTAATCATGAACAACTCTCAGGCCCACGCAGGCCACTTCAAGAGCAGGAGCTCGAAATCCGCGTTGGCTCGGTATGTGGGCTCTGCAACCTGAGCCCCGGAGAGCCCATGTCACGTAGAGAGCATGCAGCTAACCACACGGCAGCAACCCGTATTACAGCGTCACACTATTGTTGCGTGTAGTAGCCCCCCGCCGCACCACCACTTTAGCCGCCGCATCACACCACCATCAGCGAGTGCAATGACGTCATTCCCTGCAACAGCCTCTAGACGATAATGGAAAAAAGGCTGGCACAAAAATCCTCATCACCCTTGTCCTCTAGGTTTATGGGGACCCAAAGCACAATAGGCTGGCCTTCCGCATTACCTACTATCCCGCGTTGTTCTAGTCGTTCTCTTCTCAGCACCACGCTCCCCTCAACTGTCATCTGACGACAGCACAGCACCGCCAAAACTGCCTGTCCAACAGGAAAACGTTTCTCCTCCATTCCAGCCACCAGGGCCTCAAAAGTGCCGTACAACGAACCTCCCAAAGCGGAAAAACATACACTCTCACCGAACGTCAACGCGCCGGGCTTCTAGGCCCGCCACGGCAGTCCATACGCCCTCCGCTTCACCTCCCCCCCTGCATCCGATGGCTACCTAGTGAGTCCCATTTTCCTCCACTTCCACCGCGCCCGCCGGCGCCGCCGCAATCACCCCTCCATACTTGGCCAGGAAGGCCGCATGGAACTTCCCGAGCGCCTCCACCACGTGGCCAATGTCCTCCTCCGAGGGCAAAAAGGTGGTGCGGAAGTGGTAGGTGCCATCCGCCTGACCAAAGCCCGAGCCGGGCACCACCACAATGCCGGTGGCCGCCAGCAGCTCCCGGCAGTACAGCCAGTCGGGCTGCTTGCCTGCAGGGGGAGGCAGCGGAGAGGGGAGCGGAGAGGGGAGCAGAGCACGGAAGGAGGAGGGTTCAGAATGTTGTGTATGGGTAGCCGAAACGGATAGGAGTCAGCATGGAGGCGGTAGGGTTCAGGGCTGGTGGCTGGTGGTTTGGGGATGGCTGGCCGGGACAGTGCTGCGACTACGGAAGAACCAGCAGGACCCTGCTCCACACGTGATGGCTCACCGGAACATCTCCTGCCGTTGTACGCATGCATCTCCCTCCCTTCCCTGCCACATAGTCAACATTCAAACAAGCAGCAACCCCTTCCTTCCATCCTCCTCAACAACCATCCTCCTCAGCCTGCTCGCCCCCCTCCCTTCTTCCCCCCCCCAACCCTTCCCCTCCCGCCCCCTCCCCCCCCCCCCACCCTCCCCCTCCCGCCCCCGCTCCGCCGCCCCACCCACCCAGCTGCTGCGCCGCCCTGACAGCGGCATCCGGCAGTGTCACCCGCGGGAAGGCGTACAGCGCCCCCTCCGCCGCGTTGCAGCTGACCCCCTGCAGCCGGTTGAGCGCCCCCACCAGCAGCTCCGCGCGCCGCTTGAGGGAGCCCAGGATGGCGTTGCGCTCCTCGCAGTAGAGCGGGTAGGAGGCCTCACCCTCCTGAGGGGATAGTACATGTAGAAGCAGCAGTTATAGAACAGATAAAACAGATAAAAAATGAACAACCTTGAACGTCAACCGCGGGTAAAGGATTGTACTGGATTATAGGAGAGGTCCTGGATAGATGCCCCTGTAACTGATTTGGGTACCAGTGCAATAAGCGCGTCCGAGGTACCGTATCACAAGCGCGTCAACCTCAGCCCCTTCGCCCTCCCCCCCACCCGTCCCCCCTCCCTCCCCACCTGCGGCGGGTTCATCATCAGTGCGCAGCAGATCTGCCCCGACAGGTTGGGGCACAGGTTGATGGAGGCCAGCTTCAGGATCTGGTCCTTGACCGCCTCCGGGAAGCCCGTCACCTCCATGTAGCCGCCCCGCCGGCCGCACTCCCCGATGAAGCCCTTGGAGATGGAGTGCAGAGACACCAGCGGCACCGCGGACAGCAGCCCCTCGCTGCAGGCGACACGCTTGAAGGAGAAGAACTCCTTGTCCTCCACGTAGATGTTGGCCTGGGGTGGGAGGAAAGGGAGAGGAGGCAGGTTTGAAACCATCCAAAGCGGTCAACTCCCTCTGACTTGGCCCAAAGCCTACAACCGAACGCCTTCATATAAGGGAGCCGCCCGGGCCCCCTTCCCATCGCCCATCCTGCCCCTCTACATCCCCATGCCGCTCCCCATCCCCCCCCTCCAACCGCCCCCACCTGATAGACCTCGTCCGCGATGAGCACCAGCTGCTCGTCCCGGCAGAAGGCCAGGATGTCCCGGATGTTGTCGTACGACAGGCACTGACCTGCACGGCATTGCCATTCACACAGGGGCAGGTGTCAGGTCAGGTGTCAGCTGTGAAGCACCATGAGCCGTAGCGAGGTGGTCGTTGAGCAGAACAGGCGCTATGCCGCCTATGCCAAGCATCGGTTACCGGTACCTCCTTACACCGGCGTTGATGCACTTATCTATATGACTCCGTTGATTCACTTATCTATACTTTTCCCCTCCCGCTCCCGCTCCCTCACCCACCCACCTGTGGGGTTGCCGGGGTTGATGACCACGAGCGCCCGCACGCACAGCCCCTTGGCGCGCGCCTCACTCAGCCGCTCCCGCAGGTTCGCCACGTCCAGCGCCCAGCCCGCGGCCTCGTTCAGGTGGTACGGCACCAGCGTGCCGCCGTACAGCGTCAACGTGGCGCTGTACAGCGGGTACTGCGGGATGGGCACCATGATGCCGTCCGAGGGCTCCCGCAGCAGCAGATCCATCATGTAGTGTACGGCAGGCGAGGCGCCGTCCGTCATGTAGATGTTCTCCGGGTCGGAGGGGAAGCCGTCGCGGGCAGAGATGGCTGCGGCCACGAGCTGGCGGATGATGAGGGCACCCGCGGAGTCGCTGGTGGGGGGGCGGGGAGGGAGGAGGAGGAGGGCGGGTGGTGGAGGGGGATGGGAAAATCGGGTGGGAAAGGTGCGAGTGCGAGAAGAAAGAGCGCGTGTTGTCAGAAGGTAGGCGCACGCGGGCTTGGTAAGTGGAAACAGGGAGCGCGTGGCGAAAGTAAGCAGTGTCGGGTGATACCAACAAAACCCACACACCGACGTTCGCAATGGCAGCCTCCGGCAGCCTTCATCCACATGTACACCCACACCTCTGCCCTGCTTTTGCATCGCATGCTTTGCAACCTCCCCACGCGTGCCCACCTATAGGCTCCGAGGCCGCCCGGGATGGCCTTGATGAGCAGCTGCGCGCGGTTGATGACATCCTCCGGGAACAGGTCGCGGATGTTGGGGTGCGACAGAAGCTGCCGTGCAATACGTGTACGACAAGGAGGTGTACGGCCGTACGGAGATGGAGATGGCCACGAGAGGTCATTGGAGGAAGGGAAGGGCCGGGTACAAGGATAACGGAGGGAGGGTGCCGTTAGGCAGTAGCAGTGGCAACGGATCTCGGAGGACATCCAAATATTCCCTTTGTTTCCTACGAGTTCGGTCTTATAGAAGCTACCTAAGTATACAATCTCATAAAGGGAACACCCTATCCTTTGGACACTAGCCCCTTGGGACACGGTTTTGTACCGTGTGGTTACCTGCGGGCACTCGCACAACGCCAGCACTTGACGGAAATACGTGATGGGCTTCTGTCCTAGAATTTGGGGATTCCCGATGTTGCACCAGACCACTTTGTCGAAAGGGTAATTGCCTTTGCCTTCTTCAAGGTCGCGGGCAATCTTCTGTGCAAGTTGAACAATTTCGCCACGAACCGCGTACTCCGATTCTATGACACGCCGGTTAATCGTGTCTATAGACAGCGGCGCACGGCGTCCGACCTTGCCATCCATGCTGCAGTATGTGCCGTTGCTGGTAAAAGTTGCGCCCGAACTTGTCATCCTGAAGTGACATCATAACATATCTTTCATGCATCCAAAGGGCTTGGTATGCCACATGCACTCGCCAGGCCCAACGGCCACGCCAGCAGGCCAGGCATCAAGTATGAACTCACCGACTGTCACCGTGACCACCGCTAGCGATCTAAGGGACGCCGATTGCTCCTCTTCACGCTGTTTTCCGTCCGCAGCTCCTGGCGTAGCATAAAACTCAGACCCAACGCAATCCCCGGCGGCGGCAAACGGCACAGCTCAGGCCAAAAACGGTAAGATTGACACAAACGTAGTAACCCCTTGCAACCAGCGCTCGGAGTCGCAGACAACTGGCACAGGCGAGGATACAATGTTTTGAGCGATGTATGCCAAACAAGGTTATTAATGTTTGGGTGATTAGCGTGAAATAAGCAGGTGCGTAATTTTATCTCCAGCTACAGATTAACAGACTTATAAAGCACCCACGTACAAAACGTGCGCACATAAAAGGTTGCCGTGCGCGCCCCTTTTACGCAACTCAGCAAACTACCCGTCAACGTTCTGACAGGTGCTCCACATACCAGGGAGTAAAAATATAATGCATTTTTGCACTTTGCTCCTGGACGTCATTGGTCAGCGAGCGACGGTTCGATGACGAACGCTGACCAAAACAGCCTGCACAATCCGATGGCCCTGTCCTAGGCCTTCACAAAATTTCCGTATACGACCCTGCATTGAATGTGCTATTGCTTTAGAGCCTTGACGTAACCCTCAACGAACTCGAACTGCTCCTTGGTCTCGGGGCTGAGCCGTCCACCGTCCCGACGAGTATCAAAGGCGCGCTGCACACGCTCCAAGCTCTCCTCCGCGGTCAACCTGGACGCCATGGCACGAAGACATCAAACCACAGATCATTAATAAAGCAAAGTCGTTGCATTGGACGTCTGTGAGCTAACCTACCCGTACAAGCTGGCCAGCAGGCAGGCGCCCACTAGCCCCGCCCGCCCGCGCCCGCCCCAGCAGTGCAAGTACAGCTTTTCCCCCGCCGCCAGCCGCTGCCCCAAGTCTGCAGGCGGACACACGGCGGTACCATGCAGTGTCAGCGCACGTAGTGTTGTTGGGAGGGAAGACGAGGAGTCAGCACAAGTCAACAGCAGACGTCCGTCAGCAAGCGGAGCTGAATGGATACGGGACAATGGCACGATGTCATCAGGGGATTATGTGGGGGGGGAATTACGCTGCTGTATAGCGCGTTGCGCAGCGAAACAAGCAACACCACTCTTGGGTCCGGGCTGCATGGGTTCACAGGCAGACCCTGTGCGCACAGACCCACGGGTCATAATTCAGCACCTCCTGCCCTCCATGCAGCCCCCTACCTATCTGCAAAGCCTTTGCCGTACATATCTCTTACCTTGCATGAGGGCCGGCAGCGCTGCGGCGTCGGGCACCTCCAGGTCAGCGATTGGGAAGTGCAGGAATTGCAGTGTGACAGGGTTGTACGGCACCCCGCTGCCCTGCCGCTTCTGCGATAATCGTAGTGCCGTATATGCGCCGCCGCACATAATGGGAACGGGAGCAGCAGCCGTTGGGAACAGGGACAACGTGGGTCGGAGGGGTGAAGTCAATGAGGCGAGGGATGAAGGAACGGGCAGCATGCTGGAGGGGATCTGTGGAGTTCGGTAGCTCAACGATTGTGACAGCATGTCAGGCGGATCACGGGGGGTTAACCCAGACACTCTAGCATGTGGAGTAATCTCTGACCCGCGGCTCGGCCATACCGGGGGTTTCCTCTTACCCTGGCAGGCAGAAACTTGTCCAGCATGGGGTTTCGGAGCCCCTCTACGATCTCCATGGGAGGCGGCCTGGCAGGGTTGGCAGGGAGCGGGAAGGGCGGCACCAGGCCAGACGGCGGGAGGGCTTGGCAGCGGACATGACAAGTAGGAAGAGCACACTGTGTAGAACCCAAATAGAAATACACACGCAGCCAGACGTGCTATCACCACTGCACTATGGGCTGCATGTGGTGCTGTACGACACCAGCACACCTCAGTGTCGTACGACGTAACGCACCCATTGAGCGACGCGCGGATGAGATCCGCGGTGGCCTTGTACGGCAGGAATCCGTTCTTTCCGGCCAGGGTCATCTTCTCCTGGGGCGGCAGCTCCGCCTGCACGGGGGGGAGGAGCAGGGCGACAGTGATGCCACATCCGGTCTGAAGAGGTGCGCATGTAGCTACAGGGCAGGGATGAGGAGGAGGCGGGCCCGAGCGAAAGGTGCAGCGCTTGTTGTTGCTGTTTAAGCAGGCCACGTCCCTCTCCGGCTTACAGGAATGGGTTTCCTAAACGGTGCGCATTGTTCAACTTTAAGGCCCTGATGGCAGGCGAACTGGCAGGCGTGATCATCTCCGCGCACGTTACCCCATCAGCATCCCCCAGAGGCCGCATGGCCCGCACCTGGAGGCTGACGAAGGTGGTGATGCCCGCATCTAGGATTTGCTGCAGCTGCTGCTCCCCCAGCGTGCGCTGCAGGCACCTGCTAGGCTCCACGTAGGGATAGCGGCCTACCAGCATGCTGCCGGGGATAAGCCAGTTTGCGAATTCCGTGAAACGCACGTTGGATTCATAATTATCTGCAAGAGGGTGGAGGGTATGATTAGGCCAGCTGAAGACTGCCGCGGCGTGAAACTGACATGGGAGTCGACTTGCCATCTAGGGCTGGGAGTGATGGAAGGTCCTTGTCTGTTTGGCGAGTTGTTGGGTGGCTTCTGAGAACTGTTGGAGTATGCGCACGGCACGCTTGAGCTTGGCGGAATTGTCGAGCATTGCCGCTGCCGAAGGCCCGGCAGCGGGCGGGCCGGTTCATCAATTGCATTGTGCAATATAATGGGCCGATTCGCTATATATGGGGTGAATTATTTGCTATTGGTAGGATCGACGTTGATTAACAGCGCGAGCGTCTAGTGCGAAAAAAGCAAGACAAGTTATGCACTACCTTTAACTGAAACCTTGCAATATTAAGAATTATCGCTTAACTACAATGGTTAGCTTGAAGGCTATGAGCTTCTAGATATTATTGCGGAATACGGCAACAGTACGCATCCACATGTGTCAGGTACGGCTACGGTGAACGGTGCACAATGACGCTGTCAGCCCCTTTCGCGCGTAACCCAGGCGCCCTTACCAGCGCCATCTGAGTTTTGCCTTCACTTTACCATTCCCCTTTTAATCTTTATCAAGAGCAGGAGCAAGACTAAAAGCGCTTTAGGAGTGCACACACTGCCAATCTGCCGTGCTCCCAGCCCCCCTGACCCCAGCGAAGGGATATGGCGATCTGGGGAGGCTTCTTCCGTTCTTGATTTTACCACACTGTAGCTCCCATGGGCTCGGCCGGACGAGCCATAACGAGACGCATCCAAAAAAACAGCCCTAGCTAGCTCATGGCTGTGGGAAGCACACTGCAGATCCCCCAGCCGTACTCCAAAGGCGGCAACGTCTAACCCGACCTTGTGTGCGGTGCTTCCGTCGTGTCCAATGAAGTGCTGGCCTGGGTTGCAATCCCTACAAGGTGAACCGCTGAAGGGGGTCCGGCGAGTGCTGGCTGGGAAAACATCAGGCCTGATCTGCGTCTTTGCATCTTGCATGACTGCAGGCCTGGTGCGGCGTCAGGAAGCGCTCCCAGGAAACACCCTTCCCAATCTTGCCTGCTATAAGTTCCCCATACGTGTCTGGGACACCATCAAGCAATTTCCGGTAACCTACGGTCAGGGTCAGTGTTTCCGCGGCTCAGTTTATTTAATTCCCCATACGTGTGCTGGCAGGACGGTCTGAGGGTGAAACTCCTCTGGATGACGTCCACTCATGGGCCAAACGCAATGGCAAATGGAGGCACACAAGCTCATTATACATAAGGCTCATAGTACATGGTACGCTCTTATCCACTGGTCCCTTGCCCCGCTATTCACTTCCACTACAGCAGGACCGGTAACTCGCACGCAGCTTTAAGTACAACAGCTCCTCCGTTTACCGTACATCACGCACACAAAAAATACAACTCCTCCCTGTCTCTCCTCCTCCACCTCTCCCTCCTGTTCCTAGCGCAGCACCCTCCAGCTCACACCTCCCAAGCCCCCGATAAGCTCAGCGATGCCACCAGCTGCCACATCTGGCAACCGCCACTACCCATTCCAACCCAGCCCAGCCGGGGTGCCTCCCGTCTGCTGAGTGCTAAGCGTCCATCAACTCATGCATCCCGGAGACGCGCCCCATCCTCCCCTCCAACAAGAGATCTAGCTGTGCTACTGCCGCCGCCGTACTACTGTCGCGCACCGCGGCCCTCGCCGCTCACCACTGCTTGGCGTCTTTGCGCTTCTTCATGGTAGCAGGCGCGTTGTTGGGCTTGCCCTTCACGTCGGTGCCCTTGTACGCCTTGAACCTGCATGCATGCACATATGCCACACAGTCGTACACAAGGGGTGAGAGGGGATGGATGTTGCAATCGTACTGCACTCGTGCACAACGGGGTGCGGGCCACGTGTCGTACGACAAGGTTGGTGATGTGGAGCCCCATCCCCTTGCAGCTGGGCTCTGGGGAAAGCCCCATGCATGCACGGTCAATGCGGGTGAGCGCATGCATGACCGATGGCACTGGGCACTCTGTTGGGCGTATCGGCCCGCATGAGGGAGCAGCGTGTGACGCATGCGCGCACCTGTTCTTGGGCGAGGCGCAGACGGGGCACTTGTAGGAGCCGGGCAGCGACTTGAAGTCCTGGGCGCCATCGTAGATGTAGCCGCCTGGGGGTGGGGGAGGAGGCAGGGGAACGGAAGGGGGGGCCGGAGGGTAAGAGTGACGAGAAGCTAAGCAACTGCACGGGTGTAAGCTGGCGCACTGCAATGGAACGGGAGCATATGGTACACGTGAGGGTGGCGTACGCCATGCAAACGCAGCAGCATCAAGCAGCAAACAGCGAGGCGGGCAGCGGAGACCAGCCGACATGCACTTGACTCACAGTCGATGCAAATCATGAACTGCGTGGTAGTGGCGGGGCTGGCCGCGGCCTTGGCGCCACCGAACCCGAATAGCGCCTTGGTTTGCACGGACTGGCGCGAGCGGGCAGCGGCCAGCACCGGCGCCTGCGGAGCATGTGAAAAGGGGATGTCGGCAAGCTAAGCGGCGGGCTTTTCAGTTTGCTTGTTTGTTAGCATCGGCGTTAGCAAGGGTCAGCTGGCATGCATGGATTTGGTGAATGTTAATTAAGGGATGAAGGCATGTATACTGTAAGTAAGAGCGCTAGTATTCCGCTGCGTGACATGCAGCAAGTTGCTAATATGAGGATGTGACCTTGCAAGCGACATGTTCGCTTCTCCGCACCACGCCCATCAATGAGTGCGTTGCATGCCAGAGCGTTATATTGTCCTGCGTACTTGAGGCTACCTCAAGGGAAATCGCACTTTACCTTAGGCGCGACACGGGCGCCGCTGAACGCAGCAGCCTGGCGCTGGGTAAGCATGGTGGCCATTTTGCAAAGTTGGTCTTTTCTAAGTGTTCTTAGCTATTTCCTGACTAGAAAGAGGGCGCTTGCAAATAAAAGATCGAGTCAGCCGAGGTTTCGGAGACAGTGGTAGCGAACTGGGTAAGGAGCGCAAGCTAGTGCAATTGCCAGCCAGCCAGAACCTATAGAAACAAGGCCATTCGTAGCTTTGCTGCATAATTTGACGTTCACCTACAAGAGTTCCCAAAGGGGTCCGTCAGCCGAAGAATTCCCGTTTCCCATTTACGTGGGAAGTGTGAGCGGCGTTTTGATTGCAGTATGAGATGCTACATGCACTACGGCTACCTTAATTTGCCGATGCAAGCATCCCCGCATCATCGCTCTGCGTCTATTCGCCATGAGCTCACCATCCAATGGAGATAACCATTGCAAAGGGGTTTGCCACGCAGCCATTGTAGCTATTTCCTCAGTGGCGAGTGATAAACATAGTGATTCAGCACGGGCCGTTGTATGACCTGGCGGGAATGAAGGGATATACGGTACCGGTAGCTACACTGTATGTGAACGGAATGGCATTCAAACTAATAGCCTCTCACACAAATGGACATACAACAGGATCAGGACGTGGGAGAGGGATGCTATACGAAGGACATGTTGGAACGTGTTTTAACGTGCAGTGCCGTGCCCGCCAAACCTCGGCTAATGTGGCCGTCCCACCGCACTCGCAACTGCCGCTCTCCACAAACGTTTCGGGCCCTTTCTCCTTGTATAATTTAGCTCGTGACCTGAGCACTTACATCGCAGTCCTGTTACCGGTAAACACAAGTCACCTCTGTCCTCAACAACACCCAACAAGCGCCGGTATCAACCATTAGCAACTGCTGCTTGGCTCACACCCCACACATCTCAACCCCTAACCTTTCCGTACACCTCGTCACACAAGTCCTACTCCAACCTTCAATCACACAAGTCCTACCCTACCGTGTCAGTGCCGTACGCAAAACCCACACACGCCGTCACGCACCCCAACCCCGTGACTTTACGTGCCTTCTATCCTCAACTCAGGCCGAGGGGAGACTAATCGAGAAGGGATAACAACCTGCCACGCCCCTCACTACCGTGCGCCGTCGCGTGACTGCTGCCCCCACCCGCCTCCGCCGCTGCTGCCGTACCCTCCGCCTCCGCCGCGACGATCCTGCCAGCCGCCACCGCCGCCGCCACCCCGGCCACCCCCACTGCCATACCGGCCCCCGCCGCGGCCCTGTTGCTGCTGCTGCCCCCCGTAACCGCCGCCACGACCCCCGTAACCGCCGCCACCCTGGTTGCCGTACCCACCGCCCCCGCGACCTCCTCCCCCCTGATAGCCCCGGTTGCCGTACCCGGAGCCGCCCTGCTGCTGGCCCCAGCTGCTGCCGCCACCGCGGCCGCCGCCGCCGCCCTGCCGCCAGCTGCTGCCGCTGCCAGCGCCGGTACTGTCGGTGTCACCGCCGCTGGGTGTGTTGCCGCTGCTGGGGCTGCTGCCCTCACCCTGGCTGGCGCCGGGCTTGCCAGCGTCGGTCTCGGCGGGCTTGCCGGAGGAGGTCCGAGCAGCGTCGTCGTAGCTGGGACCTGCGTGGGGGAGAGCCAGGAGCATTCGTACCGGTATTAAGATAAACCTGCGCTTTACCGGTATATACCGGTACCGGCGGTATATACTAAGGGGGTCCTATCATGTGCAGAGTGAGCAGATGCACCCGGACCATGCGCACACCGCTCCACTCCAACCCCACCCGCAGCACTTCCAGCGACCCAAACTCCGTCCCAGCTACACCTGTCAGCAGCTGCCAACCGCACCTGCAGCACCATCCAGGGGCCATACAGGTACATCCCCACCCTCCCAAGCGCTCCAACCCACCTGAACCCGAGCCGTAGCCCCTACCGCCACCGCCGCCACCGCTTCGGTACCCTCCGGAGCGGCCGCCGCCGGCGGCACCGCGACCACCCCACTGGCGGCTGCCGTACCCATCCCTGCTGTTGTTATTGTTGTAGCCTCCGCGGCCGCTGTAACCACCGCCGCCGCCGCCGCCGCCACGTGCCCATGGGTCTAGTTCCATATCGAAGGGATCCGCGGATCCCAAGCCGCCTCCGAAACCACCGCCGCCGCCGTCAACGTCGTCAGCGCTGTACGCCCAATCATCCATGTCGTACAACTCATCTCCGCTGGCGCCCAGCTTTCCACCCGCCGCGGCACCGTAGCTGCTGCGGCCGCCAGCGCCGGCGCCGGCGCGGCGGCTGCCTCCCGCCGCCGCCGCCGGTGGTGCATCCCAGTCCTCAAACCGGCCTCCGCCAAAGTCCAGATCTTCCGCATCATCCAGGTAGCGTCCGCCACTGCCCTTTCCGCGAGCGGGACCCCCGAAGCCGTCGTCCTCCTCCCCAAAGTCCATGTCGTCGAGAGCTCCGAGCATGTCCTCCTCGAAATCTGGATCCAGATCTGCGAAACCACCGCCGGTACGGCGCATGCCGCCAGCACCCTTCTGCTGCCGAGCGCCACTGCCGAATGCGGATGCGGGTGCTGCTCCTCGCCCCTGCCCCTGCCCTCGCCCCTGCTGCCGGGAAGCTGTGGAGGCAAACCGCGTGTAGCCGCCGCCCAGGTCACCATCCAAGCCATCCACGTCATCGTCATCACCTTCAAGGTCAAAGTCAAACTCGTCGAAGTCAGCTCCCAGACCGTCTGCGTCCTCCCGTCCGCCCTTCGGCGACGCCTGCCTCTGCCGCCCTCCCAACACGCCTCCCGACTTGCTGCCAACAGCACCGCCGCCCAGCACGTCCTCCTCATCCTCAAAAGCATCCAGGAGCTCCTCCTCCCGCTCTCCGAAACCCCCCTCGTCGTCAAAGTCACCGCCCAGTGCATCCCCGATCCCAAACTCGTCATCGCCCCCATCCTCACCAAACTCCTCCTCCCGGTTGCCTGCTGCTTGCCATGACTGCTGCCCCTTCCTGCTGCCCACCGGCGGCTCCGGAGCCTTCTTGGATGCCGCCGCTGCTGCTGCCGCTACTGGTGATGCCGCAGGTCGTGAAGACGCTGCGGGCGCGGAGGAGGCGGCGGCAGGCGAGGAGGATGACTTGAACCAGGCGTCCATGTCTAGTCCATCATCTGGCCCGTCAATGCGACCCAGGCCGCCCGTCCGATCCCCACGGCTCGAGGCCGGGGGCTGCCGCTGCTGCTGCTGTTGCCGCTGCTGCGACCGAGGCTGAGGTGGCGCCGCCCAGTCCTCCTCGTCCTCAAACTCCAAGTCAGGAGGAGGAGCGGCAGGGGCGGGGGCGGAGGCAGCGAAACTGCGGCCCGCCTGCTTCCCAGCTGCTGCTGCCCCCACCGGTGCAGCTGGCCCGGTCGTCCAGCTGCGGTCCTGCCGGCCCCACTCCCGATCCCGCGGCTGCTGCTGCTGCCACGGCTGCTGCTGCCCTTGCCCTTGCCCTTGCTGCTGCTGCTTCTGTTGACTCCGTGGCTCCCGCTTGTTCCGCCGGGGTTCCGGTTCCGGAGCAAAGGCCATGGCCGTACCGCGAGCATCGTACGACAGGACCTCATTTTCTGCTGCCGCTGCCTCCCCTGCTGCCTCCTTAGCCCCTGCTCCTCCTGCTGCTGCTCCTCCCTCGTACCAGTTGCTCGGGTTGTCCCGCCCGCCGGTGTAGTCGGTGTTGCGGTAGACGGTGCGGCCCTGCTCGTCCAGCTCCGTGGCGCCCTCGCGCTCGTCCAGGCGCTCACTCTGGAGCGAGGGAGGAGGAGGAGGAGGAGGACAGGAGGGATGAGACCATGCTGATGAAGGGCACCAAGAAAGATGGAGCGCGCTTTCGACAGGTGGGCGACTGTCGCTGTGGCATGCGCAGCTCAGCGGCAGTGACAGGATGGACGGCCCTCAAGAACGAACTGAACTGCTGTGCTCCCAGCGCCAGCGTTCCGCATGCCCCCCACACCACACCTTTTGCATGCTCCCCACACCACACCACATCCCCCCCCTTTCCCATCCCCGCACCTGTCCCAGCGCCTCCCCGCCCGCATCTCCGTACGCCTCCAGGATGAGCTGCTGCTTGCGCTGCTCGTCCGGCTCCGGCTCCTCCGTGGCCTCCCACACCTGCATCTCCTGCACCGCCTCCTCCGACACCGGCACGATCAGCTGCACGGAGCCCTGGGGCCGGGGGGGAAAGTAGGTATAAATATTCCGGATTAGGCTGGATTAGAGAATTGCGTTACGCATAGTTAAACCAGTTGGGTTATTAACAGCCGGTACGGGCCGGGGGAGGGGGACAGAGGGAGAGGGCGGAGAAGGATAAGCTGCAAGGGATTGGGTGCAAGGGACGCGCGTATAGATGGCACTCGCGATTCCCTATTGAAGCCGGTAAGGCTGGGTAAAAAAAAGAGAAGCGCAGACGGTGTCCCATGCCCCTCGCGTCTGCTTTTCCTGGCTCTCCTCCCCCTCCCTTCTGCCCCCTTCCCTCCCCTTGAACCCATGGTGAAGCCTCATCAGTCATCACACAGCTCGTCAGTTTCCTCCTCCCTTCACCTCCCCTTCCCTTCCCTTCCCCTCCGCCTCCTCCCCACCCACTCACCACCTCATCATAGTACCTCTCCTCCAACCCCCGCCACGCCGTGAAGCCGAAGCTGCCCTCCACCAGCCGGATCACCTCCTCGCTCAGCACCGCATTCAGCAGCACCCAGCCCTCCTTGTACACCACCTGGGGGGAAATTCCAAAGTGTGGGGGTGGGGGGAGGGGAGCGGGGGGAGGCGGGCCATCGTAACTCAGCCGCTACGAAGAAACAAAGACCGTGACCATAAACATCAGATTTCAGATATACTCTGACAGGGGGCGGGGTAGTGGGGCCCCATCTAGCGAGCCTAGCAGCAGCACGCGCAGCAGCAGCAGAAGAAGCGCTATCAACGGAGGCAGTAGCAGTGCGCTGCCGTACCTTGCGTGACACGATGTTGCCGCTCTTCAGCGACACCTGGTGGCTCTTGCGCTCCGGAACCCACAGGCTGATCAGCTGGGCCGCAGGCACCCGCTTGCCTGGATGGGGGGGGGGCGGGGTGGGGGGGGGGGGCGCGGGAAGGGAAGGGAAGGGACGGGAAGGGGGGTAAGGAAGAAGGAGAAGAAGTTCGGGGTGGGGGCAGGGGCCGAGGGAAGCACACAAAGGCGGAGCAGGAGATGGGTGACACGTTGATGTACGGCAACGCTATTGAGCAGCTGCGAGGGAGTACCGCACCCCTCCCAGCCCCTGGCCCCGCCCCCCGCACCTGTGTCCAGGTCCGTCATGGGCGGTGCGGTGTTGTCCAGCCGCTGCTGCATCTGGGTGGCCCACAGCTTCTCCATGCCGGGGGTCACCTGAAGAGGGGGAGGGAGGGGGGAGGAGAGCGGGAAGGGCGGAAATGGTCAAACTGATGGTGACAATGTTGGCAAGCCATACGGGCACCCCTGGTGACAGCCCCGTATGGAGGAGTTCGGCGGCTGGGAGTGAGAAAGGCAGCAGCAGGAACTGGGGACCGGGGTGCGACCCGGGCGGGCTTGCAAGTGTCACCCCCCACTCACCCCCACTGCGTACCACAGCCTGCGCCCCATGCCCAGAGCGCCTCGGTCCACTGACAAGATTGTCCTGGGTGGGTGGGGAGAGGAGGGGGCGGTCAGGCCGGGAATGGGCGGTGGAAGTGGCGGAGGAGGGAGGGAGGCGGTAAAGGAGGAGGAGGGTGGTGGAAGAGCGGGTCAGGGGTAGACCTTGCTAAGCGGCGGGACACTCGACCCTGCTTCACGTGCAGCAGCAACATGCAAGCCATGACACGATGACAGCGAGGCCCAGCCCAGACCGGCAACCAGGACACCCCACCACCCGACTCTGTCTCCCTCTCCCTCCCTGCCTCACCCCGCCTCGCTGCGCTTCAGCACGGCGTCAGCCAAGCTCTGCTCCAGGGGGTCCTCAACCGGACCTGCAGGCCGGCCGCTGCGGCCGCCCCGCCGGGCTGATGCGCGGCGCTTGGCTGCAATTGAAGCAGCCGTCTGAGGCTCTTCTTCTTCCTCCTCGTCTTCCTGAGCCGCCCCTCGGCGACCGCGGGTAGACACCACAGCAAGAGGCTCCTTGGCTGACTTTTTGGTAGAGGTGCGCTTGGCTTTGGGCTTGGCAGCTGCGGCATCGGCAGTGCTTTCGCCTCCAGCGCCGACTCCGGTCAATTCAGATGTAGGTTGTTGTTCTGTGGACTCAGCTGTGGCGGATTTTGTTCGGCTTGCGCGCTTGGGCTTAGCAGGTGCGGCCGTTTCGGGAGTGGAATTGGAGTCAACAGTGCCTGCTGAAGCCTCGGGAGTGCTTGGATTGCCTTCTGGAGATACCTCCGAACCATCTGAGGCCTTTTTCCGGCTGGCCCGTTTCGGCTTAACTTCCGCCACGACTTCGGCATCCTCGCCGACGTTCTCCGCTTTGGCCCTGATAGCACGCTTAGGCTTAGCTGGAGCATCGTTGTTTTCGCCCGGCTGCTCCTCAACAGCGGCTGTGGTCTTTGGCTTGCGCGACCTCGTGGTTGGTGCTGCTTCAGGCGCGACAAGCTCCGCCGCCGGAGTTGGCGCATCTTCCACCTGCTCTTCAGCAACCTTGCGAGCACGCCTGGCAAAGACGGCAATTGTGCGCGGGGCAGCTATCCGGTGGAGCCCTGGCTGTGCCACAGCCGGGGCCCCAAGAATGCGAGCACCCAAGGCTCCGTTCATGGCCACTGTAGCCCCTAATAATATCCCATAAGCGAATTATGCGCCGTCTACGCTTCTGCACGTTCGTCGTGCTTGTCCAGCGTCGACCATGAAATTGTCCGTTGCCCGTTGGGGCTTTTACGACGACTTGGACGATGGCATGCTCTTTCAGACCCAGGCCTGTCCGTGCTCAAATGTTCCCGCAATCTAGCCAGTAATTTGCTTGTGTTGTGCTTCCGCCACTGTCAAAATTCACTCTGCAGGTATTTGCACATGCAATGCTTTGAACTAGCTCGAAGGTTGCAGGCGCGGCTGCTCAGCACCAACCACGACAGCATCTCACTGCAAACAACTCTCGTAATTTTCAAAATAACATGTCGAGTCGTTTCACCTAGGCTTGGGCGGTGGCAACCATGAGCTGCATGCGTGGCTTTCCATGTCCCTCTTCTGGGTAGCGCAGCCATGGTCGGCCAGTACCATCCAAATCATTAGCATAATATCCTGGCAGAGATAGTGTCAATTATGCGGCAGACCCACAAAATCTGGCAGAGATAGTGTCAATTATGCGGCAGACCCACAAAATGCAGCATACTCCTCACAAAGGCAGCATTCACCGAAGCAGCCTGCGGGGAAACACATACAGGACCCCGGCAGTGACCACTTGTCACCAACGCATTAGCTCCCCTTAATCGCGAGACCTGCCGCAAGCGCTTTCAAACATCCTCCATTCTCCTCCGCCAACCTCAAGCAGGGGCTCTGGGCCTGGCCGCTACGCAGTGGCCACCCCACTTCCCTCCCCATAGACCGTGAAGCCGTTTAAGTTGCTTTCAAGTGGCTCAGGAGTGGCCTCTTGCTTCAAGGAGTTTTAAGCGCCAGGGTAAACCCCTCTCAGACGCCTCCCAAGCCCCGAGTCGCCACTCAACCTGCAGTGCATAGAGCAGCCGTAGCTGTATGCCTCCTCTCTTCACCTTCCCACCACCACTCTCTACCCCCGCCCCCTTCCGCTGCTGCCTGCACCTCCGCTGCCGCTGCCGCACGTAGCACCCCCCCTCGGCCGCCCCTCCCCCCACCCTTAGCTGCTGTTGGTCTTCCCTGTTCCCCTTGCTGCTGCCCCGCCCCCCTCGTGTCCCCGCCGCTGCCTGTCCCTCCTCACTGCAAGTGAATGCGCTCACTGCATGAGTCGGGATACCGGTATGGGATTGGGACTCCAGTTGCTGCACTTATCATTCATTTTTCGCCCCCGTTCACGCGCTGCTCCCCGCCATCCCCCTCGCCAGCGCCAGCCTCCGCGTGTGCTCCAGCAGCGCCCCCCGCATGACGGAGCTGATGGTACGACACCCCTCGCGAGCCAACTCCAACACAGCCTGGTGGGGTTGATAAGGGGGGTCAGAGATATACCGGTACCACAGGTTAGAGAAAAGGAACAGGGATACAGAGGAAAGCAGCTTGTCACGGAACAAAAAGGTTTAGTTGCCTTTAGAGGTGGGGGGGGGCGGGAGGCCGGGGAATCAACCCCAAGATGCCACTATCCCCCCCCCACACACATACGCTTTGTTGACCCGCCACTCTTCTTACATCCAGCACCCGCGTTTAAAGCAGTTATTGAGTTACGTTTCAGGTTTGTGAATCTCTGCTTTGCCTCTGTTTTGACTATACTCGCGGTTCACATGCGAACCTATCCCAACTGCTTGCTCTTGTTTCTACTCAACTACACATACGCTTTGTTGACGATTATTGCTACTTACTATCTAACAACTACAATAATATGCTTACCCAACTATCCAGCTTCATGCGGAATCTGTTCGCGGCTCAACTAGATGCCACTCCCCCCCACACACACGTTCGCGGCCAGTTAACACACTTAACACACGTTTCGACTCGCGGCCAGCTTCTCAACACCCCCCCCACCTGAAATGTGTCCACTGGCAGGCGGTTGTCCATCTGCACCAGCACCAGCTGGTCCAGCCGGGGGGCCAGCGCCACCGCCAGGTCGGGGCCGCCGCCCGCGTCCTCGCTGTAGTTCAGGTCCAGCAGCGGGGTGGCGTCCAGGTGACCGGCGGCGCAGGCAGCAACCAGGTCGCGCAGCGGCACCCCGGCGGCGGCCAGCGCCAGCACGGCGGCATTGATGGCGGCACAGCGGGTGCCTCCGTCGGCTTGGAGGACCTGGGGGGTGGGGGGGATAAAAAGATACAACTGACCGATTGTGTGATAGGCGCCATCATGGTTTGCTGCATGTGAGCCAGCCCGACCCGCCTAGTCGGAGGCGGAGGGAGCAGAGGGGAGGAGGGGGTAGATGGGAGGAGTGCCGCAGCAGCATGTGCGGATGTGTGTCAAGGAAATTGGTGTATGTGGGCGTTGCATAGAGTCCCTGGCGAGCTGCGCAGGGAGCCGAGCGTTTCTAACTCCCCTCCGGGTGAACACCAAAATAAACTTTCCTAGTTGCTAAACAACCAATAGCTCTGCGCCCCCAGCCAGCCTGCCTGGCCCCCCCCTCCCCCCTGCCTCACCTGCACATACACGTCTATCTGAGAGCGCGGCAGCAGCTCCGTCATGATGGCCTGCTCCAGCGTGTTGCGGATCACCAGGCTCAGCTCGGTGGACCGCCGGTCGCCCTTGCCGCGCCGCCGCCGCTCGCCTGCGGGCAGGGGGGGGAGGCAGGGAGGGAGGCAGGGAGGGAGGCAGGGAGGGAGGGAGGCAGGTAGGAAGGCAGGGCAGGCAGAGGGAGAGGAGGGACAAGGGGGCAGGGGTGAGGGTGGTGGGGTGGGGCTACAGAGAAGAGGAAGGAAGCATGTGACAGGGCTGCGCAATGGGGTGCAAGCCTCGGCTGCTGACTGCCGCAGGGTGTAGGTGCGCTGGTGGGCGGAGCAACCAGGCGCTGCTGCTTGGGAGGAGGTATGCGGTGGGGGGTATGGGTAGGGTGCTTGGGTGGTGCCCTGTGAGGTGCTGGGGATGAGAGGACGCGGTCCGCGAAGTGCTTTGGGGCTGTGGTTTCGTTGGAGGGAGGTTCACAGCGTTCGCGTGTGTTATGGCACAAACGGAGCTCCTCGTGCCTCCTCCCGGACCCGCCATAGCCCCCCTGTCAGCCGCTTCCCACCCGTTGTCCCAGCCGTCGTCTGTACGCTCACGTCTGCATGGCCATGGGATTGTTAGATACACAGCGGCAGTGCCTCTCACGTCTTGTTTCCTTAACCTCACCTCTCCTCTCCCACCCTACCACACATCCCCAGCGCCGCGCACCCCCCACCTAGTCACGCGCTTGTCACCCAGTTTACCACTGCCGCACCACACATTGGGGTATCCCCCACCCAGCGCGCCCCCCCCACCCGTGCTGAAGGCCGCCATGGAGTACTCGCACACCACCACCGCCCCCTCCTCGCGCACATCGGAGCGCCGGGTCACAGCGTGGGGGCCGAACACCGCCGCTAGCACCTGCATGGGGAGGTGGAGCGGAGCGAGGGTGGGGGGAGAGGGCAGGGTAACAAGGTAGGCCCTGGATGATGATTCCCTGGCGTGTCTGCTAGTGCGCGAGCCCAAGGAGCATGCGCGCGATTGCGGCTTTCCCAGACCGAATGGTGTCTTTGGCGCCGCCGTAAACGTGCTTAAGGTGCAGACTGACAGGTCTGCTTTAGCCGCCGTACCTTTGTGTTGCCCATTTCAAAAATAGCGGAACCGTCCGCATTAGATAGGACGTCAAGCTGACAGTTAATGCGGCGCAGCTCCCGGGGCCTGCGGCCATCCAGGCGCAGGCCCTCGGGGCTCACGTACTCCATGTCGCCGCCTACTCGGTGACTCGGTTACAGCCCTTCGCAGGTATTCAGAATTTTGTGACTGAGTAATGCTACCTATGTTTGTATTGTTTGTGAAATGCACCTGCAAAGACGCTGGCAGCTGTCCGATGGAAAGCTAAACGTGACAGAGGCAGGAAGCAAAGAATGGTGAAATGGGTTTTGTTCACGGAATTGAGTAAAATATGCAGCCCTTCTGTTCCAGCACGGCCGCTTTCCGGCTATCGTGGACCTAGATTGGCGCGTTGCTCAACTACCCAATGCAAACAGCTTCACAAATAACCAGAATTCAATAACTTCCATGTAGGCACTTCTCTGCTCAAATCTATATACTTTTGTTCCTGATCCTTCACCCCTGGCATAGTTGACCTCAACTCGCTTTTTGAGCTGCTTGCGCCCCCGGGCAACATGTTGCCCCCGGGCAGCGGCCGTGACCTACAAAATGACGATAACATTTTAGCGAAGCCTTTGGTGAAGGGGGACCTGCTTCCACCCCAAGGGATAGAGAATGACGTTACACAGTCTTCCCAAGCAGACTCTCAGAAGCCCAGCCCCGTTGATGTATCTAGTGTCATCACCCAGGTCACCTCTGTAAACAACCATCGACCAGTCGTGGCGCCTTTTCGAGTAACTAGCCATTCTCCACCCGCAAAGACCTGGCGCAAGCGGTTTCGCTCGCTGCTCTGCTGCTTCGTACCGCAGAGCCAGGGCTACTTCCGGCCACAGGAGGGAGAATTTGGAGGGGGCAGATTTGTACCGCCGCAGCCCCCCAGAGTGGCGGGGACAGTTCTGATAGGGCCAAAGCGGTCAGACGACTTGGACAAGAAGACGCTTGTCCTGGACCTCGACGAGACACTTGTACACTCCTCGTTTAAGCCCATCCCGAACCCTGGTATGTGCAAGTACTACTTCCGCTTCTAACCTTGGTCCTTCGTTGGCCATCGGTCTTCTTTGTGGTCCCGCTTTGTCATGTGTCTTCTTTGAGCACAAACACAACAGGGATTATGATAGAACACTGAAGCAACTCGTATTCTTGCGGACGTTGAGCTAAATGCCACGGTCGTCATGTTTGTTGCTTACTATGCAACGCTGTAACGCGATAGGCCGTGATCCATGCAGACTACATCTTGCCGGTGGAGGTAGATGGCAAGCTGGTGGACGTGTACGTGCTCAAACGGCCGTGGTGCGACCACTTCATGGAGAGCGTGGGCTCCCGGTTTGAAGTGGTTATTTTCACCGCAAGCCTTGCCAAGTACGCGGACCCCTTGCTTGACCTGCTCGACAAGCAGCGCTTGGTTCGCTGGCGGTTATTCCGGGAATCTTGTTTCCCCTACGAGGGTAACTACGTAAAGGACCTCAGCTGCCTTGGACGTGACCTCTCGCAAACCATCATCGGTAAGGTGCCGAGGGGTTGTTGGGGTTGGGGCATCCTGTGTCGTCCGTGCAGGGCCGGAATGTGCTTCTGAGCTCAACAAAGCTGGACCGAGACGTCTGCCAGTCTCCAGCACCATGAACCCTGTACCCTACGTAGTGCGACCACGCCGCATGACTGCACCTCGCGCACCCACAAGCCTTCCTTACCTCACCGTAGTGATCTGTGCTGCAGCCGTTTTTCTACACCGTGCTAGCAGCCAACCACCAATCTCAGAGTGCTCCAGCTCATAGCCCAGTAGCACACCCCCCCTTGCCTCCACTCGTACATCCACACTTCACCCCACTCTCCCTCTCTCGCTCCACCGCCAACCACATGCACAAACCACAGCACCCAACCGACTCACTCACGACCCTCTGCCTCTCCCATCCACCCTGCCCACCGCTTTCTCGCCCGTCCCCCGTGTGCGCTTCCTCCATGCCCCCAGTCGACAACTCCCCGCACTCGTACGTGTTCCAGCCCGCCAACGCGGTCCCCATCAGCACCTTCATCGACAACATGGACGACCAGGAGCTGCTGGAGCTGCTGCCCGTGCTCAACGAGCTGGAGCATGCAGCGGACGTGCGCGTCGTGCTGGGGGCCAACCTGGGCCTGCGGGAAATCAGCGGCTAGCTAGGGGTGCTGCTGGCAAGGTGGAGGAGCACAGCACAGGAGGAGCAGTGCAGCGCAGTACAGGCTGGTGCCGGCGGCGGCAGCGGCGCTACCAAACAGGAGCAGCGAAGCAGCCGTCAGGGCGCTTCTCCGCAGCCATGGCCGGGACTGCAACGGGACTTTTAGACCCCAGGAGAGAGGCAGCTGCGTGTTGGGTGGCCCGTGTCGTGCAGCAGGCGCGGAGCTAGGGTCCTCTAATACGGAGGACTGGAGGAGCAGCGCAGGCAGACCCGGGAAAGGAGGAGCGGCACCGGGTGGCGGAGGAAAGGTCTGTCAGCTGCAGGGAGCGCCGTCTGTCAGCACAGCAGGAGGTCAGAGGACGGTAGACGGGAGGACGTATACACCGGACGACAGGAACCCGACACAAGGCACTAATTCTTTATTTCATGTATGGCTGTTGATGACTGTTACCTCGAGTGTCGATGCTCAAAACTGCACGCAGGCCAGGGCGTGTTGCGTCGTCCTGGCTCCCAACAAATGAAGTAGCAGCATTGTATCACGTATGCGGACAGCAAAGCAGGCAGCAGGAGCACAGCAGCGTTTACAGCTTGCAGCAGAACATCACACCGACCTGCCGGCTACTGTATTCGTTTTCTTGGAGGAATGGTGTATGTGTAGGGACAAGGCCAGCGGCGAATGCCTTGGCTGAAGCGCCTTCAATGGGCATCTGGCGTGTCAGGGCGTTAGCAACCACCATGTTGGCGGCCGCAGCGGCGGCCGGACCTGGCACGCTAGGAGTCTTGTGTGCGCTTCGGATTCTTGGGATGTCAGCTGCTCCTTCGCTATTAACCTGCCTTTAAGTGGACAGCTTGGCACCCTTGAGGCGGCGCTAACGAGCTGCATATGGGCGCCAGGCTGGGTGAACGCATGGCTGTTAACCTATAAGTCGTGGCCGGTCGCGCGTACAAAGAGGCAGAAGCAGACGGTATAGTAGTCTGCGTGGTGCATTGGGCGGGCGGTTGAGGGAGGTGTGCGCCGTTGTGGGTTGGAGGGCTGCCGCCTATGGCTATTGGGATGCAGTATGCTGGGTGTTTCTGCAGTCCTGTTCGAAGAAGCATTTTTGGGCGAACCTTACTTGCCCGCTATGCAAGCCTGCCAACCAGAGGGACGGTATTGAACGTCTTAAAGAAACCATTAGCCTACAGAAGGCTAGAGACGCTACGGACGACGAGGATTTGGGATATGCGGCATGCAAAGCTGCTAATGGGCAGAGTAAAGAGCACATTGCACCCTTCCTGTCGTCTCACTCTTAGCGCCTCACGGAGGCGGTTCTCTTTCGGGTGTTTCGGGCTGTTTTACGGTTCTGTTCCTCGAATTTCTTATTCGACTTGGTTTTGGTAACGGTGCATGAGCGTTCTGGTCGTTTCCTTTGTGGCTCGTCTGTAGCTGTTGATGATTGCGGCAAGCGGCGGCGGGCACTCTGCGGTGGGCCGCCCGGGGTGACTGGCCTTCGGCAGGCTCCTTGGGACCGCCCTCCAGAAGTCAGGTGGGCCCATGGGTCGATTGCTAGGGCGTCCTTCCTACCGTTTATACGATTGGGCCTGTGCTTCGTAGCTTGAGTCATAGACCCTTAGCCACTTGCAGATTTAGCCTTTTTGTACACAACGACACGAAGATACGGACGCATGATTGGGCCGTTGAATGGGTGTGGTGATTGACTTGAGAACGGTGACAGGTGGCGCTTATTTCAGGCGCGACTTTACAAGAGCGATGTGGCATGTGGCATGTGGAGACTGTGAGTGCAGGCTTTACTGTTTCTGAGGTTTGACGTGACCAGCCGCGTCCGTGGTGTAGAACGTGCCGCTGCACGGGGCTGCGTTCTTGGCATGGTTGGCTCGGCCGGCATTTGTGCTTCCCACCTGCAAGCTTTACATGACTTAATGACAGCTGTTTTGCCACGTGGGCTTAGCCAAATGGCTGCCGCGCCGAGTGTATGTATTGCCTCTTTAGCTTTGCAGCGCTTAGTTGCCACTCTTTGTTTTTTGGTGCACGGCTGCGGCCTGTTGTGTACAGTTTTAGTGCCGAAGGGTCAAGCTAGAGGCGCATGGGCTCTCGATTGTGGCATAGCTTTAGGTTGACAAAGGCTTGGCGGAGATTTACATTCTGGCTGCTGGCTGCATTGGATTGACACATTCCTCCGTAAGCGATGCCGTGAGGCTTTTGTCGCGAGCCAACGGCGTACGTACGGGTGTCTGGGATCTGTCCACTTTCCTTGCATGATTCCGGGTGACTATTCCGGGCGCTTAACGCCACCGTGTGAGGTGGCGACCGGTTGGGCGGTTCTTGCCATGATTGCGGCCCTTGCTTGCCACTCGCTTACGTGTACGGTATTGAACTGAGAGGTGCTTCCCTATGACGCAGCTCCAGGGTGTTGTGTATCGAGGGCCAACGCATGGCACAGTAAGCTGCATGGGGGTGGGGCAAGTATGTGGGGCAACTTAAGTATGTGGGGTCAAGCACCTCTCAAAGGAACGTGTATGTGAGTACTGATTGGCTCTGCACTGTCTCGGAGTAAAACGCGACAAACGGACCTTGCACCCTTGTTTTGGCACTGCCGCATTGGCAGCGTGGTGCATGTGTATCGCGGAACCTGTGTAAACATAGCTACAGGTCGTACGCTTATGATGCCGCTGCCAGCAACTTCCTGACACCCAGACTCGCCTACTGCACCTGAGCTAACACGGACCAAAGGTACATGAAAAAAGGTACCAAACCCACCGGTATAATGACCTGAAAACAACATACAAGACATTCTAATAACAAAAATGTTGACCAATCCAAAACCCTAACCCCCGGACGCACCTTTCCATTGCTCCTTCCGCATCCTGCGTTTGGCAACCCCATTACAAAGCCCTCCTAGCGCCTTAAATAACTTCCAGATAAAAACCCTGAAACACAATCAACTTCGCATGTTACACACCGAGCGTATCCAAACCCTGTTCCATAAAACCTGGGCCCATCCGCACACCCAACCCTGACCCAGAAGCAAACCCCATAGCAGCGGAACTGGGCCCGGCCTGCTGCGCGTCCAAGCCCTCAAACACCTCGGGCGTCAGCCGCACCAGCACGGCGCCCGGCTGCTGCACGCGCTCCAGCCCGCGGCGCGCCAGCCACTCGTCCACCATGGCGGGTATCTTGGGGCCGTCTCCGCGGCTGTGCAGGCCCTTACCCGTGATGATCAGCCAGTCCACGTTGCCTGGCATGAACATACGATGAAAAAGGCGGGAATGGGATATAAATGCATGGAAGCAGCCAAACATGTGAAGGGATGTAATTGTATACACTCCTGTGGATATAACTAGCAGTGACGCACATCACGCTGACATGCGCCATGCCGAGCGGACCCGCGCCCCATCTCCGGGCTCCCGCTGCCCGCACGTATCTCGACTTCCCCTGCTACCCCAAGCGCGACCCCTCCACCCCTCACCGCCCATGATGCGCAGCTTGTGCAGCTGCTCGTCCAGCTTCTCCAGCGCCTCGTGCGGCAGCAGCGCGTGCAGGTCGGTCTTCCACTGCTGCTGCAGCGCCGCGTTGATGTTGGCGTAGATGCGGTCTGAGGCCTTGCGGTGCTGCTCGCGGATGACCAGGTCCAGCGCGTTGCCCTGCGCAGTTTTGCATGCGGCGCCGGTGTGGCAGGATGGAGGTTGGAAAGAAACTGTCGGCAAGTGAGCTTCACATGAGGGCAGGAAAGGGCGGTCCCGTCAGGGGAACCGCTAGTCACATGCGCACACTGCACCCCTGAGAACGGCCGCCACACGCAAGGGCACCCCGCATGCATTAGGGCGGTGCTCACCGCCTCCTTCAGCTCCCGGGCCAGGCGCTTGCTGCCGTGTCCCGCGGAGGTGTAGGCTGCCTTGGCGCCCCGGCGCAGCAGCTCGCGCATCTCCTTGAGCGCCAGCGGCACCTCCCGGTGGTTGGCCCAAAGCGCCTGAGGCAGGAGCGGGGTACGGGAGGGCCAGAGGGAGGGCATGAGGAGGGCGAAAGGGAGACGTGGGAAGGGATCAGGGCCCTTCTCTGCGCTGTGATGCGTCTTTAGGTTCAAACTTTTGGAGCCCGCCGTAACTGTTCCCTAGATAAGGATTCGGAAAGTGCCGCTGGAAGAGTTTAGGGTGTGCCGCCAGCCTACCTGCTTCTCCTCGTGGGTGAGGCTGCCCGCTCGGCAGCGCTGCCGATCCAGGAGACCCTGCGCAGCAACCGAGACACCAGGGGAGCAGTTTGCCATTGGGTTCCTTGTGCTCCAGGGACGACAAGGTGGCAACGAGGATGGAGGGGAGTGAGGCGAAGACAGCGGTCATACAACCCCTTGCCGTACTCAGTTGAGGCTTGGTAAGCGACATCAGTTGCTACCGGTACATGCACACGGAGTAATGACACGTCGGTTATGTAGCATCGGCCGCACGCACCTGTGCCGCATTGTCCGCACGCAGGAGCTGTGCCAGAGGCGAGCTCTCAAACGCGACACGAATGCACTGCAGCGCCTGAGGAAAGGGGGAATACACGCAGGGTCAGTACAGGGGCGGTTGGGGTTCAGACACCACCCAGGACGTCAACAGTGCTCTTACAAGGCTATCACCTTTCGGAAAAGGCAATGCAGGAATGCGTTAATGGGTTTCGCAACGACTGCAGAGAGCAGCATGTGCCTTCCCTGGAAACCCGCCACGCGACATGGCGGCCCCCCAGCTGTGTGCCCACCTCGTCCGAGAGGTTCATGTCCTGGAAGTTGATCCCGATGGAGGCCAGCAGGCGGATGGGGCCCAGGGGGTTGCCGCTGCCGCTGCCGCCGGTCGGAGCCACGGCGGTACTGGAGCCGGCCACAGTGGACTGCCTGTGCTCGTCGAAGGACGTTGCGTGTCTGCGGGATGCATGCAAATACGGCAGGGTGGGTAAGGCCCAAGTACCGTAAGAGGTACACCAACTGCCTAGCTTTAGGAACACGCCAAGATAAAATTCATACGTCCGCAAAAGTTCAACTTGCTCTGCAATCAGGTGGCAGAAGGTTCCCCGGAAGACGAAGCTACCGTATCCTAACTTCCAACATACCTTGGCGGGCCGCCACCCGTGCCCGCCAGCTGCCCCGCACCCGTGCCGGACCGCCGGTGCAGCTGGCCCGTCGCGCCGCCGCCGCTGCCAGAGCCCGAGGCAGCAGCAGTAGCCATCAGCCCAGTCGCGGACTGCGTGCGACGGCTGATCAGCGAAGACTGGGACTCGGCAGCCGCGGAGGAGCCCTCGTCCCAGGCCCAGCAGTCGTTTGCTGCCCAGGCGGACGAGACGGCGCCGCTCCCGCTGGGCGGGTCGGCCTGGTGGGCGCTGGTGGGCTCGGGCGGGGGGTGCTGCTCCGTCAGGCCAAAGGCGCGCAGTGCAGCGCGGGCCGCCTCGACGTTGCCCTCGTGTGTGGCGAGGACCTCCGCCAGCAGCTCCTGCATGGGGCGGCAGGGCGTTAACCACAAGTAATCACCACCCAAGTCATAAGCACATCATGTAAGTGTGGTAATGCTGAACGGTGTGCATTGTACTGAAAGTGGGGCATCGCTGCTGCAGCTATCGAGTAGAAAGCCACCCCTGGGTTGCTTTATCATTATCCCTTTCGGTCCTCACCTCGTCAACGTCGGGACCAAAGATGCGCACGAGCAGCTTGAGGCTCCAACGCTCTCGACCCGTCCGCTGGCCTTCCTGGCGCGCGGACTGGCTTTGCTCAAAGTTGGCGGCAATCTCCGCCTGCAGCAACTGCACACGGCACACGGGAGGATATGCAGCTACATTAGATGCTTTGCTTAGCCACCCAACGTACCCAAAACTCAATGTAAAAGCCACCGGTACAACATAACACATGCTGGAAGGCACGCCAAGTGGCGAGGCACTGTACCCAATTAGACCCCTACACTACAGGACGCCTACATCACACGCCTCCTCACATGCTGCCTCTCCAGCTCCGTGAGGTCGCCCAGGTCGTCCTCGAACCGCAGCTTGCGCTGCCCGCCTTGGACCAGCTGCTGCTGCTGCTGCTGCTGGCGGCGCGTCGCGGCGTCAACCAACAAGTCCAAGCCGTCGTCGTCCTGGCAGACACCGGCAGCGCCCGCCGGACTAGCGCAGTGCTGCTGCGATGGATTAAGGACGAGCCGCGTGTGGAGAGGGAGCGTTAGGAGAGGAAACTGTGAAACTAAGCGTAATACGAGTAAATTACAATCGTGCCTGCAAGCAATGCCGCCCCCAGTTGTGCATGTGAGCCTGCATGTGAGCAGCTGCATGGCCTGAGCAACCGTCTTCCACAAGGCCAGTCGTAACGGACTCCATCCAAAGCCGGACAGTGACTCACCTCCGCCAGCTTCTTCGCAAGCTCCAGATCCAGCTCGGCCTGCAGGACGACAGCATGGGCAGCGCAGGAAAAAGGTAATGAGCCAAACAGCAGGGTAAGGCCAGCTCAATCGGAAGGGAAACCGAGGGTAGGATCTGCTCAGGCAAGTGGCCCCTCCCGTTCCTACCTGACGCTTCATCTCAATCTCGCGGTAGATGTCCTCTTCCTTCAGCTCGCTGAGTAGCTGGAGCGCCTGCAAGGGTAACATACCAAAAGGGGCTTCAGTGAATTCGCCCTACCCCCGAGTCAACCGCAAGTCACTGTAGTCCGCAGCAAGCACTCCAACTGCAACAGCATGACAGGATTCTCCTCTCCCGCTACTCCTCTTACGTGCAACCCAAGGACAGCGGCAGGCACGGACCTCTTTGACGTTGCCGTTCAGCGCCTCCAGAGTGGCTTGCAGCGTGGCGTCATCGACGGTGGGGAAGTAGATGCGCAGTTCCTCCAGCGGGTCCTCGGAGCCCTCGTCCTCCAGGTCGCCCTCCTGGGAGTCAGCAAGTGGGTTAGCGGGGAAGAAGTACGAAGCATGAGGGACGTGGAGGGGTGTAGGAAAGGTGGTTTGAGGGATAGCACACTTCAATCCTTGTAGGAATGGAGAAAGGGAACGTGAGCGATAGAAACTAGCGGCAAAGCCAAGGGCTAACCAACACGTCCTCATTTCTCGCTACGAGGCTGATGCGCCCTTGCTGTTTGTTTTCCACCTACCGCTTGCAACCAGGCGTCGTCGGCATGGCCGATGCTCTGCGTAGCGAGAGGGTGATCAAGTGACAATTAGTACGACTCAGCGCCAAGAGCATAACGAATGGTTTGGCAGAATATCGAGTAAATTGTACTTTACTCCTCAAGGTCTGCTGCGACTCACCGTTTGTGACGCGTGGCGCTTTTGAGGGGAGCCCAGCATGCTACCCGCCCGACTGATGGCTGCTGCATTCGCCTCGAAGGCTCCAAACCCTGCGGCCGGCTCCGGGGCAAAGATCCCTCCCGCCTCTACAGCCCCAGCTGCGACGCCGCCGCTACCGCAAGTTGCAAGCTCCGCAGCAGCGGCACCATCGCCACCGTGCGCTGCGGCAGAGGTGGCCCACGGGTCGCTGGTGCTGCTCGTTTCCCAGGTGCCGTACGCCTCACCCTGGACTCCGGCTCGCGCACCTTCGGGAACGTCCCATGCTGAGCCGGCACCAGAAGACGCGTTGTTATGCTGCCAGTCAGGTACCGCCGCTGCTGCTGCGTTAGTCTGCATGAAGCCGCTGCTGCCATTGCCCACATCGAGAATGAACTCGGCCGCCCGCTCCAAGTTACCGTCCATCTGGGCCAGCACGTCTCGGCACATCGCGACATCAAACTCTCCGCCAACCTGCACAAAATGAGACCCAGATGCGCATAATTACAAGCCTTACGAACGGCACGCCAACTACTAAAAACACTCTACTGAAGCCGTTTGCACGGTGCTAAGCCTACTGCATACACTTACCAGCTCATGTAGTGCCTGAGCGTGCTCGCGTTGCGTGGCGTCATCGTGGCTCAGTACGGAAGCAGGCGCCGTCTGTGTCGGAGGCTGCGGAGTCGCCTCGGCGGCAGGTACAGCGGGCGCGTCCTCTGGGGCCTGTACGGCCGCCCGCCGCAGCGGCGCTGGCGCCTGCGACAATGCTGCTGCCGACGCAACCCCGGGGGCTGCGGCCGCCGGCAACAGTGACGCCACACTTGGCGATAAGGACGGTCTCGGCAGCGGAGCCGGCAGCGCCGGAGCAGCGGGGAATAGAGGCGGAGGTGAAGCCAGCCCGATCGTATTGATGGCAGGCAAGGGGGGGAGTGCAGTCACGGCAGGGACCTTGGTTGGCGGTGATGGTCTGGGAGGGAAAGGGTTGTAGGCTGGGAGAACACTTGATTCCGGCTGCGGCTGAGGCTGCGGCTGCGGCTGGGATTGCGGCTGATGCTGTGCGGTGCTGTTGAATGCTGACAGTACAGCCAAAGGGCCGCCAGCCAGAGACATTCCTGAAGACGACGACGCACGTGCGGTCTCTTTTCCTCCGTTGACCTCGGAGCTAACGCAGCCGGGGAAAGTACCAGCGTTGTGACCGCGACTGGGCGGGTGGACCAGGGTTACCGCTGATTTGGTGTGCGTAAGCGTAGGATGAACAATTGGCACAATGATTCCCGCTGGCGGCTGCTGTTGCAGCGGGTTGTAGGCAGATGGCTGTTGCTGTGAAAAGCCGTCGTTACTAGACCGGCGTAAAGCTGCGCTGTCAACTTGGTTGCTGGGATGGAGTGGATTGTAAGGCTGAAGGCCTGGTACTGACTTGGACGTTGTCAGGCCTGCAGTTGTCGCGTTGCCATTAGCACTGTTGTCAAACACTGCTGTTGTGATGGTGGTAATAACGGTGCTGTCATTTGCAACGGCTGCCGTGGAGGAAGTGGTGGCTAGAGCCACCGCCTGATTCGTTTGCCCGAGTTGCCAGGAGGGAGACGTTACACCTGCCGGTGGAGTAATTGGGTTGTACCTTTGCGCAGAGGTCGGGCTCGGCGCACGGATGACAGGAAAGGGAACCGCCGCTGCAGCTGTTGCAGTAATAGAAGCAAGCACTGTGCCAGTGGCTTGAGGAACATTACACTTCGGTGGTGTGTAGACTCTTGTACTAGAAGGGGTGCTGGGAGGTGTCGAGCCATGAACGGGACCCAGCGGGTTGTAGGGCGAGGCATGGGGCGTCGAGGAGTCTTCGCTTCTGTCCAGGCCTCCAGGGCTTGGAGGCTGCTCCGAAGCGGCGGCGATATTGGCGCTGACGACTGGATCTGCAGTTGCTGGTGGTCGATAGATTATAGGGTTGTAAGTATTGCCAGCGTCTACGTTGACGGTTGTCAAGGTGGTGACGGAAGAGTCGCCTGGTATTGAAGACCCAGGCCCGCCTCCAGAGACAAGTTGTAACGGCATGTATGTTGGCATCGTGCCTTTTGTTGGGTGAACCTGCAACTGTTCGCGCTGCAAGGACACCGTCGAGCGGCAATGCCTGCGTGGCGGGCAGTCGCTCCAGCCAGACACCTAACAAAAACTTCAAAATGCTTGAAAGTAAAAGCCAAACTGCCACGATCTGTAAACCGCGGCCTGGCTTACAAGTCTGACTCGCAGTCCCAGCTGATAATGCTAACGTATACCACAGCCAGTACACCAGAAAGAGGCTAGATTCCAAGGCGCTCTCCTGTAAACTAGCTGAAGCAGTGAATCCTAAGTCATGGAATGCGCAAGCGTGAAACCTTGGACCGGTGACCGAGCTCAAGTCCCCCCGGCTTAACGACCAAGCGGTCAGGGCTGGCCACCGATGCTTTGCTAAAATTGTCCAGGAGGTGGACATTTGGGGGCCATCCGTAACAGTAATTTTCCCAACAGTGCGTTCAGTAAACTCATCAACCTGGCGTCTTGGTGATATAGCAGAAAAACGCAAGCGTAAACCTTTACTGAAGTATGCGTGGAAGTATCTCAGCTTTTAGGAGAACGTGCTTTTGGTGATGGGTCATGATGGCACCGAAACCAGCTGGATCGCCGAGCGCCGGACGCACCTGAAATGAAAGGTGTGCAAGGAAGCTAGGGTGTGCAAATGGCTCGCAACTGTCAGGTGCTACTGGGTTAACACTATGAGCAAGTGCAGGATTTGGGCAACACGGGACCCTGCAGTAGCTGCTAGACAGCCAGAGCACGCCAAATGCTAGTGTTAGCAACAGCCTTGCGACACGGATGGTGTTCATTGCTCTAAGTTGGGGTTCCAGCACAGGGCCTGCAACAGGCGTAGCGCTGTATCTAACAGCCCTATGCTGTCCCGGATGCTTCATAGCGTAAACGCCTACATCAGTAATAGTGTTGGAAAGGACTGCATTGCCTTGCAAAAAGTTAACACACAAGTAAATAGAAGCGTACCTTCTGTTACAATAAACTAACCTGCGTCTGACGTGCATGCAGGTTGTCCGCCGAACCTTTCTTCCACCACTGCGGCACACACTTGCAATCCAAAGATAGTTTCTCAGAACCAGGGACATACAATAGCGGATCAGGTATGCTGCTAAGCATGCCACAATCACCATCCCCATAAACGCGGCCCAACTGCGCCCAGCCCTCAAGCTTCCCCAACGCCTTCCTCTTCCACGCCCGGCTCTTCCAAAGCCCCTTGCAACCCACCCTCGCCTCCGCGTATACCCGCTCCGCCAGTGCCCACAGCCGCTGCTGCTACAGCTGCCACTGCTGCCGCTTCCGCTGCAGCCGCAGCAGCCGCCTGCCTCTCCGCCTCAGCCGCCCTAGCGAGCGCCTCCGCTCTCCGAGCCGCCAGGACAGCCGCCACTGCGCGCCGCATCTCCGCTGCCGCCATGCCTGCAGATGGCCACCTGCCCTGCCGTACACAACCACCACTAGCATCTTGAACACCATCTCTAACAGCCCCATGCTCGCGGCTAGCGCTTCCACCCTCGCCCCTCTCGCCAGCCACGCCCAGGCCGCCGCTACAGCTGGCCTTCCCGGCTGCCAGCTCCACCGCGCAGGCCGCTGCACTGCTCTCCGTTGCGCCTCCTGCGGGTTGCGTAGCGCCGCTGCTGCCGCCACCGGCGCTGCCAGCCGGCTGGGCGGCCCCCGCGGTGCGCTGCATGACGTCCCCCGGCCAGCTCCAGGCTCGTGCGTCGTCCAGCTCGTGTGCCGCCCGGCAGTGCGCCTCCACTCCCAGCAGCCACTCCGCCAGCCTGGAGGCGGGGGGGGGATGGAATTAACACCAAATTGGGAGCGTCAGTGGTAATCTGTGATGAGAGCCCCGGAGGCGGGGAACAGCGGCATGCATGCATGCGTGCATGCATCACATATGCGAGGTCATTGCGGGCTGTGGCGGGCGGTGTACATGCGAGGATGGGCCGCATCCGCTTCCACGCTACGCCTTCCGAGTAGAAGTACGGTACACAACCATACGGACCCAGCAGACACGGCCACTCGTACTTCCCCCATCCGCACACACCGGCACCCCTGCCCCGTAGCCCTACCCCGCGTGTCTCCTCACCTCCCCGCGCTGGTGTTGTGCCGCACCACGTCCTCGGCTCGCAGCTGCGGCACGTAGAAGTCCAGGTCGTCGGCGCTGCCTGTACGGCAGCGCAGGGCAGCCAGCGCACGTGGCCCCAGCGGCAGCGCCTCCAGCAGCGTGGGAAGCGGGAAGTCGCGCGCCTGAGGTGGAGGTGGAGGCGGAGGCGGCAATGGGACAGACCACTGGAACGTTTGCAACTTAGGCAACGTTTGTCAGTCTTGCAGGGAGTTGTGGCAAGTCGTAGGTTGGAGGGAGAGTGCCGGCAAAACAGGTGATTGTCCCCGACTGTCCGCCACCAACCCCGTTGTAGAAGAAGGGTAGAACTTTACCAGCACCTCTTGTAGCAGCAGCAGTGTGGCAGCAGCAGCAGATTCCCCCCGCATGCACAATTTCGCCCCGCACCCAGCCAGCCAGCCATCAGCCAACCCACCCGCAGCAGCTCTTGCGCAGCCTCCCAGCTGGCCGTGCGCCACGTTTGACTGTCAAAATCCAGATCCAAATCCGACTGCTCCGAAACCATGTCATCATCACGATCGCCGTCGTCGTCCGCCTCATCACCAGCGTACCACATGCCACCACTTCCGGACTGGGCATCCGAGCCGCGCTCGCCTCCCATGTCCGATCCAGGGCCAAGCAAACACTGCTCTCCCTCCGATCCCCTTGCAGCACATGCTTCCTCCGCCTCGCAGTATCCCTCGCTGCCAGCACGGATCCCAGCACCAGCCGCCTCCTCCTTGCAGGCAAACAGCTCATTCGCGCCTGCCGGTGCTGCCTGTCCCTGCTCGTCCTGCTGCTGCTGCCAGCGCCGCAGCGGTTGCTCCTGTGCTCCCTCCGCGTCTACGTCTGCGTCACGCCACGCCTGCGCTGCCGCCCTCTCGTTGGCATCCTCCGCATGCCCTCCTCGCCTGTCCTGCACCGCTCGCCGCCTGCGCTGCTGCCACAGCACCTCCAATGCGAAGAAAAGCTGAACCAGCGGCCGAGCGGGGCTGCGGCCGGGAAAGGTAACGTGTGGAAGCGAGACAGGATGTGACGTTGTGTGTCATGGCGGGGGGGTGGGGGTACGAAAGGTGTACTGAAAGGGGGGTGGGGTGCCTGGGGCCACGGCAGCAGCTGCATGCATGGGTTTGTAGGGTGCATACATACGGTATCTGAGGGGTGGTACCCACATGGACATCCCATTGTAGGGATGGCGGGCAGCATTGCACCTAGCAGCTGTGTAACAAGTCTAACAACTGATGGTACCGGTGCCACTGTACGACACTCACAGGCCGGATGCCAGCAGCTCGTCCAGCTCGTCACGCCGTACATCCGTGATGGCGCCCGCCAGACGAGGTACGGCAGCAGCGGCATCACACAGCGCTGCCTGGGGGCGGGCCAGGGAAGGGCAGGTCGACTCCCTTTGTTTCCTCTCATGCTGATGGCTTCACCGCTGTTAACACCGGTAGGTGCGCCGGGATATAGACATACCGTTGATTTGCCACGTGCTCAGGCTCTTGGCCCTTGGGATTGCCGGTGGGCAGGCATTGTACGGTGCCACCCTCGGCCCCTAAATCGCGTCACCCTCGGCAAGCAGTCATACCTGTGCCCGCTGCAGCCGCATCCTGGCCAGCGGGAAGACGGCCACAGCGCACCAGGAGCGGCAAGCCAGGGCAGCCATCACCAGGCAGCGAGCATCCAGGCGGCTGAGCACCTGGGGGGACGCATGGGGGATGGGAGGGAAGCCATGGGGGCAGAAAGCAGCGGTGTGGTAGGCAGGCGTGGCGCGCGGGGAAAGGCTAAAGGTTGTGCTTTCGCCACCGTCGCACTCAGCGTGATTGGATTCCGTACGAGAAGCAATGAAGCCTCCCCTGCGGATCTAGGCCTTGGGGGCACTCACCTGGCGAAAGTGGGGTGTCCTCAAAAGAACAGTGAATTCAGGGTGGCCTAAACGAACAGGGAGCAATCCTTTCAGTGCTGCCGTAGTTTGCAACCCACCGAATACAGGACGTCCATTGGAAGCTTGGCGCCATCCGGGGCCTTGGCATCCGCCTCGGCCGCAAGGGGCGCTGCAGTCGACGTAACCCCAGCACAAGCAGCAACCCCAAGCACGGTGGACGTAGTCGCGGCCGTCATGCGCCTGCTCTCAAGGCCGTCCCCATGACAGCCATGCAGCCCGGCGTGGCTGGTATCCGGCAGCTGCCTTCGCTCCTGCTCCTGCCGCTGCAGGTCTTCCCACCAGGCTTCCGCATACCTAAAAAGGATTCACCGCGAAAGGTTCATCATCCAGCGTTAAAGAACATTAAAGGACTTGTGACTCCCCATGTTCACCCTGCGCATGCCCCGTGTGCCTTGTCTTCACAGTTGGCCATGTCCGGGGCATCCAAGCACGCCACCCCCTCACCTCCTTTCCTGCGGGAAGATGGCTCGGTGGTCCAGGGCGGTCAGCTGCCGGCAGCGAGCCACCACCGTGCGGCTGCAACCCGGGTGGGGTGGGCAGAAGAATACCCAAGAGGGGTAAACTAAGGAAACTGACGAGGCAACTAACGAGCAATAACTAGGGAGGGGGGAAGGGGAGACGGTGAGTGTTGTCGTGAGCATTGCTGTGAGGTTCAGTGTAAGGGGCCTAACAGGCCCCTCGAGATATGTTGCGGTTTCTCTTTAGGATTCTTATACTGTAGCCTTGCTACAGGTATGGTATGGATTAGGTTGCCCACAGGAGGAGCTGGGAGTTGTTGTTGGGGGGGCTGCAGTCAGGTGGTCACAAACAGAGGAAGGGACAGGCCTTTGGCAAATGAGGGAGCGCTGGGCGCCGCACGGGAGAACACCGGGGTTCTACAGGGCCCAGGACTCAGCCCTCCTTCCAACGAAATGCCCACAATTTTCCGCTAGACTTAGCTTAATTTTTAATTAAGCCTAGCATAATTGTTTATTAAGCCTAGCTTAATTCCGGCTTAATACGCCCCAAGGAAACGCACCGATAGAACGCCAGCGGCGGCGGGGCTGTGACCTGCGACAATGCTGGCGCCACTGTTGGCGCGCCCATTGCTGTCACGTCCCCAGCACCAGCAGCTGCACCAGTAGCAGCAGCAGCGGATGCAACCTCGTCAGCAGCGGCAGTGGCAGCGGCCGCATCCGCCTCAGTGGCAGTAGCAGCGGTGCCGGCAGCAGCGGCACCCGCACCCGCGGCCGCTGCAGCCCGGGGTGCCGAGGAGGTAGTCGCCGCCAGCGGGTTGTGTGCGAGCGTGAGGGTTTGCAGCTGAGGTATGTCAGCCAGCACCTGCACGACAGCGACGGCGGCAGCGGGGAGGAGCGTCCGCATCCGCAGCAACACCTTATCTGTCACCTCACCTCATGGGGGAGCAGGAGTGGGGCCATCAGCCCACACCTCACAGCCTCCTTCCGCCACCGACCCACCCTCAGCTCCCATGGTGGAGTCTTTGTCAGGCGGTTCTAGTTCATTTCTTCATCGCAAACCATTTATCTTCAGCTCGTTGCAGCTCATTTCTGCCCAGTTATGCCCCCAGCTCTTCATTCTCAGCTCCCGCGGTCCCCAGCCCCCCTTCAGCCCCTCTACCCACCCGCAGAACGGCCTCCGCATCCGCCAGCCGGTTGTGACCCAGGTCCAGCTGCGAAGAGGGAGGACGACGGTGACGGGACGGCGGATGGTGGGGCAGGAGGGGTGGGGTGGAGGGAGAGCGAAGCAGGACTGAGCAGGCCTTCACGGTACGTCCTCAAGTGTCAAGTGGAGGGCGGCAAAACATGGGAAAGCCGGCACACATACCAACTATAACCTTCTCATCTTACTTTGCCCCAGATGCCGCCGTGCCTGACACGCCTTCCACAGAAGTCATAATAAAACGCAGTTGCTGACGTGTGGCAGTACGGCAGCCCTTTGTTTGCGTCCTCACCTCGCACAGCGCCGTACACTGCGTCAGGTGCTGGATGCTGGGCCCGTCCGCCAGCTGGTTGTCCGCCACCTGCGACCCCGGGCAGGCAGGCAGGCGGGCAGGCAGGCAGGCGGGCAGGCGGCACACCAGGTGCACAGGCCAGGTGCGGGGATTGAGGAGGGAAGTCGTTGTAATGCTAGCTCGGGAGTCAGGTATCGGCCCACCTGTCTTGTCTTCCCCAGCCAACGTACCAGCCATCAACCCACCGACCTTCCTTCCCTCCAGGAATTGTCAGCAACTTGTATCATTATCACACCACACATTGGAATTTCTTTTTTCCCACCCGGCCCCACCACCAGCCATTGCCTAGTTTGCCACTAACAATCGACACATCGGGTATTCTTCTTTTCCCCTATTGTTTTGCCCCAGATTGTGGTTTCCTAAGGTTTGGTCTACTTCCGGCCCCACCAGCAGCGCCTCCAGCCTGGGCAGGCCCGCCAGCCCCTCCAGCCGTGTGAGCGCGTTGGAGGAGAGGTTCAGCAGCTGCAGCTGCAGCAGCCCCTCCAGACCCTCCAACACGCGGATGGAGTTGCCCTGCAGCGGCAGCGGCGGCAGCAGCAGCGGTTGTCAGAGTGTACGGCGGGCCGCGCCAAGGATCGCTAGTACGGCCATCTTTCTATGCTACCGTCAGCATCCGCAACAGTTGAGGCATGCAGCCGGTTCTGGTTGCCAAAGGAGAAAGAAGGGTAGTGAACGAAAGCGAAAAGGAGGCGCCTGTGACACCAAGCATAACCCCGATCCATCGCAAACCTAACCGCACAAATCCGTTAATGTGGCGTTGTGGCCCATGGGTCACTTTGAGGCTGTGACCCCGTGAGCATACGTCCAATTGAGCGACAGAGCGACTTCAGTGGCTTAGACCATTACGTTGGCTTAAGCCTGCCCAAGATCATTTCTTCATCCCTAGAGCCGGCCTCTTACGTGCCAATGACCAATCGTAGACACCCCTCATCGCCAGCCATACCCATCTCACGACAGAAGGAGCGGGCAGTATGTTCCTATGTGCCCTCACCTGCAGGTAGAGGCAGCGCAGGTGGACTAGCGATGTCAAGTTTTCGATGCGGCTGATGCGGTTGCGGTCAAGATGCAGCTGCTGCACGTCCCTGACAGGGCAGGGAAGGGGCAGGACGGAGAGGGTAGGAATACAGTAGAGCAGGCAGAGAGATTTCCCGGTGTGCCGGAAGGAGGCAGACCCTGGAACTTCTGGTGAGGGGCTTTGGCCTGTCGTACAGTATTACGTCCGGCTGATGCTGCACACCTGTATTCCGCTATGCATTCGCCGATAGATGTGAACAGCTGACAGTTGAGCTCCAATCGTGTCACTGCAAGGGGCGACGTAGGTAACCCTGATTCCTTGCATATTTCAATGAGCTTGGCCAGCGTCATGTCTTCAGCGCCGTCGCATCTGCGCCCGAAGTTCCGGGGCACCGGGATTGGATGGGGGCTGTTGGATGAAGGCTTGCACAAGGGGTACAAATTCAACGTGCTTCGGCTGGTTGTAGCCTTGTTGTTGTGAAACATGAATAACGGCCAAGGTTAAGGCATACCTGCGCCGCAAGGCGGATGCCGCCTGCAGTGTCTTGTTGCAATTGCTATGTGGGTTGTAAAGGTAATTCATCATTTCTTATTTCGCCGAGTGGTCTAGGGCTACTCTAAAATAAGTGACCTTATCTGTCTGTTTGGCGAGACATCCTGTTCAGGGTGTTGGGTACGTACTTTCCACCGGTAGTACAGCATGGAAACATCTACTCATCTCAGCGCCGACCGCCGGCTAACCCATTTATTCTGTCGCTACCACACGTTTACGTACGCGCCAGCGATTAAGGTTTTTTTCCTTGCTTTTCCGTCAACTTGCGACCTGAGAGACGACCAAGGAGGAAACAAAAACCATAGCCGCAATTTTAACATCACTGTCGCTAATATTATAATATTATATTATCGCCTAGGCGCTGCAAAATGTTGCGTGCCGCATGACTTGCAAGCATCAGCCTTCGCCAGCCTATTGGTATATAATTCTAGTAACCTACGGAGCGTTTCTCTACACAAAGATGCCGCCTCGACTCAGTGTACGTGCAGTGCGTTCCCGTTAAACTTCGAGCATTCTTGCTTGCCATTGAAATTGGCTGCTTCCCTTCGTCCAGGAGGGGCAGGGGCAACACATGGAGCTCACAGCTCAAGAGGTCGCAGACCTTAAGGAGGTACGCATCTGGCTTTTCACTAATGTTTTCCTCGCCTGAGCCAAAGTACCATGTTCTGGCCCCCGCAGGTCTTCGATATGATGGACAGGGACAAGGGCGGAGCCCTAACTATTGAAGAGGTACCCTACATGGGGGAGGCTACAGCGGGGCTTTCACGTTGACCGCCAACTGTTTTTGGCACGGGGAAGCGGTTGGAGCCGGTGCATGCACCCATGCCGTCCCCCAACCCTCCGAAACCCTCCCAACCCCCACACCATCCCTCTTGACGTCCCCACCACCCCATTCCTCCTCATACAGGTGAAGGGCCTTATGGAGCTGCTGGGCATGAAAGTACGGCAGGAGGAGCTGGAGAGCATGGTAGCAGAGATCGACCGTACCGGGGACGGCCAGATTAATTTCCAGGAGTTCCTCCAGGTGTGGACGGCAAGGCCTGCCTAGCGGTGTAGCAGCAGGGCGTACCTCACACATTACCGGTTAACCGTCACGGCGTAAGGAAGCATGGCCAAGCGACCGCAGGGATGCCTTGGCGCCGGTGACGGCGATGACGTCATTCCAGACGCAGCCCTCCGAATAGCACCCCACCTGATACCGTACTATTTGGTGATATCCATAGGGATGGCCACTCTACCTGGAACACCCTGTGTTCCAAGCAGCGTGTAGGCCTGACTAGTGACTACCGATACTACGTGCCGCCTAAAGGACATCCCCCAGCCGTCAGCACTTCGCGGGCTTCCATGTTATTTACCTCCCAAACTCTGCTCCCTTACATCCTGTCGCGTGTCGCCCGCATCGCTTGACTGCCTGCCTGCCACGTCAGGTGATGGCCAAGCCGCAGGACCTGCCGTACAAGAAGGCCGACGTGCTGCGAGCCTTCCGCCTGTTCGCGGACAAGGACGCGCCTCCGGGCTGCATATCACCTGAGGCGCTGGAACGGGCACTGGTAGGCGGTGGTGCTGGGGCGGTTAGTGGGGTTTGTGTTTGGTGCGGGATGTAACGGAGAAACCCATGGAGGCTCGCGGAGCTGTCATCAGGGGTCTGTTGAATGCGTAGGAAGGACAAGTCGGTGTGGGTAGCCGATCTTGCCTATGTTGTCACTACAGCATGACCTCTAATCGCATGGTCCCCGGTGCTGCTCCTGTTGCTGCACCTGTTGCTGGTGCTGTTCTCCGCAGGAGCAGTACTGCAGCGGCAAGGTACCGGAGGAGGAGATCTTGCGACTGGTGAGGGGGAGGAAAAAGAGATTCCAATGGGGGAGGAGGGGATGCGGGGCGACAGACGTTTGGCAGCGGGGTTCAGCTCTGGAGTGGAAGGCGTGCGTGTGTTCTGCTGGTGGGGCGCTCTCGATCTGCCGTTCTTGGCCTCGGCTCACATGTTGGCAGCGGCTAACAGCTGGGTTTGCATCGTATGCAGGTAAACACGCTGGACCTGAACCAGGAGGGCTACATTGATTACGCACGGAAAGTGAACCTCTTTTTAAACAAATGAGGGTCAAGGATTAACCAAACCAAAGGGAGGGGAGAGCGGGTAGTATGTGTGCCCGGGCACATACTGGTTACGGGCGCCCTGCTGGTACCATTATGTAAGGCATGGCGCTGTGAGGCTGTCCGTGCTGCAATTGGGGCCTTGCTGTAACGGCTGGTCCGTGTGGACGATAACTGGGGATGCCTTGGGCGTGATGGATCCCACAAAGCGGTCGCAAGCTCGCGTAATTAATAGTCAACCCGAAGGCAGCTCCCATCATATGCGTGCTTGGTGTGTATGCATGAAAGCCACGAACTAAAGGAATTGCATGGACGGGTGCCGTACGCTCCGGACCCAGGGGTAGCGGTTGTAACTGTATATCGTCTAGACGCGATAGATGGCTTGTGCGTATGCAATGTAACTGTAGTGCTGAGCAGTTGGTCGCTTTTTGGCCTGTGTTGGGCACTTTGAGATGGGCTGGAGTGCTACGTTTGTTTCCGACATCGCGGCCACAGCTGGTGCTGGCGAAAAAGCAATAGCTGGTGCCAAAATCAAGTGCAGCTGTGGGTTTGAGCGACTGCTGGAGGAGGGCACCGTGCCCAACCCAAGTTCGCGAAGATGCTTAGGCTGCTGCCCGCCAGCTTGTTGCGAAGCAGCTGGAATGGACAATGCAGACCCGTGGGTCAGACCACTGCAACCTGCGACACCTTATGCTTCCTGCCATCAACCGCACCAACAGCATTAGCTGTCACATGGGAGGCACTAGCGGAATCCTGGAGGTTGGGACGATCGACAATACAAGTACATGTAGCCCCTCCGTTTCGCATTTCACCTTTTTTCTTACACGGGCATCTTGTGTAGTCTGGACTGCATGTGCATATGTCCTTATCTGTCCTTAGCATCACGGTAGCATTCATCAGCAGGACAAAGCAGTGCATGCCCGGCCGTTGGCCCCACTCCGCGTCCCTAGTCCCGGCTTGCCTTGCATTCCGGCTTTTGCCCTCCTCCTAGTGCTGCTAAAATGCTACCTATACAAGACCCCTCAGCCCCAAAGCCTGCAGCCACCATAACCGCAAAAGAAGCATCATGCGGGTTGTCTGCCATTCACAGCTCGTAAACCTGCAGTCCGAGTAACCAGTAACAGGGTAACAGAAGGACCAACAACCATGACCAACAGGACACCTACTAACCCAGGCCGCGGCCCGTTAGCCGACCACTGGCACCCAGGCAACCGTTCCTCACACGCAAATGCACGCGTACGTAGAGTGCAAATAAGACAAGCGTGGCATGCAAAATGACCACACGCGCGTCAACTCCACGTCCCAAGGCGGTCCCACAACACCACCGGAACATGTCGAGCAACGTCTGCGCTCCCCCTTGGTTCTTGTCCATGCTGGCCCATGCGTAATCAATGGGGCATTTCCTCGGGCTCCCCCTTCTGTTACGAAAACTGGCCGCGAGTCGGAACGTACTTGCTCCCTTCTCGTGTATGTGCCTACTTGAGGACCCACATTCCCTTTCCCCAGATGATGTAGCATCCCTGTCCCAGACCTCTTTGAATATGCAAGGTTTGATAAATGCACCTAGCATCCTCACGCGCCAAGTCTGTGCTATGTACGCCATACCAGTCGGGGTTGCCACCATGGGTGCAGCACAAGGTAGCTAAAACGGCAGTGACGTCGCCCTGTTCAGTCCACATCAAAAACGCTATCAGTTTTAGGCACCAGTATTTCGGTGGAACACTAGCAAAACCGTTCGTGACAGTTCATCTTCCCTAATCCTCTTCCACGCTAACCTGCCTGGCAGACAACCTTGGCCACGACCGCGATACGTCCCTCTCCCTAGCACCTCTCCCCATTAATAATTCCATCCCCAAAGCACCGCACACCCCTTCGAGGGACGATTACACTAGCAGGAATCACCAGGATACCCCATACAAACACCCAAGGGTTCATATGTCGCTTCCAAAGACCTGACCCAACACGCCCTGACCGGGCCGTAGTCCTCTCAGTCACCAGAAACCACCCTACTCGTCCTCGTGCATCAAACCAAGCTCCGCCCCACCGGTCTGCTCCGCCCCATCCGCCTGCAACAGCAGCTGCTGCTCCTGCGCCGCATGCTCCGCCTCCGCCTCCAAACGCACGTTGGGCTGCTCCGGGGTCTGCCCGGGGTGGCAGTACAGCGTTATGCCCTTGAGCTTGTTGTTGACGTAGGCGCGCTCCACCTCCCACACCGCATGCTCCGGAACCGCGGACGCCAGCTGCGCGAGGTCCGTGTTGCGCGGCAGGAAGGCGGCTACCACGCCATCCTGTTGTAGGCCGGGACGATTGTGGTCGGGAGGTCGTGCACAGGATGCAAAGCATGGAAGGCAAACGACAGGAGCAGACCAACAGATGTCGATTGTTGATGCAGACATGTACAGATACACAGTGGGATAAGCTACACCTGACGTGGTCTAATATTACAAAAGTGGCATTCGCAGAACTTGTTGGGCAACAGCAATAGCGGCAGGCGACGAAATCAACTGAATTGCCCCAGAACGCGCCGCAAAGCGCAACCCCCCAGCTCCCCCCGTGGGAGCCAGCCGCACCGCACCCCACCCCACCTGTCCGCGCACGCAGTCCAGGGTGGTGTCCAGCAGTCGGAACAACGACTGGTTGAAGCCCACCAGCGGGAAGAAGACGTCAAAAGTGTTCACGTGCTGGTACTTGGGGCCGCCCCAGGGGGGCGACATGAACAGCACGTCAACCTACGGGGGAGCCGTGAGTGAGGAAATCATGTACGGCTGGTAGTTGTGCGCTGGGTAATGTGACAGAAGCACCGATCGGCAGACCACATGGTTAAGAGGGCCGTGAGGAGGGAGACACAGCGGGATGGCGTGAATGAAGCGGAAGTATCAGGAATCCAGGGCCCCTAAGCCTGGTGAAAGGCAAGCAGGAACGGCGTTGAGGAAAGGACGATGCCGGTAGCTCCCTGTCCAGTCTCGGCTTCAACCGTACCTTAAGTTCGGGTGCCACTTGGAAGAAGTCGGCGCACAGGAACTGGCACTTGTGGGACACCTCGTACACCCCTGCAGGCATCAACCATACCACGAGTGAGCTTGGTCTCGCATCAGTGCGCAAAAAAAGGGAGGAGGAGGAGGAGGAGAAGGAAAAGCGCAGGCCGAGCCTGAAACCTCCGCTAGCCACACGGATCGTGCCCCCGGGGCAAGTTGACAACCCAGGAAGGCGTAAACACCGCCACGGAATCCGCATGCATGCAGGCTGCCGGTACATCGTACAAGCGCGGCCTGGCACAGCAGCAACCTGCATCCTGATCTGAAGCCCAACAACAACGGTAACAGCAGCTTAAAAGCATACACGCCCGCACCCGCATTGTGCCGCGCCATCTCCACCCTGCGCTCCGAGATCTCCACCCCCATCACCACAGGGAAGACGCGCGCCATCTGGATGACGTTGCCTCCACACCCGCAGCACGCGTCCAGCGCCACCAGCCCCCGCGTGCTCAGACCGCGAGACCGCACCGCCTGGTGCGCTGCGAGCACCTGGGTGGGCGGGTGGTTGTGGTGGGGATAACACGTGGGAGATATCAGGTATGATACAAGAAGGGTCCATGACATCGTAAGGGGACGCGCGCAATCCCGGGCCTTCCCCTACGAATTCCTGCATCACCCTCTTATAACCCCAGACCCAAAAACCTAGAAACACCTCTACGACAATCAGCGTCTGTGGTATGTCGTACCTCCGGTGTGACGGACCACCAGCCCTCCGTGTCCAGCTGTACGACGCTGTCGAAGCGGCTGAAGAGGCTGTAGCGCTGCATCCAGTACTTGGCGGCGCTCCGGGGCAGCAGCGTGCGCACGTAGGCCGCGGTGTTGGGGTCCAGCGTGACGCGACGGGTACTGCAAAAGGAGAGGAAAAGGGAAAGGAACGACGCATGTTGGGGGCATTGCGGCATGTGTGGAAGACTGCACGAAGGGCGTTTTGGGGTAGCGTTTTGAGACGAACTATCATGCAACACTAGTGCCGCCATATGAATGTTCGGTCACGGGGCGGTGGTGGACTTCATGCAACGCGCTACAAGGGGTAGCTGACATCGAGGAAGTGCAGCTAGAGTATACGCATGTAAGAGGCTGCGGCTTTCGGCCCAAACGCACCCGTCGTCTTCTCCAACTGCAGGCTTAAGGCCGGGCATCGGCGCCTGTGCCAGCTGCTGCCCCCTCGCAGCCCGGCTGCCCCCCGCAAAGGTATCGTAGAATGATGCATCGTCATCCTCCGCATTACCGTCAGCAGGCTGAGCAGCTCCCTGCGCAGCCTTGCCACGGTCCGCGCGTGATGCGCTGTTCCTCCGCTGCCGCTGCCGGCTACTCCCCTGCGCCTTCCCTCCCCTGCCCCGCAACTCGGCGCCTGGGAGAGCCCCCTCGTCCACGTCCGGGTCATGTCGGATTGCGTCCTCCACAGACGCCACTGCCTGGGCGCTGTCAACACCCAACTCCGCTGCCGCCTCGCAAGCAGATGCCGCAACCGCCATGCTCTCAAACTGCCGTTCGAGCTCCTCCAAAGTCCAGGTCACGGATTTGCGGCCGGCATCCGCGGCACCTGCTTTGCACGCAGCGCTGCCGTTACTGCTGGACGCCGACGCCTCGGTCGCTGCCGGCCCCCCATTAGCCTGCCGTACTGGAAGCTCTGCCCGTTCAGGATCAGCAGCGACGGGCCCGGATGCCGGAAGCGGTTCCACCTGCTGGGAGTTGCCCTGCTGGCCTGGCAGGTACCCATGGGGATGCTGCTCATGGGAATACTGGGGATACGGCGGCTGCGCTGGGCCGTCAAATGGGCCCTGATATGGGTACGGCTGCGGTGGGTGCATGGGCGCACCAGCAAAGGGCAGCATCGGCGGCGGTGGTGCGCCGCCGGGGGGCATCGGGCATGGCCCGTAAACATAGGGTGGAGGCGGCGGCCCATAAGGCGGGTACGGGTGATGATGATGAGGGTCATGGGGATAGGGAGGCGACATGCCGTACGGCATAGGCAGTCCTACGGGTGGCCCCATTCCAAAGCCAGGAGGCGGCGGTGGCATGGGCATGGGTGGGCGCCCCATAGGGGATGGCGGCAGGCCGTAGGCGCCTCCTGGAGCTGGCGGCGCGCCATGAGGCCACATGTGAGGCGGATGGGGCGGCAGGAGGGAGGGCTCAAACCCAGGCGGCGGCCGGGAGGCTGCGGCGGGGTGAGTGGGGCTACCTGCGGGATGACCGGAGCCTGGGAAGGGGGGGTAACCGTGCTGCGGCCCATGCGGCAGGCTGTGGGGAGGGTGCGGGTAGCCAGGGAAGCCGGGCGGCGGACCAGGGCGCGGCGTTGCGGGATCGCTCATGGGCGTGCCCGGCGGCTGGTGGTACGGCCCGGCGACGTGGTGCGGGTGCGGCCCTGGCGGTGTCAGTGGCATGGGAGGGGCTGCAGACAGCAGCTGCTCTGGCGGCGGTGGTGGGCGCGGGTAGGGGTGCAGCGGCAACTCAGCAGCGTGGTGCCCTTGAGGGTGCTGGTGCGGATGACTGGCGTTTGGCTGGGGTTCCAGTGGGCTGCTTGGCGGCACGCCCTGCAGCTGCTGGGCGCTGCTGCCCGGCTGGGCACTGCCGACAGCCGTCTGAGGCTGCGCTTGCGCCGCCTGCGCCTTGGGGCCGGCAAAACCGGGTGGAGGAGCCGGCGCAGCCGCCGCAGGTCGCGATGCTGGAGGCGTGCTGCTGGAACTAGAGGAGTTGCAGGGCGCGGAGGCGGCTGCATGGGAATGCGGATGCAGCGATCCATCCTTTGCTGCTTGCGGCTGCTGCTGCGGCTCCGAGGGACCAGGGAGAAGACCCATGCTGCGCAGGATGTCGTCCTCTGTGAGCATGCGGGCTGGGGCCGGCTTGCTGGGAGCTGGCGCCGGCACCGGCAGCGGCGGTGGGGGACTTGGTGCCGGCAGCAAGGGGGCAGGAGGAGGAGGCGGCATGGACTGCTCCAGAGAGGGAACGGCAGCTCCCAGCATGGCCAACAGCTGGTCCTCAGACAAGGCGGTTGCGGGAAGGGAACGCTGCTGCGGCTGCAGCTGCGGCGATACCGGCTGCTGTGAAGCTGGATTGCGCAGGAGGTCCCGCAGGAAAGCCCCCTTGGCGCCATCTGGCTCACTGACGCCTGCCTCAGCACCTTGCCTGCCCGACTTCTCCACTCCTTCCTCCACAACCTGGATCGTAGGATTTCCGCTACTTACGTCGACCATGACTGCGGCGGCGGCGCAGGACGCGCTTGAGCGGCTTGCCTGGTCCTTCTCGGCACCTCCGGTGGCATCTTGCCAGAGCCCCATGGAGCGCAGCAAATCCTCCTCTGTCAGCATGCGGGGAGGCTGGCGAGCGGATAGCGGCGCTGCTGCCCGAGCGGTGGCAGCAGCGCTGGTGCTTTGGGGCTCGGTGGCAGCTCCGGATGACTCTGCCGCGCTTCCCGTCCACTCCGCTCCATGTGACTCTCCTACTGCTACTGCTTCGCACGCACCCGCATCCTGGGCGCTGCAGCTCGTGCCTGTCTCCACCTCCATGACCGCATCTGTAGACGCGTCCCAAGGCACGTACCCCTCGGCAGGAGCCTCCCAAACCGACTCCTACGCTCGGCGACAAGGTACCGGTGGGATTGTAAGGTTCGTACACCATTGGGGCACAAGTCTTTGCATGCGCAACCCAGGACGTAGCTATTTAAACAGAAGGGGCATCCAGTGTCGTACCTGTGTGAGGGTGTTGTAGTAGTAGTGACACCCATATTGCTCGTCGTAGCACTGCACCCACGGCGTATCACCACCACTGGGGACACCGTCGGCAACACCAGCACTCCCGTTGACCGCGCCACCACCAACGACCTTTTGGTTCCGGGATTGACGATTCCCTGGGTAGCAGGAGGCAAAGTCGGGTGACGTCAAGAGGCACGCCGTGCTATGCTGGGCCAAGGAGTGCAAACACCACACACACTCTCCCAATTGCTTGCTCTTGTCCTACTCAACTACACACATATCAATCCTTAGTTTGAAGGTGCAAGCTGCCGGTGTCCAAACATGCCGTGACCTCCGTAGTAATGCAGGTAGAGACATTAAAGCATATCCGTGCTGCTTTCGAGGCAAACCCGCTAAACTAACCCTTCTGGGCGAAGCGTGTCGAGTTGAAGGTTGAGGCCGCTGGTCGCCTTCCGTCGCGGTAGGCGTTTCCTCCCTTCAAGCCGAATTTGTACACAAACATAAGGGGCAAGCGTCAGATGCAGAGTTGTATGCATATGAGGCCATTAGAAAAGAGCGTGTAAGGTGGATCTCTGGCGCGCCTAGGCCTCACCTTCTTTCCAAACGAGGTAGGAAGCCCCAGGTTAGTGAGCTCTGATGCAAGCTGTAAGGCTTCAGTATCGCTCGCGGGCTCAGACGGCGCAGGGATTGGCTCTTTAGCTCTGTGATAATAAAATTCGTAGCTGTCAATCACGAGTGCCTCGATCAGATCAAGGACAGGATAATACCAAGTCCTCATAAAACGTCAAATTCCTTGACGTTTCCGGACTTACCCGACAAGCCCGACATCGTGTAAACGGACCGAAGTAATGACCAATCGCCCGAACCTATAGACCGTAGTGTCTGAAAGTCGTAGATCCAGCACTGTGTTCAATTGGATTTCTTCCGCCCCCTCCCATTTCTCAACCAACTTCTGGCGTGCCATCCCCAGTGTGGGCCCAATGATGAAAAGGTCAAAGAGTCATGTTGCGTTATGAGTTGTGGACAGTCACTTCTTGCGTTGGGCGTCATCCTACAGGTCCAGACATGTACGTCGATCCGTGGATTCAGTACTGGGTGGTGTTGTGCTATCCCCAAAGGCATGGAACTGCATAACGTTCATAGCTAGCTATTCTCACTGATCTAGCCTTAGCACTACAGTGCTTCTTCACACTAAGCATTATTATCTGTACCGGTACTTCCTGTGTCGCTCTCTTATATTGCGCTGCCTAAAGCCCCTACTTCAGCTGTAATCTATCGTTCTGAAGGGCTTTGTAGGGATTCCAAGGGAAGTCATACACGCTGCAACGGAGGTGCAAGGATGCGGAAGCGAACCGTAGCCCTGTTTGGGATGCTAATCATGATTGTGATAGGGGCGGTGACATATTTCCAGTTTCATCAACACCATCTTCTCTCAGTTGCTGGAGGTGAGTGCCAAAATGCGGGGCAAGCACGTGGCTATCGTACTAGACCATAGGAAGCGTAGGGGCGGGGATCTGGGTATTGTTTCTCTGGTCTTTCCCCATACGTGGTGTGTACATGTGAGCTAGTTTGATGTCTAGGCAGCTTCTAATGTCCCTCAAGGGGCGGTTATTTGCCACACTGTCGTAACGCAGTTCATCGTTTGGTGCTTTCACGTTCCGAAGTTCTCCCCGTTCCGCTAGAGCCTTTCTAGGGCAATCCTTTGGGTTTTGTTGGCTTCTTTCGCACCTGCCCCTTGGACGGGTTTTGGCTGCCATGAAAGGTGGCTTGGTGGTTTGGTCACCCCCATCGTGTACTGCTCAAAGGGGGGATACCTGCTCACATTGTCAAATCATACCCGGGAAGGCCACGTCAAGTCTCCTTTCGAGTTTTCGACATCCTGAAAGGCATTGCACGCTGCACATGTGCCCTGCAGGGTCTATGAGCATGGAAACCAAGAAACACTTCTGGTCGCTCGGGATTGACTGCCAGGAGATCTACGAGATGCAGGGATACGAGTCTGCTGAATCTATCTTTAAGATGTTTGGGCTCACGCAGCACCAGGTAGGTAGCAGGACCCTGTAGTGCCTTGGGAGCGGGACACCCGGGCATAGCAGCTAAGCAGGCACAACCCATTGAGGAAACCCTCTCATGGCCGTCCTGCCAGGGTTGGCCTATCATCATTACGGCCACAGTTAAATGCTCACTCCCTCATCCCGCTACCTTGCTGCCGCAGTTTTACCAGCTGAACCCTGGGATTGGAATGACAGCCAAGCAGGGCGACATCCTTTGCGTCAAAGGGTTGTACGACGTGTCAACGCACGCCATGAATGCATTCTGGCCGTTGGCTATAGGGGGTGTGCTAGCTGTGTCGGGTTTAGGCGCTGCGCTGTATGCGAAGTTGAAGTCGACAAGGTAAATCCTTACGACCCTGCTTTGCAAGCGGCTAGGTCATGGTGTATTGGAGTTACTTGGCGCTGTTGGGGCTTAGCAGCGGCCCACTACAGTCTGCGCCTAACTTACTATTCTGGTTAAAGCCACTGCACGTATATTCACAGTTGCAGGGATATGTGTAACTTGGATGCTGTTGCACGGTGATGCTTCACAGGTATGGATGCATAAGACATCAACGCTGTGATGACCCGGGGGTCCTTCCGGAAATAGGTACAACGCCGGATTTTACTTGCTTGTTTTTTATAAACCGTTTGTAGAGTATGACATTCAGCGGCAATCTTAGTAATGTGCGCCTTTATTATATTAGCGCTAACTTATATACAGCTCACACACGCGCTGTTAGCAGTCATGGGTAAGGGTGCTTGTAAACAAGTTTGAATACACCCTACGTTTGTATGACAGGGTCGTAGGGACTAGGCTGGCCAGGTATTGCATCGAGCCACCTCTGCACGGCAGTTTGACTTTGACCGGTGCGCTAACTCTGCGGCTTTTGCAACCAATTATACCTGCTGCATCTAACAATAGCATGTATAGCTGGTAGCTGCACGCGAACATAAAACGCTGAGTTTGAAGCAAGCTGACACAAAGTGGACCCGCAAGCTTCTGTAACTTCCCTCTGCCATTATTTTCGCAACATTCTTTTTGAGAGACAACAGAACTGTAAATACATTGTTCGCTCAAGTTAGGTGAGGACCTAGCAGCTATAATGGACGTCCACGAATCCGAACTTCAAGGGCTGTACACCTGGGTGGATGAAATCCCACTTTCGCGGCCAAAGCGGAACATTGCACGCGACTTTAGCGATGGTGGTAAGCAAGCGACGCGGTCCGCTTCGAGCGTGCCTTGTCCTTCTTCACTTGGTTCCATGCCTGCAGTCCTTATGGCTGAAGTGGTCCACCATTTCTTCCCAAAACTCGTGGAGCTGCACAATTACAGGTTGGGTGTTGCGCTTTGTTTCATAGTGAGCTTCAAAGGCTTTCGGTTGACAAACTGCTTGGCTCCGCAGCTCGGCGAATGGGCTGCAGCAAAAAATGTACAACTGGAACACCCTCAATGCAAAGGTCTTCAAGCGGTTAGGCTTCGTGGTCACTAAGCAGGACTGCGAGGCTTGCTGCAACTGCAAGCCAGGAGCGGTTGAGCGTGTATTAAAGCTGGTGAAAGTCAAGATAACCAAGTACAAGGAGGAGAACGGGTGGGTGGGCAATTACAGCTATATTTGCTTCCGTAATGTGATAGAAGGTTGTGCACGGGTTCCGGCCAGGGTGCCTATGACTAGTCTGTCTGCGTATTGCGTATGAGCATCGCTGAAGGGGAGCCCTATGTTGAATTGGGCTATGCACGTGAAACACGCATTAGAGAGAGTTCTTCTGCTACTTGCCTGAGGATGGGCATGTTCGTACCGAACCGGATATCAAACCCCTACCATGCAACTGAAGTAAACTGCCCTACTTGTTTATGTGCTGCAGGGACGCCAGCCCTGGACCGCTACCGCCAGCGATGCAGGTATGCTGTGTCCCCTGCCGGCGACCGGGGCCATCGTGGTCTTTAGTCCTTCAGCATCAGGTTGGGGCATGCGCATGGGACGTGGGCTGTGAACAGGCGGCCAGTGCCACACAAAAAACGTAGGGCGCAATATGCTGGCATACCGGGTGCCGCCCAACCACTCTAGAGATCGCGGGGGAGGGGGTTAAACGTAGAACAACTCCGCATGTGCGTTTGCTTCGCTCATGGCGCCTTGTAGGCGCAGGAGCCGGTACAGATGTTCCAGCCCCAGCAGCAGCATACAATGGTGGGTGGCAATCCGGCAGGGCAAGTAAGTGTTGTTGTCCCAGGGCGCCATTGGGACGCCACGCGTCAGCAAGGCGCAGTAATGAGTTCCGTTTGCCATGTAGCGGCAAACGCTGCACAATGGCACCACCTAGTCACTGGCGCATCCCTTGTTGGAAAAGGGTTCTGTATGGCTACCCTCACGGGTGTGGGGTGCCACCCGTGCGTCACTTAGGGTTCCATGCCGCTGGATACTTTCTCGTCCAGGCAAGCATGCTGCTCGCAAGCGGTGTGTTGACGAAGGGTGCGGGTCTGTGCTTCGCCGCAGGTACCGGCCAGCGTCAACGCGCCCATGCCCATGGGCGTGGTCGCCCCAATGGCGAAGATGAACGCTGTTATTCCACCCGAGATCCTTGCAGAAAAGGACACGGTCATTGCGGAGCTACGAGAAACTAACCAGGTTAGGACATCTCACCTTCCGGTGCAGTGTACCAGCATGGTGCATGGATACTTGCGCGGATTGCAATGGGTGTTGCCGAGTTGGGTCGAGCAATGCCAGCACAAGCATGCTTTCTGTCGGGCTGCGCACTGGGTTTATCCTAACTGCACTCGCTTGTTTGATGTGCATAACCGTAGCACTAGTTGCATCTTGCATCGTTGCGTGGTCCTTCAGCCGCGCCGGCATGGGCCTTAGATGCTAGCCTTGGCATGCGGCGGTGGGTCCCCAGTGGCGCAGGTGGGTGCGAAGCAAGTTAGGGCCGATCCTCCAACCCTGTGCACGATCATTACTACGAACGTTACCAAGTCATGCTCGGGTTGCATCTGCCTCACAGATCCTGGAGACGAAGGTCCGCAAGCTGGAGCAGCTGGTGCGGCTGAAGGACGCCAAGATACAGACGCTCATGGCCAAGCTGCAAGCGGCAGGGCTGGCGTGAGCAGCGCGGACCCGGACCACAGGAAGGATGATTACGGGCTCACTACAGGCTTTCAGTATGCCGTGTACCGAAACACCCAACGTGGAGGGCGTGTAGTGGGCCTTGGCGTGCAGGCGGGTGTGCACCTCCCCACACCGGGTATACATACGACATGCATTATACGGGTTTTAGCGAAAACGGCTGCACGACGTATTGGTGTGGGGCGAGCCGTGTTCATTATATTCCATGGCAGTGCTTCGGAGGAACGTAATCTATAGAGCGTCGTGCTTTGGTGTACATATGTGGACCCCCTGACAGCCCACCGGCGCGAAAGCGTTTGATGGTTTAATGACCTGCATTATATGGTACCGCTGTGACCCACACGGTATAGGAGGGGGTTGCCTTCAGGTCGGCGAAAACAGTGGGTGATTTGGATGGAATATTATACAGGGATATCCTAAGGAAGAGAAGGTGGCATTCCAGGCAAGGCTGTGTTATTGGTGCTGTTTGATGACTGTGAAAGGACTATGCCGGGGAAACATCCCTTCTTCCGTTGTGCCGCCTGCCTGACCCACGGTTCATAAAGACATATTCAAAGGATTTCCCCTCAGCTTTATAACATGTAGCTTATAGTTTAACGTAATGTTGTAGCATTTATGCGCTACCGGCTACAGGTGATTCCTGTATTGGTGCCTTCAAGGAGAGGGAGGGGAGCGCTGTTAGGGTGGTGCTAGTCTACTGATTTGCAGTTGACTGATTAGTTACCGTAGGCGCAGCCACGGTATCTTTGCATAAATGCAGAGTATCACAGCAGGGGCGCCCAAAGGTCTACAGCAAGACACTTAGGTTTCCTTCCTTAAGTCTCCCTAAACTGTTGTAGTAAGAGTTCGTGTAGTCCTTTAACATTAGTTTCGACACTGTCGTTGGCCACCTTATTTTGTCTAAATTGCAGAAGAACGCGAGAAAGCCCACAAACGTACAGGTCCCGCTGACATTTCATGCTTTCGGGTGCTAATCTTAAGCTATCTACACATAAAGCAATCAGGGACAAGAAACAGCATCAAGGGGGGATTTGTTTTCGCCTGTCCGCTTTCCCTGGAGCTTGGACGAGCATGGGCAACCACTTGGGCAACCTTGCCACCTGACTTGGTCTCTTTTTCCTCTGGGCCTCTTCCTCCGAGAGCTCGTCAAAATGGCGACCCCTGCTGAAGTGAAGCTGTTCGGGAAATGGTCTTTTGAGGACATTGAGGTGGGGCGGCTGCAATGTACTTAGGGAGGAGGCAGTGCCTCGGGACAAACAGCTTAGTTTAGGTATGATGATAACTGCAGGTCCAGGACATTTCCCTGGAGGATTACATTGCTGTGAAGACCAAGTATGCGGTCTACGTCCCGCACACCGCTGGTCGCTACCAGAAGAAGCGCTTCCGGAAGGCGCTGTGCCCGATTGTTGAGAGGTGCGCACCATAGCGGCATCGTTATAGCATTTTCCTTCATTTTTGGAGAAAGGGCGCCGCCGTCACGTCGGCGCGCATGTGTTGCCGGACAATCCAGAGCAGACGCAGAGGAGTTCTAACAGCACAGTATCTGGAGCAGCTTTTGCTGAGCTGGCGTCTTGGCGATTGTATTGGCGTTGGCTAGCTCAGCTTAACTGCAGCAGTGCAGTGTTCGTGGGACTTCAGCACAAACAATCTGCCCTTTTGGGCAGATATGTCGCTGTCTAGCTGTGAAATAACGAGCTTGCAGCAGAGGCTTGCTTTTCCCGGCTCAGCGAGCGGATCTGCATGCTTGCTGGGACAATCACCGCAGTTTCAGCTCAGAGGGTGCAACATGGGTTGAAGAAAGGAGTTGCACAATTGACGATTACTTCTTCATACACCACTGCGTGCTGGTGCTTGCAGGCTGGCCAACTCCCTGATGATGCACGGCCGCAACAACGGCAAGAAGCTGATGGCGGTGGGTACTTATGCCTCCAGCACAGCCTATGCTTGAGCTCGGAAGTCAATTAACTTAATGGGTAGATGGGGGCACCTGGCAGGTTTTAGGGGGAGCCCAGACGAGACGGTGTGTCTGTCGTAGAGATACCACATCCCTGGGATCCAAACAATGCGCGTACTAATTTTGCATATTGGTTCCGCAGGTGCGCATCGTCAAGCACGCCTTCGACATCATCAACCTGCTGACGGACCAGAACCCGATTCAGGTGCTGGTGGACGCCATCATCAACAGGTGCGCTTCCTAAATCGTCTAGCTAAAAACTTTCCTCCTTTCCCCCGATGCACGACATGCCATTGAGCATTGTTTGTACGGCCCAAGCGCATGGGTAGTGCCTCCATTCCGCACCTTCGGTGGCCTCCGGCCAACCGCCTGCAGAGGCGTTGCGCAGCGGAGACCCTTGCAGCGTGCAGCAGCTGTGCGACGCGTTCTGGCGTCGCTGCCACGGTTATGGGCAGCCGGAGCGGATGCAGCACTGGACGGAGCACTCGGAGCGACTGTGCTTGACCAGGCTGGGGAGCTCTGGGCAGCAGCAGTATGAGTCAACTATCCAGCGCATCATCAGCAGGCCCAGCGCTACTGTGGTTGTTTGCAGGCGGCAGTTCGGCGGCAGATAGTGGCGCGCGAGCGGGTTTCCCTGCTGTGGGCAGTGCGGCAGCGTACCAGGAGACTACGGGTTGTGGCATCTAAGCCTATCGGCGTGGCCATGCACCCAAATCGGGCATATTTTATCGAAAAAACCATCCTAACGAGCTTACCCATTTCCCTTCCCACAGCGGGCCGCGTGAGGATGCCACGCGTATTGGCTCTGCGGGTGTGGTCCGCCGCCAGGCTGTGGATATCTCGCCCCTGCGCCGCGTGAACCAGGTGGGCAGCGCAGCATCGTTTCTAGGGTCTGCGGTCGGGGCTGTGCAGTCTCGGGACTTGCACTTTCGCCCATGCAAGCGTGGTTGGTGGTGAATACCTAAGGGTTTGTAGGTAATTTGTGAGCATGTGTGGCGTTATTGCGTATGTGATGTGGCACGCACTGGATGCATGTTTGGGAACAGCTGTGTGCCCTGTGCCCCGTAGTACGAAGCTGAAATGGAGATTAGGGCATGGAGCGTACTGAGCGACATGCCTCACCTAAATTTCTTTTTCGGTTGCATCTGGATTCCAATTTCCATAGGCTATCTACCTGCTCACGACCGGCGCCCGCGAGGCTGCCTTCCGCAACATCAAGACGATTGCGGAGTGCCTGGCTGACGAGCTGGTGAACGCCGCCAAGGGCTCGTCCAACAGGTGGGTTATATTTGTCAGCAACGCTGTGAACGCCCGGGGCTCAACAGTATACCACGCCTGACAACGTATTTATACGAGCTACTCATCACTGTCATGTTTGTGTGATAACATTTGCTTTGAACGTTACTGACTTCCGTAACCTATTTCTGCGCCCTCCACAGCTACGCCATCAAGAAGAAGGACGAGATTGAGCGCGTGGCCAAGGCCAACCGCTAAAGCAGTCGCAGCAGGAGGGAGCAGGAGCATGTGTGTGGCTCGGGCTGCTGCTCAGCGTCGCCGGGGGCACGCTGTTGTAACCCAAAGACACACTTGTCCGCTCCGGTTTCTCCTTAACTTACGCGCTGAATGCATGTAATTGCATATGCATGCATTCAATGCACGACAACGGTAGCACCTCTCATGGTTCCTACCACAGCACCCCCCATCAACGAGACTCCCTCCAGTCGCGTGGAGTAGCATGCTACTTGAGGCGTGCGTGATGCTACGCAAAACGTAACCCATACTCCTGAGGTGTCGAGGAATTATGCATTAGGTGTTTCAAACTCCCTTGGAACATCTTTCCTTCGTCATCTCGCTTTCAACAGCGCAGCATACAGCACACCTCTCTGCCAGTCCGGCATCCTGCTCAAACTTCACATGAGTGAACAGGAAGCCGTAAAGGATGCACACCGTGTTACGACGCCAACATCCCACGCGGCCATATGCTCTTGATAGGTCTTTAATAACACCTCCACATCGCTACTTCACCTGGCCCTGTCACATACACCCCAAAAGCTTGTTCGCAACACCCATACCTAAAGCCACGAAGAATGAAAAGTTAGTAGTCACGGACGTCACATGCTACGACGGATTTAAACCTTGATTGCGCACATCATGGCATACGCATTACACTTGCAACACACTGGCTCCTGCTACCTGACTGTCCTCCTCCCTGCCTCACCAAGCCACGCCGACCTACCGTACCGGGTACCTCCCATAGGTCACCGCACTACCCGCATTAAGACATCAACAGCAACACGCTAAATCCACCTCGCTTTACCACAGCAACAGAAGACCGCCGCGGACAAGCCCACGCCTCACACCTTATGCGCCTTGTTCAACATGCTGCTTTAGTGAACCGAGCCAAACCCCATTAGAGCTTTGTGTTGGCTTAGGGAACCGAGCCAAACCCCATTAGAGCTTTGTGTTGGCTTAGGGCTCCCAACACCCGCACGCCTCATTGCGGCAAGAAATCATCACGCGTGATAACAATGGGGTGAGAAGACAGCAAAATGCGCGCTGCCCGCCGCGCCGGCGGCGTCGATGGCCGCGGCGGTGCCAGCGGCGCAGGGCTGCCCGTTACCCGCTCATAGTACGATTGATGGACTGCTGCGAAGATATCATCCGTGTAAGAGGAGGCACTAGGGGCCAAGGCGCCTCCAAAGCTCGGTCCGCTGCCGGCCGGAGGAGCCAGGCTAGCGCTGCCGCCACTCATCGCACTACCGCCGCTGACCGCACTTCCACTGGCTCGGTCGCTGCCCTGCAACTCAGAAATAGGACTCAGCCGGCTGCCAGCCTGACGGGCGGGGGAAGCAGCGCCCTTGGGCCCAGCCCGAGAGGGGCTGCCGCCGTCCACTACAGCGGCAGCAATGGGCTGCGTGCCGTCGATGGAAGGCACGTGACTGTCCTGGCTGTCGGCCCTGGCCATGGGCCTGGAGGAGGAGGCGGCGGAGGCGGCTCCAGGGGAACCCGCTTCGGCACCCGGCAGCGCCTGGGTGCCGTCAAGCGTGGGCATGCGGCGGCTGCCCTCTGACGACCTGACCGTGGGCGCGCCGCCGTCCGCAGTCGGCCGGAAGGAGCTGGTGGACGGCGCCGGGCTCCACCACTCCATGCTGTCGGAATCATCCCAGTCCTCGCCTTCGCCTCGGCGCTGCTGCAGCTGCTGCTGTAGCTGCTGCGTCAGGTGCGGCGGCGGCTTGTGCGGCACCAGCAGCAGCGCCTCTGAAGCAGCTGCAGCAGCAGCTGCGTCCGCTGCCGCGGCTGCAGCAGCCTTGGACGCCGCGTTTTCCTTGCTGGCGGCGGCGGCGCCACCAGCCGCAGCGCTGCCAGCACCCCCAGCCGTACCCTCGATACTGCCTTGCTCACTGGTTGGGCCGTGGTGGGCCCAACTGGACAACGATTGTCGTTCAGCCTCCGGCACCGCCGCCGCCGCTGCCGTCGCGGGCTTCGACCCCCGTGACGTCAAGCTCTCATCATCCGTGTGCTCCGACAGAGCTGCAGCTGACGTCAGTCTGTGCGAGCCAACCCGCGTTCCGCCAACGTTGGGACGCGGCTGCTGCTGTGCAGCTGCGCCTGTGCGCGTGCCAGGGTTGGGCTGCAGGTCAACGGAGGAGAAGCCGCCAGCGCTGATGCTGTCGCGGCCGCCGCCGGCGGATTCATCCAAGGCAAAGGAAGCATCCATGGCGCTGCGCCCGTCCGTGCTGCTGCCGCCGTCCACCGTGCCGCCGTCCGTACGGCCGGGTGTGTCTGACAGAGATCCGCGTCCGCTGGGAATGTCCCCAACACTAACGCTGCCGACGCAGGAGCCCGGCTTGGAGGATGCTGCTGCTGCCGCTGACGAACCAGCAGCTGGCGCCGGGGCTTCTCCTTCGCTGTCACTCACGGCAGCGATCAACGCCGCCGCAATGGCATCATCGCCCGACTTGGCAGTTGTAAGGGGGGCGCTGCTGGCGCCGCGGCCATTCCCGCTGATGCTGCGGCCGCCGCTGGCGACCCCAGCCTCCGCGCTGGTCCCTACCCCACTTGCGCAGTGGCCTAGCCTGTTCGGTGAAGCCGCGAAACGCGACGTGCTTGAGCTTGGGTAGCCGTCGCTCATGCAACCACTGCTGCTGCCCAGCGGAGAGGGCGAGCGCGGCCTGGGCGGCCGGTAGCGAGCGCCGCCGGCGGCAACAAAGGAGTTGGAGCGGGAGACAGAGGAGCTGCCGCCAGGCGAGGTGCTGCTGCGGCGGGCGTCGTTGACGTTGGCTGCCGGGATGCCCCCCGTGGGGCTGGGAAGGCCGGGCAGGCTGCCGGTGGAGTTGGGGTAGGTGTGTCGCGACAGCATCAGCGCATCCATGGAGGTGCTGCCGGTCCGCGCGATGGACGAGGCCCCAGACAGCGCAACCCCCGCCACCGCCGCCGTCGCTGGCGACACAGCTGTGGGAACCTCACGTCGCGGTTGTTGCTGGTGTTGCTGCAGCTGTTGCTGCATTTGCTGGAGCTGTAGCAGCTGCTGCTGCAGTTGAAGGTTTGCGGCTTGCGACCCCAGCAGCGCCGGACCCGAGGCTTCGGATTCAGCCAGCGAACGCGGGGTTCCCGGACCGCTCCAGCTTCCCCCAGGCAGCAGGGTGCCCATCCTCTGGCTGACGGGCTGGTTGGCAGCTGCAACAGCAGCAACCGCGCCCATGGTCAACGCCCCCGCCGCGCCCTTTCCGACCGCTGCATTCGCGCTCGTAGCCGAGTCCGTGCGCGGAGTGACGGGCGCGCTCGAGCCCATTGCTTTTTGCAGCTGCTGCATCTGCTGCTGCAGTTGCTGCAGCTGAGATAGCTGCTGCTGTTGCTGCAGCAGCTGTAGGCTGGGAGCGGGCATGGCTGGCAGCTTTTGGGTGTACATGCCGGCACCGCCGGCCCCGATGCCGGCGCTGCCTCCCGGGAGCCCAGTGGCCTTCCCAGCTCCAGGCAGCATGGCTCCTGGTGCAGCAGCCGCTTCAGCCGCAGCCATGGATAGGGGCCGCCCCGGCTGGACACTAGACGGCACTGCTCGCAACCTGTCATCCAGCTTTCGCCGCAGGTCCGCAACCTGCGCTTGCAGCTCACCCACGTCTGAGGCCCCGATGCCAACATGGCTGCTGGCCTTGCTGCCGGGCGTGGGAGTGCTGCTTCTGTCGTAAAAAGGGTTGGGTCCAAGCTGGGCGTCTGAGGGAGTCACGCCAGCGCTTAGGATCCGCAGAGGCGGGGGACGGGGAACCGTGGCTGCTCCCGAGGCAGCAGGTTCAATCTCATTGCTGTGGGTTGAGGGGGACCGCGGATTGGCAACCGAAATTGGGCTGCCTGCCAGCGGCTGAGGCTGCCGTTGCTGTGTCTTTGAGTACGGCTGCAGCAGCAGCTGCTGCTGCTGCTGTCCTTGCTGAACCTGTTGCTGTTGTTGCCTTGCTAGCTGTAGCTGCTGCAGTTGAGCCTGCAGTTGATGTAGCTGCTGAAGCTGAGCAGGCTGCTGTGTCGGCGCCAGCACCTGCTGCAACGGGCCGCCGGCAGCCTGGGCGCTCTTCCCATCGCCTAGCATCATTCCCGTCCCAGCCGAGTACGCGTGTGCGGGTGTGGGGGGCATCGCCGGACCCGGAGGGGCGGTCCCTGTTCGGCTGCTGCCCGCCGACATGACGCTAGAGGCAGTGGAGCTGGAGCTGCTGTTCTGCCGGCGGGTGCGCCACGTGAGGATGGTGAGCGCTAGGTCCTCCTTTCGCAGGGGGTGTGAGGGCGTGGGACCCGGCTGGCGAGCGGAGATGCATATGCCAAAGGGCCGGGGCCGGGGAAGAGGAAGGGAAGAGTCAGTGGAGAAGGGCGAGGTACGAGAGGGTACGTCGTATGTGTGCTCGGTTGGCGCATCGCGTGTGTTAGCCCGTGCTGTGTGCTTGGGACACGTACTAGAGCCCGCATACGATGGGCCTGGTGGTCCAGCTGCCTGCCGAAGCGAGCATTCTGTAGCGGCCCAAGTACACAGAAATATCCTTACTAGCCCCAACTAGACTAAGGAATAACAGGCAGCAGCGGTAGCCACCCACCACAAAGTCATCTGCCTGCAGCGCCCGGGCGACTGGCTCACTGCCCTGCAGCACCACTGCCGTACACGCCCCGTTGCATGCGTGCTTCAGCTTCGCCACCATGCCCGGATTGCTGATCAGCACCTCGAGCTGGAAGAAGGCGAATTCCGGGCCCTGCGGCCGGCCCGACATCTGGGAGGGAGGAGAGAAAGAGCGAAACAGGGTCTTGGCTACAGCAAAGATGCAAGTACTGTACAACACTGAACAAATGGTGCTTTCAATATACCATTAAGTTGGTGCCGGCCGTTTATAACACGTCCTTTGTTGAGTAGGCGCTGTGTGGCACGTATTGCTTCCACAGAGTTCCCTTCCATGTGAGAAGTTACTACCCGGGCGACGGCAACGCGCGTGACAGCTAACGCGACACCTAACATGCACCTATATGCCTTTGCACTGTATCTCTTCAGACACGGCGACTTACCGTCTTCACCTGCTCGACGACTGCCCACATGTCGGTTTCTCCAGCAATGTGAAGCATAGAAGGAATTGGGGCCTGGGACAGCTGCTGCTTAAATATTGCTGCCATGTTTGGATCCCTTACAACAAGCAGTACTTGAACCGGTAACATTCCTGAAGATACGCGAGGGCTTGCATTATGTCGGTTGCCATCCGAAACCCAACGTGAAACCCAAATAGCCAGATACATACCAGTTGGCATAGGTCGCACTCCGCTGGCTGTTTGAATAGGGGTTAAAGCCTCCAGGCTGGGGCGCTTCAATGCTTGCACCTGAGGGACGGGACTCTGCGAACGATGAAGCTGCAACTGCTGCTGCAGGACTTGCAGTTGCATTTCATGCGCCTCAGGGCTATCGTGTTGCTGCATCATGCTGAGCGGCGGGTATGATGCCGACGCCTCGCGAACAGGTGTTTCGGCTCCGCTGCTGGAATACCCGCTGTTGCTGGCAAGCCTCAATCTGTCATAGAAGGCCATGTTGATTGCTTGTATGTAGCCCGTCCCATTGGTGCCAGCCAAAAGTGTCGAAAAAGACGCGACTGTCACTTAAATGCGTCACGTATCACTCGCGCACGGACAAAAGTTTATTTATGTGTACTGCCACTTAACCGAAAGAAAGTTCATATGCAGAAGTCCCGATGATGCAAGTCCCAATATTCCACACGACGTCGTCGAGCAAGCGCAAAGAGGAAAATCAGCTCAAAACGTGAAAGTGTTCCTCTTTTTGTAAAGCTTGCAATACGTTGCACACAGTTGTCTGCGATTCAGTTAGCAGCGAAGTGGCAATTCGTACACCAGGGAGTTTTGGTCTCACCGCTCCAACGCCTTCTCAGGACTACATTATAGGCGTAATATAGTCAACCTGCACCTACAGGCCACGCGTAAGGCTCTCTTCAGCTAATATGTTTGGACTTTGGTTCAAGCTAGCCCTCTGCGCTCTTATCTTCTCGGCCGTCGCAAACGCGCAAGATGCTGCTTGTTCAGACAGTACGATGAAATCTGTATGCGGGTAAGAATGGAATTGCTTTTCTTGGCCGGGTAGGTGAGTTTAGCAATGCTTAGCTTCTTGCACTTGCTGGCGTCCCTACGGCTTTGCACGCCACACTCACGACCAACAGGAAGGGTAGGCCGATTGCTTAGGTTAGAACGGCTTTGGGTCACGCTTGGGCAACAGCTTGTGACTTCTGCCTGCTTACGTGCCCCATGCCGTGGTTCTAACTTTGCGCTTGGGAGCGCTTACAAATGTGCAACATCTTAACCCAATGCACCCTTGGGCTGACTCATTCCTAAACCCAGGCAATGTGGTGTATGCTGCTGTTACAAGGGACCCTTGAGGTACGAGCCCGATGAAGAGACGTGTACGTGCAAGATTACATATGGGAGCTCCTTTGTAGTCATGATAGTCATGGTAAGCCCATTCCGCCGTGCTTGTAGCCTAGGTACGGGAGCAGACAGAGGGATAGTGCAGGTCTTGTCGCCTTAATACTCCTGACCTTCAGTCTTGCAGTACGGCATAGGTCATCGCAGTACAGCGATGGCACCGGTGGCAACTCATTGACTGGGGCGCCATTGAATGGTGGAAATCTTACTAAGGGACGTACACGCATTGCCTTGTTCCGCAGGGAGCTCTTGCGTTTGTGTGCTCCTTAGTAGGCGGCGCCTATTTTGGTGGGGGCCACCGGATATCACCTTACCGTCGCGAAGAGGACTACCGTGTTAGCGATTAGGCAGCGCAACACCCTCAAGTGCTGCATAGTGCCAGCCGGTGGCTGTGTTTGAGGAGTATATACAAAGGAAATACGCAGTGAGTCGTGGAAACCTATATATGCAACCAGATGCAACATCCTTTCTTGACCCACCACGCCGCCAGGTATGGAGGCGATTCGGAGGAGCCATCCGTTGGCTTCCTATCTTTCTTTTATTTGGCTTCTTAGTCCTGTACTGTGTTCGTTGGTTTAGCTAAACAGCCACCGGTGCGGCTTAGCGCGAGATCCTGTGTGCGTGCTCCTAAGTAATATGGCGTTAGGTTCTCATATGACAGAACGTCTGAGAGAAAATCTTAAGCAAGATTTGAAGTGTGTAAGGGGCTTGGGTCGCACTGTACGATTATGGTTCCAGCAGCTCCAAAGTCATTTCTGCTCTTGTTGTCTTCTTCTGTTATCAGGCATATGCTCAGAGGATACTTTGTAATGGTATCAAGCCTTGACGACTTCTGCAGTGACATTTGTGATAAGTTACCTATCGCTTTGCTACAATCGTCAGCGCTGACTTTAGCCCTAGCATAAGCTGCGGTGCGCCTGTGCTGTCGACTATTGTAAAATGACATACGGACGCGGTTTCCAGGCAGCAGCGCGCTGCGCCGGTCTTCTGCGCTCGGCAGGACGTTCAGGCGGCTACATGGCGTTTGAGAGCGTCACCAGGAGCGCTGTGCGCATAACAGGTCTGTCTGTGTAGGGGGCAACTTAGCGAACTAAACGTACTTGATGGTTGCCATATGGAGCAAACCTTTCGGAGGTTCCATCAGGCCGCGCTCTGTAAAGCAGACTTGCCGACCAGGAACTGCCTATGCGCGTGTTTCTCTTCAGGGGTTTGCAGTCCAACTGCTTGGACGGCACAAGCTTCTCAGGCGCAGCAGCGGTTCGCCGCCGCACAGCCAACATACGGCTTTGCTGCACAGGGCATACAGAACGCCGTTGACTCCGGTGCCTCTTCCACCGAGACGGTGAGAACTGTAAATTAACGGGTGGGTTTCGCAGACGCGCACCTGGTAGATCCTTACTACATCACAACACGAGCGATTACTGGTGTCACTTCCCGAACGTGGGAGCGTTCATGTTACATCTCCATAAACATGCATAGCTCCACGTTACATCTCCATAAACATGCATAGCTCCACGTGATTCAGCGTTTGCAAAGCCGTCGACTCGCCCCTAACTGCTTCTGGCGCGCTCCTTTTGCCTATGCGGGCAGCCCCAATGCGCCAAGCACAGTTCCACCACCAGTTTAGGACGCAACCGTGACACGCCATCGCATGTTCCCTTTCTTCCAAACGCTCCCTTTGCCCTCCAGGGCACGGTCACCGGGTGCTCCTCTGGCGCGGTCGCGGCGGCTGGAGAGGACGGCGAGTGCCTACCAAGTGGGGACAGCGAGGGTGTATTACCACGTAATAAGAAAGAACTCATACGAGCGCCGCCGTGGGCTCCTTCTGTAGCATCGTCCTTTTCCCGCCAGCTGACGTCACCATCTGGCCATAAGTTGCAGCAACCACAGCTTCCCTCCTACACGGCTGGCGCCTTGCACTCGGGTTCCAGCTGCACGGGCGTGCTGCGGCCCCAAGCACATGCGCAGCAGCGGTACCAGCTCGCGTCGCCTGCTGCTCAGCCAGCTGCGGCCAGGCTGTTCGGCACGCAGGCCTCAGCTGCAGTCCGCGGCAAGGGTAGCGGCCGCCGTGCCGCGCGAGATGACGATTCCGACGTGGATGAGGAGCTGCCGGAGGCTGTGCCCACCTTCCGGCACCCAAGTCGGCCGGGACACTCCGTGCCGTCGCCCCACCGTGGCACGCAGCCGGCTGGCAGCGATGCAGCGGCAGCCATGAAGGGCTCAGGGGTTGGTCATAAGGAAGCAGCGGCGGCGGCGAAGCAGGAGGAGGGCCACCTGAGCGCTGCGGAGTACCGAGAGCGGCATGGGATCCAGGTGGACGACCCGGCCTGCCCGGACCCCTACCAGACGTTTGAGGACGCGCCGTTCCCGCCGACTGTGATGCGCGTGGTAGGTGGGCTTGGGTTCCAGTGAGAAGGTGATGCATGGCGGAGATGCATGACGTGCATGCGGTAAGCTATAGTAGTGGCATGCTGCAGCCAGCCTGCTTATCCGTGCTGCCCTGCTAGCGTGTGCATCCATATCTGTCGTCTTCCCTTGGCCCTGCCTTCTTCTCCATAGTCCATGTTTGTTTGCTTGCACCGCCACATTACCATCCCGCCCGCCTGCCCACTACCATTCACCGCATGGTTCACCTCCTCCTGCCCGCCTTGCCGCCCGTCCCGCTCTCTCAGCTGGAGGAGGCCCGCTACGGCGCCCCCAGCGCCATCCAGGCGCAGGCGTGGCCCATCGCGCTGGCGGGCCGCGACCTGGTTGCCATCGCGTCCACCGGCTCCGGCAAGACGCTGGGCTACCTGCTGCCGGCGCTGCTGCAGATCCAGGTAGGGGCGGCGCGACTGAGGGAGCGCCTTGACTAGCAGAGCTGCCAGCAGTTGACGCGTCCTTATCAACTGTGTCCAGCTGGGTCAAGCATGGCTTGCATACGCCACCGTCACAGCCCATGGTTCCGCTCGGCGGAAAGGCCATTGCTGGACCTCCTGCTTCCCCACACCCGCTCCGTTCTCTCACACAGGTGCCTTTCCCCCACCCTCCCTCAGGCCCGCGGTGGCGACCCCGCACTGGGTCCTAGCGCCCTGGTGCTCGCCCCTACCCGCGAGCTGGCCCGCCAGATCGAGGATGAGGCCATGCGCTTCAGCCGGGTCCTCATGGGGGCGGGCGCGGCCGACCAGGACCATCATGACATGCACGGGCGGCGTGGCAGTGGCAGCAGGCGCGGGGAGGCGGCGGGCACGCCGCTTCGCACGGTTTGCCTGTACGGCGGCGCAGCGCGTGGGAACCAGCTTGCTGCGATGCGGCGGCGGCCGCATCTGATAATTGCGACTCCGGGGCGCCTGCTGGACTTTGTCGAGAGCGGCGAAATCAACATCGGACAGGTGGGTGGCTGGGTTTGGGTGTGGCATTATGCTGTCTGAAGGTGGTGCACATGGGGCTTTGTTGCCCATCGCATGTTAGTGTGGTTACCAGCTTACTACTCTTGGGGTGATACGGCTTTCTGTGTCGGCCCTCCAGCGGTAAGGCTTGCAGTGTTATCAGCCTAGCATCTCCCTTCCTAACCCCTCCCTCGCGCCGTGCCTTGCCCTGCCCTGCGCATGTGCAGGTATCTTTCCTGGTGCTTGACGAGGCGGATCGCATGCTGGACATGGGTTTCGAACCGCAGATCGCCAGCATCGCGCGCAACCTGCCTCCCGGCCGTCAGACGCTCTTCTTCTCCGCCACCTGGCCCACCAGCGTGCGGGAGGCTGCCGCGCAGTTCGCCTCGCAGCGCCCCGTTCACGTCTTCATTGGCGATGTGCAGGTGATGGCAGGCCTCGGGTCAGGTTAGGACTTGCTGGGGTTACCGGTATGAACAGCTTGGGGGGTGGCGTGAGGGGTCGTTAGGATTGTTGGCGTGTTTGACGTGTTTCCTTGGTGGCGATGTGGATCCTGGGTAGACCCGCAGAATCTTGGCATGCCAGCACAGCCCCAAGGCCTCTTCATGTCCTTACTTGACGCGGTTCCCTTGTCCGTATATATGCCGGTACTCGCCCCTGTGTCAGGCCAAGCCGGTTGCCGCCACTACCATCAAGCAGCGCGTGCAGATTGTGGAGGGGCGCGAGAAGCTGCAAGCGCTCGAGGCCTACCTGCGGACGCAGCTGCTGGAGTCGGAGAGTGAGGAGGGCAAGCAGCAGCAGCGGCGCCGCGGCGGCGATCGTCGCGGTGGCGAGCGGGATGAGGAGCCGGGCCGACGCGCCATTGTGTTCTGCAGGACCAAGGCAGGCTGCGACCACCTGGCCTTTGAGATCAACTCGTGAGTGTTGGATGGCGGCGTTGGTTGGGGCGTACAGTCGGCTTGGCTACAAATTACCTCACTGCTTTTGGCGGTGATTCGGGGGATACGCCTACTGTAGGTATATGAGTTTCTGCATTACCTTGAATCCTTAATGCTTTACGGTCCTCCGTCCGGGCTCGGTTTGCATTGGATCTCATGGACATCTATCATTGCCGTACTGCTGCTCCCATCGCCACCCTGCTAACCTCCCCTCTTTCGCCCCAATCCTTGCCTTGTCGCAGCACCATGCCCTTCCAGGCCGCCAGCCTGCACGGTGACAAGTCGCAGGCGGCTCGCGAGTACGCGCTGCAGAAGTTCCGGAGCGGCAAGGTGCCGGTGCTGGTGGCCACTGACGTGGCGGCGCGCGGCCTGGACATCCCGCACGTGACCGCCGTCGTGAACTACGAGATGCCGGATGAGATCGAGATGTACGTGCACAGGTACGAGAGGAGGAGGCCCGCAGGCTGCAGTAGCGACAGTGTTGGGGTTACTTGCGAAGACTCCGCATGCTTTGGTGTTTTTTTTGGCGTTGTATGCAGAGCAGGGTTGCCGGCTTTTGTCCCATGCTTTGTTGCTACCTGGTACCGACTCTACCGGTACCTTCCCACGTTACTACTACCGGTTTCTCACGTCTCTTGGTCTTTCATGGCAACGCAGGATTGGCCGAACAGGTCGCGCGGGGGCCTCGGGTGATTCCCTAGCGCTCATCACGCCTCGCGACACCTTCATCGCGCGCCCTCTGGTAAGCGTGCTGGAGGGCGCCGGGCAGGAGGTGCCGGAGGCCCTGCACGAGCTGGCGGCGGAGGCGGCGCGCAGCAAGAAAGTGGGGCAGTCCAGGAACAAGCCGGCGACCGGCATGTGGAAGCGTTCGTGGGGGAATGTGGAGGTGCTCATGCGGGAGCATGGCAGGAGCTCCAGGGGCCGGGATGAGTGGGATGATGAGGAGAGGGAGCACTCTAGGCCGCGGCACCATCATGCGGATAACTGGAGGCACGGGGGTGGCCGGGAAGGGGGCGGCCGGGAGGGGCGTGGCCGGGAGGGCGCCGGACGCGGCTCTTACAGGCGGTCACAGAGCGGCGGACGGGAGGATGAGTGGTGAGCGTTAGTAGGCATGCGGACTTGGTGAAGAAGTATGGCCGTGCATTGCGGACGTTGAGGTGTGCAACAGACATGTCATCATGCTAAGTTTGATTTGGGATGGGTGCAAGGGCTTGTGACGACTTGCTAAAATGCAGCTGCAGTACAGCCGTGCGTAGGTAGCGGCACATTCTTGCAGTACGCTGCATGTTTAGGGCAGAGCTGATGGTTGGATTTCCGGTGCGTGGTGCGGGCGTGGCAAAAATACCCTCGATGAAAAAATCTATCGACAGGGACAGATGACATGTACGGAATCATTTCAATGCGTAGTATGCTAATATCCTGTCAGACAACGTATAGAAACTTTTTGTAACCCTGTTACCTTTGGTACCAGCGTCTAGGCACCGATATACAAGCAAAAAGCGCGTTGTAAGAAGGCCAGTAACGCGACATCCGAATTGTCACCTCGCAGCGTGCGAAACTGCGAATTCTCGACCATCTACAGAAGCCTGTAATGATGGCAATTTTTTACAAATAGTGCAAGCGCGTTTGTGAGCTTGGTTGCGGAGTTGGCGAGGACACAATGAGCCTCCTCGACGACTACCAAGCTCTGAGGCAGTCTCTGGACAATGACCTTGGAAAAATTGAGCGCTTGGTAAGGATGATGCTTGCGCAATTGCCTTTTCTAGTAGAAAAAACTTCATGTTGTCGTTCCTTCACAGATTGCTGAGATGGAACACGGCTATTTGACAGCGGAGTATAGCCAATGCGGAACAGTCCTCAAGGTAATCCCTCGTTTGTAGCGTCCTGCTTGACTGTCGTAATGTCCGCCATAAAGGCAAGGTTTCTCCCGGCTTCAGGGCTTCGAGGGCTTCCTAAACTCCAAAGAAGTCTTGAGAAAGAAATCCCGCACGTTTAAGCCCGAGGACCGCCTATTCAGTCTGTCGTCCAAGTCCTCCCCTGTGGTATGTGTTTTGCAGCTTTGCTCTCCCGCATTCCGTGGGACAGGGGCAGCCCCAACTTACCCCTGCAACGCTTATTTGCAGACCCGGGAAATGGAGCAGCCGGTGTTGGAGGCCATGGACTCCATGACGCCCTTGATATACGGCAAGAAGGTACGCACATGAGATGCAACCCCTAGACCAACAGCTCCAAAAAGCTATTGGCGCTAATGTCGCCCTTCCCCCGTTGGTCTGCCTACCGCAGTACGCCCAAAAAGGGTACGCCCAAAAGGGCAAGCGGTGACCGCTGACAGAGGGCTTTGGACTTCTTTTGATCGTGGTTCCGACCCTTCATGCCGGAATCCTTTGCATTTTACCCACAAGCTGAACGTCATCGAGGAAAATGATATGAACAAGCTTAGCGCACGAGGCCGGAATGGTACATAATAGGTCACGTCCTGCACTGGGACTTTGTACGATAGCACTGTGCATAAACCCATCCCCGGGACTACAATGCTACATAGAAGGATTGCAATTATGGCACAGCTGTGCTCAAGCCAGCGTGGTGGGGATACAGGCGCGAGGATACACTGGCCATGGGTGGTTTGTGACGTATTGGGTAACAGGACCCAGGTGCGGGGCCTCGTTGCCCCTGGCTGGAGCATGTAATGCGCACAGATCTGCGAGGTAACACGGCGCCGTCCCCGCTTATTCCACTTCCCCATCCTTGCCACTAGTCGAGGTTTGCATGACGCAGCAGCAGCACCGTGGCACGAACGTGTAAAGACTCCACCACCGCACCAGCATCCTTCCCACAGCCACACCTGCTCTTCTCCTCTCTCATCCATGCAACCACCTTCCGCGGAAGTTCCCCACATCTCAGCCTCCGCACCCAGCTGCCCCACACCTCCCAGCCCCTCCTCCGCCTCCTCCTCAGTGCCTCTCATCGCCCGGTCTGATGGGCGCAGCCGGCGACTCTGGCAGCGCCCGCCGCCGCCCTCCCTCTCCCCCCTCCTCTCCCTCTTCCCCCTCTCCCTCGCCCAGCTCCGCATCCAGCTGGTTGATGTAGTCGTCCAGGTCCTCCGAGCCGGTGGAGCCCAGGTCGCTCAGACCCTCCACCTCGCCGCCCTCGCCCACATCCAACGCCTCCTGCGACAGTGTACCGATAACAGCAGCAACAACAAGGAGAAAAGGCGGGGCAGTAGGCAAGGGAAGGGGCACGGAGTGGCTGGCTGTCGTTCGGCTGCTATGAGGTCGGCCCAGCAAACCCAGGGTTCCTCTGTGAAGTCCTCCGCATGCATGCTGGCTAGTAATTGGGGACGGTGTGAACGTTAATCCGAGGGCCGCGCAGAAACACTGCGTGCACGTCTAAAACACTGGAAACAACCCTGCAACCGTGCTCCTACCGCTTCCCCAGCTCCCAACCAAGCTCCCACCCTACACTCCATCCGCATCCACATCGCGCATTATTCCAATGTGCGTGCTGCAAAGCGCTATCCCACACCCCGTACCTCGAGGTACGCCGCCAGCTCCGGGTCGTCCTCGAGCTCGTCCAGAGCGGCATCCACTGCGTCCCCCGCGCCCTCCTCCTCAGCATCATCATCGTCATCGCTAGCGCTGGAAGATTTGCAGGAGCTGTTGGAGCTCTCCCCGTCCAATAGCTCCTCCTGATCTCCGCCGGCACTGCCTGCTGCGCGGGCGGCATCTGCAGCTGCTGCTGCTGCAGCGCTGCCGGCGGCGGCGGCGCTTTGTGAGGATGAGGTGCTGTCGTGGGCTGGTAGGTGCTTGCTGCTACTTGAGGTTGAGACGGGGAGGGCTGCGGAGGCAGCAGCCTGCGCAAGGTGTGCAGCGGTTGGTGCCTTACATGTAAAGGGAGAGAGGATGAGGCTGGATGGCCACTGAAGCGTCACGGAGGGGAGAGGAGGTCAAGGGCACATAGGTACCGTGTCTCCCTCCTGGACATACCCCCGGCGCAACTCCGTCCAGTACCGCCCAGCCCGGAAGGACACCCACCCTCGTCGGTTCCGCTCCAACACTGCTGCTGCTGCTGCTAGTCGTGGCGGCGCCCGGCCCGCCAGCCGAGGAGGCGTCTCTCGCCGCGTCTTGCTCTGCTGGGCGTGCAAAGGCCTCCGGCGGCAGCAGCGTCTTGACGAGTGTGAAGTAGATGACCCAGAAGAGCTCCTCGCTCATTCGCCTGGGGGAGAGGGCACGAGGGGGGCAGCCATGCGCCATCATTGGGGGGGCGTATGGCGTACGGTGATGCAGCGCATGGTGCGCACGCATACGGGTTGCGCTGCGTGCGGGAGCTTCGTAAGGAAACGCAGCACAGTAGCTAAGCGACAAAGTTCGCACACAGCGCTGTGTTCGTGCATGGGCCGCACCGTCATGCAGTACGGTACCACAGCGCTGTCTGCCACCGTCTCCCCCTGGTACGGCAGCATGCAGGTCCCATGACGGTTCATCTTCGCCTTGCCAGGTGTGGCGTCCAGATGTAGCGTAAGCACAGAGCGAGTGTGTGGTTACGCATTGCACCAAATGCCCCAATGCCCCAACTCCCAATCAGCTAATGAGCTGAGCCAACCCACTTGGGACACAGCGCGAACCGCAGGCCCTGCAGCTGGTCTCCCCTCGACAGCACCAGCAACGCATGCCGCTCCTGCCAGGGACTCAGCCGGAAGCCGGGACCGGGGGCCGACGTGGTGAGGCCCAGCGGGTTCGTGGAAGGCAGCAGCTCCAAAGGGTAGTCACTGCAGGGACAGAAAGGGATGGCCAGGTTGGGTGCGTGAGGAAGGACCGAACGGGTGGTTAGGAGGGCGGGGAAGGACCAGGAAGGACCGAATGGATTGCCTGCCTGCGGTGACCAGCGAGCAACATGATGCCCATAGGGTTGAACGACAGTATGATACCCATCAGGGGTGTTAAGCTGTTAACTTGGTAGGTGCAGGGCCTGGACGCGGGCCATGTGTGATCCCTTGCTTGCCACACGCCCCATGCTGCCATGCACGATAGCGGGTGCGCGGCCCCCATTCGTCCGACATAAAGAGCACACTGCGTCGCACCTGAAGGTGCTGTATGTCATGCCAGCCACCGTTTCAAGCAGCCCCGGCGTTACGCCGTACTTGACGAGCTCCGCCGGGTCGGCCTCCGCACCTGGGGAGGAGCCAGATCTGCTGCTGCTGCTGGTCTGCGCGGGGGGGGGGTCAGTGACTTCTGTATCGGCTGCGCATCAGGCGGTTGAGATTGTGTGAAGTCGTTCGGTTGGGTAGTAGTCAGGATACGGGGGGCGCAGACTAGTGTGTAGGAGTACGTAGCTGCTCAAGCAGGAGGATGAAGCTGAAGGGATTCGCCCCCCCTTTGACCCAACCCCGTCTAACCCCGCACGGCGACAGCCGGTGCAGAGGACCACTCCCACGTGTCAAGGATAGCGAACCCGGGACTAAGCTTTATCTATTTATTCCTCCAAAGGTACCCGCATGGCCGGGATTGCACTGCTTGTCATTGCCTACCTGGGCTGTCGCAGCGGCTAGCTGTTGCAGTTTGGCCTGAGCTTCCTCCGCCGCGACGCTGGCTAGCGCCTAAGAGGCCATTAGTCCAGTGAGTGATCAAAGTAGCTTATCACCCAAAAATATTGCACAATTACCTTAGCCTTCTCAGATGCTTGCTCAGCAATGACCTTTGCTTTTTCCGACGCCTGTTCCGCAATGACTTTTGCTTGTTCGGATGCTTGCTCTGCCAGCACTTTGGCCTGCTGTGATGCTTGCTGTGCCAGCACTTTGGCCTTCTCTGCTGCCTGCTGTGCCTGCTTTTGGGCTGCTTGAAGACTGTTTTTAAACCAATCCATGACGACTTTGCTTACGAATTACGTCCAATTTCCTACTTGATGAAACTTCTTCAACCGTTCAGGAAGTGGCGTTGCGTTCTGGGGCAACCACAATGTAATCAGGAACGCATGTTGTATAAAGCACTACAAAAGGACACTGGAGCGATGTATGTGTGTCAAGCTCGCCCGCGATTCGATGGATACGTTGGTTGGGAGGATAGTGTACGGCAGATATCCTCCCCTACACAGCATGCTCATTCCGTTTGGGCAATGTCTAAACCTCGCCATGTCGTCGGCATGACCGCACTGGTTCTTATGATCGATAGCAACTGAGCACTTACTCCCATGGCCACCTCCCGAGCCAGTGCTGCAGCGCTGTGTTACCAAGTTAGCTTTTGTGTGCAACGCTGATGCAATACCGGTAGCACGGAACCCCACAGAGAGGGAGTCCAAAGCCCCAGACAAGTCCGTTAGCCGCCGCTGTAGGTCTCCTCCTCTTCGCGAAGAGGTGAAGACACCGTCCTGTACCGGCTCTAGGCACAAGTGCCTCGATTTCGTCTCTTCGCACCAGGACCCGCCAGCCAGGCATGTGCGCATAGGACCGGCCGAGGGGTGCAGGGACGGCTTGCAGATGCAAAACACCGGTTTGTGAAGGGTGCAAAACAGATCGTCACCAGGGTTTCGCACGTGGTCCCCCACCGTACTACTGATCTGGCCCAATGGTGCTTACGTGCCCAGTGCTGATGGGATGGGCGGTTTTCACCATGGTATGAACGATCCATGTCAAACAGCAGAACCTTACGTTCCATAAATCCAAAAGTAATGTGGCCTTACGCCCGCAGCATGCGTTTCCTTGCGAAAAGGCAAAATGACGCCCTCAACGGTGTACGGAGCTGCATTCGGGGCCGGCTCCGGCGCCTACCACGCCCATCCGTGTTGAGCAGTAGCGCACTTGCTTTGGAATGGGGGCCGCTACGCACTATTGCCCACCATGCCTACCGTTGCTACACCGCCAGGAGGGCTTGCCACCGCCGCCGCCGCACAGCGGACAGCGTCTCATTGCTGGCGCCGCCGGCGGTAGCAACGGCTTGGAGCGAAGGTACGCATTCCGAAACATATCGAGGGGAGCCCTATTCGCGCCCAATGCACGGCGGTGCTCAACGCACTGACATCACTGCCGTACCAACAGCTTTGATGAGGCTAGCAATGCGGTTGCGGCCAGCCCGACCACTGCGTCCTCACTCCCTGCTGTTCCTATGTAGTTCCTATGTAGCCCCTGTGGCCTTACTAATGAGGACAGAAACACGGGCTGCATTGGCTGCAATGGGAGGAGAAGTGGGACCCATGGGTCGCTGCTCAATTTCGGCTACTCGGGAGCTCAACCTGTTAATTTTTATCAACGCCCAGCAAACCGCAGTGCAGCCGCAGACATGGCCTACTTGTGATGACTAAAGGCGCATACCAGTATGCTCTACAGTGCTGCTGCCTGACATGGCAATAAGCGTCGTAGCGGCAGGTCCATGGGCTCCATGCAGCTACTGGTGCTGAGGGGCTGTTGTGGAATACTGCATTTCGATGTGTGTCCCAGCTAAGATTTTTGGTCGCAAGAAGAGCACGTGTTACAAGGGGAGACCCAAATACGGCAGATTAGCAAATCCTAATTGTATCGGCGGGCTAGTAATAACCGCTAAAATATACCCGATATGTGCGGCACAGACCATCACGCAATACTTGCTTTGGCGAGACTTTACTGTGCTGCAATGGCAGAACAAAAGCAACAATCGTGGCCCAGCCCAAGACACAACAGTAGTGGTCCCAAAGCCGCTACGGACAGTTAGAGACGTACGGCATGCAAGGGCTTACTAGCCAGGAAACGACCATGCCGGTCACTTCGTTCGGCATGGCTTGGAAAACAATATCGTCGCCCAGGAAAATTTGGGCTGCAGATTCACTTATAACCCAAGCACAAGTGGACTTCGACGCAAACGTGGCCAGCCAGGCTCATAAGTGAGGGCTGGGCAACACCAACAGTTCTAAGCCATAGTTGCCTTGACACACAGCTTAAGTGTGCCCTAGATAGGACCACCAATAACTTCCCGCCTGCTGCATATTGCCAAAGACCAAGTACTAATCGGGTACGACAGCATCAAGTGTAGCAGCTTTCAGGCTCGCTATCGCCGGCACGGTCATATATACCATACCATGCGCAACATGTTAGTTCATGGGAAAGCAAGGCCAGGGCGCCGCATTACTGCGTTTGGACAACTAAGAGACACGTAAAGTCAGGGCGGAGGCGGACTGAGGACATGTAGGAACCGTCATCCCGACGTACACAAAACCGGGAGCGCATGATCATGTTCGTACCGGCGGATTTGTCCAATACACAAATAAGGGAGGCACCGCACGTGTGTCCTCTTAAAAGCCGATAAGCCAATATGCCATAGGAGTGGTTTAAGCCACCCAGCCACATGCATGCAGTCACACCCACCAGCATTCCACATGCACACACACGCCCACAGTACGTTTCGCCTCGCGGCCAGTTATTTTAACACACACGCCCTGCTGCTGGACACAGTTGGAACCTTGCATGCAGCCAGCAGCTGATGTTTCTGGGCCTCGGGCCATACTCGCCCTTCCTAGCTAAACAGTGTGGGAGCAGCTTTACTGTGCAACTAAGAGTAGTATAGGATTAGGACATACTCTGCATACATGCAGGGGCTTCCCCCGGCAGTGCTGTGTGTGATTACCTTCCCTTTTCAGAGGCAGAAAAACTAACGCAGCGAGAGCCAACGTACGAGAACCCCTGAAAACACCAAAGTGGGGTGCAAAATACCCACCATTGTAAAAAGATCAAGGCTACCCAGGCAAAGTCCTTATCCAAGTGTTTAGTACGACCCCACGCATATCCTCACCTAACAGCACCCAATAGCTGGCCTGCAGATACCTGCAGATACATGGCTATTAACCTTCTGTAACAGCACCATGCATGCTAACTAGACATTACCGCACTGCAGCCCCGTGTCCGCAGCCCATCAGACACCCTTGGCGACCGATACACGTGACGCTAATGAGCGCGGAAGGAGCGATGCAGTCTCCTCGTTCGTCATTACCTGCATGGTGGGCAAGAAGCGGAAGCAGCAGCAGCCGTAGCGGTGGCAGCGTCACACCGTTTCACAGACAGAGTATGCGTCAGCAGCAAGCAACCGCAATAACAGCAAGGCATATCATAACAGAAATTTGCAAGAGCAAAGAATAGGCAAGCTGCACAGGCTGACGAAGGTCGTAAAACCCATACCGGTACTTTACTTTAATTTACTGCTTACCTTCCCTGGCTTGCCCTTCGCTAGCAGGTTACGTGACAGCACCCACGCTCGTCCTTTGTACGTCAGCTGACAGCTCTGTGAGCCGCCGGCACTGCCGCTGCTGCCGCCGGGCAACTCTCCGCCTAGTTCGCCGTACGCAAGCGCCGCTCGCGCACGCAACCCACGCTGCAGCAGTACGATGCCCTCATCAGTGTCGGAACAACTGACGTCAGTAGTGTTGCCACCACCCGTTTCCGCGCCGCCCAGGCTGCTGCCATCGGCTTCCATAACGCCGACGCCCACCCTGGAGGTTCCCCCTGCAGCTGTAGCAGCTGTAGCAGCCGTAGCTACAGCTCCGGCCGCAGTATAGCCTGTAGCTGGCTGTTGCAGTGCCGTCGTTACAATATGGGCCCTGGTCTTTATTTCCAGGCTACTGCGGGCTGTACGGGAATCGTCAGAGATTGAAGCAGGCGCACCGGCAGTGGGGCGTGAGACGTCGGGTGCAGGACATGAAACCTTGCGTGTAACAGCAGCTGCAGCAGCAGTCGTCAAACCCAAGTCGGGTGTGAGGATGGTGCGAGCGGACGGATGCCAGCCGAGCGCAGCTGGCCGCAGCACTATCCTGCCAGCCCTGTCGACTGCCAACTCTTCGTACATGGGGCTTTGAAGGAGCTCTGCGGGCCTGTAGGCGCGAGGGTGTAGCGGCAACGGTTGTACGGCTGTTGTTGTACGATGAGCATAAACATGCGGTTATTGCGTTACCATATGCAGGTGCCTTATTATTAATGAGCTACCGATGAATTATTATTGGTCGGCCTATATTGCCGCTGACCTTGAGCGCCTGTGTCGGCCATCCCTAACAGTTATCGAGAATACCACAACGCTGCTACGGTTTTGGGATCCTGGACATCTACATACCTTTTATATTGAGCCCACAGCTAGCAACCAATGCCTAACTTACCAATGCAGATAAGGTAGAACCTCCAAAGCGCGTAGTAGCCAGGCTGCGGCCTCTTGCGGGCTCGAAAAGACCACGGTCATGGCGCCCGGTGCACCATGCACACTAGGGTTGGCACCGCTGCCCCCACCGCCGCCTAAACCCACACCCTTGGCTCTGACAGTGCCTCCAAGCTCCCATCTATGCCGCTCTGCCGCCGCCTGCTTCCAAAGCCTTGCCGCGCCGCCAAATAGACTGGACCGTGGTTGACGCTGCGGGGCCAAAGGCTCGCAAGTTGGGGCTGTTGGCCCACCAAGCCCCTCCGGTGATGAGCGCCTAACAAACACAGTTTGCAGGCTAGGAAGCGGCGCAGACAGTACCGGGGATGCCAGCCCTAGTTGTTGCTGGTGCTGCGGCGGCGGTGATGACAGGAATGCTGGCGGTGGCGGCGACTGGCCGAGAACGTTGGCGCTGCCGCTGCGCGACCGTTGTAACAGCTCTGACAGCGGAAGCTGTGGCGAAGTTGGCGTGCTCCGAAAAGTGTTGCCGTCGTCGCACGACAGCCGATGCTTGCTGCGCCGGTATGCCGTGCCGACAGCAATGCCGCCGTCACCGTAACCAGTACACCCAATGGCGGCGGCATCGCCGGTCAGACGAATGACGGGAAGTGTAGCACTGCCAGAGGAGGTACTGCTGACGCCCGCAACCTTTGTTTTCCGTCTTGCCATCTCATTTGTCCACGCGAAGGCCTTGTCCTCCTGAGGTGCGCCGCTATTCTTGCAGCTGAGGCTACCGCCGCTGCTGTACAGCCCAAAAGCACCTTCGACGACGTACGGCATCTTGTCTCCGAAAGTGGCGCCGGCGGCGCACACTAGCCCATCTAGCAGTGCATCGTACAAGACATTCAACGCACGGTGTGCTACCTCCACGTTCCACGCGAGCAGGGCACCGTAGCCCATCACTGAAATCCTCGCCACGGCCCCATGGCCCATCATCGGCCCCGCCAGCACGCCGCTGAGACCGCTACCGCCCAGCGGCGGCACCGGCGTCACATTTCGCAGCGGCCGTTGCAGTGCCAGCCGACCCATCATGAACGACCCACGGGTCAGCGCCTGGATGAGATGCAATGGCGGCAGGTCCTCCCCAACCACGTAACGCCCCAGCCACAACAGCTTCACGTGGGGTAGTGCCTTGGACACAACAGCGCCTTCATTGCACAACGAATCGTACGTGCAGTCGGAGAGGAGAACCATGCCGCCATTTGCTGCGTCTGCCACAGCCTTCGCTAACCGCAGCGCAGGCCCACTGTACTGCATTCGCCCGCTTGCTTGGTTCTGCGAAACGTCGGTCCTCCGCAGCAGCCTGCAAGCACATCCCATGCGCACTCGAAGGCCTCGGTAGACCAGCACGCGAGCAGAGGCAGCGCCGCCACCTCCTACGCGAACCCACCGGCCGCCAGAGCGGGAGGCGTCGGGAACCACGTTGCGACCGCTGAGACCGCTGACCGGACTGTCGCTGCCGCCCATGCGGCATGCGGCGGCGAGGCCGCCAGCGGCACTAGCTGCAGCTGCAGCCCCCTCGCCGCCTGCAACTGGCGATAAGACTGGACCGGCGGCCTCGTGGTCTTCAGTTGGCGTTACCGCCGAGGGCAGCACCACCCATTGCTGCCGCAACCAGTCAAGCGTTGAGACATAAGCTGTTTGAGCGGCTGAGGGGTCCGGTACTGCATTCGGTCGAGGTGATGGGATGGGGGCCGACGGCGCCTCTCGTAGGAGCTCCATGCGCTCTGAAGCTACTGCCGCTGCCACCAACATCATTGGGGTCGTCGCCGCGCACACAGGCTGAGGACCCACAGTGCAATAGCGCTCGTCCGGAACAGCGGCAGCAACGCCAGCAGCGGCAGCAGCATTCGACGCAGCAGCGGCGGCGGCTGCAGTTGCAAGCACGCCAAAGGCTGCCGGTCCCGTTGGCATTCGCTCTGGCGGGCACGTTTGGGACCGCAGAAGGTCCAGCCCCCCTGAAGCAGACCGGGACAACATGCCGGAGGGGGCCCCTGGGCCGCACGTTTTAATTGCTGGCAGAATATCATCCCCCGCGAACGGCGACAAACCATGGCTGGGTGTGTTCCGCAGAGGGGCCGCGGCTGCTGCGGCCTCCATTCCAACCGTCATCTCCTTTCCGCTGCAATTGGTTCCTAGCGCAGTCTGATGTGGACAAAAGGTAGTGTGGCAGTCTTTTGATTGGCTGCGGATGGGTGTAGTGCCCCTACCGAATTGGCTGACCATCGGAAGCTGCCCAAGCCGAGCTACGGCATGTGCAGGAGGTCCGTGTGCCCCGTCTGATGGTGCCATCCGTGGTGCCTCCAAGAGCCGCCCGCTGTCGCCTGCCGCCGACGGGGGCCTGGTGCCAGCCCCTTGAGAGCGCATGGAAGCTTCACGCCCTACGCACAGTGGAGGGGCAGTAGCAGACCCATTCGCCGGCTGAATCCGATCACCAGAAGAGGCGTAGCGTTTCATCGCTGCACTCGTCATCCCCAACGGCCCACTTTGCGTCGGCGGCAGCAGCCCGTCCTCTGCAGGGCCGGCCGCAGCCGCAGCCGCCACCGCCTCAAACGCGGAACGCGGAAACACTGCAGGTATTGTTGCTGCGTAGGCGCCTCGCTGATGACTGGCGGCTCCCTCCACGGCGGCTCGGAAGGCAGAAGCAGCAGCGGAGGAAAACAGAGGGGCCAAAGGTGCTGCCAAGGGTGCTGACTCCTGTGGGACTTCTTCGGTGCCGGAAGCCGTGCTGGTGCAGGCCTCAGTCGAATTACCAACCCCCTCTATTCCGGCTCTGCCATGGCCACTGCGTGCGGCTGCTGCTCCTGCAGCCGGCATCATCGGCGGCAGCGTCACGGTGGGTTCACTTGCATAGGCAGCCAACGCCGAGGTCGCTGCGGTAGCAGCATAGCGAGAAGTGGCCCCCTGAAGCTGGATGCTGGATATCTGCCGCCTGGGAGCCGGTGACGAAGGCAGTAACATCTGGATTCGACGGCGGCTGGTGGAGAGAGGAATGTCTTGGGACGCCGTTCTGGACCGCATGCGCTGTTTCTTGGGGCTGTTGGTTGCGCTGCTGGCGGGTGTAGGCTGGCCCTGCTGGCTATGCGTCGCCAGCGAAGTTGGAAGTGACTTGGAAGTGGGCTTCGTGGGTGGCCTGTGTTGTAAAGGGGGAGCAGTGCCACGTACGCACGTGGAGTCACGTGGAGCGGGACGGCAGTTGGGCCAAGGCAAGAAAGACAGACGACGAAGGGCCTGCCCAGTGTTCATCCCAACCTGCGGTTCCCTTTCCGGCACGTTGCAAGAGTACGACCAGTTGTCGCCCAAGTGGCCATCACTCACAGGTGCGTCATCACCACCACGCCGGAGGGATTGTCCCACGGGTCGGCGGCTGCTGGTGGCAGCGGCGCATGGTCTAGCAGCTCCCGCGGCCAGGGCGCCTCCAGAAGCGCCTGGTGACATTAACATGCATGGGATGGTCATCAAGTGACACTTATGGGCACTGCAGACATGGCAGAAGTACTAGATCTGGTCGCGTCTGACAGATTCAAGATCGTAGATCACCGCATGGAGCCACAAAGCAGTGTAGTCCTGGAAAGCAAGGCTCACGTTGTACAATAACTTGCACCGCATATCGGCATACCGATACGTAAAGGCTGTGTATCAATCATTGGTTCGCGTTCAAAAGGCGGTAGCTTGCGTGTAGGCTACCTGTATGGCTACCTACAGGCCATGCAGTGCCGGCACATGTCGGCACCTTTGCGCCGGATAGCTCATTACTACAGGTATCGCACCTGCTGGGCTGCCAGGCAAAAGCTTACAGCATGATGAGGTGTATGGAAGGCCAGAATGAAGGAGTCTCCCTCCGTGGCACTTTCGTACCCATGGTGCGCTCGCAACAGCTCACGCACCACAGTATGATGAGTCTGCGCGCATGGAATGGTTGCAGCTCAGAGGCGAAGTTTGGGCAAACGGCGCAGCAGAGAACCGCAGGCGGATTCCAGATAAGGCGGAAGCTGCAGGGCCAATCACCCACCTTCAACGCAGCATCCATAACGGCCACGTCCAGAGCCTCCCACAGCGTCGTAGAGTCCTGGATGTCTGTTACCACAAGTGTCGTGTTGGGCCCCACACCGGGAGCCTGCTGCAGCTCCACGTCCGCCGCTCGCGCAGCGGCGCGCCGCCGCCGTACGATAAGCACCGCAGCCGCCAAGCCAGCGGCCATCAGCAACGCGGCGGCGCAGGGTACGGCAATGGATGCGGCAGTGCGCCGGCGGCGAGAGGCGGCGGCAACAACGGGAGGCGGCGGAGAGGCGGCGGGAGGCGGGCTGGGTTGCCAGTTGAGAGACCTGGAGGAGGAAGGAGGGCGGCAAGCGGGCTTCAGCGTTCGTAAGCGGTAGAAGTGGAGGGACGCGGGCGCGAGGAAGTTACCAACTCCTGACTGCAGGACTTGGCGGTCCTTCTCTTGCCCTTCTCAAGCTCTTAAAATCGAGAGCCTTTCTTACCTGCGATACTCCGTTGCGAACGCCTGCAGCCCCGCAGCGTCCACAATGGCCTGCAGCGCCGCGCCAAGCTGCGTCACTGCTTGGCGGATTGCCACGTCCGCGTCCAGCGTCATGTTGACCGCCGCCAAGCCGGCTTGTAGCAGTGCCGTTCTGTGGCAGCAACGGTGTTAACGCAGATAGGTAGCCAGATAGGCCATAAGGACGCATGGACAAGGTACACGGGCGTGGGCTTAGGGTAGCTGGCATGGACGGCAAGGCCCACAACGCGCTTGTGGCTCCTACAAAGGTGCTCTCGCTGCGCCTGATTTCCCGGATTGAACCCAGCCTTCCATCGGCTGCTCCCAAACTATTTCGCTCTGGCTCACTGCCTCCCATTTGACCACGCGGCTGCCAGGTAAGGTTAATCCGTAGTTCCAAACCCCGCCTTCCAGCCCCTCCTCACGTGGCATTGGAAGCGTAGCGCATTTTGAGGTCCACGTAGGGGTTGCTGGAGGCGGTTACGCTGCTGTACACGTCCAGGAAGCGGGCGACGTCGCCCGCGTCGTACCCTCGAGCCACCCACAGTTGGGCCGTGTCGGGCGCCATGTCTCGGGCGCGCACCGGCACCGCCTCTGGTCGGCATAATGGGGTCGGGCATTCAGAAGGGTGAGGTAAAGGGAATCTCTTGTCACATATCCGAGGACATGACAAGGTTCGGCAGAGGTGGATGGCGGAGTTAAGGAACATGACCGTATACACGTTCCGCACCGTTATCTTCCATCAGTAGCCCGGCGCCGCCGAGCACCCTAGGGCTTAGCACATACGTGAAGAAGGTGAACGCCTGGGTTGGGGGCAAGCACAAGGGAGAAGCAGCAGCCGGGTTTGGTCAAGTGGCAGGCGTTCTGTGGCGGGCAATCAAAAGGATCCGCCAGCAAAGGCCAGACAAGGCCAGCAGCAGGTAAGCGCGGGTTGCAACAGCACTGTCAATGCTAGCATGCATGTGCGCGGGCTTGAAGGCACTGCCTAAAAAGACCCGTGCACGGCGGGTGGGCAAGCAAGGGGTACGCCCGTAGAGGAGTCAGGCACCGACCCAAGAAGCGATTTACACGGCAGCACATACAGGGCAGGCGGCTGCCCTCGGGCGACAAGGCAGCGGCTACCCTCGGGCTTACATAAAACTGGTAGAGGGGTGGCGACAGGCCGTTGAGGAGGATGACCGTGTTTGCCACAAGGGGAGCGCGGTTAATGGGAGTGATCGTGCCGTTCTGAGGGCGGGGCAAAAAAAGGTAAGGGAGCGGGGCGCGGATGAAACCTGAGTCTTTGAGTCAATAGAGGTAAAATGTAACGGGTTCCTGGGACACATCCGTGGCTCCCTTGAGGCATGATTTCAGTACTACTCACAACCCCAAGCCCACGCTAGTTGGGCACCATAGCCCTCTCCTCCATGTACTCAGCAGCGTTCGCTCAACCTGGAGAGGGCCGCGTTCCATTCCTATCTTTCCAGCATTTGCAACTACCGGTACTTCATTCCGCCATTGCTGCACGTAACTACCAAGCTACTGCATCTCCCAAAGCTCTCGCATCCAGTTTTCTGCTCAACGGCCCCCCACCAGCACACCTGCTCCTGCATGTAGTCCTGCGCCAGGGGGCAGCGGGCCTGGTCGCACGGCACCAGACGGCCGCTGGGGCGGTCCAGCACCCGAGTGGAACCGGGCAGCGGGGCCAAGCCAATGCGCCCGCGCATGGAGCTGTTACCCAGATTGGCGGACTGGTGGGGAGGGTGGGTGGGACAGCGTGGGGCAGTCTGGATAAGTAGTATAAAAAAGGGTTCTACGTCTTGTCCAAGCCAATGTGAGCAGCAGAGGTGGAGTATATGGTCAACGGATTTTGGCGGTAATTAGATGAGCTAGCTCCGATGCACGTCAGCGCTGGACGGGGAACTAAAGCCCCCCTGGTACGTACGTACCTTGAAGGCTCCCGGCTCGCCGACTGCCAGCAGGCAGCGGCCCACGTTGAAGTCCCGCGGGACGCAGGGGACACCGATGGACGAGGAGTTCAGCCCCACGGCGCGAATGCGGCGCATGATCTGAGTGGGTGCGGGGGTGAGCGCGTGGGGAACACGGAAGGACGAGGGACGGTCGATAAAGGAGGTTGGGGTACGGAGTGAGTGCGTATCCAGTAGTGCGAGGAAAGATGCGACGCAGGAGGTGTTAACACGACCCACACATTGATGCAAGGGGACGAAGGAAGAACCTGCCAGCATGCCTCAGGGTGCCCCACCCCTCTCCTCTGCCGCATCAGGCCCTCCCCGCCATTTTCCATCCTAACCGCCGCATCATCAAGAACTGTGAGCAAGCTAGGCCGTTCCAATGCTACCCCCAGCCATATCTCCTTCTGCCTCTCCGCAGTTCCCACCCGCAGCGCCGCTTCCACCGCCTCCGTGCTCCCCAGCTGCTGCAGCGTTTCCGCGTCCCACAGCACCCCCTGGGATGGCCCATGGGTCTGTACGTAGCTGCCGAGGATGTAGCGCAGCACGAAGCTCTCAGAGCGGCAATCTGGGGGCAGGAGAATGGACGAAAGGCTTGGGATAACAAGAACCGCAACGGGGTTATTTATTGCTTGTGTGTTTGAACTTAACAATCAGCATGAAGCACGTTTCCGCACTGCATACGGCTGTGCTATCAACGCACGTGTTTGCATACGTGTTACAGTCCACACAGTGCTGTATGTAAGCCCGCATACCGCTACTCACTTGGCACCCACAGGCATGCGCCCACCAGGCCCTCCCGGCCGTGGTAGCGCTCCGCGAGGTCTGTAAATTCCTCCCAGGTGCGCGGCGGCCTCAGCCCGTCCCGCTGGAAGATGGGCAGGTGGTAGTATGTGAAGAAGGGCACGGGCAGCAGCGGCAGCGCCACCACAGCGCCGTCGTACGTTACTGCCGTACCCCGAAACTGCGGCCGGATACCCTCCCAGTCGAGCATTGTATCGTCCGATACGATGTACGACAAATCTAGCAGCTTGCCGGGAACCTGGGTAAGCGATGGGCAAAAACAACGAACTTGTCATGGGCATGGCAATAGAGCGAACCAGGCTAGGAGTACAAGCAGGAAGCGATATGTTGGCTGCTTAGCGACTCCCGTACTTCAGGGTGGTTTGGAAAGTGCGGACGTTCCACAAACCCAACCAACCGCTGCCAACCGCCTCTCTGCTGACCTGTGCAGCGTCTCCGAATGCTGTGGGGGCAACCATTATGGCATCATAGCCGCTGTTCGCGGTGGGCGGTGAAGTGTCCAATAACATTGAACCACGCGTCGCTGAGAAGGTTCCCTTAGAAGGCAAGGCGAGGCAGGGAGGACAATTACATACTCAGGCGGCGCGGTATCAAGGATAATGAACAAGGGCGTGGTGCCGCGGTGCCATGCTGTGACGTGTTAGGACCAGGCACTGCATGGTGAAGGATTGTCCTAAAGGCAGATGACATGCTGGATCAGACAAGGGCCGTAGCGAGATCGTAGAAGCTCTAAATCTACAGCTGCGGCAACTGTGACCCACCGGTGACATAAGCACGAATTTAACGGGTACACCCGTAGCCCCGCTAAACGAGGAAGAATTGCTGCTGCTGGCCAGTTGGCTCAGGGTACGCACAAGGGTGCCATCTGGGGCCAGAATGCGCAGCGGCTGCGGAGGTGAAGAGGAGGGTTGTTGGCGAGTGTACGGAAGAGCAGGGATGACAGCACAGGGGTAGTCATGGATTAGGGCGCCCGGGGTTGCAAATAGACGACAGGGCGGCTTGGGTTCTGGGAAAGCAATGAAACCGATGCTAGGCGTGTACGGCATAGATATTGATAGGGTCCAACCGCCCCTGCACTCACGCGGATTGTCGTGTTTGTAGCGTTGTTGGCCTCTGTTAAACACTCGTGGAGCATGGTCGCTATCGCCAGTCTTGGTGACTCGGCCCATACGCCACTATCCTCAGTGCGACAGCTGCAGTTTGGCATACGTCCAACCGTGTATTAGTGTAACGTGTGTGTGGACGTAGAATGCGAAGTTTGTTTACCTTTGCAGGACTCGCTGCCCATGGTTTGGTCCGCAAAACGACGCAAGGTCGTCATTCAGCGGCTGCGCCCATACCCTTATACACGCTGTTGTAATTGCTAACAGTATGGCCCAAAGGCACATCTGGCAGCAGTTCGCTACAATACTGGCGCTAGCTTCACACAGGACGGGCTGTCGAGGCCCAATCGCTGGCGCAAACTCAACAATTTCCTGCCATCAATGAAAACATCCAACTGCGAATGGAACGACATGCGCTTTTCAGTAACCTAACGCTTGTCCCATGAAAATCTTCTGGTTAGGGCTGCGCTATTGCCATCGCCTGTGCAGCGCCTAATTCATATTTTAATTAAGTAGCCAAACCGGATTTGATAGGGAAGCTCGAATATAGCCGATAGGTCCATAGCTGGTTACCGTAAAGGTTATCCCGTGCATTGCAGCGCCCCCGCTCGGTGATTCCCTACACCAAGTTCCTAGGCGGAATTACAATAAGCAATATTTGCTAACAGCGAATACGTGTGTCGCAAAGTTCCAGTCGCGCTCCGTCGCTCGTCGATTCGCCTTCCGTAACCTATCCCGGCCCAACAATACTCCAGCAAGCTATATCGTAAAGCACGGCCGAATGGCTTTTCTCTTCTCGCACATAGCGCTGCATGGCCCAGTAACCAGGGCTCCTAAGTTCTTACCAGGCATCTAGGCCTGTAAGACATTTTGCACGCTGAAAATGGTTAATTTATATTTTTACATGCCGCATAACTTTCGGTCGTGTTCTCAGACGATACTGTTCGCTGCGTACGAAACAAGTGCCTGAAAGCTCTCTTGCAGCCCATATAGGCCTGTACACTGCATAGGTGCGGTTCATCTATCTCCTACAATTACAACTTGGTAAAAATTTGGTCACGCTCGTTAGGGTTGGCGCACTTGCTGGCAAGCGACTTGGGGTTCAGCTGTTGGCACTGTTGCAATTAAGCCTCATAAACAATACGTCCAGCTGTGATAACCTGCGACCTCGTTGACTTGCTGACACTAGCGACATTGGTAGTCCAAGTACCTGCGGTCGCAGCCTGCACTTTTGCCTTATGCGCAAAGAAGCCTATGTGATAACTAATGAATTTGTGCATGCGCTTTCACTACCTGTGGAGCAGAGAAGGGAAGGAGAATGCAACGGTCACCAGTTGTGCAGCGAACAGAACGCCAGGAGGCAAAGCACCGTTAAATGGGCAACGCTACAGCATGAGAGGCGTTCGATTAGCGTGGAGAGTCTCCGACTGACCAATTGTACCGCCCCGTGTCCCTGAGCTTAACATACGGCTGTAGGAAAACGCTTGCAAACTAGAGCACACTCCACGCCAAGCCACCTGACAGTTCTGCGTGCATGCTCCAGAGCAATTTGCGTCCGTTCGCGTTGCCTTGGATTGTTTCAACATCCAGCAGTAGGCTCAAGCCCCCCTCTACGGTCAGCTGACTTGCTGCCAACCCGTTTGCTCGTCGGCTGACCCGTTGTCGGCCTGTCTGATATGCCAGGCTAGCCAAACCCTTCATTGCGCAAACGGCAACGGCGGCAGCCCTCTGGCTATCAACATGCATTACACCTGTCTCTCTGGTTGTTTAGGGCGACACGCCACTGCCGCCGCGCCCGCCACTTACTGATCCGTCTCCATTTCCTACCACGTCCTACTGCTGATGTTGCTCCTCAGCCGCTATTTAGCAATTGAGTTGGCCTACCCAGGCTTCTCTCCATCCCACCGTGCATGTATGGCTACGCTAACAGCAAATGAGACCCACGGGTCGCGGAGAATGTCTATTAGGAAAGGCCCTTCCTGCACAACCTGTTCTAAATTGCTTTTTCAGCGCTCTTCCGTTCGTCGGTGAACAAGGCACTCTATAGTAGCATTAATTAGCTCAAGGAAAGACCCCAGCAGGCACAAGACTAGCCATAGCTGAAAATGCCTTATCTGGTAACCGACAGCTACGAGGCGAAGTAACGCAAACTACGCAGAGATACAAACAGGAAATGCGGGGGCCGAGTCGCATGGGCAGAAAAAATTCCCATACCAGGCATACGCGAACCCTATTTTCGACCACAAGCAATGCAGCAATATTTTCGTATGCACTTCATCACAGCTGCCTATTAACGGCATATATAGAGCCTACACTGCCTGAGGACCGTACAGAAACACAGGACATAGAGAACTAATACGTAATAACTTAAATAAAGCATCTACCATGCATCCATCTCCTATGCGCCAGTAGCAGGAGCAGCAAATTTAGATAGTTATAAGCCCTAGAAGATGGCCAGAACCGCTTAGGAGGACTGGCTCAGATAAGACAGGTGCAACAGCAGACAACCAGACATGCGCAAAGTGACGAACTGCTTAGTCATGTATGAAGGACCACCATCCCTCAATGTAAAAAAGAAAATGAATAGGCTACGCTCTAACTGCCACTGCCATGCCATAAACCGCCATGCCTTAAACTCCATGCCATTAACTGCCATGCCATATTGCCACTACCTGCAATGCCAACAACTGCCATGCCAATAACTGCAATGCCAAAGGCCGCAGCATCCTCCTACCCAACAGCCCGCGCGTGCAAATATCCCCAATGGTACGCACGTGCAGCTGCGATTACGCAGCCGCCGGCAAGCGTCTTGGACCTTGCCTGGCCACACCTCGCCTGGAGCAAGTTCGCAGCAGTAGCTTGCAGCAAAACCGTAGATTGGAAATAACTCCATACTTAGATTCCCCCAGCATCCCCCCATGCATTTAATTCCCAATGGGGGTGATAGATAGGAATTACTTTCACCACTCTTTAAGCAGAGTGCTAAATCAGGAACACTTCTTAAGGTGACTAAAGCTCTTAGGATAAGGGGCACCAGTAATCATAGGCATTGAGCAAGTGTACAGTACCCATGCATGATGACGCCCTCTCCGGATGTGCGCCTCCTCTCGGTGCCAGATTAGGCGTAACTCATCACATACACGTTGCCACCTAACCCCATATATAGATGTATTGACTTCAACCGACAACCCGGCGTACTGTTGTTGACACCTGCATCCAACACCCTCCGTTCAAACAACCAATAGGCGTGATGCTAGCGACTGGGGAAGGCGTGATGCCGTCTCGTCATTCGTCAGCACCTGCATAGGAGGGCCGGCAGTTCAGCAGCAGGAAAAGGACGCCGCTTTCACAGGATAGCCGACATAAGCAAGGGCACAACGAACCGCAGCGAAAACGACGGCGACAGGATAACGGGACCAAGCTAAGGTAAAGACCAGCTGAGCAAACCCCCTTCATCCACACGGTACTTACCTTCCCTGGCTTGCCCTTCGCTAGCAGGGCACGTGATAGCGTCCACGCTCGTCCTTTGTACGAGAGCTGACAAGCTAATGAGCCGCCGCGGGGCAACTCTCCGCCTAGTTCGCCGTACGCAAGCGCCGCTCGCGCACGCAACCCACGCTGCAGCAGTACGAAACCCTCACTGTCGGAACAACTGACATCAGCGTCGACACCAGCCGTCTCCGCACCGCCAAGGCTGCTGCCATCACCGGTGGTACGGCATATGCCAGAGAGGCACGCTGCCGTAGCAGCTGTAGCAGCCATTGAAGCATCCAAACCAAAACCACACTGTGGCAGTTGCGCTGTCGTCGACGAGGCCGTTGCTCCAGGACTACTGCCGTTTGCACTAGTACTGCCGTTTGCACTGGCAACTGCAGCTACAGCAGCGTCTGGATTTGCCATTGTAGTTGCAGCCGTGGCGGGGTCTGGCACGTCAGAAGCCGCCTGTGTGGTGGCAGCAGGTGCTGCCATGCTGATGCCGTTAGTGACGACAACGCGAGAGGACGGTTGCCAGCCGAGCGGCGCTGGCCGCAGCACTATCCTGCCAGCCCTGTCGACTGCCAACTCTTCGTACATGGGGTTTTGAAGGAGCTCTGCGGGCCTGTAGGCGCGAGGATGTAGCAGCAACGGTTGTACGGCTCTTTTAAATCGCAGATGGAGAACGATGAGGATAGATGAGAACTCAGGTAGCTAACCATTTTACAGGTCGGCCTACGTTGCTGCTGACCTTGTGCGCCATACCATTATGGAGCGGGCTCAGTTTTGAGTCCTACCATTTTCATAGTTTGCTTGCGACCCAAGTAGGCCCCAGTCAGCAGCCTTTTCCATCGAGCGCATCTTCTCACTTACCAGGATAAGTAAGGCAGCACATCCAAAGCGCGTAGTAGCCAGGCTGCGGCCTCTTGTGGACTCGCAAAGACCACGGTCATGGCGCCCGGTGCACCATGCACACTAGGGTTGCCACCGCCGCCCCCACCGCCGCCCAACACTGCACCCCTGCAGCTGATGGTGCGTGCACGCTCCCACCGGCGCCGCTGTGTCATCGTCTGCTTCCAGAGCTTTACACTGCTGCCGAACAGGCTCTGACGCTCAGGGGTCAAAGGCTCGCCAGGTGATGCCGTTTGCTCGACAAGCCCCTCACGTGCTGGTTGCACGGCATTCAGAAAAGGAAGCGGCGCAGACAGCTCCTGGGATGTCAGCTCTAGTTGCTGCTGGTGCTGCTGCGGCTGCAGCGGCGTAGTTGACAAAAACGCTGGCGGCAGTTGCTGCAGCGGATGGCCGAGAACTCTGGCGCTGCCGCTTCTGCGCAACGGTAGTTGCTGCAGCTGGGACGGCAGCAGCTGGGGAAATGTTGACATGCTCCAGACGGTGTTGCCATCATCACACCACGGCGGATGCTTGTTGCGCCGGAATACCGCGCCGGCAGCACCGCCGCCGCCGCTGCCGTCGCCGTAAGCAGCATATCCAACCGCGGCGGCGTCGCTGGTCGTGCTATTGAAGGGAAGCGTAGCACTGCCAGAGGAGGTACTGTTGATACCCGCAAACTTTGTTTTCCGGCACGCCTTCTCATTCGTCCACGTACTTACCGTGCCTGCCTGGGGTACATTGCTATTCCCGTCGTCACCGCTGCTGCAGCTGCCGCCGATGCCGCCGCTGTTGTACAGCCCGAAGGCGCCTTCGACGACGTACGGCATCTTTTCTCCGGCGGTGGCGCCGGCGGCCGCCACAAGCCCATCTAGCAGTGCATCGTACAAGACATTTAACGCACGGTGCGCTACCTCCACGTTCCACGCGAGCAGGGCGCCGTAGCCAATCACCGAGATCCTCGCCACGGCCCCATGGCCCACCATTGGCGCCGACAGCACGCCGCTGAGACCGCTACCGCCCAGCGGCGGAACCGGCGTCACATTCCGCAGCGGCCGCTGCAGCGCCAGCCGACCCATCATGAACGACCCACGGGTCAGCGCCTGGATGAGCTGCAATGGCGGCAGGTCCTCTCCCACCATATAACGTCCCAGCCACAACAGCTTCGCGTGGGGTAGTGCCTTGGATGCAACAGCGCCTTCATTGCACAACGAATCGTACGTGCAGTCGGAGAGGAGAACCATGCCCCCATTTGCTGCGTCTGCCACAGCCTTCGCTAACCGCAGCGCAGGCCCACTGTACTGCATCCGCCCGCTTGCTTGGTTCTGCGAAACGTCGGTCCTCCGCAGCAGCCTGCAAGCACAGCCCATGCGCACGCGAAGGCCTCGGTAGACCAGCACGCGAGCAGAGGCAGCGCCGCCACCTCCTACGCGACCCCACCGGCCGCCAGATCGGGAGGCGTCGGGAACCACGTTGCGACCGCTGAGACCGCTGACCGGACTGTCGCTGCCGCCCATGCGGCATGCGGCGGCGAGGCCGCCAGCGGCACTAGCTGCAGCGGCAGACCCCTCGCCGCCTGCAACTGGCGATAAGACTGGACCGGCGGCCTCGTGGTCTTCAGTCGGCGTTACCGCCAAGGGCAGCACCACCCATTGCTGCCGTAACCATGCGATCAGCGAGGTGCAGGTCGCAGCCTGCACTTGTGCGTGCAGCAGCGGCGACGGCGCCTCCCGTAGCACTTCCTTGCGCCCAAACGCCGCCGCCAGAGTCCTTGCAGCCGCCGCAGACCTTGGCCGAAAACCCATGTTGGCGGCGGCCTGATAAGTACTTACTGAAACGGGAACTGGAGGGGCAGTTCCGGTGATGGCAGTTGCGACGGCCGCGGGTGCGCCTGCCGGCGCAATACGCGCTGGCGGCCCGGGCGACAAGAGCTCTGATGCGCCTGTTTGTTGCCGCAAGAAGTCCAGCGCCCCTGAAGCCGTCGGCGACGTTGGCCCGAAGGAAGCGCGAAAGCCGCATGTCGCAAGCTTTGGCGTCGTACAAGCAGCAGCTACTGACGGCAGCAGCGCAAAATCGGATGTGTGGAGCAGCTGGCTTGCCACCGCTGCAGCATCCGTCCCGCCTGCCTCCTTACCCTCCAGGTCTATGGAACCTGTCAAACTGGGTTCGTACTGCAACGAAGGCTGCGTAGGGAGCGCAGCACTAACCTCGTACCCTCCGCAAGTGCTTCTCGGCGTAGTGGTTTGGCGAAATTGGAAGGGGGAATGGCAGCTGTTCAATGTGTATGTTGAATGCCCTTGTTGGACCTTATCGAACTCGCTAACCACGGGAAGCTGCCCGAGGCGAGAAAAGACGCGTACGGGCGGCACGTGTTGCGGCCTTCTTATCAGGACTGCGGACACCATCGGCGACTCCAGTCGTCCGCTGTCGCCTGCCGTGGGTGACGGGGACCCGCTGCCTGTCGCTTGGAGCAATGCTGGAGCCACCGGCCGTGGAGGGATTGGAGCGGAGGCCCCGCCCGAACCGGGTGACTGTCCAGCATGCTGCTCATTACCGGTAGCACAGAGGTAGTGTTCTATCGTTGGAGCAGACTGCTGACGGGTAGCAGCCGGCGCACTCTTCGTCGGCTGCAGCAGTCCCTCCTCTGCCTGCTGCCTGCTGTCTAGCACCGCCACCTCAGTCTGCATCCTTAACAGTGTAAACCGCGTGGACGACGTACCTGCTGCTGTTGCTCCACACGTCCTACGTCGAGTGGCACTGAATGCAGCAGTGCCGTAAGGGCGCTCAGAAACGGCGGCGGGTGGGAAAGTAGTGGCCGGTTCAACCAGCGACGTAGGCAACGGATGAGCTCCCCAACTGTCCAAATCCGTGCTTGTCCCGGTGTCCGTAGAGTTTCCACCCGCCTCCGTGCCGGCTGTGGAGCGAATTCGGCTTGAGTCTGCTTCTGCCGTCGTCAACACTGCTGCCTGTGCGGCATGGCGAGTTGAAAGGCCCTGAACCTGGCTGCTGGAGGCCGGCCGCCGCTTCGGTGTCAACGGTAGTGTTTGAGTTCGGCTGCGGCTGAAGAAGAGAGGCGAGTCGACGGCGGCTATTGTCATCGCAACGGCGGACACCGCCCTGTAAAGGGTGGGCGTTCTTTTGGGGCTGCTGGCTGCGCTGCTGGCAGGTGTAGGCTGGCCCTGCTGGCTGTGCACTGCCGGCCGAAGGGACTTGTAAGTGGGCTTGGTGGGTGGTCTGCGTTGTGCGGGGGGAGCAGATACCACAGGGAAGCACACTCAACGTCACATGTAGTATCGGTTTGGTTGCTTGGATTGTCATCACACGTGGAGGCAAGCGATTTTGCAGCCGCCAGCGCAAGACGGCGTGAGGGCAGGAGGGTGAAAGACGGCGCGAGGGCAGGGGGGTGAAAGACGGCGCGAGGGCAGGGGGGTGAAAGAAGGGATCGAACCAGCATGTACGGCCATCTGCTGCTGCGAATGTAAGAAGGACCACCAGCAGGTGGGGGCCCCAGAGTCCCCTGGACTTGCGACACATGTTTATCACAACGACACCACTGCACATACGTACAATTTCATGTTGCCCACCGCGTGGCTCCTTTTACGGACGCGCTAATTTTATTTTGTAGACATGAAAGTGTGAAACGCATGACCCTCCCTCCGCGACTCACAGGTGCGTCATCACCACCACGCCGGAGGGATTGTCCCACGGGTCGGCGGCTGCTTGTGGCAGCGGCGCATGGTCTAGCAGCTCCCGCGGCCAGGGCGCCTCCAGAAGCGCCTGGTAGCGTGAGCGTGTGGCATTAAAATTTATCGGGATAGTTCCCATGTGTGGAGCATGGAGCAATGTCGAATGCGGCTAATGCCGTACAGGGTTCGGTGCGTACCACCCCGTTCAAGACTTAGAGTATGTGGTTATTGCTTGAAAGGAGATGGCCTGCGTTCAACAAGTATGGCTACTAGGCCAGCAAGGACATGCCACCACTACGCCAAATAGCCCGTATACAGCAGCGCACCTGTTGGGCGGCCAGGCAAAAGCCCACTGCATGACGGGCAGCGTGGAAGGCTAGGATGAAGGAGTCTCCCTCCGTGGCGCTCTCATACCCCCGGTGCGTCTGCAGCACCTCACGAAGTACGCGATGGTGCACCTGCAGACGTGGAAAGGAAAGGAAAGGGCACAACAGAATTGTTTCCTGGGCAATTCGGGGCAAGGCGCACAGCACGGTCCTCTCTGCTGGAAAAGGGAGGAAGGGCCCAGCATAGTTACGGTCGAATCTCCCACCTTCAACGCAGCATCCATAACGGCCACGTCCAGAGCCTCCCACAGCGTCGTAGAGTCCTGGATATCGGTCACCACAAGTGTCGTGTTGGGCCCCACACCGGGAGCCTGCTGCAGCTCCACGTCGGCCGCTCGCGCAGCGGCGCGCCGCCGTCGTACGACAAGCACCGCCGCCGCCAGGCCCCCCGCCAGCAGCAACGCAGCGGCGCAGGGTACGGCAATGATTATGGCGATGCGTCGGCGGCGAGAGGCGGCGGCAACGACGGGAGGCGGCGGAGAGGCGGCGGGAGGAGGGCTGGGCTGCCAATTGAGTGACCTGGAGGAGGAAGGAGGACGGAAAGCGGGCTTCAGCGTCCGTAATCAAACGCGTGTAGCGATTAGCTGGTGATATCTGGGTTTAGAGGTGCGCATGGTCCATGCCGAAGCACACACGCTGTACCCCAAAGCAAAGCCCTAACGGCTTTGTTCCTCAACCATCCGACCCCTCACAACTTACACCTCCCGCGCTCCTTACACGCACACATCATGGACCGGTAGGTATTGGTTGAGCCTAGTAGCGTGGGTTTGCAATGCGCAGTGCGCAAGGATGGCCGATATGACGCATTCACGCGTGTGCCCTTCGCCCCACACGCTTTTACGTGGCTTTAACCTGATGCCATGTCACCTGCGATACTCGGCTGCAAACTCCTCCTGGCCCACAGAATCCACAATGGCCTGCAGCGCGGCACCAAGCTGCGTCACTGCTTGCCGTACGGCTGCCTCCGTGTCCAGCGTCATGTCAATCGCGGTCAGGCCGGCTCGCAGCAGAGCAGCCCTGGTAGGAGCGGGGTGGGACGTGGACATTATCCGGGTGTGCGTGCAAGGCATAGGGGTGTAACATGAAGTAGGAAGGCAGTGGCAGGATCGTACTTTGTGTGGTACGCGCCACTTCGCCTGCGCCTGATTCCTCGTGTCTCGGCTGCGACTACCGAGTTATAGCCCCTTCCCGTCCGCCCGTCTACCCGCCGCCGCCGCTCCCAGCGACCAGCCCCTCCTCACGTGGCATTGGAAGCGTAGCGCATTTCGAGGTCCACGTAGGGGTTGCTGGAGGCGGTTATGCTGCTGTACACGTCTAGGAAGCGGGCGACGTCGCCCGCGTCGTACCCTCGAGCCACCCACAGTTGGGCCGTGTCGGGCGCCATGTCTCGGGCGCGCACCGGCACCGCCTCTGGTGGGAAGTTCAGGGCGGAGGTTGTGGAAAGTTTAAGGAAGGATTGACCATTACATTGGTACCCCAAAAGGGAGTTAGCAGGATTCCGGAAGCAGAAGGCAAGTCGTGAGGATGAGAATGGGCTTGGAGACCGGTGGAAGGACGAGGACGAATAACTATAACCGCAGCCCCTTCCCACCGTTATCTTCCATCAGGAGCCCCGCGCTGCCTAGGACCCTGGGACTGAGCAGATATGTGAAGAAGGTGTATGCCTGGGTTGGGGGCAAGCACGAGGGAGAAGCAACAACAGGACTCAATCAGTAGAGGGTGGCAGCCATACCTGTGGCTGGAATGTTGTTTGCCAAGGGCTGATCAGCAAAAGTTAACCACATCGACGCTGTCATCACCAGCATAGCAAATACGGTGTGTGCGTAGTGCCGGTAACCACGAAAGGACGGCGTGGGTGACACAAAGGTGTGGCACACGCAGCATTACAGTTCCCACACAAGTCGTACACATGTCCATCTATCCCGTAGAGGAGCTCATGACAGGCTCGGGCAACACATGGGGGCGTCCCCGTACTGTTGGGACCTAGGCTTACAAAGAACTTGTAGAGGCTGGGCGATAGGCCGTTAAGAAGTACAACTGTGTTGGCCACAAGGGGCGCGCGGTTGATGGGAGTGACCGTGCCATCCTGAGGTCGGGTTGAAAGGAAGATACCGGAGGGTCATGCACGGAAGACGTCTGGGCGCTTATGCATTCGACGCGTTCACCTAGGACCCGCCCCGAGTTTCCCAGGAACAGGACTCTTGGTATGTTTGAACCAAGCATACGATGAGTGTCATGCATGCATGCAAGCCCCGTAATAGGCATGCATGCATCCCCCCTCACTCTCGCCCAGAGCAATTGCGCTGAGGGCTGCTTGGTTGCACGCACGTGATGCGCGTGCATGCTCCATTCCGCATGTCGCAACCATGCAACCGCAACTGCGCCGTCATAACTTGGCGTACGTGCACTTTCAGCCCAAGGTCCAAGCGTCCAGATTCCCTACCCAACCACACACCTGCTCCTGCATGTAGTCCTGCGCCAGGGGGCAGCGGGCCTGGTCGCAGGGCACCAGACGGCCGCTGGGGCGGTCCAGCACCCGAGTGGAACCGGGCAGCGGGGCGAAGCCAATGCGACCGCGCATGGAGCTGTTACCCAGATTGGCGGACTGGGCGAGATAGAGGGAGGGACAGAGCGGAAGACATGGGGGCAGCCTGGGTTAGGAAGGGTGCTGAGTGATAGTGGGCAGACGCAAGGCGACACACGACAGCGCGCGCTGGTTGGGGGTCTCAGCGGTATCGCCCCTCAAGCACCCCTGGATCGTACCTTGAAGGCTCCCGGCTCGCCGACTGCCAGCAGGCAGCGGCCCACGTTGAAGTCCCGCGGGACGCAGGGGACACCGATGGACGAGGAGTTCAGCCCCACGGCTCGAATGCGGCGCATGATCTGAGTGGGTGCGGGGGTGAGCGAGTGATTGAGGGGAACGCGTAGGACGACAAGCAATGCAGGTTGCAGCGCAAGGGGTGTGGTGCGAGTGAATGCCAGGACAGTTGAAGCAGCCGAAGAGATAGTATGCCAACACGCCTAACTGTGTGCACCCCATCCCTCTCCATATCTGCCGCATCCAGATCCTATCTCCGTTTTATCATGCTCCATCTAAGCCACGATGAAAACTCTTATGAAACTCCTATCATCCGTATCCCATGCGGCCCCTCCGCAGTTCCCACCCGCAGCGCCGCTTCCACCGCCTCCGTGCTCCCCAGCTGCTGCAGAGTTTCCGCGTCCCACAGCACCCCCTGGGATGGCCCATGGGTCTGTACGTAGCTGCCGAGGATGTAGCGCAGCACGAAGCTCTCAGAGCGGCAATCTGTGTTGCAGGCAGGCGAGGGAACGCGTGTGTAACACACTTCGTAGGCTTCACACAACCGAAACGCGGTCGGCTTTTCTGCGGCACGCATACCGCTACTCACTTGGCACCCATAGACTTGCGCCCACCAGGCCCTCCCGGCCGTGGTAGCGCTCCGCGAGGTCAGCAAACTCCTCCCAGGTGCGCGGCGGCCTCAGCCCGTCCCGCTGGAAGATGGGCAGGTGGTAGTATGTGAAGAAGGGCACGGGCAGCAGCGGTAGCGCCACCACAGCGCCGTCGTACGTTACTGCCGTACCTCGAAACTGCGGCCGGATACCCTCCCAGTCGAGCATTGTGTCGTCCGATACGATGTACGACAAATCCAGCAGTTTGCCGGGAACCTGGATAAGCGATGGGCGGAGACATGGTATTGTGCTGGATCCTGCGGCGTGCCTTGTCACGCAGTAACTCGCAAGCGTGTGGTTGTGTCAGCAGTGTTATGTTGCTGCTAGCGAATCAACTTTGGTTGGAACTTGGAGCCCATTAACCGCTGCCAACCCCTACAAACCAACCGCTGTCAACCGCTGCCAACCGCCGCCCTTTCGACCTGTGCAGCGTCTCCGAATGCTGTGGGCGCAACCATTATGGCATCATAGCCTCTGTCCGCAGTTGGCGGTGAAGTGTCCAATAACATTGAACCACGCGCCATTGAATAAGCTACCTGGCAGGAAGGCAAAGGGAAGATGAAAGGGTAGCTGAAAGAGCTGTGGCAAGGAAGGAGTTGCGCAGTCCTTGATGTGTAACGTCAGAACTGAGCAGCAGAAACCTACCGGTGGCATAATCACGAATTCAATGGGCACGCCTGTAGCTCTGCTGAATGAGGAGCTGCTGCCGTTGGCCAGTTGGCTGAAGGTGCGCACAAGGGTGCCGTCTGGGACAACAATGCGCAGCGGCTGCGTACGTAAAAGGGCCAATTTCGCGAGTGTAAAAGCACGAGGGATAGCAGCAAGTACTAAACGAACGCAGGTTGTTGCATGGAAGTTGGGGCGTGCGGCAGAGCACGACGAAGCTGCCACCAACGACAAAACCGGGACAAGCAAATTAAATCGGAGCCCGCACTCACGCGGATTGTCATGTTGGCAGAGCTGTTGGCCTCTGCTACACACTTGTAAAGCATTGTTGTTACAGCCAGTCGTGGTGACCCAGCCCATATACCGCTATCTTCTGTGTGACAACTGCAGTATGGCATAATTTTATGGTTAGAATGGCATCGCTTTCACGGACCTGTCCCAAGCGGCGGAAACTATACCGGTATATGTTCACCTTTGCAGGACACGCTGCCCGTGGTCCAGTCCACATACTACGAGGGGGTCATTAAGGGATTGGGCACATAATCTGAAGGACAAAGTGATGATGATAAGTATCCTCCAAGTGCATTGTTGGCAGCAGTAGTTCGCCCCCATGCTGGCGAACGCTTAATGCTAGTCCGGCTGTCGACGCCCGAAGGCGTGTGCTAACTCATTTAGCTAATGCAACAACCGAGAGGCTAGAATGCGGACGTTGACGCGACCTGCGCCTCTCCGTATTCAAATGACGAAGTATTCCTATCTCTACAAGCTCTCGTTTACTATAGTTTGCATTGTTGTCGCCATCTAAGAGGCGCGTCTAAAAATCGTTAATTTAAAAAAATTGCACAGGCACAGTGCTTACACATGCCACAGTAGGTTGCCGTAGACGTAACCTCGTGCACTACAACGATCCATATTGGCGCAGACTGGCAGTCTTTATATTGTTCTACACACCTTAAACTGTGTTTTTAATAACAACCCTCCACTGGCAAAGTGGCAATGCCTAGCAAACTGGAGTCGCCCTCCGACGTCGTCTTTCGACCCGGGCTGCGCTCGTAATTCTGCATAGCATCTTTTACTTTACTTGTAGCACTGAATATAGCACACTATCATTCGTGCTCTTTCTCATACTTGTTCGCTGTCGTCCGTCTCCCGCTCACTCTTTTGCGATATCATTGCAAGCTAAGAAGAATTAGACAAGCAAGGGTTATACCTTAATTTCTACCTGTGGTGTGGTCAAGTAGCCCCTGTCTAAGAGGTCTCGGCTGGTCGGTTCGCGCACGTGCCGTCAGCGCTCAGCGCTTTCTTCTTCTATAACGTATCCCCACTGGTATAACGAATGGCATACTGCGCCCCATCGATACAGGGCTGTGCGGCCCAACGTGTATGGGTCCTGATCGGGGTCTGCCTGGAAGCAGACGGCCATGCATGAATTGATTGCCAGTCACGGTCCCACAGTTCGCCTGTAAGGAGGCATGTGCAACAAGGGCTCATAGGTTTCCTCCCCTTGGCTGCTTCTGCTGACTAAGGAGGTGTAAAAGAGAGACGGCTATAGGTGTAACTGTGCGCAGTGCACTTACACGCCATGCACTTTACGCCTGCCTTGGTGATGTCCTGTAAGGGGACATGCCTCGTTGTCATTCTATACCGTACGTGTTGCTTGCAAACTGGCAGAGGTACGACGCGCCGGTATGCCGTGACTTATGCAATGGCACCAAAGGCGCCACACTACTTATCCCTATTTGGTCATAGATAGTCTAACTCTGCATGGTAATAGATGTGGGAATTGAACACGCTTACAGGCAATCTGCATTACCGAGCATAGCCTGCAAACTGACTTTACTTTACTTTACATGGTACGGTGTAGGGCCCTCCGCCCTACCGCACAACCCCACGAACCATTGCGGTCAAGAGGTGCAACGACAGCGACTAATAGCAGGGAGGAAGAACTGAGCTGAAACATTGGTTGGTCTCCGAAGAGATAGTCAAACCTAAACGCAATAAAACGCAAGCAGTAAACTCACATACTGGATTATGCTAAACTTATAACTCCATAGCTTGGTCTGCTATCGCCAGATAGATTCATAATTGTTCTCAGGGAACGCGGCACATGTACTTCAACAGGACTACGAACCCATCCTCAATCCTCATCACCGTCATCAGCTTGCGACTCCAGGAATGACACAGTTTCTACTCATTTGGTCATTCGCAACTAACTACATAACCACATCATGCTATTCTTCTACGCATATTCTACGCTTGTTCACTGTAAATACCCCTCACCACCTAAGTTCAGTCTCCTTTACCGTTGCCCTCCTTCGGCTTCCGCGGAGCTTTCGCACCTCCAGCAGCTAGCTGGTGGGCTACGCCGCCCCCAGTGTTGGCGCCTAAGGCACCCGCCCACCCAGAGGTGTGACTGCATCAGGGGGGGCTGCTCCATGGTTATCTACCATCCTAAGTTAAGCTTGGTATAGCGTATAGCGCTCCTGCCCTTGCGGCTTCACCCAAATTTCCGCTGCGTTGCGCCAAGCCGGGTTCATGCCCTGGCTCTTCAGCTGCGTGAACAGTCCTTGCTGCTGCTGCCTGGCCTCTAGCCCAGCTTTGGTGAGATAGTCGCGTACCACCCACATCAGTTCGCGCCTGATGAGTGCAGCCCTGCGTACAATGGTGCCCCACGCCACAGGGTTGATGGTGATGACGCGGCCCTTGGTTGTACAACTGACTGTTACACATCGTCAAAATTGTTGGCCGGTGTCTTAGCCCTATAATGGAGTACTGGCTATATGCGACAAAGGCAATATTCATTCCAACCCCTCGAGCCCTATATGTTAACATTCTCAGCCTTGCTGGCAGTAACTCAGTAAGGGCTTACCCCAGTCCTGCTTAGAGTCGCCTGCAAACTTTATATAGTACTCGACCTTATCATTAAAATCATACAAACACTTGTGGCACTTTCCCTTACCCTACTCGACTAGTTTGACCTTTAGACAGCTTTACCAATTTTGGGCCCTCACGGGACTTCGCAATTTAGAAGATGATACATCACAGTCTGTGAGATATCTGCGCACGCTTTGCTTGGTAGCAGCTGGTCCTGATGGCGACCGGAAAAGCACCATCCATCTTGATTGTTCCGGCGACGAGCTATGAGATTGACAGCGATTGTGGGCGGAAGCCCAAGACACCTAAGAAGACTCCAATTGTCTGCGGAGCCGCGCAGTCGCTGGATGGAGTCGGTGCCTCGTTCTATGACCCGCGAAACTTCCTCGTTCGGGGTGGGCAGAGGGCGTTCGAGCAGAAAATCTTGAGCATGAACAAGAATGCTATACAGGTGAGGCAGGTATAAGAATTTGTAGCCCTTGCATGGCATGTCATGGCTTAACGTGTCCGATGTCCACAGGAGCTGCGGGCAGCCAACTCCGTGCTGGCAGAGGAGCTGTTAAGGGAGCGCGCAGGGGCAGAAGAGGTGTGTTTTGCAGAGGTATCCCAAGTTCCGCCCCCTGGTCCCCAGTGCAAATGATACCGTATAGTGCGATGGGGAGCCTAGCAGTGGTGCACGTGTTCGTGCTCCGAGAAGATGCGCCCCCGCAGTGTAATGTTATGCATATGGTAACTAGTGCGGGATAACTGGCACACAACACGACGTCAATGGCTCGCCGATACCAGACTTGTTATCCTTTCGATGGTAAAGCCTCCGTGCCACGCACGTGGCTATCGGCAGCTCCTGACATACGACCGCACCTCCTGTTGCTGCTCCCGTCCGGCAAACTAATGGCAGCTGCCTGACCATGTGGTAACTGCCAAGCGGCTTAGCACTAAGTCTCCCACGTTTCCACGCCAAGTAACCATGTCCAACCCGTTCACCAACCCGTGCAGGTTCGTGACAAGCTGCGCGAGAAGGAGTGCGGCGTGGAGGCACTGCATGCCGCCATTGAGCGGCTGGAGAGGGCGCGCAAGGCGCAGGACAAGAAGCACCTGCTGCAGCTAAAAGAGCTCAACAGACGGTGTGTGCGTGTGCGGCTGTGCATGCGTGTGTGTTTTGGGCCGATGACCTCAGGGGCGAAGTGTACGGTTAGGTCGCCCCCAGGGGCCGCATGTAGTGCTTGGGGCGCATATGAGCAAGTGGCTAGCCTGGGTAAGCTGGGCTTTGGTTGGGAAGGTGCATGTGTGTACCTTGGGCGAGTTGTTTGGAGCTATTAGCTGGTCGTCCGGGGAGCGGCTTTCTTTGCATGCGAAAGATGCAAGCGTGCATGCTGTGGGACCCAAGTAGCACACAACACAAAAGTATTTGAGAGCGGCTGCTGTCACCTCCATGTCACCTTTAAAAGCTTGACTGTGCTCCTGCCCCGGCAGGTACAAGGAGGAGCAGGCGCAACGGCTGACGCTGGAGTCGGAACGCACGCAGCTGAAGGCCAGCAGGGAGGCAGTGGAGCGGCAGGTAGGCGGCGTTGCCATTGTTCAATGGGTCGCGCTAGCAGCCAGCTGTATGTTAGTTGACGCATGCTGGTCACTTATGGCATGTGGGCCCTGAGGCTCGGCTCGCGTGCAGCACGCGCAATGCAGCACGGCAGTGCCCTCACGCGAGCCGCTGCCATGCTGGCTCCGCAGGTGGAGGCGCTGCAGGAGGAGCGGGCGCAGCTGATGGACCTGCTCAATGCGCAGCGCAACAACTGCAGCCGGCTGGAGGTAGGGCACGGCAGTGGCATTTACAACGTTGGCTTGTCGCTTTTGTCGCTTGTCGCTTGTCTGCATTTCAACGTTTCAACGCAAGCTTAACCACATACTTTTTGTGATGTTTCTCCTATTGCCCTCCCTTCCTCCTTCCACCCTTGCCGCCTCACCAGGCAACCATAGCAGCCGACGCCGCCACCATTGCGGAGCTGCGCTCTCGCGCGCAGGCCACCGACACGCAGCTGGCTGATGAGGTGGCGGCGCGCCAGGAGCTGTTTGCACGGCATAAGGCCCTGGAGGCGGATTTCACGCTGGTTTCGGAGCGCCACAGCGCCCTGGCCGCCAGCAACTCGGAGCTGGAGGGGCGGCTGCGCGCCGCTAGCTCGCAGAAACAGCTGCTGGAGGACGAGGTGGAGGCCGCCAGGAAGGCGCTGCAGGTGGGCTGTGGGGAGAGTGCATGATGCGGGGCCATGTGGGGCTGTCCTCTGCACGTGGGGTTACAGGTGTTGGTGGGAATTCGTTATCAAGTTACGTCAGCTGTGCAATGAAGGTCGGTGCTGCCTCACGGCTCACATGGGCAACACACAGACTTGTATCCTTTCCGTGCCGCTTGCGCCTCCCAGTCACTCCCTCCCGCCCGTTCCATCCCGTTCCCTCCTGTATTACCTAGGCTGAAAAGGCGGCCTGTGCCGCGGAGCGCCAGCACGCCACCTCGCTGCAGTTCGACCTGACGCAGCTGCAGAGCGCCTCGCAGCTGGCAGCCGCAGCCGCAGCTGCCGACCAGGTGGAGCTGGAGCGCCTGCGCGGGCAGACGGAGCAGCTCAAGGCGGCCAGCGAGGGGTTGCGGGAGGACGTGGCGCGGCTGCGGGAGGAGGTGCTGCACCTGACGGCGCAGGGGGTGGCAGCGCAGGTGTGTGGTGGAGACGGGATGGGGTCTGACGTGTGTGCCGTTGCTGCTGGTTTTCTCCTTCTCCAACCGCCGGTACCTTTCCTAGACAGAGCTGCCGCACCGGTCATCATGTGTGCCCCACCACCATGCAGGCCAGCGCGCAGCAGCTGCAGCAGGAGCGCGACCAGGCGGTGCAGCAGCGGGAGGAGGCGCAGCAGCAGCGCGAGGAGCTGCAGCAGCAGCTGGTGGCCACGCGGGAGTCCCTGGAGCGGCGCATCCAGCAACTGGAGGCGGCCTGGCGGGACGACTCAGCGGCGCGGGCGCGGGCGGCGCAGGAGGCGGAGACGGCGATGATGCGCGGTCATGGGGAGGAGCTTGCGGCACGGCAGCGCGCATGGGACGGACAGCTGAGGGCGCGGGAGAAGGCGTGGGAGGAGGAGCGAGAGGCGCTGCAGAGGACGTGGGATGGGCAGAATAAGGCGCGAGAGAGGGCGTGGGCTGAGGAACGGGAGGCAATGCAGCGGGCGCAGGAGGAGGAGCTAGGTGCGTGGTGACGTCCTGGGTGGTAAGGGGAGCTAGGGCGTCGGCTTTCGTGGTGCTTTGCGCGAGTGAACGGCCTGCCCATGCACGCCCAAGCGGGCCTTATGAGGGCCCTGTTTCTTGATGACGAGTCTGCTTCACAGCCTTCCTAGCCCTTCAGGCTTGCATCACCCTAGTCACCACACTGTGTATCGTCTTACGCAGTCGTGTTCCTTGTTATATCACCATTCCTGCATGCACCTAACGCTGACCATGTCCGTGTCCTTATCCCCCTTGACCTCCTTCTCATGCTTCTGCTTCTTTTGCTGCTCCTTATCTGCTGCTGTTGCTCGCAGCTCGCAAGGATCAGGAGCTGCTGGTGCTGCGGGAGCGCATGCGCGAGGCGCAGTCCAGTGTTGCGGAGCTGGCGGCCGAAGTGGCTACCTTTAAGTTCCAGGCGGAGCGCTACGCGGCGGTGTTCCGGGAGAACGAGGACCTCAAGCAGCGCCTGGCGCAGGCTGAGGTGGGGCGGCGTGGTGCACAGTCCTGATGGCTGATGGCTGGGGCGTGAATAAGAACTGTCCTGCAGTGTTATGGCGTCGTTGTATGGCGTCAGGCTTGGAACAGCCTCCGCAGCAGAGGGCTGTATTCCGTGCACTGCTTAGTGCCCAGTCGCGTGCTGTGCGTTCTGCTTCCCCGCTTGACGCCTTTTTTGTTGAAGAGAACCCATATGATGTTCTTGCTTTGTTTTCTGCCGCAGGAGACCATCCGAGCGCGCGATGCGGCGCTGGAGGAGGCGGCTGCCTCCCAGGCCGCCCAGCTGGAGCTGTGGAAGGCGGAGGCCAATGAGGTGGCGCAGGCGGCAGCCAAATGGAAGCAGCGGTGTACGGCACTGCAGGGACAGGTGGGACCTGTGGCACATGGCGGTTGCTTTGTACATGGGGACATGGCTGATGCTGGGGTATCGCCTAGCGACTAGGGATTGCCGCGTAAAGCCTGTCATGGAGCGGACACGACAACGTTACACTGTCATGCTGTCCTGTCGGGGTGAACACCGTTGCATGAACAGTGGCTCCTGGTGGTACTTCCCGGTCACGGGAATCGCCCTCCCGCGCCTTACTGGAGGTGTAACATGCGCGCTACTGTCGCCCTGATCGCGTTGCTGCCTGCGCGTGCTGCATCTGGACCCCGCAGTTGGAGGCCAAGGACACGGAGAGCCAGGAGGTGGATCAGGAGGCCCGTTCTCTTGCAGGGCGGCTCAGCATGTCGGAGACGGAACGGGTAAAGCTGCAGGTGAGCTTGTGGATGCGTTACATCTCATACGACGATACCGGTATGAGCGACGCACCCAGCGAGGGACCACAGGTGGGGGCGCACCCTGCTCACTCAGATGCCCATCACTCGCAGGAAGCGATGGCAAGCATGGAGAGCAGACTGGCGCTTGTAACTCAAGAGGCGAACTCCTACAGGTGAGCCCTTGCTCGTGGGGCCTGCTCCTCGTCGCGGACCTTGAATCCTCGTGTGGTCCGAGGTACCGGTAACCGCCGCGCCATCCTTGCGCTGTCCTCAACTTTAAGCTTACCCCGTCTGCCCCACCTCCTCTTCAGGCTGCAACTATCCGAGGTGCTGGCCTCCCACCAGAGCTCCCTGCGCCAGGCGGAGGTCGCCCAACAGGAGCTGCACCTGCGGGATCTGCAGGTGCGGCTGCAGCACTCTAGACGGCAGGCAGCATTCCCACTCCGCCCTTTGCCTACTTTGGGAGCACCAGTAGTCAGCACTTTAGGACCCAATGCTTTCATATACCGTTAACCGTTTCTCGAAACCCGTCCGCCGTACAGGAGCTGGAGGCGAAGCGTCGCGCCCTGGACGATCTGTCCGACCAGCTGAACGACGCCGAGCGAGGCCGCGCCGCCGCCCAGGCTGAGGCCGCCCAGCTGCGGGAGAAGGTGGCGCTGCTGAGCCGCGAGGTCAACCGCGCCAAAGCCCTTGCAGACGCCGCCGCGGCTCGGACCCAGAGCTTGGGTGCTGCGGCGGTGGCTGCGCTAGGTGCCGGAGAGGGGCTCCGCAGGGGAGCACCGCAGCAGCCACAGCAGCAGTACCAGGCAGGCGGGCCGGCAGGGGCTGTGCAGCGGCTACTGGAGCTGGAGCACGAGGCGGAGGAACGGGAGCGGGCGCTCGCGGAACGCCGGGGGAGCGCTGGCGGCCGGGGCATCGGCGACTTGGAGGTGTGTCTTAGCAGGGGCGCGGTGTGGGTGACTTCACCGTACATGCGCATGCCACCTTTCAGCTCCGTTTTAGTCTGTTTTGTACCCGTTGCCTATTCCCTCTTCGGAGTTTGATAACCGACCGACGTTGCATCCCCGTTGCATGTGCATGCTTCGCCCGTGTATGTGGCAGCTTGAGGCAGAGAGCTGGTTCAGTTCGCTGGAGGAGACGCCCCAGGCCAAGGCACCAGCGCCCGCACCCGCACCTGGGCCCCCACGCCAAGCCCGCACCGGACTGCAGCTCCGCTGGGCGGACACGCAGCAGGACGGCCGCGCTGCCGCACCCACACCGCAGCAACACCAACACCAACAGCAGCCGCCTCACTACCATCACACCTACCACCAGCCGCAGCAACACCAGCCTCAACCGCAACCCCGGCAGCAACTGCCCCAACAGCACCAGCAGCCACAGACCTCCTCATACGGCGGTGCTGCAGCGCGGTCAAGTGACACAGTGACTGGGGGTGCAGCGCCGGCTGCTGCTGCCCGGGCCTACGACGTTACAATCAGCCCCAGCCAGGGATCCACACCGCGGCTTGAGGACATGCCGGGCATGCAGGTGCCTCCTCCTGCAGGGTTTCCGCATGCTCAGCCGCCGCCGCAGCCGTCCTCGGCGTTCAGGCAGCAGCCCCCGGGCGCCTTGCAGCACGCGGGCTTCATGCAGCCGCAGGTGCAGCCAGGCAGTGCGGCTGCTGCTGCTGCTACTCCGGGAAGCATGGGAGTGTGCGGTGCTGCGGCAGCTGCGGCGGGGACTTACACGGCGGTAGGTGGTGGGTGGGAATCCCTTGCTGGTTGCGGTGTTCAGGGCGCCAACTGCCACCTCGTTTCGTCGCTGTCTCTTCCGCCGGGATATGTGCCGTACCGTCTGGGACCCGGAAGACGACCAGTGTTCCTGAGCTGCAGAAGGCTTGCGGCGGTATCAGGTACACAGGGTCTGCATCTGAAAAGGCTACGACTTTCGCGTCTTTCGATTCTCACTCGCTTTCCTCTTCCCATCGCAGGTGGTCCGACCCTTGGGTCAGGGTGACGGCAGTTTCACACCACGTACGGCCCCCGCCTCGCAACCCCCCCAGCCCGCGTTCCAGCATTCGGCCGCCCCCTTGGCGACTGGCCTGCCAGGCCCCGCCACCGGCGGCCAACCATACACATCCTATGCGCCCTACTCCCGCTCGTACGGCCCCTCTCAAGCTCAACCGCAGCAGCAACAGCAGCCGCTGCAGCAGCAACAGCAGTCGCTTCCCTACCCTCCTGTCCTGACCTCATACCGAAGCGACCTAGCACGGCCCTACAGCGCAGCCGCAGCTGCCGGCGCGCCGCCCTACTCCCCCGCCTTCTCCGAATCGGCGTCCAATGCATCGTCGAACCTGCAAGAGCGGCTACAGCGGCTGCTGGGAACTGGGACGCTGCTGTAATAGCTACCGGCAAAGCGACAGTGCGACGCTGCCAGGAGTCATGTGTCGGACAGAGGCGGTTTACAAACGGTGGTGATGACCTGGTGGTGTTGCAGTAGGCGCCCTGAACTGCAACCCCGGCAAATCGGCTGCGGGCCAACACCTCTCCTGTGTTTGTGCCCCAGGCCCTTTAGGCCAGCATGCCATGCGAACGGTTTGGCGAGAACCTTGTACACCTAAAAGGACAGGAATGTCCCTCTTCCGTGAACCAAGAGCCGTAGGCCAATGACCTGTGATTTCGACTCTATGTGAGAATTACGACTCGAGGCCACGCACATGTCAGCACTTGAAGCATTGCAATGCTACGGGGTCAGCGCCGCCCCGCGTGTGGTCTCGGCTTAAATGCCGTTGTACCAGCATTGGTGTAACATCCAGCGATTGTGCTGCCGTGTGCGCACCCGCGTCCCGTATGCAAGGTACCATAACCGTACGGCAGCCGTGAGGAGCATGCGAGGCATCAGCAGGTAGCTGTGGACCAAGAGTCCAGGACAACCCTGGCGTACGAGGCAATTCCACACCAAAAGTACCGGTAACGCAGATTGTAGCAAAAGGTTTTAGGGCACTACAATGACTACCCGGTACAATCTCGCCACTGCAGCCACGCCCGACAAGACGACTGTCCCCTGGTCCCTACAATGCTTAAATACTGCCATGGTTACTGTGACTCGCTGCTCTCGCTGCCGCCAAACGGCACACGCTGCATGGTGGTGAGGGCGCCCGAGTTGCCTAGCGCCAGCTGAAGCTCCGGATCCATCAGGACGTAGCGCATGCCGTACCGATTGCGGTTTTCAAACGTGACATCGATCACGCCGCGCTCATCCTGAGAGCAGCGGCACCATACACCATACAGCGCGGAGGAGGAGCGTAAGCGGAGTGCATTTAAGCATAACCCAGTTAAGAGCTGGCTGTACCCGGCCGCTGCTACGTATGCCAGCTCTTCCCCGTGCCTAGTGCTAAGGTTGCCCTCCACCATACATATGACATGTCCGCTTACGTCCCTCTTGAGCCTTCATTGCCGTACGAAAAGCAGATGCAATACCGATTCGAAGCTCCTCCCACCCACCCTCGCGTGCTGTCTCCTCACCATGCTCGGGTTGTGCGCCGCCAGCGCCCCCCGCCACAGCTCCAGGGAACCCGCATCCGGGGACACGGGCTCCAGCGAGAACCCCACAAACGTCACCCACATCCTGCAGGAAGGTCGAGGGGAGAAGGAGAGCTAAAACGAAAGTAAGCACTCCTTACAGAAATAGGAAACACAGCTGTCACCCCAACCATCCCAAGCTACTAAGTCCTTTGTGTGTAACTTAAAGACTAGCAGCGAGCGAGCAAGCTGCCAAGTGCCAACCCCCTTGGGCACTGCACACACCCCACCTGGCTGGGTCCCCCTCATCTAGCTCGTACAGGCCCCTCACACGCATGCGCCCCAGCACTCCGCAGCCAAGCAGCCGGAAGTGTGTCACCACGCAGTAGCCCGCACCCGCCGGGCCCTCGGGCACCCCCGCCAGCACACCCTTGAACTGCGGAGGTGGAGTGGGGGGTGGACCCAGATGACGACGAGTACGACAAACAAGACAAATATGATACAAACCGGAGTGGGTGGACGCTGGGGCAATTTGTGGTGGGTGAAAGATACCGGTAGAGGACAAAATCACGATAAATACCAGTACAAAACCGGGGCAGTGCCGCTGCGACAACCTGGCTTTCTTCCCAAGTGTCGTACTTCATTCCTTCACTCTTTTCCCTCTTGAGCCCCTCCTGCATCGCTGTACACCCTGCCACCTGGTCTGCCCGCCCCGCCGCCCCCGCCTCCGCCGCCATGTCCGTCTGCACCTCCAACTGCCCCGGCTGCACCCGCCCGAAGGTGAGGCGCGACAGGCTGCAGCGGTTGTCGGTTGTGATGCCGGTCAGCTGGCTGGTCAGCAGACCCTGGAAGGCACCTGCAAGCGACACAAAAGCGGGGTGTTTTATTGGGTGTAACGTGTAACGTGAAGTACGACAGGGAGGGCGTGTCCGTGAGGACATGGAGGGCACGTGACACATGCACGTTGGTTGCTTGCAAAGGGTGGAAAACTACATAACAAGTGCAAAGAACTAGAGTCCCAATCTCATTTCCCATATCCTTGCAAAGGGGGGGGTCTGATCACGTCATTAGGCTTGTGAGGCGGCCTAGCCATCACCCACCCACCCACCATCGTTCCACTCGGGGTGTACTCGGTCCAGTCCCAATCGGGATGCAAGCTGGCAGATGCGCTGCAGGTGGGGCTGCACCTCCGAATGGGGCACACGCCTGGGTCGGGTGGGGTCGGGTTGGGTTGGGGTACAAAAAAATAAACTTGGATGACCCGAACGAACCCCCAAATGCCGTTGCCCAACCCATGACTCCGCCGTGGGGAGGGGTGCAGAGCAAGCGGTAATAGTGCGCGACGCTTAGGAAGAAGGGCGGAAGGATCAACGAGCAGTAGTAGCACTACTGGCCCCTGTGAAAATGACTCCAGCGGCACTCGGCAGTGCCTGCGGCGGACCTGCGGCCTCGGTGGATGCTGTCTGCGAACAGAGCGTCCAGAGCAGCCTGGGGCGTGTGTTTGGAGGGGACATGGATCGGGCATGAGGGCTGCTCAGCAATACATGGCACTAGAAGGTGTGGAGCTAAGGGAGGTGTGAGGGCAGCGATACGGAGCACTTGTGGGATCGCAGGAGCCGAACGGATTGCGGTCCCGGATGTCATGCAATTGTGCGAGTTTGGTTGGTACGACACTGGCGTTTCAGTTGCGCAACCTTGGAAGCTTTTACACCTGCAGTTCTGGGTCTCGTTTATAGCTGCTGGGAGCTTCCTGGTGAGATGCATTGGTTGCGAAACTGGGTTGGAAAGCGGGGTTGATCTGGGATACGGCAGTGGTGCGATGGGCCCGACGGATTGCGACGCGGCGGTTGGTTGTGGGCCTCGATAGTCCTGTAGGTAGCGACTGTAAGAAATATCTGGCAGAAGCACTGCAGCTTGCCATGATCCCGATTTGCTTGCGATCCAGCCGTCGCGCGGCGAAGGGTGCAGCAGTTGGTGAGGCTGGAGGTTGGTCGGAGGTTTACTTGCGCAGCTAAAGCCACCACACTTCAGAGCAATTATAGGCTGAAGGTGATAGCGAATACAGGGAATAGCATTACATGTTAAGATGCGTGATTGAGGAGGTGTGCTCTGGTTGACTATCCAAGTCACTCGCTGACATGTACGGCATTTTCGTCCACTTTCGTCGGCTCTGTGACAGATTAGCAAGCTTTGTAGACACCTATGCTATATTCACTATCATCCTTACCCATTTTTATTATAGTTGCGTTTTTTAAATCTCAGGAGAGGTGTCTCGGCAAATATGAACGTATTACAATCCAAGCTGTCCAGGCATCGGTCTTCCACAACGCTTCTCACTCTAAAAGGCAATGTGCAGGTACCCTCACCTACATCCTGCGGCGCCAGCCTCCTATTTTGCAGTTCCTATAGCCTGCTTCGAACCTCCTTGCAACACCCCTTGCAAACCTTAACAGCCACGGTCGTTTTCCTCAGCTGCTTCCCCCAACAAGTCCTTTCTTCAGGTTTCCTTTTTTACCTTGTTTCCTCATCCCCCTTAGTCTCCCCTTCGCTCCTGCTTCGCCCGTCCTTCCTCCCTCCCCTCCTCAGCCCCGAGCTGCCCTCCGCCCAGCAGCTGGCCCCAGCCACGTACGCCGCCCGGGACCTCCCTGCGCCCCAACCAAACGACCAAGACTCCTGCCCTCCTCCTCCTCATCTCCTGCCTCCCGCTCCTCCTCCTCCCTCTCCTCTCCCACCCAAGCACGAATCCTCGTAGCAGCAGCAGCGGCATCAGGAGGAGCAGCAGCAGCCGGGGCGGCACCTGGCTCGTCTGCAGCTTCCGACGGACCCGCCGGGTCGGTCCCGCTGGGTGTGTTGTTCGAGGTGGATGGCGCCCTGATGGACGTGCACCTGGATGGACACCGGGAGGTGGGGGGCTGGGGGGTTGCGGGGGAGGGGGGAGGGAGGTAAAGGAGGGAGGGGCTGGGGGCCTTGGGTGGCGGAGGGCAGGTAAGCGGCTTGGAGGTAGCGCCGTAGCGGTGCAGGGAGGAGGACATGGACCCGTTTCAGCCATACCCTCGAAAGCCAGCAACCCGCATCACATCATAGACCTCTCCTACCCTCCTTCCCCTTCTCTAGTCTCCTTCCCCCACCCTGCCCTCCTTCCCCCCCACCCCCAGGCCTTCAACGCCGCCTTCCAAAGCATCGGCATGGACTGCGTGAACTGGTCGCCCGTCGTGTACCACGACCTACTGGGCTGCAGCGACGGCAGCGGAGAGGGGCTGGTGCGGGCGTACTTCGGAACGGGTGCGGGCGGCGCTGGGATCCGGGTGCCTGCCTCCTGCACCTTGACTTGCATGCATGACTGCCTGCCTGCCTGCATGCAAGGCTCTTCATCCAGCAGCCAGTATCCCTCCTTCCTGCCTGCCCCTTGCATGCACCCCTGCCCCTTGCATGCACCCCTGCCCCTTGCATGCACCCCTGCCCCCCCCCTGCCCCCCCCCCCTGTGTCCCCCCGCAGTGGGGTGGCCGCTGATGCTGGCCACCTCGGACCGAGGCGCCTTCGTGCGGCGGGTGCAGCAGCTCAAGGAGCAGCAGCTGGAGCGGCTGCTGGCGAGGGACGCGGTGCCGCTCAGGCAGGACGTACGGCAGGTGGGTGGTGGTGGGGCAGGGGGGGCCGAAAGAAGGATATCCAGCAGTGCGTTGAATGAGAATGGCAGAACCAGACGAGAAGCTGGGGATAGGGGGTGAGAGGTACGAGGTGAGAAAAGGTGCGTGGAAGGCGGCCGGACGCAGGAGAGGAGGTTGCTGGTAGGGGAACGGGAAACTCGGGACCAACCCAACCCCTTACCCAACCCACCCACCCACCCACCCCGCAGGTGATCTCCGACGCTGTGTCCGACGGAGCTGCCGTGTCGCTGCTGGCGGGTACCCAGTGCGTTCGTGCGGAGCAGCTGGCGGCCTCGTGTGTACGGCAGCTGGGGCCGGAGCTGACGGCAGCTGGGGGGCCGCTGCGGGTGTTCACGTTCTCCCTGGCGCCCCCCTCGCCAGATTCCTCGACCTCGACTGGGGGTGCGAGTGGTGGTGGTGGTGAGGGCGCGGAGGGAGAGGGTGGTGATGTGGGTGCCGGTAGCCAGCAGCTGTCGCAGCTGCTGTCCGCCGCGGCGGGGGACCTCAAGCAGCGGGCGGCGCTGCAGCTGGTGTGCAGCTGGCAGCAGGTGGGGCCCAGGGGGGGGAGCAGGGAGGGGGGCAGGAGGCCTAGGGTTTGGAGGAGGTGTAAGGCATTCGGCGCCCGGATGGAGGTTGTTGCGCGCCGCTGCCGCCGCGGTCAGCACCACGCGAAACGTTTTCGCGACTGGTATGCGCCCACGCCAAGCTAGCAGATGCCCAGGGACGTGTGATAGCCGGTGGAGGTGCTGCGCAGCACTCGTGTGGGGCGAGCATGCTGCGCTCTTAACCGCTGACCCTGCTGCTGTACTGCCGGGAGGGATAGGGATGGTGCTGCCCGCGGCGCTGGCGCCGCCGGGTGGTATCGAGGTTGCTTACATGGGGCCGCACCTCCGGGAGGAACATGGGTTGCTGATATCACTGGGGTCCTAGCGTGCGCCGATGCTTCTTATAGCGCACCCGTGCCATGGCTCCCGCATGAGGTGCGGTTGCCGTACATGACTGTTGTACTGTCGTACCCGGTCCTCCTGGTTCTCCGCTCTCCCACGTTCCTGACGCGCAGTCTGTGGGCAAAGGTGGCGGTGAGGGGGGCGACCAGGAGCCCGTGGGCCTGGGGGTAGACCCCTCGCTGCTGGCGGCAGGTGCGGTGTGCGGGCTACATGAGAAACATGACTCATGACTCCCTCGCCCGTGGGATGGGGGGGGATCAATTAGCAAGTCATGGTGAAGGCTCGTCATACAGCTCGTTAGTTTCCTTACTTTACCCCCCCCCCCCCGCGTGCTGCAGGCGGGTCGCAGCAGCGGCTGAGCCCCGAGTTCCTGTCCGCACTGGTCGCCACCACGGGGGTGGCGGCGGGGCGCACACTAGCAGTGGCGGCCAGCAATGGGGTGATGCAGGTGGTGGGGGTGGCGGGGGCGGGGGGCGATGGTGGGGGTGGTGGGTGGTGGCTTTAGTGGTGGGGGTGCTGCAGTTGTGGTGACGGTGGTTGCATGGGTGGTCCCTGAACTGCCTGTCTGTCTTCGTCCAATGGTTTATGTCCCTGATGGGTTTACCCTGCGCTCATACCCGCCAGCCCACTCCCTCCATCCCTGCCTCCCACCCCAACAGGCGGCAGCGGGAGCCGGGTTGGTGCCGGTGGCGGTGCCACGCAAGTTTGCAACACAGGTGAACTGGAAGACAGACGGCGGCTTTTGCGCGCATTGCACGGCAGCTAGCTGCCAGCCGTCCTCCTTGCTGTACATGTTTTTTCCGGTGTGGCATGCGACGCTGTTCACTCACATAGTTGCACCCTTCCACACAGACCCACCGGTATGCGGTATCCATCCTTCCACACCCGTAGGGCACCTTCCCCGCCGCGGTCGCCAAGTTCGAGGGTTTCGGAGCGGGGGCTGCCACCTGGCCCCGCCTGCGCTCGCTGCTGCTGACCTCCTCAGCCAACAACAGCAACAGCAGCAGCGGCGGTAGTGGCAGCAGCAGCAGCGCCCCGCAGCGGTAACGAAGTAATACCAAGCTGCCCAAGCTGTTGACCCGCCTGGGAGAGAGAGCTGGCTTGATGAGGGGAAGGGAGCAAACGGGCGGGACAACAGCATAACAGCACGTGCACCGCCTGGGAGCAGCGCGTGCTGGCTGGTTGATGCTGTTGATGTTGTTGTTTGGGTCGTTGGCCGCGATTGTCCCTGCTAGGGTCCTATGTGTTTGACATATCCAGATGGTGGTTGGGAGTCGTTGCCGGTTTGGTGGTGGTTACATACCTCCTTTCGCTGCTTGGGGCGCCTGCAGCAACAGGGGCATAAGCCCACAACTCCCACAGCTGTCGATGCCACCCCGCCACCTCCGCGGCTGCAACAGCCCGTAGCAGCCACTTTCTGCGCATACTGGACTGTAAACGTCTGAGAAGATGCACATGTAAACCAACGCTCATGTCCACCCGCTCTTTTTCCTTATCCACACCCATACTCGCAACAAGTAGCAGCCCGTCTTCTGCTCCCATCTTCCACCGCCCCTGGCAGTCATATGCCTCCAGAGTACAAGGGGCCGTTAAGCCAAGCCAAGCTGGGCACGCAGCCGCAGCGACCCCAGCAGAGCCCAACCGCCATCATCATGCATCAGCCCCCTTCCCATGCGCACATGCTTGGCGCCATCAGTTGTGGTACCTCTACGGTATACTCGTACGAAGTTGTCCGAGGGGTTCATACATGCATCCAACTCAACCCCCGGAAGACAGATTAAAAAGGTTTTCCGAAACCGTTTCCACAGCCGCCATCTGCGGACGCCTTGTCGCCTTACCCCAGCGTGAACACGGTAGCATCAGGGGTTGCCCATGTCCTTGAACACATGGCCCCTATCTCAAGTCATCCTTGCGATGCGTCCCCTACGGCCTCCCTTGTGAGCCGCACGTGGTGCCCCCCACCCGCTACACGTGCCCCAACAACCTCATAGCCGTCCCAGCACAAGGCCCCCGCTGCTGCTGCCCCTGCTCCATTCGCGGGATCGGACCCGCGTCCAGCGCACAAGCAAGCAGGGCTGAAGCGGCTAAGTGCGCTGTGCTGCGTGCGAGCTGGTACCTGTAGCTACAACAGGCCCCATCACCACCACCCCACACCGCTACAAGCACGTAGCTCTCAAGGATAGCACATGTGGGGCTTTCGGAACGCTGGTCCTTCCTCAATGCGCTCCCTCCAGCCCGCCGCCTTAGGACGCCGCTGCATCCACCGCCGGCGCTGCCCCGCTGCCCTCCCCTGCTGCTGCCGCTGCGGCCTCCTTGGCTTGCTGCTTGCGCTGCTCCTTCTCGTACTCGTCCAGCTCGTTCTGAAGGGGGGCCACAAGGGTAGTAGAAAGAGGGAGGAGGAGGTACAGTCAGCCGAGAAAGAGTAGTTGTGGAGACTAGGTGAGTTGGGCTCGAGACGCCAACTGATGAGAGGCAGGAGGTGTAGGGGCTAGGAGGCTGGGGCTAAGAACCTCAGCTTGCAGGTGCCCTGGGACAGAGGGGGGCTGCCTCTGGTGCGGACTCTTCAACCTGCGGGCGCCATCGTTAGCGCAAGGCTAGCCTATGATATGCTGCGATTCCTTGGCGGTTATGCAGCATAAGGCTGCTGGGGGCGCGGTTCCACGAGGCGTGGAGTGGGGCGCAGCTACTCGGGGACGATTCCCGCCCGCCAACCCACCTCTGCAGCAAGCTCCTCAATGTACCGGTCTGTGTCAGCCCAGACGGGTAAGTGGCTCCAGCCCTTGTCACCGCCCTTAATTTTCATTGGCTGGGCATAGTTGACCTTTAGTACTCTCCCATAGAACTCCGCATTATGCATGTTGTCGATCGCAGCCGCTGCGTCCTCCTTCTCCTCATACTCTACGAACCCAAAGCCTCTGTGCGTTCCCGTTGCGTGGTCAATGGGGATGTTCACCTCCTTAATCTCTCCAAAAGGCAGGAAAGCTGCGTGGAGTGCTGCTTCGTTGACGCCCTCCTCCAAGCCACCAACGTACAGTGTTGTCTTCGGATTTGTGCCCTTGCCACCCACTGCAACTAGTGTTGTGGAGGCCATGGCAGTAAAAGCAATCCCGCCGGCGTGAGTCAGGGTCTATACATCGCTAGTTAAGTAACACAATATCTGTTCGCCCTCTAGTACAAAACACACAAAGTAAACCACAGCAAACGATAGCCCTTATGCAAAGCTGTGAGATCGCAATGTTACACGAAGCCGTCTACGACTGACGCTGGCCGCTACAGTAATTGATATTAGAAGCAAACTATAACAGGGCACCGTGTTTTCAAGCGACAGTGTTAACCCACAGCTGTCGGACGTACGGGATCCATGGGTCACGCTGGCCACCATGTAGGCTTACTCGGGGTATCCAACTGGGCCGAGGCTTTGGCAAGAGAAGGGGCCTTCCCACTGTGGTCGTGTGCTTCCAAGCCATGTGCTATGATACCGGTGTGCGCGCCTCCGACTGTCTTACAGTGTCATACAATATACAATTGGTACGTCCTGCAGAAGCTACATAGCTAGGCAATTTGCAGCGTACTCACATACACATGGAAAGCTCGCTCCGGTCCCCCTAGCTTCGTCCGCAGCAGGGATGTGGACCAAGCCTTGTTTGCTTCTCTAATTCGGTACCACGCCTGATACCCTCCCACGTCGGTGCCTCCTGTGGCACCACGTTCAGTGTGTCCTCGCACTCATTCCTTGAGCTACATACACTCCGCACAACCCTATGAACCATACGGTACCCTCCAAGCCTGCCTGGAACGACGAAGTCTACAACACCTCCACTGAAGCAAATAGACATACATACCTTGCGGCCAGTTTTCGTAACGTACCTACATCACAGGCCTGACAATTACAGTAGCCGTGGTCCAAACCATGTTATCCCTCGACCCCCCGACCCCTTTACGCGCAGCCCCACTGCCTACACACCCAGTATTTCCGGTAGGCCGCCCCGCCCCTCAACCTCCGCCTTGCTACACGAGTCGCGAGGAAGGAAACCAGCACCAGACACACAGCTACTACGGGCTCCACTTCTCCCTTTCAGAGCTCACGAGTTGAGGGGTACAACAGTATTGTGTGCGCTGCAGCCCAGACGGCCACACAGCCTCGACCTACCGAAAACCAATAAGCATAACACAAACGCTCACACACACAAACGCAGCCTGCTCACATCGTACACTCCTAGGCAAACACACAAACTTTCGCAGCCGAAGCCTGCTGCCGTTTGCCCTGAACACAGCAAAAAGGCGGAACGCAAAACCGCACATTTGCAGTCAGGCGGTGGTGTCAAGAGACACTTCAAAACCCCAGGCGGGGGGCGGGGGGGATAGTGAGCACTTGTGGCGCTCTCAGCACAAAAACCCACAACAGTGGCCGCGGCCCCCGGGCCCTCTCAAAACGCTCTCAGCAAGCATACTACAAGGCATCAAACTGACGCAGCAATGGATAGCACGCCTTTATCAAAGCCCTAAAGGGGCTTTCAGTACGGCTTGCCAGGTCCCTAGGCGGACTTTCCTCGAGCAAAACAAAATGCATCAAGCCACACCGGTACAGCCAAAACGTCTTATGTGTCGCTGTGTGTCAGCCCTCCTCTCTCTCACGCCGTGGCGTTCTTCTTGGGGCTCGTCGCCTCGTCTATCAAGTACACCAGACCCCTGCATGGCAGCAGAACCGGCGATAAGGTGAAACGCAGCGAGTGTTTCAGGCCTTGTGGGCACAGGCGGCCGGGATACACAGCGGTCTCGAAGAAGGGGCAACGTATCATGGGTATGAAGTACGAGTTTGTGACTAGCGCCCAGGACTATCTCCTAACTGATTACCCACGACACCCGATTCCTGTTACAGCTCCGATACACAGTCCGATAGTTTTCCCATGCCCCAGCGCAGGCCCCTGCACCCCTCTTTCCCTCCTCCTCCTCCTCCTCCTCCTCCCCTCCTCCGCACCTGAAGTTGATGCCCGAGTGGTTCGACAGCGACATCTCACACGTGCGGCTGGTGGAGTAGCCGTCGCTGCAGCCCGCCGGCAGCGACAGGTGCTGCAGCGAGGCGGCGGTCAGCTCGGGGAAGCGCAGCCCGCGGTCGCCAGCCATGCCGCAGCAGGGGATGCCGGAGGGGACAACCTGGGGAGGGGGAGGAGGAGGAGAGGCGAGGGGGAGAGGAGGGGATGAATGGATTATTTGGTTATTCGGCAAGGGGAAGAGGAGCGGATCCGTTAGGTGGCACGCGCTATGGGTTAGGGAGGTGGCCAACGGTTGTGGAGACGTGGCTAATGGACGGATGCGCTCGAGTTCAGCCAGACGACGACACTCAGGTGACGACGGGGAGCACTACTGAGCGCTACTTCGCTACCCAACCACGCTAAAAATTGTAGTAACCCCCACATATCCCCCTCGCCTCGCCCCTCCCCTGCTCTTACCTCGTGCGCGCACATGCCCGCCAGCTTGGCGAAGGACTCCTCGATGCCCATCTTCTTGGACGAGCAGGGCACGTGTACGGCCACCTGCTGTCGCACCTTGCGCCACTCCAGCTTGTCAACCAGGAAGTGCCTGGCGGGGGTAACAGGAGGGGGGGGGTAAAGACCATACCATACCATAGGAAACCACAGGTTAGGGCAAAGCAAAGGGGGTGGTGTGTGTGTGGGGGGGGGGGCTGAGTAGGACGGTACCATGGTGTTAGGACAGGCGGGGGCAGGAATGGGCAGGCAGTTTGGGACATCGGATATTCTTCCCCCCGCCCCCCCCCCACCTGATGAACTCCACGGGCTCGTACAGGGCGAAGCGCAGGGAGGGCTCACTGATCTGGCTCTTGACCTGGGGGCGGAGGGTTGAGGGGGGCAGCGAGGGGGGGGCAAGGGAGGGAGAGTTGGCGGATGTGGGCAGAGCAGGCCGCTGTTGTGAGCTGCTGCAGCACAGAAACGCCCCCCGTGTTGGGTTCTAATGGTTCTGTTGGAAGGGAATGCCGGCATGCACTGAAAGCGGTGGCCAAGCCAACACCGGCAGCACACGGTGTTACGAGGTAACACCGTATCCATCCTAGACCGCTATATGCAATGAAACTGTGCTTGGGCGAAAGCTCCTCTCATCCCATGCTGTCGAGCACCTTCAGCGCCACCACGCGCCCCACCCCACCACCCCACGATCCCGACCCGCCCCTCTCACCTGCGCCAGGCACGGCGAGGTGTCGATGACGATGGGGATCTTGCCGCCCTCGGACGCCTTCAGCAGCGCCGCCTCCAGCTCCGAGCCCTTGGCGGCAGCGGAGTCCTTGAAACCGCGGCTGAGGAGGGAGGGTGAGGAGGAAGGGGAGCAGGGGGGAAGGCAGGCACTGTTGGTAATCCGTACTGGTGCGGATGTGGGACGCAATAAAGGCAAGGGGAAGGGATGCGCCCCAAGGAGAAGGATGGGGAGGGAAGGGAGAGGTGGAGGGCATGGGCCCTTATTAGTCATGTTTAACCACCACTACCGAGCCGGCTTTTTCCGACCCGCCTCCGAACGACTCGTCCAAGACCCTACGAGCGCACGCATCCCTGCCCTCCCCCCAACACCCCCGCCCCTCATCCCGTCGTACAGCTCGTCAGTTTCCTTGTTAAGACCCCCCCACCCCGCACTTGTGTGCGCAGGAGGTGCGCCTGCAGCCCCTCTCACCCACCTGCTGAACATCATGCCACAGCACTGGCTGCTCACACCCTCGGGGATGATCACCTGCGGGAGGGGAAGAGGGAGAGGGAGCGGGGGGCAAGAGGTGGGAGAAGTGAAGGGGGGCGGGTGTACGGTACATACATGAGCAAGACCAGTTCGGTGTTTGTTCAATACACCCAACTCCAGTAGCCACAATGCTACTGGAGCCGTCTCGCCGCGAGAAACACAGCAATTGAGTCAAGTGGAGGACGACTCGAGGACGAGGGAATGAGGGGGGAAGCTCTTCACCGCCGGGGCCCCACCCATTTGTCGGGCGGCTGATCCCGACTGCCTGCCCTCCTGCCCGGCAACCGCGACACCCACCCACCCACGACAATTAGAGTATTCGGACCCAATCAATCAACCAGACCCAATCAATCAACCAATCCACCAACCAACCAGACCCAACCAACCCACCTCGTATCCCGCCTTTGCAAACAGGCTCATGACCTTCTCGTGCACCGCTGCCGTCTCCTTGTCGCCCGCTGCTGGCCCCATCATGCGGGTAACGCAGGAGGGCAGGTACACCACGCGGCGGGGGATGCCGCCGGAGGGGGCGGGCACGGCGGGGGGAGGAGGCGCTGCGGGACGGAGATAGGAGGGAGAAGGAGGAGGTAGAGAAGGAAGGGAAAGAGGAGGTACGGTGTGAGACGCGGGGCACGTGTGGAAAGACACCCGTGAGGTGGAGGAAGGTGGTGGTGGGAGTACCGGTAAGCAAGAGTTGAGAGGAGCAATGTGCATGGAAAAAACCTGGAAAAACCACCATATTTTCATCAACCCCACGCGGCTGCTGTCGCGGCTGCTGTCTCACCCTTGAGCGGCGCCGCCCCCTTGGGCAGGTAGGGGTTCCAGACGGGCACCAGGTTGCCGGTGGCGGCGTTGAGTGCGCGGGAGATGGAGGCCAGCGGCTTGGGGCCGAGCAGGCTGGCGGGGAGAGGGGGAGAGGGGAGGGGAGGAGCAGGAGGGGGCGGTTAAGGAAATCCCTTCTCCACTGATCTCCCGCTACCACTCTCCCCGCTGCCACTCTCCCCGCTCCCACCCCGTCCGCGCCCGACCTCGTTCACAGCCCGGCCTTGCCCCCTCCCCGTCCCCCCCTCCCTTTCCTCAGGCTGGGCGGGTCCGTCTGGCTCACATGTTGCAAATCATGATGACGCCTTATCACACGATCAGTTAGTTGTTTAATCTTCCCTTCCCCCCACCTTCAGCAGCCTCCACACATGCCCCAGACTATGGTAAGGTTGCTCCATAATTGGTAAGTTCGGTAAGTTTAGCTCGCATTGCTTTAACCAACTTTTCGGCTCGACTCACGGTTGATTCCACCAGGGATTGTCAGCAACTTGTATCATTATCACACCACACTTTGGAATTTCTCCCCCCCCCCCACCTGTGCGCCATGTCCACCAGGTTGAGCAGCCGCGGCACCGCTGCGTCCACCACCCCGAAGTGCCCCGCTAGCCAGGAGGCGAGCGAGCTGGAGGCGGGCGCGGAGGAGGGGGACAGCTGCTCGGAGCGCAGAGACTGGGGGGGAGGGAGGGAGGGAGGGGGAGGGGCGGGCAACAAGGGAGTGAGGGATAATGACACCGGTAGTAGCAAGCAGGGGTTTGGAAAGGCGCATGAGGCGCAGAGAGACGGAAAGATGAAAGGTGCAGGGAGTACGAGAGCCGAAAGCCGAAGAAAGAGCTCTCCAGCCGACGCTGCCCGGCCCCGACCCGCCCCGCTGCCTGGCCCTTGTCCCGTGTCCACCGGCATGATGCAACCGCCATGCATGGTAGTGCCAGTTGTCAGTTGTCACACGGTTCATTTGTTTTCTCTTTATTCCCCCATTCATCCATCCATCGCCCCATCCATGCACCCCTCCATCCATCCCCCACCCACCCCCACCAGCCCTCCAGCCAGCCCGCGCACCTTGATGAGGTCCCCCGTGTTGATCTTGACGGGGCACTTCTCCTGGCACATGCCGTCCGCGGCGCACGTCTGCTCGCCGTCGTACACGTAGGTCTTGGACATGGTCTGAGAGGGGAAAAAGAGGAAGCTGAGAGGCCTAAGAGGGGAGGCGGGGGGTAAAAAAGAGGAAACTGACGAGCTGTGCGACGAGGCTTCACCATGGGTGGCGGGGGGGGGCGGTTTGGGGACGCAGGCACAATTGCAGCAGGCAACACCAACGCCATGACTTAGCGAGCTGCTGCAAGCGCCAATTCCCTCCGCCCCTCCGCCTTCTCATCCTCTTCCCACACACCACCCCCACCCACAGCCCCACACACCCCTCCTCCTCCCCCTGCCGCACCTCCAGCTGCTTCTTCTCCTCCTCACTCGCCGCCGGCCCCAGCTGCCGCAGCCGGTACATCTCCCGGTACACGGTGATGCGCTGACGAGGCGTGAGCGTTACGTCGCGCGAGGGGCAGTTGGACTCGCAAAAGCCGCACTCAATGCAGCGGTTGACGATGGGCGAGGCGGCGGGCGAGGGCTTCAGGAACTTGATGTGCGCGTCGGGGTCGCGGTTGAGGATGACTCCGGGGTTGAGGGTGTGGGTTGGGTCGAAGAGGGCCTTCAGCTCCCACATGAGGGCATAGGCCTTGTTGCCCCACTCCATCTCAACAAAGGGGGCCACGTTGCGACCTGGGAGGGGAGGGAAGGGGGAGGAGAGGTGCAGGAGGAGCAGAGGGTGGTCAAATTCTGGACGGGGGAGGCTTCAAGTGTGTGGAATGTGTGCGTCCACAGCCTCCCACCCACGGCACTCCTCCCCCCAGCCTCCCCACAGCTCCACATCCTACACTCCCATGCCCCCCACGCCTCCCCAGCTCCCCCCTCCTGACCCGTTCCTAACCTGTGGTTCTGGTATTAACCCTGACCCCCCCAGCCAGCTCACCCGTTCCGTGCTCCCCCTTGAGGCTGCCGCTGTGCTTGTTGGCCACGATGTGGCACATCTCCTCCATCATGCACGCGAACCGCTGCACCTCGTCCTTGGTGCGGAAACCCTGGGGGCCGGCCGGGAGGGGGGAGGTGGGGAGGAGGTGGAGGTGGGGAGGAGGTGCAAGTGGGGAGGAGGTGGAGGTGGGGAGGAGGTGGAGGTGGGGAGGAGGTGGAGGTGGGGAGGAGGTGGTGGTGGGGAGGAGGCACACGAGGAGGAGGGCGGTGAGAGGTAGCACACACGGACTACCGGTACACCTGTCCTGACATCAGCAACTTCCGCTACGGCATCCCGGTATGTCCATAGGCACCATAGTCGCTGTCACACTGCTGCGGCCAGTGTTTTATGTTAAAACACGCGGGCCCCCCCACCTGCGGTATGGTTCGGTATGGTCTTTGACCCCCCACCTGCGGGTGGGTGTTTTCTTAACACCCCCACCTGCGAGAACCCGCACCCCCCCACCTGCGTGCCCCCCACCCACCTGCGCGCCCCCCCACCTGCGTGCCCCCCCCCCACCTGCGAGAACACCAGGTGCAGGTTGCCCTCCAGCGCATGTCCGAAGCAGGAGGCGTCCTTGTAGTCGTAGCGCTCAAACATATCGATCAGGTCCAGAATCATGTCGGCCAGCTTGTCAACCGGGCACGCCACGTCCTCGATCAGCATGGAGGTGCCCGGCTCGCGAGCGGCGCCCACGATAGGGATCAGACCCTGGGGAGGAAAAGGTGCGGGTGGGTGGGTGGGTGAGGTGAGACATGTGGGCCAGGTAATGTGTGTGTGTGGGTAATAAGGGCCCTTGAGTGTAGGGATAGGACCCGGACACGTGCCCGATCAGTACAGGGAGGGCAATAAAGCGAGGAAGGGAAGGGTAAAGCTGCTGCAGCTGCCGCTGCTGCTACTGTAGCAGCATCAGCTGCCGCAGTGCTGTTGCCCGGCTCTGTCTCTCACCCTGCGCACGTCCCACAGGATCTTGGCGTTCTTGGGGTCGTGGTGGAAGGGGTAGGCGGAGATGGGGCGCGGCTCCGAGGCCTTGGCGCCGAAGGGGAGCCCCGCGGAGGTGAGCGCCCGGGTCACCTCCTCGATGCGGGCCTAGGGGGGGAGGGAGGGGTGAAGAGGAGGGGGGCAGGCACGTGTAGGGAAAGATAGAAGGTGTGGGGCCGGGTCTAGAGGTGTAACATGGCAGGGCCACTCATTCCGTACGCTGGGATGCCCGCTCACCCCGCACAGCCCTCCCCCCCCCCCCGCCCACCTGCAGCCGGGCGGGTCGGGCTGGCTCACATGTTGCAAACCATGATGATGCCTTATCACACGGTCAGTTAGATGTTTCCTCTTTACCCCCCTCCGCCCCACCTGCAGCCCTCCCCCCCCCCCGCCCCACCTGCAGCCCTCCCCCCCCCCGCCCCACCTGCAGCGCCGCCTCGTCCTGCCCGCGGCACTCGATCAGCAGCGCCGCAGCCATGGGGTCGGAACCCTGCGTCGCAACGGAAGGTGGGGGGGGTACACATGATACATCGCATGATGGTTATGCAGTACGCAAAAAGAGAGAGAGATCAGGGTGACAGAAATGCGCACTGTTGCTTACCTCTGGGAGGCTGCTGCCAAGAAGGCCGATGTCCTTCCTCCCATCCCGCAACCCTTCCCCCTCCCCACCCTACCCATCGTGTCTTCTAGGTCACGGTCAGTATCTCATCGCGGCTCAGTTCTACGCAACGTCCTCCCCACCCCGCCTCCACCTCGCAACCCCTCCCACCCACCCTGCCCTGGCGCCCTGTCACACGGCTAGTCTCTTCCTTTCCCTCTTAGCCGCCCCCACCCCACCTTGCTGTCCCCCCACACCCCACACCCCCCCCACCTTGATATCGGGCACCAGTCGCGTCATGTTCTCATCCGCCTCGCACTCCCGCAGCGAGGCGCGGTCGAACAGCTCCACCGCGTCCACCGCCGTCTCGTTGCGGAGCACGGAGGCACCCCTGGGGGGCATTTGGTTGATGGCATGGGGGGGCGGGTCAAAGGCCATACCAAACCATAGGAGACCACAGGTTAGGGCAAAGCAATGGGGGTAGGAGGCAAAGGGGGGGGGTGATGGCAGGGGGGTTGATGTCAGGGGGTTTATTGGCCGGGGAGCAGCACGGGGCACGGAGGTAGGGGGCAGTGGACAGCAGGGGGCAGCGGGTGGGAGGGCGCATGCAACTATCCCAACCCCTTCAACCTCCCCTCCATCCCTCCCCATTCCCTCACATGCACGCCGAGCGCACGTCCGGGAAGACGATGAAGGCGGACGCCTTGTTGGGCCACTCGGGCACCGTGTTGTAAGTGGCTCGCGACACGAACCCCAGCGTGCCCTCGCTGCCGATCACCAGGTGCTTCACGATCTCCAGCGGGTCCTCCAGCGGGAAGTCAACCAGCGCGTTCAGGGAGTAGCCTGGGGTAGGGGGTGGGGGAGGTGGAGGTCGAGTTAGATAACACCATAGGGAACCATGGATTAGGGCAGAATACCGTGACAGGGGAATAAGGCGGCAGGGTGCTACAAGGCAAAGGGAGGGTCAGCGACCCCAAGGTGGAGGTGGGGGTGGGAGAAGCGGGCTGGCAGGGCGGTGTGAGAGAGGGCAGCGGTGTGTGATGTGCCGCCCTGCGACACTCTATCCGGCACTGGCTTCCCACATGCGTGTGCCCGTCATGCTCATCAGGCCCCGTGTTACCCCCCTGCCCCCCTCCAGCGCCTCCCCCCCCCCACCCGTGGTGCACTTGATGGCGAACTTGCGGCGGATGAGCGCTGTGAGCTCCCGGTCCGACTAGGGGTTGGGGGGAGAAATTCCAATGTGTGGGTCGGCAGGAGGGGATCAGGAGTAGACAGGAGGGGAGCAGGCGGGCACAGGAGGGGAGCAGGCGGGCACAGGAGGCTGGAAGATGGGGTAGCGGTGGGATCAGGAATGGAGACGACGTCCCGGAGAGCGGCCCTACCCTACCCTGCCGCTCCCTTAGGCCACCACCCCGGAGGAGGCCCCCTCCCGCCAGCCCGCACCTGCACCCTCCGCGCCAGCTCCACCACGCCGTCCACCAGGGCCTTGTGGCTCTGAGGGGTTGGGGCAGGGGTTTGAATTGGGGTTTGTTGGTCACGGGTGCAGTACTGACGGTGTGACTTCAGATGAGGGCCAGGCGGCAGTGAAGGGGCTCATGGTATCACCAGTAAGAGTGCCAGCATGCTGTGCGGGGGTGCACATGCACAGGGACAGCTTCTGGGTTGAAGCCCAGTTGGTGCACGATGCGCGGGCGTGTGCGCTTGGCCGCCGGTTACAGAGCTGGACATCCACCCAGGCCTCCTTTGTGAAGCCCGGCCTGCTCTGGAGCCCGGCCTGCTGTGAAGCCCCGCCTGCCCTCTTAACATCCCCTAGCGCCTTGAGGACGGTACCCGCCTACCCGCGCTGCATCGTCACCCACACACCCATCGCAGCGCTTCACTCCCCTTTTCTCCCCCTTGTCACTCTCGCTTTTATTCCCCACCCCCCTTCACAACTTACATTACCCCACCCTTGTAGCCCGCCCTTCTCCCCCTACCCCGCCTGCAGCTGCTCGGACTCCTACAGCGGCTCAGTTTACCCAATCCCCCACCTGCGGCGGCTCGGATTCCAGCAGCGGCTCAGTTCATCTAATCCCCCCCACCTTGAGGAATGCGGCGCAGCTGTCCGGGTCCGCCGTGTCCAGCACCGTGCCGTCCACAAACACCACCCGCATGTCCTTCAGCGTATGGTACGTGTTTTGGCTCACGCCGCAGCACATGCCGCTGCTGTTGTTGGCCACGATGCCTCCGATCATGCAGGAGTCGATGGAGGAGGGGTCGGGCCCGATCTTGTACTGGACGGGCAACTTGTGCTTCTTCTGATGGGCTGCCAGGATGCGGTTCACCTCGCCGCCGATGAGGCCGGGCTCCACGGTAACCATGCTGCCGTCGCCCTGGGAGAGGGAGGGAGGGGAGTCAAAGACCATACCGAACCATAGGAAGCCACAGGTTGGAAGCCACAGGGAGGGAGGGGAGGGGAGGGGATTAATATGGTTGGAAGATTCCGCATTAAGCTGGAATTTAGGATTGCGCATAGCCATTTTCGTTGGGTTAGTAGCAGCACACTAACCCAACGAGGAGGGGAGGGGAGGGGAGAGGGAGGGAGGGGAGAGGAAGATAAGAAGACTGAATGGCGATGGCATGGGATGGTGGGAGGGGACGGGGGGAGGGTTAAAGGGGGAAGGAGGAAAGGGGGAAGGGAAGGAGGTGGAGAATGGACGGTTTGAGCGAGGGATGATGTGAGGGGCCATGTTGAGCAGGAAGTGGAGGGATGGAGGGTGGTGCCAATATCCCAGCCCCAGCCATGGCTGAATCCAGCGCCGTGTTCCACCTTTCCCTCCCGTTTGCCCCCAGACCCACATGCACGGTGTAGTTCCTGAAGTTCTTGCCCGCATGGCTGAGCTTAATGAGCACCGAGTCCGTGATGGCCTGGCCAGACAGCGAAGTGCCAGCAGCACGGAAGGTGATGGGCACCTGAAGCCGCTCAGCGATGGGGAGAATCCTGCGGACCTCCTCCTCGTTGTGGACTTTGACCACCAGCTTGGGATTGAGCCTGTAGAAGCTTGCGTCGGTTCCGTAGGCGAAAGTACGCACAGGGTCAGAGTATTGGCGCTCCTTTGGAATGAATTTTGTAATCTCCTCAACAAACGCCTTGTAGCGACCGTCATCGAAGCGGTGTCCATCGATATTCTTGTAGACACCCGGCTCCACCTTTTCACCCTCGGAGACCACCGAGACAGCACCCACAAGGTCGGTCCGAATCCCGGATACATCGATCTTCAATTGCTGCTGCGTCGTCTCCTGCAATGCCACCTGGGCGTTGGAGCGACTCTGCTGCATGAAGCTTGACGCGCCAGCACCCAAGGCCGCACGAGCATGAGCATTGTTGCTACTGGTGCTCCAAGCTTCTGAGACATACTGCTTAAGCTGCGTTCCAAGCAGCTGCGCCAGGCGCTTGCCCTGGCCACGGGGGGCCATCGCGTGGTTAAAACGCTGTCGCCCTTAAGACAATTCAAAGGCGCTGCACCTGGCTATGCGCTTGGCCGCGGTATGCAGTGAGCGATGCGTGGGATGGTTTGGCACCTGTCCACGTTGCGCCGTATAACCGTACCCTACCATCCTGACGACCTGACCGGCAGTTTACTGTTACCGAGCTTACTGCTGATTGCAGATAACGTTCTGTGATTTTGATCTTTATCACAGCACGTTACGAAACCATATGGATGAAGGACTCCAGCAAGTCGCGCCTGGGCCGACACATCGGGGGCCCTGAGGTTGTATTCTCGAAATGTTGAAACATGCATCGCGCTCATATAGAGCCTGTTCGAAACAGCAAATCCGGTACATCAGCAGGTGATCGAGCGGCTACAACATACCCATCCGCTCTCCCGACTAGCGCACGACTAGCTGGCACGCCGAAAACATGGTAGACGCTAAACAGATGAACAACTAGAAAAGCACAGACAATCCAAGGGCATTAAGCCGAACCAAACATTCCGCTCTAGACCGGGCACAGTTCCTATCCTGAACGCAATCCGGGTAACCTGCAGCAAAAAATTGAAGCACAAACGTCTCCATAGCTCCCGCGTCCCATGTTCAAAATCAGCAACTATACCGATGCACACACTCAAGTGCGCCCATCCCAACCCTACAGTGCCGATTACCGGTGCACCTGTCCGCACCCCAAGCCCAACGCCTAACCCCCAGACGCCCCTGACCCGATCCCTCCAGCGAACCCAAGCAGCAACCCTAGCAGCCTATGGGCGGCCAAACCTCCTGCGCTTCCACTACCACTACACCACTACCGGTGCCATCTCCAGCATGGCAACCCGCACCCGTACGCCGACGTCCGCCAGTTTTCCTTAACACCCGTCCGCACAACCCCACACCAGCGCAAGCGTTAGGAACACATGTCGCAGCAGGCTCGCAGCTTCTTCAGCTCTCCCGCTCCTGCAGTTGCCGTTGGCCCCTTTCCCTCCTTCCGCACCACGCTGTCCTGCCCCGTGACGAGGCCTCATGTCCAACCGTTTACAACATCACAATCCGGGAACCATTCACAACGGGCGGCCTCCCTTCCCCGCCCGCAGAGTCCTACTCCCGGGTCGCAGCCGGGCCAACGACCCGCATGCGAGGGCCCAGAGCAGGGCAAGGTCAGCTCCACATACCGGTGCGACCATGGCGCTAACCTCTACTGTAGGGGTACCAACAATCGTAAAAGTCAACCTAAAAGCCAAACCCTATCCGAACCCTCCGCCGCCGCAACAGCCCGCGTTCTCCTCCATCACAGCCTCACCAGCAGCAGCACTCATGCCGCCGCCAGGCCCGCTCCATTGCCGCCCGCCGCCCCTCCCTCTCCTCCCTCTCCCTCCCCTGCCTCTTCCACCCCTGCCTCCCCCTCCTCCTCCTCCTCCGCAGCCGCCTCCTCCGCCGCCTCCTGCAGCACCGCCGCCAGATCCGCGTCCACCTCCACAACCACCTCGTCCAGCGGGCGGTACGTCTGGGCCTCCTCGTCGTACACCTATGTCGTACGGTACGGCAATGTAAGACAAAACAAGGTGTACGGCAAACGAAATAGGAAAGCCAGCGTCTGCCGTCTAGTCCCCAACCTGCTCATGCTCAACGCAACCATACCCGCACTTGGTCCCATGCTTGTTCTTCCCCGTACCCTCACCCCGCACCCTCACCCCGTTTCTGCCTCACCTGCCACTTGGTCATATGGTTGACCAGCAACTTCACGTTCATCCTGGCCTCCGTGAGGTACGGCAGCAGCCGCTCCCGCATGTGCTCGTACGCCTCTCGGGCGGCGTAGCAGGGCAGTCCGGGCGCCACGATCTGGGGCAGCGCATAGTTGGCGTCATTGAGCAGCAGCTCCAGGGGGCGCGGCAGGCGCAGCGTGACGGTGCCGCTGATGGCGGCCCGACCCGCGTCGTAGCCGGCGTCGGGCGGCAGGAAGGGGATGTGCGGCGCGGTGTGCTGCAGGAGGGAGAGGGTGGAGAGCCAGGCGTGGAAGACCAGCCAGGGGGCGAGGTAGCAGCTGAAGAAACCTGGAGGGAAGGCGGCGGGGAGAGGAGAGGCGCGTGGCGTTTGATGGGGCAGCTAGCGGTGGGTCATTAAGAGGGAGTCAGCACCGGGATTGCACCGGGATTGCCGATAGGTACCGATAACATGAATGCATGCACACAGACGGAGTGCATCCATCCGTGCATGCATGCCCGGCTGGACGCAGGCTCTCCCATGTATCCCTCCAAACACTTCCCGCCCAAACCCCCCCCCCCGGCTACCTCACCTGCCAGCCCCCCCGCCGCAATCATGGCTGGGAAGCCCACCCCCGCGAACAGCAGCGGCAGCGCCCAGCCCGCCATCATGTCCACCTGGCTGCCCGGATGGAAGCGCCGCAGGTCCAGACCCTCCCAGGACCGCCACCAGTGGCCTATACTGGCAACCAGGAACTTGAGCGGACTGCCGTACACCAGCAGGTGAAACGCCAACCGCCAACTGCCATAACCACCCGCCACCGCTGTTGCTACGGCTGAGCTGATGGAACCCCAGAACGACCCTCCGGGTTGCCTTTTTCCGCTTCCGCCTTTCTCCTCGCCCTCCGAAACCACCCCCTCCGCATCCGCATCCGCAGCAGCAGCCTGCGACGACGCAGCGGGTGAGGCTGCGACCGCTGTTTTCAGGATCTCCGAAGCCACGTCAACCTTCGTCAGCGGGTGCCAGCCGTACTTGTCATCCTCCCCCAGCTGGTTCAGGTGCAGCAGGTGGTGCAGCCAGCCCAGGCGCCAGCAGGGGAAGGAGTACAGGGAGGGCAGCATCAGCAGCGACCCCAGCAGCTCCTGTACCGCAGGTGCCTGGGGCAGGAAACTGAAGCGAGCGCACTCATGCGCTACCTTGAACAGGCCGGTGTAAGCGGTTCCGATGAGGACAGCGCAGATGAGTTGCTGCCAGAGAGGGCAGATGGAGTGCCAGTACCAGAGCCAACCGTAGCCAACAGCCATGGCGGCGAGCGGGAGAGCGACGGCGGCGACGGCGCGCGGCGCGGAGAAGTCGAAGAGTCGTGAGGGCAGCATGCGGGAGAAGGCGGAGGGGTGCGCGCCGGGCGGCAGGTCAGCGCCCAGGCGGGTGTAGCCCCACTCCTCAGCTAGGGCGGCTTTTTGGGCGTCACTGAGGCCGTCCAGAGTAAAGGGAACGGGTTCCGAGGAAGGGTCCGAAGCGGAGGAGTCCGACAAGGAGGAGGCGGGTTCCCCTGATTCGCTGGTGGCGGCTGCGTCGTCAGCGGCTGCTGCAGGTGCCGCAGCGGTTGCGGCCGCTGCTGAGCCGGAGCCGTTCGTACTGCTGCCCGCGGATGCTGCCCCTGCTACTGATTGGCCGTGTTGAAGCTGCTCTTCCGCTTGCTCCTCAGACGCCGCCTCCTCCTGCCGCTGCTGCTCCTGCTGCTCCCCCACGGCAGCATCCTGAAACGAAGGCCCCGGCCCGCCTGCTCCCGCTGCTGCTGCTGCTCCCAGCCCCGGGCCGCCGTCCGTGACCCGCATGTCAGCGGCCTCCGAGCCCACCGGCGTGAAGACAGCGCGGCAGCGAGCAGCGGGGCCGCACCTGCCGGGGCGCAGCGCGAGGCGGCTGCTGGCAGCGGGGACTGAGCCCTGTGCTGAGGATGCGGCTGGGGCCGGAGGGTGGTGCTTGTGGGAGCGGGGTTCTGATGGGGGATGGATTGGGGAGCGGGAGCTGCCGGGGGTGCAGCTGCTCAGTCGTTGACGGCATATCCCGGGTTGTGGGAGCCAGCCGGAAAGGGGTTGATGGGGTGCGGCTGCGCGCCATAGCGAGGCTGCGGGGTAGGTGTGTGGGTCATGAATGCGGAATGCTGGTCGTCGTTGACGTACGCCCGCGCAGGCTGTGCTTATGGAGGATGCTGGACAAGAGCATGAGGATGAAGAGATGCTTTGCAGCACCGAGCTCATCATTCCCACAGCGGGCTCAATGCCTGCGAAAGTTTGGTCGCGAAGGAGCCACCGCAAAAAAGTCCGATAGATACCAAGTCATCTTGCAGTTAAGTTCAATTTCGACCATACGATAAGCTAACGCATACGATATGGGCTGCTGTTGTAAGAAACAAAGCAGCTTGCGGCCGCTCACCCGCTCAACGCCGCCGCCCGAAAGCCTTCCTTGTGGAGACGACACCAGATCCAGTAGCCTGAAAGCTGCAATGATCCTATGGATGAAGCCTAAGCGACGACGCCGACGACGTTGGGAAACGGCTGAGGGCCAACCCAGCTTTGCTATCGGCCTCAAATCCGGGCCGATCTTGCGAAACTACCTTAACACATTTCTTTATTATGCCTTACAGAGCCAGCTGTAGTATCAAAGATCGGAAACTGCTGGTTGAGCAGGCTTAGGGTCGAAAGTACCCAGTAGGTTTGCTCTTTAAGTCTTAGCAAGGAGGTCCACTGCAATTTGCGGTGATAATCTTATCAAGAAATGCAATATCGTTGCATGTATGGCATGGACGGTGCTCTTGGGTTTGCTTGGTGAATGCCGGACAAGTCCAAACCAGAAGGAAACAAGCAGGTGCACCATGTTAAATATACATCATAATGGATGCGTAACGCTCAAGCGCAGAGCCGGCAGATTGCAACATGCAAGAAGCAGAGGGGCAATTTGTCCCGTCTTTGCCAAAGCACCCAGGAGCCCAGAATCACCGGTTCAGCTAGCCGATTCCCCTTGAAAGGACAAGCAATACTCGATGGAAGCTGCGATACCGCGTACGGTTGTTATCGAACGCTTGGCTCCGAACCCGTCGATGAGAGTTGCGCGGAAGCCGACGATTCCCTGACCCCGAATGCCCATTGGCGCCGTCAAGCACTTGTTTAAGCCTTGTAAATTAGGTCCTTATAACACTGCTCTTAGGCCTAGGCAAAACGTGTTCAGCTGTAAGCTTTGACCCTTGCATCGGGCAAGCTTTGACGATTCCTGACGGTCCTCACCACAGAGGCGACGTCAAGGCAGTGATCACTTTGCTGCCTCTCATAGGCGTACATTGGTCTGGGAGGGCCTTAATACTCTTGTCGGCGACCGACGGTGAAGCTGCTATCGAGGAAAGGCGCTAATAAAGTGGGCCATCGGATCCAAGCGCCGAGATATCATACGTAAAATTGTGCTTGTCATTGCGCTGATGGGAAAAGGCAAAGAGAACAGGTAGGGCAGGGGGCTCCGCGGCCAACGGTTTCGCATCGCCATCAACGCTTAGTTGCTTACTAGGTTACTTTGCTCGTTCTTGCATTGACTCACCTGTAATCCGCTAAATATCATTATGGAAGGGCACGCATTAACTGAAGGACCGTTATCCTTCCAGGTCCACTTTCGAATGCTGGGGGCCGCTTGACATTTGGTGGAGGGCTTACGTGCAAATGCGTGGTGAATTTCCAGAAGAGCCCGAGCTGCAGAGGTAAGGCTGCTGCGCGAACGTCGTCATTGGGTGCGACCATCCGTCCGTCGAAACGGCGGTCGACATATACTTGCTTACTCTGTTACACCAGCGAGAAAACAAACTATGTTTCATCAAGCAATCAAGGGCCTCACACTTTATTCAGACCGTTAACCGTTCTAACGGTTATTTTTTGCGCGAAGCGCGCTTCCTGGCTGACGCTTTCTCCGAAATGGTCCTCCTGCATTCCGTTTACTTTTCGTTACATTGCGTACTCAATCCAAGCCTGTGCTGGGGGCCCCTCTCCGTCCATCACACCGCTTCCCCTCCAGGTGGTACCAGCAGGAGTCACGCCTCGCGTTTACCAGCGACGATCTACCGGCCTATGCACAGGTACTCGACCGCGCTAGGAGCCTGTGCGAGGCCGCCTGTGCGGACCGTATCTTCCTGCAAGGACGCTACGACGGCGGTTGCCAGAGTGAGGTGAGGGTGCGCAGCCGTCACTCGCGGGGCTCTCACAAGCAGCACGGGACCTTCCCGCCACCCGCAACTCCGACCCGCCTGTTGCCGCCTGCTGCTGCTACATGCGTCGTGCCGAGACATCTGTGCGCGCTGCGGCCCTGTCGTGCACTGCACCACCCTGCACCACCAAACATCTGGTTACAGGTCTCCTTGTCGTGTGTCCTCACCAATCCTTAGGCCTCCTTGTCGATTGTCGTACCGATCCTCGCCGGGTGCCTTAGCCGCTGTGCTGAGAGCCGCAGCCCTAACCCTATTGTGCCTCCTCCTGCCCCCTGCAGGCGGTCGGAGGCGAAGCCAACGTGCAGGAGGCAGATGAGGCGGACCTCACAGCAATGGTTTCGCTGTCTGCTGCAACCGCAACCGCAACCGCAGAACCCTTTGCTACCAACGCGCAGCCCAAACCACCGGCGTCGGCTCCGCTGCAAAGCCTGCTCCTGTTCGGTCTGCCAGCAGCAGCAGACGGCGTGGACGCGGCAGCTACAGCCGCAGCCGCAGCGCGCCCTGCCGCAGTTGCGCCTTCGCTGTCGTCACCAGCAGCGGTTGCATGCCCGCTGGACGTCGAGTTCAACCCGCTCTCCTTATCATCACCTACCTCACTCCGGCCCGCCAAGAGGGCCAGGGTGCGTGTGGAGGTACCGGACCCGGCAGGAGACACGGCGGCTGCGGCGGTGCAGCTCCCCCATGGTGACCCGGCGGACGCGGGCGACTGCGCTACTGCAGCTGCAGACGTGGCCGCTCCCGCTGCTGCGGCTGCTGGTGCATGGGGGTCCATACAGCCGACTGCAGCAGCAGCAACAGCAGCAGCGAGGGGGGCAGCAACACCGGGTGGTGGTGCTGTGGCGACGGCGGGTGCATCCGGTTGGGTGGCGACTGCGTCGGCTAGCGGTGTGTTTGTGAGGAGCCCTTGCTCCTCAGCCGGCGGTGCGGCCGCCTGCACGCCGCAGAGCTGCCCTGCTGCTCCCGGGGAGGTTTCGGAGGTGCCGCCGCGGGACTGGGCGACGACGATGACGCCCACCACGGCGACGGATGCCGCCACGCCTGGGGCGGGTACGACAGCACAGGTGGTGATGATGGGCGGCTCTATGGCCTTGTCGTACAGCGGGAGTGCCTGTGGCTGCGGCTGCTTGACTTCATCAGCTGCGGGTACTGGTGCTGGCGCTGACGCGGCGGCTGGGGAGGTCCCCAACACAATACTGGCGGGGGCGCCCCCGGGGCATCCTGCCGCTGTCCCTCCTCCTCCAGAGCCCCTGACATCCCTGCCGGCGGACTCCCTCTCCAACACCTCCCGGCCCCACACATCCTTCTCCACTTCCATGCTGACCACTGCCGTACAGCTCCCCCCGCCGTACGCGCACAACTACCAGCCGCATCACCCCTCGCCGCCCTGCGGCCCCCCGCCCGTCACCACCGGCCTCCGACCCCGACCCGCCTCCCGCGCCTCATCCGCCCCCCTGCACGGCTACAGCGTGCTATCCGGCGCCACCGCCGCGGCCTCGCCCTCTGCAACCGTCACCGGCGCACTGTCATGCGCTGTGCCCCTGGCCGCCGCCGCCCGCGGCCCTCCTGCAGGCGCCCTTGCAGCTGGCGCACCTGCTCCGTTCTCACCCTTTGTTGCTGCCACAGCGGCTGCTCCTGCTGTCGCTTCCCGAAGAGCCGCCCCTGCTGCCAAGACCTCCCGGCTCGGACTTCGGGAGGCAGCCAACGCTACCTCAGCTGCCAGCAGCAGTGCTGCGGTTGTTCAGCAGCCGCTGCAGCTGCGGCGGAAGCGGCGTACCCCAACCCCGGCGGGGCCGCTGTCGACCCAGCAGGAGCAGGAGGAGCAGCAGCAGCAGCACCGCCACATGTGCGGTATCCACTCACCAAGCTCCCCTCATGAGGAGCCGAACCTGCAGCAGGCCTGGGTGGCGGCTTCGGCACTTGCATCCACATTCGCATCTGCACCCGCTGCCGCGCCCTGGTCTCCCCTGGATAACAGCAGTACGGAGTCAGCCCTCGGCGTCAGCACATGGCCAGCACCTTCTCATCCCGCTTCTGCCGCCAGCGGCTTCCGCACGCACAGCCGCAGGCAGGTGCCGTCAGCAGCGGCAGCCGATGCTTCCGACTTCTCCCCGCACCAACAACCTCAACTGGGTCAGGGAGGCGGGGAGAAGGCCCAAAGCATGGGCGGCAACAGCAGCAGCAGCAGCGGAGGAGCAGCAGCCGCGGAGGCCCCCCATGCGCTCCAGTCGACCATTGTGCTGCCGACGCCGTCAAACACGCTATCAACGCAGCAGCAGGAGCCACAGCCACAGCAGCAGCTGGGCAGCAGCCAGCGGCGGCTGTCTCTCACGCACGCAGCTCTGGAGCAGCAACAGCAACAGCATCCTCCCCATCGTCATCATCCCCGGCTGGCGCTCCCGCCTGGTTGGTACGCCTACCCCTACCCCTATCCCTACCCCCTCTACTACCCTTACGCCCCGCACCAGCGCCCGCACCTGCCCCTATCTCTTGGCCGCCAGTCTGCTAATGTGGCCGCCGACGGCGATGATGTGACGGCGCCGACTCAGCAGGGGCCTCATGGGCTGCCGTACGTGCTGCCGTACCCCGTTCGCCCTCGCCTGCGCCGTACAGTTTCGCCTCCGCCTCCGCACTACCACTACCTCCTGACTCGGACACAACGGCCGATGCAGCAGCCTGCCCTTGCGAGCGATTATGCAAGTGAGTTGCCTCCTCTTCCTCCTCCCATGGCGGTTGGTAACGGCGAGGGCGACGGCGTTGATGGTTGCTGCAGCAACAACGAGGCGCATAAGCTGCAGGAATCAGTCCTTGGAGGAACGGTTGCGCAGGTCATGCAGCTGCCACTCAACAACAACCAACTAACGGCCAGTGTACGGCAGCAGCTGCAGCAGCAGCACTTGCAACAGCCGCAGCAACCGACTGAGCAGCATGGGCTGACGTGGCAGCCGTCTCTCCACCACTTGCAGGTGGCCACGCCGCTAGGACTTGACTCGCCGATGCCGCCCTCGGCTCCTTCGTTGCTACAGCCCCGCCAGGCCCAGGGCTGTCGTACGTCGTACGGCTGCGAAGATTCTGTCGTCCACTTGTACGGCAATGGGTCCTCGGCTGCAGCCGGCCCCATGCATGCTGCCACGCAGCAAGCCGCTGGCGGCGTGCAGCATCAGCCCCTCACAACGCTTGCGGCTTCCACTTTCTCGCTTGGTGCCGAAGCCGGCAGGCCGGTATTGGCAGCAGGAATAGGGGAAGCAGCGGCGTGGCCGGCAGGACTGGACTTGGGGGCAGGGGTAGCGGCAGGCTCGTCTTGGCGGGCTTCGCTTGAAGAGGCGATGCCGCTACGGGCCTCCAGGAGTGTCTTCTACGGCGGCGGCGAGGGCGGCAGCGGCGGTGGCGACGCCAATGGCAGCGGCAGTGGTATCATTGAGAGTCTTTGGGCCTTATGCGCTGAAATGGACGGTTCCTCCTCCGCGGCGAAGTGACGGATGGCGGCGGGACCGCAGCGGGCCGCAGCTGAGGGGAGCTGGATGAGAGGGCAGGGGTGGTGGCGATGGAGGTGTGAGGGCCGTTCCTAGGCTAGGCCGGGCTGGCGAAGCGGCTTGCGTGCTGATATGCAGGTGTGTTGGGGTAATGACGGGTGGCAGCCCCGTAAACAACATGATTGAATGAGTATGTCCTATTTAGGGTGCACTGGGCGGCTAAGTGGAGGTGCGTGGAGGCATGCAGGATATGGTGTAGCGTAGCGTGACGAGTCAACACATGAGTTGCTGCAGCCTAGGCTGCTTGTGATATGCTTCGATTGTCCTAACAGTGCAGGCTTGGCTTAATTCGCAAGCAATAAGGGGGATGCAGCCCTGTTGTGGAGGACCTTGCTCGCACATATTGAGTTCGTAACGTCTCGCAATGCAGTGGGGATGCTAAGTAGCGGTAATCATCATGTTTGCATTGTTGCCGCCTGCGTATTACCCGGGCCCACGCCAAGCGGTGGTTTGCTCCGGTTGTGATTGCGATTGCTGTGATCCACTTTATTCTTTGCTGGTCGGCTTCTGCTTGATTGTCGCTAGGGGGGTGTATGCCGTGCTTCTTCGTGTTCTCTCAAGGTGTGCAATGGCCACTGCCGTTGTTTACGTGACCGGGGCGGGTTTTCGTTGCAGCGGTCAACTGGTGAAATAATGAATGATCATGCTAGTTGTCTGGACCATTCCGGCCCAGTCTGGTCCATTTCGAAGGCACGCGGTCCCCAGTATCTGTCAGGACCTTGCTTGGGCTGGTGTGTGCGTGCAGCGCCTGGTACGGTTTGTGACCTGTTCGTGCAAGGTGTCGTACGGAGGAAATGCCCTGTGAAAAGGGCAAAGGCGTGCCCGTGCAAATGGTGGCGTGAATCAGAAATGGGTGTGACTCCCTTCAGGACTCTTTACCACTTGACCTGCTCCTCTGCCGTGGAGCTCCTTTGCTGTGGAGCAGTTAGCCTGGTGAGAACTGTTATGGTGCTGTATTGCCTGTATACCATCGGTGTGTTAGGAGGTAGCAACTTAAGTGATCTCCACAGAACCTGTAACCCAGTTCCACTCCGTTGTGTCCAAGATGCATCTTCACAGGTTGCGTACAGTGCACAAGTTTTGTGCCCCACGGTTTCCCACGCTTGCGCTGTACGACACCCAACGACAGCGACTCCAGCCCCGGGGCGTATCCAGCACTTGGATTAGTCAAGATGACAGGGACGACGAGCATTGCTTCGTTATGAGCGCAGTTCAGAAAGCGTTGGGGGCTCGGGATCTTCAGGGTAGGGATACAATAAGCTCACAGGGCCCGTGGGACTTGCGGACATGTGAGGCGGGGAAGATGCGCATACCGCAGCATCATGAGAAAAAGATGTATGTTATGGGTTGTTGAAGCTCGGCTCGCCCTTTGGTTAATGGTTTCACGCTGCTCCGTGCGCGACGGAGCCGAGTAGTACCAGCACAACAGCCACTGTCGCCGCGGCGATCAAGTTTTGTAGGACTTATCCCTATTAGAAATAGACTGCCCTACTATACAGTTAATCGGCGTTCGCCTGTGGTCAACACATAAACGATCAGCTGCAAGTGGGTTCCATAGTAAGCTGCCCGAGAGGCCCGAAAGCTTTACCAATAGTTGATGAGAACCAACGGAGTTATCTACATGCACATCAGGGACTTGGCGTAAGCGGAAGGAGCTCTTCAGCTTTGGGGCACCCCGCAGCTGCAGCGGTAAGAGATTGCCGTGGCTTGCTTATGTTTTCAGAGTACACACGTGCTTTGTTGTTCTTCTGCTCGAAAGGCAATTCGTTTTGCTTGTCATGTTTTTCAATTAGGCAGTCACACCATCAACTTGCATTCACGCCACACAGGGATTTCTACTTTGTAATAACAGTCAGCCGTGCCTTTTGGCAGTGGTACGATTGCCACCATGCCTAGCTACGATGACTCCACGGGCAAGTCGAAGATTACAGAGGCCAAGACGCGCTACACCGTGTTAGCGACGTTCTTCGCTGTTGGCCTCTGCTTGGGCGTCGTCATCTCAGAGCGGGTCTACGTTCAGAAGCATGCGTTAATCCCGAAGCCGCGGCAGCTGGTTGACACACTAGCCAACACCATCCACGTCGGCCACCGGGTTCACGACGTGGCAGCAGCTCCACGGAACGATTTGGAGGCCTACCTCATGCAGGTTGCTCCTCAGAAGGAGGTCCTACTGGCCGTGGCGAACAAAAACACCATGTGGGACGGCATGCTGGATACCTTCACCCAGGGTTTCAAGCGCAGCAAGGTGCCTAACCACATGGTTCTGGCTCTGGACAAGGAGACTGAGGCCTGGTGCAAGCAGAACGGCGTGAACGCCTACTACATGAACCTCTCGATTGCCAGCGTGCAGCAGGGCACCGGCGACAACCACGCCGTGTCAGCCATGAAGTTTGGCATCCTCAAGAAGTTTGTGGAGCTGGGATGGGCGGTGCTGCTGTCTGATGTCGATATTGCCATCTTCCAAAACCCCTTTGAGCACATCTACCGCGATTCGGACATCGAGGGAATGACCGATGGCTTCGATGAGCACACGGCCTATGGCTCCATCGAGGGCTTTGATGATCCGTCCATGGGCTGGGGCCGTTACGCCCAGTACTACAAGCACTTCAACCTGAACTCCGGCCTGTTCTACATCAAGGCCAACAACCGCACCATGGACCTCCTCACCCGCCTGGCTGACCGCCTCAGTCATGAGAAGTACTGGGACCAGACCGCTTACAACGAGGAGATCTTTTTCCTCTCGCACGGCAGCTACAAGAGCCCGCAGGTCAGCGTGCGTGTCATGGAGATTGACAAGTTCATGAACTCCAAGCGGCTCTTCAAGGACATCCGCCACCGCCCCAAGGGCCAGCGCCCGCCTCTGCCCGTCATGGTCCACATCAACTACCACCCCGACAAGCACGAGCGCCTCAAGGCCGTGGTCGAGTACTACCTGAAGGACAACGAGCACGCACTTGACGCCTTCCCCGGTGGTAGCGAGAAGGGTACCCGATAGAGTTGCGGACACTGTGTCCTAGAATACAGCAGACACAGGTGGTGCATTGCGTGCTAGCTGCTAGGGTACAATGCAGTGAGCTACATGTAACTAGAGGCTCGTCTTGTAGAATGTAATGCGCATGGCTACAGAACGCTATATGTGAGTTCAGAAGTATGTTCGGATGGTGTGTGTTGAGCTCGAGTTGGGCTCGTGCGGTTGGGAGGTCCGTAAGCAGCTTTGCAATTTTGAGGGGTTGGTAAGGGAGCGCGACGCTGTACAGATGATAGGGATGGGGGGGCTCTGCCGTGGCTTGGACCTTAGTAACGTAACAAGCTAGGAACATGCTGGCGCCCTCGGTTGACGCCTCCTCACGTGGCTCCTGGGAGTACAGCCTTGCATAGTGGACAGCAGGCCTTGATTCGGAGCCACTCGTCCAGGCAGGCGGCGTGGTGATAGTGGACACACTGGATGCTCTTGAGCTGGTCGCCCTCCGCAAAGGCGCCCAGGCAAATGCAGCATGTTTGCCCCAGCAAGGGAGACGACTCCTCGCATGTAATGACCGGGATGCTTGCGATTGCGCTCGAACACGCACCTGTATTGGGACGGGTTGGCAAGGCAGGGGCGCGGAAGCAAAATTCCGGGCGTTAGGAAAGTAGCACTTAGCCAAGTGGCAGGCCGATGAAGGCGGCATGGGAAGGGCGCGCCACGATGCATGTGGGTACCGGTAGCTGAATGCAGGGTAGAGCTAAGCACCGTCATGAGTAAACCCCGTAAACGTAAACCCCGTAACGTCCCTTTGCAAGCGCTCTCACCTGGCACGGCGTCATGTTCCTGCAGCTGGCCCCCTCGCCGTGGGAAGGCCCGCAGTACCCCAAGCAGTTGTCTGTGCACAACGGAACACGGAACAACCATGCAAGCAAAGGCGAGTCGTCAGGTCGCACATGCATATCAGCTATAGATGCAGTCGTAGCGAAAATAAGCAGACGCAGAATCCAGCTATCTCTAACCCCACGCAATACCGGTACCCTGGCCTCATCAGCGCTGCCCGCATGCTCTCCTAACACCTCTCTTTGCCACGTCCTCACCACCACCCCTTTCCCACCTGGCCATGCGCGACACCTCGTCTGCCCGCGTATCCGTGGCCGACACGGCTGCTGAGATGGACTGCACGTCCTCCGGCTTGCTGAACAGCATGGCGCGCGAGGCGGCCTTCATGTCGCGTAGAGACTGCGACAGCAGCCCCACCGCCTGCTCCACCGCAGACACCTGAGGGAGCAGCGGATTGGGCAGCGGGGGACAGGCAGGAGACAGGTGAGAGGTGCAACCGAGCAACTGATACCTCACTGCCGCGTCCTGAGGATCCTGATGTTGGGATTGGGCGTGCGCGCGCGCGTGTGTATTGCTACGGTGGTTGGAGGTGAGCAGGCAGGCAAGGCTGCTATGGATGCCGGACGCTAGCTGAAGAGCTATCCGATAGCCCCAAGCAGCCCATAACCGGACGCAGCTATCCAGGTATCACCGGGGGTCCGCACCTGCAGAGGTGTGCCCTCGATCACCGCCATCTCAGCCGTCAGCAGCTCCTGCAGGGCCGTCAGCTGCTGCTGCCGGAGCCTGGCGAGACAAACAATGTACGGCAGGGTCGGCGCGAAATGGGTTTTATTCTGCTGCACGATTTGGGTCTGAAATTTGCAAACTAAGGATGGCAGGTAACTCGTTTGGGGAGATGGGGACGCTTTTGAGCCATGCCCAGCGCAGCCTGGTCGGCACTTGGGCGCCTGGTTTGCCCAAGTACCTTCCTAGCTTCAACCCGAACCACCGAAAGCATGGACTTCGATACTTACTTTAATTGCTGCATACGAAGGACTAGGAGCTGCCGGAGGGTCTCGTTCTGCTTGCGCTGCAGCGAGGCTAGCTGTTGTGCGACGACGCGGACCGGGCCGTTGAGAGCGGCTAGAGCGGTATCTGTTTCTCGGCCAGACACGCTCGTTTCCTCCTCCGCGACATCCTCGTAGATCTGGCATCGCTGCCCTGGCTCCTCCACTGCAGGTTGCTGAGGGTCCGGACCAACCTCCGGGCTAGGGGATGCGGGTTCTGTTGTAGTCAGGTTACATTCTTCTGACTGACTCGGGTGAACAGAGGGATGTGAAGCACTTCCTTGGATGCACAAGCTGGAAAGCTGCGTGCTTAGCAAGCGTGCCCTAGCAATTGCTTCTTGAGCACGGCGAAGGTTATCGCTGATCGCCTCCATTATAGCAAATATAGGAATGTATTGAAAGGCAATACCCTGTGTCGATATTACTCTGGTGCTGTCGCACGGCATTGTCTGGGAGTGCACGGAAACAGGTCACTCCATCGCTGAGGATACCGCTCTTTTTTAACATAGTGTTCTCTTATTTGTACAGGAAAGCTGAATATAGAGAGAACTTCTGGTTATTGAACTCACGCAAAAATACTGATTACAACGTAAATGGCAAGGCCAGCAAGCATCCTTCATGCGCTTGGAGCAACCTTTGGTGGGCTTTTAGCAACTGGACGCAGCTCAGCAGGTGAGTTGACTATAGTCGTTCGCTGCCGCCGCGACTTGTCTCCATCCTACAGGCTTGTGCCCTTTTCTCCCTCCTACGACAGGCATCCAGTGCTTGCAAGCCGTTGCTGCTCAGACTGGGCTAGCAACACGTTGGTTATCTGCGAGCACCTCGTCTCTAGCGGCTGAGGCCGCAGCCCAAAGCGTGCGACAGGACGCCGACCAGCCAGCCAGCACCAGCGACTCCCAGCAGCCGCCTGCTGCCGCACAGCCGCGCGCCACGGGCTTTCGCCGCGTGGTTTCGGAGCGTCGCGGCCTGCAGCAAGGTTCCCTAGAGGGTGTCGTGCACATCCAAAACACCTTCAACAACATCATCCTCACACTCACGGACCAGCAAGGCTCCATCAAAACCTACACATCCGCGGGCGTGGTGGGATACCGCGGTGCCCGCAAGTCGCAGCCCGTAGCTGCGGAGCGTGCGGCGGAGGAGCTTGCGCGGCGGGCTCTCAAGCTGGGCTATGGCTCGGTTGCGGTGCGGCTCAAGGGCCCCGGCAACAACAAGCAGTACGCGGTGCAGTCGCTGGCGGCGGCTGGGCTGCAGATAACCAGTCTGGCGGATGTAACCCCCATCCCGTACAATGGCTGCCGGCCGCCTAAGAAGCGGCGCGTGTAAGCGCACATGCGCTGGTGGCGTCAGCAGCGGTGGGGGCGGCGGCGGTGGGCGGAAGCCGCGGTGGGGGCGACGGCGATGGTGATCGATGTTATGGTATGTGGTCGCGGGTGCTGCTTGGTGGTGCTGTTGTGGTGCGGGAAGTGAGGGGGTTGTGGGAGGAGAAGGTGCTGCCTCCTTTTCCGTGCATGTGCTCCCGGGTGCATGTGTTGCGGTAGCGGATGCGACTGCTGTGGACACGACAGGGGGCATGTGGGCACTCCTTGCATGCCGTGCCTGCTGTTGCTTGATGTTGGAGCGAGCGTAGTGAAGTTTAGATTGGCGGGGAGGGTGCTGTTGAGCTGTTAGTATTCCCTAGCCGTCACAGCGGGGGGACATGTCATGTGGGACGCGGTTGTACGGATGGTAGCAAGGTGTGGGGGCAGGATGTGCGCAGCATGGGTCCCGAGCATACGGTAAGTCGTCATGAGGAACAGTCAAGGCGTTGCTAGGGCGTACCCGACGCCTCGCGTATCCGATGTCCGATGTAAGGGTCATGAACTCATGATGAATGCGGACTCTTGTACGGCCGGGGGTTGTGGTACCGTTATGGACAGTGTTTAGGGTACGAGAAATTGCTGTCGAGGTGTCGACGTTTCCTTATCGTCCCGGACATACAACAGCCATCGCCGCGCGTTTCGTCCTACGTACTGTTCCTGATTGGGCCTCTGCCGTTGTGCTGATCGGTCATGCTCCTCTCTATCGCCCTTGAGTCTTGCTTGTTGTGCTCTCGGAGGCGGGGTTTTCCGAGATGAAGGCCGAGGGCTTGGTGACCGCAGGGGCCTCAGGGCCGCCTGCGGAAGGTGTCCCGCCCCCGTTTCGCAAACAAGTGGCTTTGTGTATTGCTTTGTGACGTTGTGTGATGGGCACAACGTACGGGGGAACGTTGGCGAACACTTTGCCAAAGCTTGAAAGTCACCTCTAGGTATTGCAAGGCTCGGTGGTCATGTTGGCCGGGTTGGGTTGGGACGGCGGCGCCCTCTATCCTAGCGGGGTGGGTCGGATGGTGACTGCGGCAACGTCTTGCTGAGCAGCTGTTTACGCTTGGGGGAGTGGTGTTAATAGCGTACGTGCGGCTTTCGAAGAGCTAACCGAGAAAGTTTATGGTGATTGTGGGCGGTTATGGCAAAAGGGGAAAGCCGGGCCAAGGTACTTTTGTGTCCGTGAGGAAGCCTTGTGTAATACCTAGTGTGAATGGGGGTCTTGGTGTGCGTATGGCCACTTTGGCTGCTTGCGGTCTTGCTTGGGGTGATGGCTCGACCGACGGCAAGTATCACGCCTTGCCGTACATGATACCTGGCAAAAGGGGCGGGGGCAAAAGGGGAAGACTCCCAGGGAGTTACCATACGGATTGCACGTGTCTGTTGTCTACGTAAACTATAAAATACGCTCCATAGGAACTCCTCTTGTCAAGACTCCATGGACATCCCAACTGCTGACTGTCCTCCAGATCACTTTTTGTAAACACCTTATTTATTGCACAACGCACTCGAAAGAAAATAGAATACTGAAAAATGTCGCAGCAGCCTCAGGAGCTGGGCATGCGCGCAACGGTGCGTCCAAAGCTCGCTCGGTAGCTTGTCGCTTGCCCGTTCATGTGTGGTCATCTAAGTCATCTAACCCACTCATTTACCCAAATGTTGTGACAGGTATTGGATGTCGTGCCTCCTGGCCCCATTCATCGCCATCGTCGCACTACCGTCGCCAAGTTTTCACACGTACGAGGGGCCTTTCGGGAACTATCTCCTGCCAGTCTGATACAATTGCAGTTTCGGTCTTTCACTTCATTTCCACGCCCCCCTTTCGCCCTTTCTCAACCACTCCCCTCCCACCCATCCCCCTCTCCAAATCCGCTCCCACTTCCCGCACACAGCGCATCCCAAACTTCCGCGAACCAGGCAGCACATTCAGCTTGGTCCCCGACCTGCGCGCAGCTGCTGCCATGGAGGCAGCTGCGCGGCGCAAGGACGACACCGTGAGCAGGCTGAGGGCCGCAGCGCAGCAGCAGCAGCCAGCGGCGGGAAGCGAGTAAGTGGGTCGCATCACAAGCCATTTAAGCCTTGAGGTTTGGGGTCTGTCAACAGGGGTTGGAATCTGGAGACAGCGGGATGAGCGGTGCCCACAAGACCTGGCCATCCCTCCCCTCAACGCTGCCAGGCATTCCCGTGTACCTTCTCTTCCCCTGCTTCCCCTCCACGTTCCCCATCCCCCCTTCCCTTTTTCCCTCCTCCTTCCCTCCTCCTCCTCTCCTTCCAGCCTCAAGGTACCTCTCATCCTGGAGCAGCGCACCCCCTCCTCCTCCGCCCCCTCCGCCTCCTCCTCTCGCCCCGCCGCCGTGTACAAGGGGCTGCCCGAGGCGGGCGGCGGCGCCAACATGGAGGGCCCCCCGCTGCACTACGTGCTGTTCCGCTCGGGCGGCCGCGTGACGGCCTTCCCCGCGGAGCTGTGGTTCGGATTCAAGCCGCATGTGGACCGGTGAGGGAGAGGGGGGAGTAGGAGGGGGGAAAGGCACTACCGGTACCAAACCATGAGTTGGGAAGCCATGAGTTAGGGCAATGCAGGGAGGGGATAGCAGGCGGGGGTGGTGGTGCGTGGGAGGGAGCGGGTGCAGCAGGGAGGGCTGGGGAGGTGTCAGTGGGGCGCACCAAAAATGTCACCGAGGCGCACCACCCCAGTACCGCTGCCCGCCCCCCCGCACCTCTCCCTCTCCCTCTCCAGCCCTTCGCCACAAGCCCATGGCCCTTCCAAACCCCCTCCTCCACCTCCTCTACTTCCTTCACCTCTCCCCAACCTTACCCCAACCGCAGGCGAGGTCTGGTTGACTCGGTGGCCGCTGCAAACGCCGCCGCTGCTGCCGCGGGCCGGGGTGCGGGCGGGCTGGGGGGCGGGGGCGGGCTGGGAGGCGCACCTTTCGACCCCTTCGCCATGCGTCTGGTGCCCAAGAGCCAGCGACTGGAGAAGCAGCGGCAGGTGGGCAGCGGGGGGGAAGAAGAACACCCAATGTGGGCAGCGGGGGGGAAGAAGAACACCCAATGTGGGCAGCGGGGGGGGGAGAACACCCAATGTGGGCAGCGGGGGGGAAGAAGAACACCCAATGTGGGCAGCGGGGGGGAAGAAGAACACCCAATGTGGGCAGCGGGGGGGGAAGAAGAACACCCAATGTGGGCAGCGGGGGGGGAAGAAGAACACCCAATGTGGGCAGCGGGGGGGAAGAAGAACACCCAATGTGGGCAGCGGGGGGGAAGAAGAACACCCAATGTGGGCAGCGGGGGGGAAGAAGAACACCCAATGTGGGCAGCGGGGGGGAAGAAGAACACCCAATGTGGGCAGCGGGGGGGAAGAAGAACACCCAATGTGGGCAGCGGGGGGGAAGAAGAACACCCAATGTGGGCAGCGGGGGGGAAGAAGAACACCCAATGTGGGCAGCGGGGGGGAAGAAGAACACCCAATGTGGGCAGCGGGGGGGAAGAAGAACACCCAATGTGGGCAGCGGGGGGGGGGAACATAAGACGAGGCAGGTTGGCAGGTAAGAGGGGGGAGCGGGCTGCTGGGAAGGTGGGGAGATGGGGGGTAATACCACCACTGCCCCCTGCCGCTGGCCTCCACCGCCAGCCCTCTTCCGTTCCGTGACAACCCTTGCTGCCCCCTGCATCACCATTGCTTTGCCCTAGCCTGTGATTTCTTACGGTTCGGTATATCCCTCCCTCCCCGCTCCGCTCGAGTCCGTTCACCAGGAGCTTGTCGCGTTGTTTACCATTCTCATTCAACACACTTGGTATTTTCTTTTCTGCCCCTGCCCCCGCATCCGCCCCTCAGGAGGAGGAGGCTCGCGAGCGCGCGGAGCAGGTTGCAGCGGGCCGCCTGCTGCCGCTGGCGGGGGCGGCGGCGGAGGAGCTGGGGCTGGGGGGCGGGGGCGGGGGGCGGCTGAAGCGCACCGTGGATGAAGACGATCTGGAGGTGAGGAGGGGGTGGGAAAAAAAGAAATTCCAAAGTGTGGTATGATAATGATACAAGTTGCTGACAATCCCTGGGGGTGGGAAGGGAGGGGAGGGGGTTGTTATCCGCTCCCTTACGCCTCCTTTCCCTACTTCCCTGCCCTAACTTGACAACGAGCGTTTCCTTTCTCCCCCCTCCTCATCCCCTCCTCTCCAACCGGCTCCTTACACTCCCTCCTCTCCACCCACACCCCACCCCCACCAGGCGGAGCTGTTCGGGGACGATGACGAGGACGTGACCCCGCGGGGGGCCTTCGGGCGGGGCGGCGGGCGGGGTGGGGGCAGGAAAGGTAGGTGGCTCGGCATGCGCCTGAGTGTCGTACAGGCGCATGCAGGACACCCCTCCCTTATGGTCATAAAGCCTCGTCATACAGCTTGTCAGCTTCCTCTTTTTATCCTACCCCCTTTGCATGTGTCGGGATATCAGATTGGGACTCCAGTTGCTGCACTTCTCCTTTGGTTGCTCCCCCCCCCCCCCAGGCGGCGCCGGTCGGCGGCAGCAGCTGCGCACCTCTGACGGCGAGGAGCTGGGTGAGGACGAGATGCCGGAGGACCTGTACGGGGGGCCGGGGGCGGAGGACGACCTGAGGCCGGAGAAGCCGGAGGAGGTGGGGGCGGGGAGGAGGAGGGGGGGAATATAGATAGGAGGGGGGGGAAGGGAGGGAGGGAGGCGGTGGAGGGAGGGGGAAGGTGTTTGGGAGAAGGGGAATGCAGCGGGAAGGGGGGTAGCGCTGGTAGGAGGTGTAGCAAGTTAACGTCTCCCTCCCCTCTCCTCCCCTTCCCCCCCCCTCCCCCTTTCCCCCCCCCAGGCCGAGGACTGGGAGCACGAGTTCGCCCCGGATGATGACGACCAGGACCAGGGGGCGGACGAGGTGTACGAGGACGACCCGGGTGGGTGGAAATAAGGGTAATCAACGACCGGGGTGGGGGCGTGGAAGCGTGGGGGGTTGGGAGGGAGAGGAGGAACTATCGGTTTAGGGCGGGCTGGGCTTTGTTAGAACCCCACGGGTCATTCGCGCGGGCGGGCGGACGGGTGGGACTCTCCGGTGCGCACAGCCGCTTAGCGGCCACAGCCCGGTTGCTCTCAGCTATGCAGGGGAGCTCGGGCGCCAGCCAGCCGTTCGCAAAACAAAAACACGTCTTCAAGGAGCTGATTCAGCACATGATTCAGCACATGATTCAGCACAGCCGCCTCCGGCACATGGAGCTCATATCGTCATATGCGGTTTGTACTATACTACCCCGCCTACTGCCACTGCCGCTACCGGTACCGGTAACCCCCAACAAGTGTGTGGGTGTGCGACTAGCGTGTAGGCAATCCTGGCTGCCGGCTCGTGCGGCGCATGCTCCTCCTGCCGGTGTACATCCCCCTCCCCGCACCCCTCGACACTTCGACGTCTGGAACCTACGTTCCAGACCGGTAGGACCGGTAACCTACGGTCAGGGTCAGTGTTTCCGCGGCTCAGTTTATCTAATCCCCGCACCCCTGGACTCCTGTTGCTGCACTTATGTTTTATAACTCCACCCCCCCTCCCTCCCCCGCACCCCTCCCCAGGTCTGCGCAAGCGTCTGGGTATCGAGGTGGACGAGGAGGAGGAGGGCGAGGAGGCGGACGAGCAGGCGCGCAAGCTGCAGAAGCTGGGCAACCCGGATGAGGACTCGGATGCGGAGGAGCAGGTGGGGGGGGGAGGAGGAGGGGAGGGAGGAGCAGGTGGGGATGAGGTGGGGGAGGTGGGGGCTCCATAACATTGGAAGCCACAGGTTAGGGCAAAGCAAAGGGGATAGCAGTTGGGGGATGGGAGGGAAGGGAGCAGTTGGGGGGGTGGGGGTAAAGGTGGGGAGGAAGACGAGGTTCATGTGCTTCCTCTTAAGGCGTGCTGCTGCTGCTACTGCTGCCGCTGCCGATACACGCCTACTTGCCTTGCTGCACCTGCAGAAGAAAAAGGAGGAAAAGGAAAAGGCCGAGAAGGACAGGGCGGCGGCGGCAGCGGCGCAGGCGGCGGCTGGGGGTGGCGGCGAGGACGAGGGCGGCGAGGAGGACGAGGAGGAGGATGAGGACCTTGATGACCTAGATGAGGAGATGGAGGAGGAGGTGGTGGTGAAGCCACCCCCGCAGCAGCCCCGGGCAGCCTCCGCACAGCCGCCCGCACCGCCCCGACCCGCCGCCGCTACTGCTGCTGCTGGGGCTGCTGGGGCTGCTGGGGCTGGTGGTGCGAAGCGGAAGGGGTCGGAGGAGCCGCGGACTGCGCAGGAGGTGAGGAGCTGGGTGTGCGTGGGGTGGTGGCCCGCTTGGTGTTTGCTAAAGTGTTTGCTTGGTTGGACTGCCACCTCCTCCCATCCCAGTTGCCGGTTGCTAACAATATGGTTTTCCCCTGCTGACTAGCGGATTCGCTCGCCCCGTCTCGCCCTTCCTCCCCTTCCTCCCATTTCCTCCTCTCGCTGCTCCGCCCACCCCACCCCGCCCCGCTCGCCTAGGTCCCCCAGCAGGGAGTCAAGCGAGCCCGCACCGCCACCCCGCCTCCCACCCAAACCGCCGCCGCATCTGCACCTGCAGTCAAGCCGCAGCAGCCAGCAGCGGCAGGGGCGGCTGGGGCGCAGCAGCAGCCGGCGAAGCGCCCCGCGGCGGCTGCAGGGGCGGCTGCAGGTGGTTCCGGAGCCGCCCCCGCTGGTCCGCCCCCCACTGCGGAGGAGGTGGTTGAGCTGCTCAGGAGGCAACCAAACGGAGCCATGCCCTTTGATGTGAGGCGGACTGGGCGGGGGTGGGGTGGGGGAATCTGGAAACTGACGAGGCAACTGGCGGGGGTGGGGGTGGAAAGGGAAGGGGAGGGGTGTGGAGGATGGGGATGGAGGAAGCATGTGGGGGCTGGGCTGGGTTGCGATGAGATGAGGGTCGATGGAAGGGCCTTCCACACAGCCCAAACCCGGCTACTAGCCTTCAACTCGATATTACCTCCCGCTTGCCCCCTGCCCTGCCCCGCTTCCCCTGCCTCACCACCTCCTCCCCCCAACCTCCCCTCTCCACCCTTGCCCGCTACTTATCCTACACACAATCCTACACAAAACGCAATCCAGCCCCGTGCGAAGTATCGATCCCCTCTTAACCCCCTCCCCCACAACCTGCCCTCCCCGCCCTCCCCCCCCGCAGGACTTCCAGCGCCACTTCATCCGCCGAATTAACACCCCGCAGCTGCGCAACGAGTTCAAGCAGCTGGGCATCCAGCTGTGCCGCAGCTTCAGAGACGAACAAAACAGGCTGTGCGTCACACTCAAGGAGAAGAAGTAGGCAGCAGCAGCAATTACGGTAGCAGCAGCAGCAGCAACATACCGGTATTCGGCAAGGGGTTGGGTTTTCTGTTGTGTGATGATTCTGAGCGCGAGCGTAAGCGGTGGCCATGTTGACCCTGAGCGCGAATGAGTTGTAGACGGTGGCATATGCCACATGAAGGGCGCACTGGAAGGGCTTGGAAAGATGGAATGGGGAGGCGACACGGCCGTGAAGGCTTGAGGGATAGGGAGTTGCCGAAGGGAAGAGGGTTCTGGAGGTGCCGAGAGCTGACGCCGTTGCACGGCAGGAGGTGCCACATCTTTCTGTGATATGTACGGATAGCTATAAGCTGTATAACAAGGAAACAAAACACATCGGGACGACCCCGAAGATCCCCAAGCCAGCCCTGCGCCAATGCGTCTGTCGAGCGATTTTGGTGGTTACCCGAAATGCGACACACCAGCCATGAGCTTCATCCTTCCTCATCCTCCATCATCCGCCTCAAACCTTGAGTGGCTTCCACTCATCATTGACCTCCCGTCCCCCCGTAACAATCGCAACACAGCACGGCACGGCACCGCCGCCAGCCCCCTCCTGCTCATCCTGCCCACCCTCAGCTCACACCCGGCGGCGTTTCTCACCCACCACTCGTCCCCCCATCACCTGTTGCCATCACCTGTTACCATCACCTGTTAATCCATCCTTCTCCTTTCCCCCTTTCACATCCTCCCTGTTTCCGCGGCTCAGTTTATATAACCCCTCCCTTCGGCACCTTTCTTGCGGTACACAATTCCGTACACCACATCCCGCACCTGAGCCTCCCAATCCTTTTAACCCCACCCACCCTTTTAACTCCCCCCCACCCTGCGCGTCCCTGGAGTGTAGTTTCGGTTCCTGCGTTTTTGCACTGCGTGAGACAGATCACGGGACTGTGCCTCACTCCTCATTCTCCCCCCCGTAGCAGCTTGTATCATTATCACAACACACATTGGAATTTCTTTTTACCCCCGTAGCAACTAAAGTCCAGCCTAATTCGGAATATATATCTCCCTAGCTGCTGCTGCCGCTGCCTCCCTCCTCCGCCAGCCTCCTCAGCGCCTCCTCCTGCCGAGCAGCCCGCATGGCGCCCATCAGCCGCTGCAGCCCCTCGCCGCCCGACAGCACGGAGGACAGGTCGTGCAGGGTGAGGTGGATGCGGTGGTCCGTCACACGACCCTGGGGGGGGGGGGGGGCAGGGCGGGGGGAAGGAGGGATCCAGGGGATGGAAATGGGATCAGGTCAGTTGATCCGGGGGAAAGGGGAGGGGGGTGAAGAAGGGTAGTAAGACCAGTCAGGCGGGAGCGAGAGGAGAAGCAGCAGGGCGGTAGGCGTGGTTGATTATGCAGGATTGCAGGTGTGTAGTAAGGAGCGGTATGGGTACGGCAGCTGTCAACCAACACGTCGCCAGGACGATACCAGTGCGGTCGGCATCACACACCGTATCGCGCCGTACATTGTCCCCCCTTCCCTCCCCCGCTCCCTCCCCCCCCCCGCCCCCCCACCTGCGGGTAGTTGTAAGTCCGGATGCGCTCGTTCCGCTCCCCCGACCCCAACAGTGCGCTGCGCTGCTGCTCCACCTCGCGAGCACGCTTCTGGGACTCCAGGTCGAACAGACGCGAGCGCAGGACCTGTGGGGGGTGGGGGGGGGGGGGGTAAAAAATTAAATATGTGAAACAACGAGTCCCAATGCCATATCCCGACTCATGGGGTGGGGTAGGAGGGGCGGGGTGGAGGAAGGGGGGTGCGGGTAGGCGGGCAGGTAAGGAAACACAGGGGTGGTGCGGTGGTGGAGGAGGGGTAGGGGTCAGAGATATACCGGTACCAGAACCACAGGTCGGGGCGAAGCAGGATGGGGTAGGGGTAGGGGTAGGCGGACAGGTTAGGATTCACAGGTGGGCAACATAGGAGAGAGACAGGCAAAACGTACTAACGCCTCTCACCGCTAGAACCGGGAAGCGCTACGGTAGGACGCCAGCCCATGGGAAGCAGTTGACGCTGCTACCGGTACTGTTCTCCCCCTCCTCTGCCCCCCCTCCTTCCCCACTCCTCCTTCCCCCCTTCCGCCCACCTTTAGTGCCGCCGCGCGGTTGAGGTGCTGGCTCCTCTCGTTCTGTGCGCTGACCACCAGGCCGCTGGGCAGGTGCGTGATGCGTACGGCGCTGTCCGTCACGTTGACGTGTTGCCCGCCCGCCCCGCTGGCGCGCATGGTTTCGATGCGCAGGTCCTCCTCACGCAGCCGCACGTCCAGCTGGGCGGGCGGGGGAGGAGGGCGCGGAGGGGGGCGGCACAGGGGTTAAGAAGTAAAAAGGGCTGTGTCGGCAACGCAGTCGGTGCATAGGTGTCACAGACATCCGTTGGTGGGGGATTAGATAAACTGAGCCGCGGAAACACTGACCCTGACCGTTGGTGGGGGGAAGAAGAGGGGGATGCGAGGTTACCGTCTTACCTCTCCACCTCCCTCCACGATCCCAAGTCTCTCCACTTGCTTCATCCCACGTTCCCACCACCCCGACGCCACTACCGGTGCAACCACCACCCTAAACACACACACGCACGCACCTCATCCGCTTGCGGCAGTACCACCACGGATGCCGTACTGGTGTGCACCCGCCCCATCGCCTCCGTGACGGGCACCCGTTGCACCCGGTGTACGCCGCTCTCGGGGGCCAGGGTGCCGTACACACCGCCTCCGCTGCTGTCGTACTCCTCGCCGTCGTCGTCGTCGCCGGGAAAGCCGCTGCCGCCGCCGCCGGCGTCATCGCCGCCGCCGCCCGCGGGGGCGGCTGGGTCGGATACGGCGATGACGGCATGTCGTATTCCGCCCACCTCGCTTGCCGTCAGCTCCATGACTTGCCAGGACCAACCTCGGGACTGCGGGAGGGTGTGGAGGTAGGTAGGCACGGAGGTATGAAGAGGTGGGGCTCAAGCCCGGCGGGTTCATGATGACTCCTGGCTCTCAGGACTCTGGACTGAATGGGGCGTGCGAGCGCCTTGCCCCTTGGCCCGTCAACCCGGCAATCGTCCTTGTAATCGTCCAAGCGCCCTTGTAACGCAAAACCCCCACTCCTCCCCACCTGTACGAACACTCCCCACCTGTACGAACTGCAGATACATGTCGTACAGTACCCCGGCAAACAGCGCCGCCTCGTTGCCGCCCGCGCCCGACCGTAGCTCCAACAGCGCCGGCCGGGTGACCCGTGGGTCGCGAGGCAGCAGCGCCAGCAGCAGCCGCCGGACCAGCCGGGAGGACTGCAGCACAGCCAGGAGGGGGCAAGACAAGACAAGACAGGCGGGGATGAATGCTGCGGCAGTAGCAGCATGTGTATGGGTTGCGCTGCTTGCTACACGAACAGTTAGCAGACACCTCGAGTACGGCACTGCCCCATATTCAGCAGCGACCAATGGCAGCTTCACAGCGCAAGAAACACAACAACAACAGCCGCCCAGCTGCCCTGTTGGGGTTCCCGTCATAACCTTATCACCCGCACCGGCACCTGGGGTGACCGTCCTCGCCCCTCACCTCCCTCCCTCCCCCTGTCACCCCCACCTGGCTGCTCAGCTGCAGCCGCTCCTCCTCCGCCATGGCCCGCACGGCGGGGTCGGGGTCGCGCAGCAGCCCTGTCAGATCACCCAGCTGGGTGGGGGGGCCAGGCGGGGTGTGGGGGTGGGGAAGGTTGGGGCAAAGAGGAAAGAGCCGATTGGGTATCCCAAGGATTGGAATGTCCCGCAACGCTAGCAACCAGCCACAGCGATGGACGACTGCGCTCGGGGGTGGGTGTTGACATTGGGTAGGTACTAGGCAGCTGCAAGGAACAGCAGTTAAGGGGTGGGGTGGATGGTGGAACACGTGGGAAGGCGTGGACGCATGGAAGGAACTCAGGCCGCTTTCCGTACAGCGCTCACCTCTTGTCGTACTTTCAGCAACTGCTCGTACGACACTACCAACGGTCGCAACTGTGAGTACTCCCTCCCTGCCTCACGCAGCGAGGAGCCGCTGCTGCCTCCTCCTCCTCCCTCTCCTTCGCTTTCTCCTGTCAGAACCTTTTCTAATTGCTGGTAGCGCTCTCGGAGCTGCTTTAGCCGGGCCTCAAGGGCGGGGGACAAGGATTGGATTCCGGCAGAAGTAGCAGCAGCAGCGGCAGCAGCAGCAGGAGTATCGTGGCTGTTGCCGCTGTAGCTCCGAAGGGAGCCGATGTCGTGGTTGATTACGCTTGCAAACCGAAAGGTTCGGACACTGACTCCCGCAACACCTCTGTTAGTGTTGGCGTGAAGGTTGAGTGCGCTGGCGCTGCAGCTGACGTGATTGTTTGCGCTGCTGTTGCTGCTGCCGCTGCTCGTGGTGATGTCGGTTTGTGGTTTGAGGGGTCTTAGATTGCAGCAGGAGTGCGCCTGGACGGTATTGTGGGAGGACGGGAGGAGACAGGAGCCGCTGCTGCTGCTGCCAGAGTAAGGCGCTGCTGCCGTACTGCTGCAAGCGCGCAAACTAGGACGTAATCTTGCCGTCAGCGATGAAGAGGCAGCAGAGGAGGATAAGGGGGCGTCCAAGCTTGCAAGGCTGCCATAAAGCCGAGTGTCGCTTCCAGCCAAAGAGAAGAAGCGGGATGGAGTCCCTTCGTGAGGACTCGTTTCCGCAAGCGACGTTAGGCATGCTAGGCGCTGTGAGCGGCGCCGTACTGCTCGTAACACACAGGAAAACGCTTCCATTTGTATGGGGTTACTCTATGCAGCTCCGGTAACTTCGGTGGTGCGGCGATGTAAAGCGCCGACAAGTATAGCGTATTCGCCTTAAGCAAGCTTCAATACAAATAATTAACCACTGTAAATGTAGCCCAGCAATGCATTAACGCGCTCTTAGGACGCGAAGGCACTTGAACGTTTGTCAGGTGCATCGGCCGTGCTAAACGGAAAGTGTTTACCTCTATCTACAGCCAGACGTCCATACGTGTATCATCCCCCATTCGGCATGGCTCCATAACCTGTGATGCCAACAATGTTCGTTGGTTGACAGTCACGTTGCCGTACCAACTTATAGTTGCCGTATTGCCTTGAACTCCCTTGGCCGGCCGGAGTAGTCAAGTGCCTATCCCAGTCTCCAACGGGCAGAAGGGTTACTGGCAGGAGATTTGTCAACAATAAAGCCTTCCCTCTTGATCCGGCTGGTAGCACATGCCGCTCGGCAGCAGCACCCTGCTTAAGGTTCAACCTGTTCGCTCTCAGTACACAGATGGACCCGGACCGACTTGACGACAAGGGCACATGGAGGAGAAATGCACTTGGAATTCATGGCTGGGCTGGGCGCTCGCATGCGCCACGCGGCTACTACCATGGACTTCCTTGCTTGCCGTACCGAGTAATCTTGTACCAGCAAGCCGGGCACGCGTGGACAGCAGCGTGCTCCCAGGCATCCCACACATTGTGCCTGCCATTCCTTTGTTCCATGCAGTGACCGCCCATACTTTGACCGCTGCTAATAACGCCACGACATACCACAGCATCTTTACGTGAAGCAACAGCTGCTGCGAGGTGGCCACCCTGAGTGCGGCGAGGTAAAGCGGAAAACTAAATAACTAACTAACAATGTGACACGCAGGGCTCTACCTTGTTTTGCATCATGGTCTCCAAACCACTCAACACGCCCCAAGTTAGCGGAGTTAGACTCTAGCCAAAGCGGGGAGGGGGTGAGCGAGGAGGAGGACGGTGGTGCGGCTGGTGCAGCACTGCCAGCAGCCCTTGGCGCCACCAGGGGGATGGGACTACGGGGGATGGGGCTGCGCAGGTAGAACTGCTTGGGACTGAGCGACTGACTAAAAACCTTTGGCTACCTGTTCTAGACTGGCGCGCTTTCACTGTGCTGTGGTAACCCTAGAGCTCAGCTGTACTTCTGGGGATAAGAATACACTTGCCACAGCAGGCATGATGGAAGCGTAGGACAAGGTAGGCCTACAGCATTTTCCTGCAAAAACATGATATTTTAAACCTTTACAGGGCTTTTGTTAGGGTGGCAACTCATGTACCCACCAGAGAGGCGATGGCTCCTATTTTGGAATCTGAAAGGTCGCTCGTAAACGGGAAGCTATGATCTAACAGTATCTAATTCGTATCTTTTACGAATTTCCCACCCAGTCAGCAAATCCCATTCCCCAAGTCGTACCGGCGGACGAGCAAACACTCGACTGCGCGAACTTCGCAGCAAGCTGCAGGCAATACAATCCAATATAAATATGCAACTTGCAGAGTAATTATGTTATCTGTAGTCGAGGTCTTTTGCAGAGTTGTCTTGCTGACCTGACCAGCCGTGTTGCCTGATCTGGATACGACGTAAAACGAAGGGGCGCTAAGAAGTGTCGTAGCGCAGTATCCTAGGCAGGTTGCGCGTTAACTTTGGCAGTAATCCGAAAAAGGCTTCGAGGCTTATGATGACGAGGAAACAGCCTAAGCTGCTGCCGCTACATAATTGACTAGGAGCCTCGGCATGCGTTAGACCGCTTGCGTTGTGGTTGAAGTGGTCTAAGCCAAACACTTACACCGGTGGAAGGCAGTTGCACCCTCTCCGTCCTTGCTGTAAGCGCGTAACGGCAGCGCTAACCAGTGCAGCAAAGCGCGAAGGGGGGGAGTTTACATACACTACACTACTCGCGGTTCACATGCGAACCTCTCCCACTTGCTTGTTCTTGTCCTACTCCACTATACACTACTGCGAAAGCGACCTAGCGGTCGCCCCCCTCTGCGGGCTTCCTGGCGGCATCATCCATGGGTCTGCCCCGGTAGAAATCTACTCGATCGGTACAAACAGGCCGCTGCGCTACCACCACAAATATCATGACCACCATTCCTACCGTAACCCACATCCTACCTGTACCACAGCCCGACCGTCAGCAGTGCTAGCAAGCCCCCTGCCTCTTGCAAGCCACGCGAGAGGAACCCACGCTAGTAGGGTCACCGCAGCAGGCCATCTATCCACCCGCGATCCTCCTCCTCCTTTACCCACGCTTTATGGTTTCTATCAGAACGGGTTTGTTCTTCTTTAACTTACGCTCCTGGACGAGGGGTCAAGGGTACGGCAGATGCCCCCGGCCCCGTCCCAAGCTGAGGCCGCACGGGGAGGCCGCAAGGGGAGGCAGCATGATGCGTGCTAGGCAGTGATAACGGCGGGCATGGAACTAAAGCAACTACCCTCCAAATGAAACACTAGCCACAATAAAAGACAACTCAAAGCTGCTGGCAAAAAGGGCGCGTTGCCTGCTTGACAACATACATAACCCAGTACCCGCCGTTAGCCGAACCAGGGCAATCAACTACATACAATATAATGGCGTCAGTCGCGCACATGCAACTGCTGCTTGCATATCCTTTTTATGCCCGTTTGGGGGCTTTACCTCTCTTTTAGGCAGTACCCCCGGCCGGCAGCCCCAGCCAGCCCCAACAACAGCAAACGCAGGTGGTAATGGCCTCTCCTGCGGTCCTGAGGAAAGAACGCTCCAGCTGCCCCTCCCGGCCATGGCACAAAACCATACACACACACGCATGCACAAACATGCAGGCCCGCATGCAGACGCATACCGGGGTCAACACAATGTACCGCAGTTGCCACTCGTCATGATGCCCATGTGGTGGCGCAAACCCTAACAAAACGACATTGGAATCTGTAACTACTGCTGCAACCAAATACGCTTTACTCCGCGCCAACAGCACCCACACGCCCAAACCCATTCTCTACCTCCCGTAAGGGCCCTTCGGGAAGCCAAACACCAATAAGGTGCAGCGGAGAAGTAAGCACCGGCTTCATGCCACATCAGACAAACGATGCTGCCCCCCTCACGAGGGAGCCCTCATCACAGACATCAGCCATTCCCACCGCCCCAACCCACATTGGGTTTAAACCAACCCGCCAACCAACCATCCCGTCGTACATTAAACCAACCCACCAGCCACCATCCCGTCGTACTCTTAACCAATCCACCATGCATGTAACCGCGGCCATGCGGGTCCCTAACAGCTAACAACACGATGCAACGCTCAACAAACAATAACCAACATGGCTACCACATTTGGACACCAACTTTCCAGGATGTTTCCAGGACTATAGAAACCAAGATGCCGTACTACATGCTCTTCGTGTTGTATATATGTTATTGTCGTACACCATGCAAGCCCAGGAAGTACATATAAAGTGCCCATGCACAGAGTTTGTGAAGTATACTGGGACGTTTTAGGGCCTTTTTCCTCTTAACATTGCTGCGGACGGACAAACACATTAGCTAGCTAGCAATCGCAAACTCCTTTCAACACAGTTCAGACCTACAATTCGACCACTTGTTGCTCCTCCCATGAGATGTGTGCGCGCCTTCTCATGGGGGCCCAACAAGTCGTGCAATAACTGGAACACGCTTATTGTTCCTCGTCCTCGTCCTCTCGTACATCAAACACAATGCGTGCCACGAAACTGCTCCATCTAACAAACCTCAAACACCCAGCCATCCCCGCTTCCTCCAAGGCCACAAACCCCATACCTTGCAAGCCAGTTCCCTCTTTCCTTTACTAATGCACTGACCCTCCGCATCCCACGCACCTCCACTCCCCAACCAGCTTCCTCCAAGGCCACAAACCCCATACCTTGCAAGCCAGTTCCCTCTTTCCTTTACTAATGCACTGACCCTCCGCATCCCACGCACCTCCACTCCCGTCCTGACCACCAACCACCTACAAGTCCACCAGCAAGTGCGACTCGTCAGGTACGAACCCCCAGTACGGCGCCCATTCACACCACTGCAGTACACGCAACTCAGCCGCCGCCAGCACCCCGGGCAGCGTGCGAGCTGCCCCCGCCAGCAGCCGAGAGGAGGGCAGCTCCCGCCGCCGCTCCTCCAGCTTGGCCGCCAGCCACAACGCAGCAACCGCGTAGATCTGCTCTGAAAGCAACGCCCTTGCTTTCACTGCTGCTGCTGCTGGTTGTGCAATAGGGCCTGTCGGTAGGAGGAGGAGCTCTTGTTGTTGCTGGTGATGGCGGGTGAAGAAGCTCTCGTGCCGTACAGAAATGACCAGCTGAACCATGGGTTGGACGCGGTTCCAAATGTGGAGAGCTAGACGGGCGGTGGTTTCGGGGCGCATGTGGAAGGCGTGTGAGAGCTGCAGGATGTAGTCCTGGGGGCAGCAAGCGGCAGGGGCGGGGTGGTCGAGGCAGCGGGGCGGCGTGGTGGGGGCGAAGAGGAGCCAGCTGGTCTGTTGCTGCTGCTGGTGGTGGTGGGGTCGCAGCGGTGACTGCTGTTGCTGCTGGTGGTGCTGCGGAACGCTAGGGAGGTAGAGGCTAGGTTCTTGAGGGACGGTGGTCCGCAGCAGTTGCGGCGGCTGCGAGGAAAGGGACGAGCATGGACGTGGCCGCTTGGCAGTTGGGGCCAGGTGGGATGTCCATAGTGGTTGGGGAGACGGGGAAGCGGTAGGTTGGTGCGAGGGCCAGGCAAGGGCGGAGCTCGAACCCCAGCTGGAGTCTGCGAGCTGGAGGCCGGCAGCGGATTGCCTGTCGTACAGCTGTTGGTTGTCTGCCCAACCTGGTGCCAAAGTGAAGGGGATAGCTGCAGGGTGGTGTGGCGCTTGGAAGGGCTGGCGATGTTGTAGCAGTTCATGTTGCGGTTGCTGGCATGGCTGTTGCTGATAGGGGTTGACATGGCGCGGCCCGCTTTGGTGGTGGAGGAAGCTCAGCTGCGGTTGTTTTTTGTCTTGATGGTGCTGTAGGACAGCCAGCGCGCATGGATTGGCGCTTTCTGCGGGCGTGGAAGCCGCATGCTTGACAGGTAACGTTGCCTGATGAGGTCCCATGCCGCACTTGCCCAGCTCACTGCTGCCGTCTTGTGCCCAGGGTTTTGTAAGATTGTTGATAAGAGTCGGGCATAACTGCTGACCACGACAGACGGTGCTCGAAGTTTCCGCATCCGGACCACAACACGAAGTCGACCAATGAGTTTCTGGCACGTCCGAATGATAAGCGATATTGTTTGGTTGTGATGATGCCCCAAGTAAATGATGGATGCTCTCACGCGCGGGAAAGGCGACGACAGTTTCCGCGGTTATGGCCCGTAAGACAGCCGGGGCGTCCCCGATGCTTCCAGCCAGGCGACGCCGCTTGCTAAAAACTAAGCTAATTTGTTGGCGCGAGGAATCTTGTTGCCGGCTCAGGGCGCCAAATGTTGGCCGACGGTACGTCTGACCGGTGACCAGGTACTGTGAACTATAAGCAGAACCGTCGGGCGTACATGGTAAATAAGCATCCGCCTGTGATATTGAGGACTCGTCCCTGCTTTCTAGGATGTCGGGTGGTGTCGCCCAAAAAGTTACCATTGTAGCCACGTAGATAGGCAAGCGCGGGCCTTTACCAAAAGATGTCCTTAGTTCACTGGTACCAGGCGCTTAATAACCTGCAGCAGAGTGGGAATTTTTCGTGTTGTGAAAGACGTTCGTCCAGACGGTTAGCCATTAGGCGCGGGAGTTCGGCGAGCGAGGCTTCGTTGAGGTTTCCTCCAAGAACATTAAAGAATACGGCAATGGTTACGTAGGTGTAATACACAGTGCTAGGAAGGAGTCGTTACGCAGGACTAGTTGGGCACCCGAAGCGTAAGCAGGCAGCGTTTAGGGAACTTGGCAACACGTCAAGTTTCTTACCCGTCCAGTATCTGTAACTGGCGCTACTTGTACTTGGGGCAGCGGGAGTGTAAGGACCTGCTGCAACGCCAAAGCATGAACTTCGCCTGACGAGGCTGAGCGTCTGTTTCGTCCTATCCGAAATGACTACGGCTTGCAACCGGGGCATAAGTTGTGCCTAATGTCAGCGCTGATGGGGAGGTGTTATATCTGGCAAGCATGTACCGGCAAAACCGGTGACAACGTTCCGCTAACAAGGTCTGTGAAGCGTGGCGTCTTTCGGAAGGAAAGTTCCCTGGCATGAATCAAGATATGGGATATGGGTATCTATCAGCAGTTGGGCCGCATTGCGGTACAGGCGACTTACGACTACTACATTGCAGCTACCGTACAGCGCGTAAGCGTCATTACGAAAGAGTTAAAAGAACTGTAATTACGTGTCTGTATAGGTAGGCTTATCCATAACCATCTATTATGGCGAATGCTTTGAGTGTTTGCGCGCCAACGCGGTTGGGCATATGAAACGTTCAGTTTCCGTATAAGCCACGATGCACAGGAAACACTACTGGCTCTTACAAAAGAAGCTGTTCTACATTTGGCATGGCCTTACCTGCAATTGACTGCGTCAGTGCTTGTTTAAGGGCACGTGCGTCAGTGCTACATGTCGTCTAGCAGGTCTAGGCTGTGCAAGGCAGCGCAAGGCTTTCGCACCGTTTTCGAGGAGAATGGACTCCAGCAGGCGTGTTCTACGGGTAAATTTTCCCGTACGGCCTTACTATCCCAGACATTGCAGTGGTTGTTGCAGGCTAGAGCCAGTTACCGGGGCCTACCTAGCTAGTGCTCTACTTTCCTCAGCCTTTGGCAAAAATGCGCTATTGCCCATCGCCTCTGAGCCGTTATAGAAAGCAACAGTTCAACGTTGCAGTTACACTTGTAACGGCCGGTACACAGCGAGTACACACCTTCACAAGCTGCTACAAGTGCTGCATTGCGACTTGCCCTGAAAGTAGCTCCCACCTCGCCGGCACCTCTACTGTCAAGTCGAAGCTTGGTCCACTTTCAGCACCGTAATACATATGAAGGTTGAGCAGGACTCCAGAACCCAAGTCCACCAAACTCCGGCCCCCCTGTCAAACAGATGCAATGCCTCATTCCATAGATAGGGGCCGCCCTGCTCGAGTGCCCCTACTAATGTGCGGTACCCACGCAACGCCTCCGGGACCGCCGGAGTAAGAGGGCAGGCTCCCTGCGAGCCGGACAGCGACGAGGTATTCGACGACCTGAGCCATGTGTGGCTTCACGCCACACCGCAGGAGGTCCTATGACTCATCACGAGCCCATAACTTGGCATTAGTCTCTAGACAATGTAGACATGCTTGTCAGGAGCGAGAGCTGATGCAACAGTAAGCATATGTCCTTATGCTCTGCTGAAGGGCATATCACGATATCAGTTCGGGGCAGTCCTTGTAACAAGGTCGAGTAACAAGGTCGCATTACAGGGTCTTGCACAGCCAGGGGCCAAGCACCAGCACTGGCAGATGCTGGCATGCTGCCTCACACGCCTCCGCGCCTGTCGCCTCACCCTATCGCTCAACAGGGCCCGCCAGCAGCTAGCCGAGAGCACCCCCCCCCCGCCTCCCTGTGATTTCCTATGGCTCGGCTCAGCCTTTGACCCCCCGCACTCCACTGTCAAAACCCCACAAAGGTTAACCACCTAGCCCATAAAGCATCCTCAAGCACCTTACTGCCGGCTATCTAGTCTGTCAGGAATAATAACAGCAATGCTTAGCCAGGAATCGTGTCCTGTCGTAAACGGCAGTCCTGTGCTTTGGTCCCAAGTAACATGCCCATATACGCGACAGCGAGGCAAGTCCAAAACAGTAAACATTTCCTAATGCAGCAGACTTACGTATTACCGTTGGCTGCTCACCCATGTCCCCCTTCCCGTCCCTGCCAAGCGCCCGACCTACTTTGCCGGTCTAGGGCACCCCCCCCCACTCCTCACATGCCACCCAAGCACCAGCCATCGGCACCCTCATCACTCATGACAAACACAGCAGTGCTCGTGAAGTCATGATGCAAGCAGTGCAGCACAGTCATGTACACAGCAGCGTAAGAGTCAAAACACCACACATGCCACAGTCACATATCCATCGCCCCCCGTGAATCGTCACACATCCATCGTATCAAGCCTCATCAGCCACGGACAGCACCCACCCTTCCCCGCATACTTGCTTTCCATCGTAGTTGGTTTCCTGTCTACCACCCCTCCGCGCACTACTAGGCACATTGTTTAGAGCTCACACTGTCTAGAACTATATAGATGTCAGCCTCTTGCTGCGGGGCCTCAGCTCACACCCTCTCTCCTCCAGAATCCTCCCCATGCACACTTGATGACGAGAGCGCTCCTCACCTCCTCACCCCACCTCACATCCCTCCCTGCCCTCCCACCACGCTGCCCTAGTCTCACACACTGCCCCACCTGCAGCCTGCCCTCATCCCTGCAAGTATGGCATCTGTCATGCGTCTTCCCGCGTCCAAGCTTGACTCGGGAGCTTTACATTCAGCAATGTTCATCCATTGTAACACCCAACACCACCCTGTTTTGTAAACACAGCACACACACACAACCGTACGTTCCTACTCGCGGCCAGTTTTCTTAACACACAACCGTACGGCTGCAACCATCACCCTGACCAGCAGGCGTCTGTCGGGACACCTTAACCCCCACCCAGTTTGCCAGTGCTACCATGCCAGAATGCATACGGTATCCAGTCACCCAAGTCCATCGCAGCTCACGGTTATATCAGGTACAGCATAGCTGCCTATTAGGACAAAGCTGTAAGTGCCACCACCGTCTCTATACTACCCCCTGCCTCAACCCTGCTGCTGGCCTGCTACTACCGCCCCTTGCCCCCGGCTGCACGCTTGAGTGGAGGCGGCGGCGACATGAGCATCTTCTTGAGCGCCTTCCCCACCTCCTTGGCGGCGCCGCTGCCAGCAGCAGCAGCTGCGGTGGCGGCGGCGGTGGCTACTCGTGTGGTGGAGGAGGAGGCGGCGTGCGCTGCAGCGGCGTTATCACTGCGGTTGGGGGGGTTGGGGTACATGGCGGGCGGGTTGGGGGTGCAGGGGGGAGAGAAGGACGAAGCAGAGTGGATGGTGGGGAGGGAGGTTGAGCTAGGCCCCGCCAGTGCTGGTTCTGCCACAGCTGGCCCCGCCTCGCCCGCCGCCGCCGCCCGCAGCAGCGCGAGGTACAGCAGACGCTAAACCGCGAGAAGATCGAGATAGCACAAACTCCGTGACATGGGCCGCGCACCCATGGCGGCTATTGTACCGGTATAACAGCGCCATGCCGACCCCACCACCACCTGTCCTCTATCCCCTCCCCCCCCCCCCGCCCCTCCCCTCCCCGCCCGCCCACCTGATGTCCAGGAATAGCTCGGCAATGTAGAAGTAGATGATGAGGCCGGTGGCGTCCACGATGGTGGTCATTAGCGGAACGGAGGTCACCGCGGGGTCGAACCTGGGGAGGGGGGAGGGGAGGATAGGGAGGGAGGCAGGGGGGCAGGGAGTGGGGAAGGGAGGCAGGGTGGCAGGGAGGGAGAGACCAAACTAATTGAAACCACAAGTGTGGGCAAAGCAATGGGGACAGGAGGCGGCAGGGTGCCATAAACGGAGAAAGGGAAGGAGGGAGGAGGCCAAGGGTGAGGACTGAGGAGAAAGGCGCTGGCGTACGCGTGTGCGGCACGCAGCATAGCCTAGTGGGTGTATGAATAGTATACCGGTAGTTCCTTGTAACCTAGCTGCCCACCACCGGGTCGAGCTGCTACTGCAACTGCAACTGCTATTGCTGCTGGCTGCGAGCCGTGTCGGGGTTGTGCCCTCAGCAGCAGCAGCAGCTACTGCTGTGGACGCTTACTTGAATCTGTCGGCCATGAGGGTGAGGAAGGCGCCCACCCCGTTAGCCCACATGGAGATGATCTGGGGGGGGGCGGGGAGAGCGGGGAGGAGGGAGGAGAGCGGGGATCAGCGAGAAACCAAACGAGCGGGGAGGAGCGAGGAGGTGGGAGGAAGCAAGGGAGATTGCAGGTTGGTTGGTGGGCTTGCGAGTGGGGACGGAACAGAGCAGCACACACAGGCCCGACCTTACCTCGTGCTACATCCTTGTAGCACGCATAGCCTCCTCCCTCCCAACCCCAATGCACGCGCACGACTCGTCCACCAATCCTGCCCCCACTGTCGCCCCCACAGTTCCCCACTTCCTGGCCTTCACGTCAACACTACCACCCTCCCACCACCCCTCCTCCCCCTCTTCTGCACCCCCCCCCCGCTCACCGGCAGCGCCACCCCCACCGTGACGCCCACCCCCAGCCCCAGGTCGGGCCACACCAGTGACACCAGCAGGATCAGCAGACCCAGCAGCGCGCCTGGGGACAGGCGGGGGCGGGGCGGGAAGGAGGGAGGAGGGGGGCGAGCGGGGGGAAACAATCAGGGAGGAGGGGGAAGGGAAAGAAAGGGGTGCGCGGAGTGGAGGGGAGAGAGACGAAGGGAGGAAAGAGGAACAGGGAAAGGGAGCAGGGACCATGCGGGAGGAAGATCCACGGGAGGAGAAGGCCCAAAACCATGTAAGGCTGGGAGCGGATTGCAGCCAAGCCGCACAGCCCGGCGCCAGGCGGATGTGCCGGGGAGCGCACATCGTACTTGCACCTAGCAAGCGACCTCACGGGGGCCCGTCTGGAGCTCTCCTTAAAGCCCTCCTCACCCCACCAACGCGAACTCCCCCTCCCCTTCGGTAGTTCCTGGGCCGGGCTTCCTGAAGCACCTGGGGACCCAGTATTGTCCTTCTTCATCACCCCTTTTCCCTCCCATCGCCCTCTCCCCAGCCCACGCCTGTGAACTTCCTATGGTTCGGTATGGCCGGCCCCCCCTGCACGCACCCATGAGGCAGCCCCCCCTGCACGCACCCATGAGGCAGCCCCCCCTGCACGCACCCATGAGGCAGCCCCCCCTGCACGCACCCATGAGGCAGCCCCCCCTGCACGCACCCATGAGGCAGCCCCCCCTGCACGCACCCATGAGGCAGCCCCCCCTGCACGCACCCATGAGGCAGCCCCCCCTGCACGCACCCATGAGGCAGCCCCCCCTGCACGCACCCATGAGGCAGCCCCCCCTGCACGCACCCATGAGGCAGCCCCCCCTGCACGCACCCATGAGGCAGCCCCCCCTGCACGCACCCATGAGGCAGCCCGCAATGGTTTCTTTAACCAGCGTGCGCAGTAGGTCCCGCTGCCCGATCTGACGGAGCGCCAGGGCCCTGCATGGGGGGGCAGGCGGGGAGGACAGGCAGCCGTGCTATTGGGAGTGCGAAGGGGGTTAAGATAAGGAAACTGACGAACTGTATGACGAGGCTTCACCAGGGGTGCCAAGGGGGGGGGGCTAGGGAGCTGCGGAGGTCCCTGGACCGCTCCAGCAGCAGCAGCAGCAGCAGCACCCGGTGAGCCCCGGCCTCGTCCACTTCAACTGCCACCCAGTGAGCCCCGATTATCCCGGTGCGGGCTGGGCACGTCCGCCCCCGCCTATCGCGACCCCAGCTAGCTTCCTCGTCAGGGGTCGCCACCCACCTGATGAGGGTGGACACGGTTTGGCTGCCGGTGTTGCCGCCGTGACCCATGATCAGCGGAACGAAGAAACTGATGCGGAGGTAGACAGGCGGGAAGGCAGCGGAGGGAGTCAGTGGCCGGAATCAGTGGCGAAGAGGGGAGGGATACGGTTTAGGGAAGGGCGGACAAGGGGCTGCTGACGGCAGCGCACTCCTACCGCCCCCCCCGCCGCTGCAACTACCGTACCCCGACATTCCTCCCCTCCTGAGCGAGCCCAACAGGAAGCAGCATCCAGTCCATGCTTCTTCTCCTTCTCCTTCTACTGCTGCTGCTGCTGCCGGCCCGGTGCTGTTGCTGCTGCTACGGTAACGATTCTGCCCCTGACACTGCCGGTGGGGCTGCCCCGCTTGACGGCTGGGGCCATTCCGAGACACCCCCGGACCCTGCATGCTCACCCAGCTTGGGCGGCGTTGGACCCCGCCGCCTCTGTGCCATAAAAGGATGCCCCCACCACCCACCCTGCCAGACGCACGGTGGGTCGTCAGCTACCCTGCCGCCTTCGCCTCGCTAGGCTAGGCAGCCTCATACTGGCCCCCTACAGCCTCCAACAAGCCCAAACCCCAAGAAGCCTTGTCACACACACGACACCTCAGAAGGCGCCCTCCTACTCCTCCTCCTCCTCTCAAATCCCACCCACCTTAGCTGCACGTGGTGCTCCAGCAGGTCCTCGAAGCGCTGCACGATGAGCGCCGAAACCAGCAGACCCACGCAGAAGGTGACCAGCCAGCCGCAGCGGCCCCACGTGATGTCCAACACGGTCTGCCGGCTGCGTGTGCGGGTGTGTGAAGGGGGGAGGAAGAGGAGGACAGCGGTTATAAATTTACAGTTGACGAAGGGTACTGAATGGGAGAGAGGAAATGGAGTGGAGGGAGGGAGGCAAGGCAGCTGGTCAGAAGTGGGGATTGCGTTGCCCACTATGAGACAGGAAAGGGGATAATCTTCAGGCGAGGGCATAGTTGAGCGCATCGGTAGAGGGGTCATTGCGAAACCCCTCAAGGTAGACGAGCGATGCAACAAGGAACATCCTACTAAGGGTAACGAAAGACGTGTTATACAAGATACCCTGCATCGTTAGCCGGTAGTGCTGTTGCAAGCCCTTGACGGCGGTTGTTGCGCATGATCGGACGACATACCATTTGCCCGACAAGGCCCCCTTCCTCACCTGTAGTCGTCTCCAGCGTTTTCTAGTGCTCTTTGGGCATCTAACGAGTGTTCCCGATCCCCGTCGCGGTGGCCCGCATTACTCCTATCTTTTTCAACACGGAGGGTTGCAAGCACCATGTTTCCGGTAATGTCTGCTGCTCTTGTTATCTACTGTAACTTATTTCAAAGCTCCTCAAGGACAGTAGATATAAGTTTCCGACGTCTAAACTACCCTTACCAGCTACCCCGGGCACTAAAATGGGTAATCCTTATAGGCTAGAGTAAGGTTGGGGAAAGAAGCCTGCACCGTGTTAGTAAATTCTATTGCCCGGCAGCTCTACTTGGTTTATTGTGGCTTGTCTATACTTAGAAGAAGCGCAATGTATCTGAAACAATGTGGGTGGAACAATTGAAAAGGTTGTAGGCTGTGATAAGCGAAAGTGTAGGCTCTGGACGGGCAACTGCTATTTGCACGGCACTTTTTGGCGCGCAGGCCCTCCTACGAGAAAAAAGTACAGTTCTACGTCGCCTTCAGCCTAGGGACCACATCCCATTATAATTGTAGTAGCAAGCCTAAATCCGCACAAACTGTCTTGGTATACCGTTTCCCGCCCCGACATGGCTCAGCGCCCATTGTCCCACAGAGACCTCGCCTTACGCTAGATGCCCAGCACTTTCCTACTCGAGTAGAAACTCCAAACGGCAGACATGGATACGGGCGAGGCAGCTGGTAGCTTCGAGCGCGTGGGTGTGGCGGAAGCTCTGCTTGTGCTGCCGGAGGTAGACGCCGACCTTTCATGGCAGCAGCTGTCCCGCGATGCACTCTTAAATGAAGTTTCTCGGTACCGCGACGCTATCCGTGACGTGGCCAGTCACCTACGCGACTTGGGGGATGAACAGCTATCATCCATTCCAGATGAACTCCTCACCCTCAGCCATAACCCTGACGCAATCCTCGGGGCGCAAGCAGCAACAACATCATTTTCAGCAGACCCTTCAGCTGCCGCTGCTGCTGGCTCTTCACTTGACGGCTGCCCTCACATCAGCGCTGGCCTTACCAACGCGTCCAACAACACAGAAGACCCAGACAATCTCGCACACCTAGGCGAAGAAGGCCTGGACTATACGCTCGGATCCGTAGACGACGTGGACCCGTCAGAATGGCAGGTCCCGCCGTACTGCGTGCCCATCCATGCCAATGTCACCACCTTTGACTGGCCCAGTTTGTACGAACACTGCCAATTCGACGTTATCATGATGGACCCTCCATGGCAGCTCGCAACAGCCAACCCAACCCGCGGTGTGGCTCTGGGCTACAGCCAGCTCAACGATGACCACATCTCCGGACTGCCGGTGCCGCAGCTGCAGCGGCAGGGCGGTTTCTTGTTTGTGTGGGTCATCAACGCCAAGTACAAATGGACGCTTGACCTCTTTGATAAGTGGGGCTACAGGTATGTACGGCACACATGCTACGGCATGTGCCCTGGTTTTGTGGTATGGTCATTGCGCCACGGGTGTGCCATGGAGAGAACCACCTCTCAAATGGCTATAGCCGAGAGGGCGCCCCTGCGGCTACGTAGAAGCCGTTTCCCATCCTAACCCGCTTGTCCGTTTGCGCTGTCCGTTTGACCTGGTTTGCACCTCGCCGCCTGAGCAGGTTGGTTGACGAGGTGGTTTGGGTCAAGATGACGGTCAACCGCCGGCTGGCCAAGAGCCACGGCTACTACCTGCAGCACGCCAAGGAGGTGCGGAGGGCGGGGGGCAGGGCTGGGAGGCAGGGCTGGGAGGCAGGGCTGGGAGGCAGGGCTGGGAGGCAGGGCTGGGCTTGGTGGACTAAGTGGGTGCGGAGGGGTTTGGGTGGCACCTCATCAATCCGCTTCGAAAAAGGGAGAGCAAGGAAGAGCAATGCCTCCCTCCTTGCGCACCCTCGCCACCCTCGCCACGCACACCCCTCCCTCGCAATCCCCGCAACTCCTTCCGCGCCCCTCTCCCACCCTCTCGTACCCACATTCCGCCCTCCTACCTAACCTTCACCTCGCACCCACATTCCGCCCACCTACCCTCCCTGCATCGCTCCCCCCTGCCTTCCCCGAACCGCCCCCTGCTGTCGCCCAGGTCTGCCTGGTTGCGCGGCGCGGCACCCCGCCCGCCCTCGCAGGCAGCAGCAGTAGCAGTGGTGGCGGGGGCGTGGGGTCGGACATCATCTTCAGCGAGCGGCGGGGTCAGAGCCAGAAGCCGGAGGAGATATACGAGCTGGTGGAGCAGCTGGTGCCCAATGGTGGGGAGGAGGGGGCAGGGGGGGATTGAAGGGAAGGTAATGAGGAAGAGGTGGAGCAGCTGGTGCCCAATGGTGGGGAGGAGGGGGCAGGGGGGGATTGAAGGGAAGGTAATGAGGAAGAGGTGGAGCAGCTGGTGACCAATGGTGGGTACGAATAAGGAAACTGAAGAGGCAGCAGTGGTGCTCAAATGATGGTGGGGGCAGGGGGGCTGGAGGGGAGGGAAAGAGTGGGGAAGTATGGTGCAGAAGATTGAGAAGAGAGGGGTAGAGAGGGACGAAACTGACGAGGGAGGCGGGAGAGGGGGAGAGACTAGCCGTGTGACAGTGGGAGGAGTGGGGTGGAAAGGGGAGAAGGCGAGGGGCTGGGGGGGAGAGGGGAAAGAGGGATGAGGAGAGACAGAAGGAGGGAGGAGGGAAGGCAGAGAGAGGGAGGAGGAGAGGCAGAAGGAGGGAAGATGATAAGGCGAAAAGAGGGAGAGAGAGGGAAGGAGGGTAAAGACACGACTGAGAAGCGCGTGGCCTGTCGCTGGAGATGAGGCGAGGGAGGGAAGGAGGAGGAGGGAAAGTCGGACAGTGGGAGGGTAAATCCGATAGCTAAAACAGGCGACGGAGGCGAGGACAAGGCCCCTTCTCTTCGCACACTGCATTCATTTCTTTCCCCCTCCCCTCCCCTCCCCTCGGGATTGAGACTCCGTTGATGCACTCTTCTATATCTTCCCCTCTTCCCCCGCTGCTCTACTATCCAGCCTAACACGGAATATGTATCCCTCACTTTTCCCCCTCCCCCCGCTGCCTGCAGGTCGCTACCTGGAGATCTTTGCTCGCAAGAACAACCTGCGCGACTACTGGGTGTCCATTGGCAACGAGGTGACGGGCACGGGGCTGCCGGAGGGCGACATGCGGGCGCTCAAGGAGCTGAACCACATACCCGGGGCGGTGTACGGCAAGACTGGGGGCGGGGGAGGAGGAGGCGGGGGGAGGAGGAGGTGGGGGCGGGGGCTGCAGTCGGGGGCCTAGCGGTGGCAGCGGTCCTGTAGGAGGAGGGGGCGAGGCAGGAGGGGCGAGGTGGCGTGCTAGCCCCAGTCCGGGCCCTAGTGGTGTGTTGGGAGGGGATAGGGGGATGGGAGGGGGAGGGGGTGCGTTGGTTGTGGCGGAAAGGCAGGAGGAGCAGCAGCAATTGGGGCCGGCAGGGATGCATGGGGAGGGCGGGGAGGGGATGGAGGGAGAGGGAGAGGAGGAGGGTCAGCTGGGAGGAGGGGTGTTTGGGGTCGGTGGCGTGTTTGGGGGTGGGGTGGGCGAGGAGGAGGAGGAGTTTGGGGCGGGAGTGGGGCTGGTGGTGGGGACGGAGCCGGAGGGGGAGCAGGAGTGGGCGTGAGGGGCGTTCCTTAAGGTGTGATGAAGCTGGCTGCCTCCGTTTCTCCGTCTGCCCTTATGCACAGCAAGAGGCTGGGGTGGGAGGTGCGGCGCCACATCTAGGAAACGTGGGGACCACTGTTTGGGCGCCAGGTGCCGTCCTGGAGGCGCGGGAATGGGGGTGGAGCACGCATGAGTGCTTGCAAGGGCCTGTGGTGGGTAGGCACTGGGTGTAAGGGGCAGCCAGTGGGCTCACTCGCCCTAGCAGGATGGGATCTAGACATCTAGAAGGTAGTGGTGTCGAGCAGGTTGGCTGCGGGGGGCTTTGATCTCTCTCTTCGGCGCTGTAACTGCTTCCGGTGTTAAGAAATCAGGCCGCGAGGGGGAACGTACTGGCCTGCGGTGTTGCATGGTTCTGACGGGAAGTGCAGCTGCGGAAGGACATATGTGTGGCGTTGGAAGGGAAAGGGAGCATGTGCTGGGACAGTCCTTGTCAGGATGGCCCATTACCTGCCGTGTACAGTAGATTACCGCCGAGCCTCGAAGGTCGTCTGGATCAGGCAGGGAGGGGAGGTGGCTATAAGGTTGTGACAAAAGGGCTTTTCAAAGGCTTAAGAGGTGCATTGCAGTGGCTCTAAACAGACACCCTGAACATCATGGGCAGCCTTTCCAGCCTTGACACGTTGACAGCCTTGACATAGGTGTCCCAACAATGACCATCCGAACATACTATACAGTAGTGAGTTGCATGCATACCGACCCACGGGTCGCTCAGGATAGGTACCTTATCCAGCAACACCGTACACAGCGATAAGCCGACATATTCATCAAATGAGAAATTCCTGGTAAAACCGCTTTCTTCATTCAGGTGAAGGTACAGAGACAGAAACCTAGCGCATAGTACATAAGGCGTCAGCTACCGTGAACTTCGAAGTCTTATCATCACCCGAATGCACACAACCCCGATCCTCAACGTGAGGCCCAAACGCCACAAAGACATATCCACTAGCCTGCAGCCTGCAACAATCGCGTATATCGTACAACCAGCTCGCAGCTATTCACTGTGGCTCCTACGGCCCCTAACCTCTCCTGGTTCCTACCTCAGATTCCTACCTCAGATTCCAAGAGACCCCTTATTAAAGGACCCTCCTTATGTCGTGCGCTTAGATATACACATTAGTCAAACGGTACACTCGAAGCCGCAAATACGGTACAGCCCGGGGCAGTACATGCAGCATAAATTCGCATATTCTTCCACCCAGGCGTACGTCGTACAGCTCCTCTGCTACAGCAGTGCACATACAAATACACGGAGGCCGTGAAAAGCCGCACCGCAGTGCACATACAAATACACGGAGGCCGTGAAAAGCCGCACCGGGCCCTCAGCACTCCTGTTAAGTCACCGCACCCTAGCTACCGGCACCCCAGGCCGCGCCTCCCGGCCTTTATGCCCCTCCCCCCCGGCAGATCTCGTGCTGCAAATCGCAGGCAGTAAAGAGGTAAACGAGCCGAATGCGGCAGCACCAGCCAGGGCACCTTCCATTATACCAGAATACCGGAACCGAAGGCAACAGCAGGGGGAAAGCATCCATGCCGCCGCCTACGCCACCACCTCCACCTCCGCTGCTGCTGCAGCACCAGAACCAGCAGCAGCCGGGGCCACCTCCGCCGCCTCCACCTCCTTCTCCCCATCCTCCACAGCGGCACATGCAGCAGCAGCCTCAGCTGTAGCAACCCCCGCCTCGGCTCCTGCTGCTGCTGCCGCAGCTGCTGCTGCTGCTGCTGCCGCTGCTGCTGCCGGGGTGGCGGCGGTGGTGCCGCTGCCGCTGCTGCTCTCCGGTAGCGGCCAGGCGGATAGGAACTCCTCCACCCGGTACGACAGGAACTCCCGTACGAACAGATCCTGGTCGTCCAGGAAGAGCTGCCGGGTGATGCCTGGGGGGGGGAGGGGAGGAGGGGGTGGAGAATAAGTGACACGTGAAGCAACGGGGGGGAGGGGGGCGGGTAAGGAGGAAGGGATGACTGGTCGTGATGATGACAAGGCTTCACAAAGGGTTGTAACATCTTTTGAGTTCGGACTGGGTTTTGAGTTCGGACTGGGGTAGCTCCTCTACTTCCCCCTTGCCACCCACACCCAGCCGGGCCGCCCTCCACCGCGCCCCCCCCCCGCCACCCACCCGTGACCAGCTTGTGGATGGCGAACTTTAAGCCCGACAGAGCTGCGCAACGGGGAAGAGAGGGGGCGGGGGGTGGAGGTTAGGGAGGGGCCCCGGAAGGAGAGCAGCAGAGGAGAAGGGTTGCACTGGGGGGAACAGGCGTCAGACCGGCGCGGCAAGCCCCTTCAGCTGCGCAGGTGAACTATGAAACAAGAACAGGATAATACACCCCCACCCCACTGCAAGTTTTAAAACCGCATACTTAGCGTAGACCGAGGTTAAACCCCCTTTCCGTGATCGAAACCTCCCCGCACTGCCCTTCTCCCTCCCTTCCTATTACTCCCTCCCCTCCTCCCCGCACCTGACGCGCTGAGCCCCAGGCTGACCAGGGCCGAGTAGTTGTACGCGAAGATTCCTGACAGGTAGGCGGCGGTGCCGGGAACCTGGGAGGGGGCAGCAGCGGCGGAGGAGAGCGGCCGCGGAGGAGAGGGAAGCAGGGGAAAGGCAGGAAAGCTGGATAAGACAGCGGGGGGAGGTTGACTGTCGGCGGAAGCCCCCTTTTTACCCAACCTCCCTTCCTTCCCTTTCAAGTTTCAACCCCCACCCTGAGCAGCTTGGTTACCCACCTTGGGCTGGTACTCGAAGCTGGGCCCCAGGTAGGGGTGCACGTCAATGAGCGGGTTGCGGGCCGCGGGGTCGGCGGGCGTGTAGCGGTCGGCCCACGTGGCGATGTGCTCCGCCACCTCCCGCAGCTCGGGGCGCAGGCGGGTGTCGGTGAGGAAGCCGGTGGAGATGATGAGGAAGTCGAAGAGGTGGGAGCCGCGGGGGGTGACAACGCGGACCTGGCGGGGCAGGGTAAGCAGGTGTGGGCGGAGATGTGAGGGGGAGGAGCAAGGAGAGGCTTAACGACGGCCAGTACTACCCGCCTGGGCTCCTCCCATCCCAATTATCTTGCCCTCACTTGTCGATTGGTATTGCCCTCACTCCCCTCACCTGGTCTCCTCCCGCCCCGTCGGGATATGGGATTGGGACTCGTTGTTTCACTTAATTAATTTTTCCCGCCCCCTTCATCCTGCCCTCACCCCCCCCCCACCTGGTCTCCTCCCGCCCCCTTCATCCTGCCCTCACCCCCCCCCACCTGGTCTCCCTCCATGGCCAGGCTCTGCCAGGGCGCCCCCGTGTGGAGGTGGAAGTTGGGGAAGCGCGCGGCGCGGGTGAAGGTGTCGTTGGTGGGCGGCTGGTTGTACTGCAGGAAGAAGTTGATGGCGCTGTACTTGGTGGCGTCGTCCAGGTCGGAGAAGTGGCGCAGGAAGCTGAGGGGAGCAGGGGAGCAGGAGGAGGGGGGGACGGTAAAGAGGAAACGACCAACAAACCGTGTGATAAGGCGTCATCATGGTTGGGAAGGTGGGGGGAGGAGGCGGGGAGCAGGAGGGGAGGAGGAGCAGGAGGTGGGGAGGAGGTGAAAGGGGCACACGGGGCACAAAGGGAAGCAGCAGGGAAGTGAAGTGAGTGCGGCGCCAGTCTCGGCAGTCGTCGCCGACCCATGGGTCACCACCAGTCCGCGCTCTCTCCCCTCCCCTTCCCCCCAGCCCCTCCCCTCCTACCCCGCAAACTCCATGTGGCGGATGGGGTTGATGCGAGGCAGCTCGGGCCGCCGCACGAACACGTGAACCTGGGGCGGGCGGAAAGGAGGGGGGGAAGGGGAAAGGAGAGCGGAGGAGGATGCGTCAAGCCGCATGTCTCAACGTAATCGTGAGGAAGCGGCGGCCACATAATGTGTTATCGTTGTTTACATGTCCCGCTTGCCAAATCCCTTTGCAACAGCTCCTCTCGTCCCCGCACACCTCCCTCCCTCCTCCCCCGCACACCTCCCACCCACCCCCCTCCCACCTCTCCCACGCCCTGCTCCAGCCCGTACTGCGCGTTATCGAACGCCGACGCCCCGCCCCCCAGCACCGCCACCCGCTTGCCCCGCAGCGCACCCCAGTCGATGGCCTCCGCCGTGTGTGCGAAGGCGGATCGGGGGAGCGCCTGGCGGATGAAGGCGGGTACGTGCCACTCGCCGCCGCCCTGGATGCCCGTGGCCAGCACCACCTGACGGAGGTTGGGGGAGAGGGGATTGGGTGCAGTTCGGGTAATACGAATCACTGACAGTGATCATGGCATAGCATCAGCTGATGGCGGTAGCGGGCGGCGGGAAGGGAACAAACGGTCGCCGCGCAATACCCCACCCACCCCCGTGCCAAAGAGGCCCACCTTGCGCGCATACACCGTGTCTGTTCCCTCCGCAGCCCCCTCTGCTTCCCCGGGGGGACTCTTGAGGCGCAGTTCGAACATGGTGCCTCGCTCCTGGGGGGGAGGGAGTCAAAGACCGTACCGAACCATAGGAAACCACAGGTTGGGGCAAGACAATGGGGATAGGAGCGGCAGGATGGGGAGGGGCAAGGAGGAGGGGTGATGCTTAATTGAGATTATTCGCAACCGGCTGCAACCACTTTCCTCAGTACCCTCTTAACCCTCCCCCGGCCCGACAAGTCCATTCCTTGCTTCGGTTTGACTCATTCGGGCAGGGTGGGATGGACCGGCTGCCGTGCTTGCACCCCATGGTGGAGCCTACAGCTCACACAGCTCGTCAGTTGCCTCGTCAACATCCTTGTTTTCACCTCCCCCCTCCCCCCTTCTGCTCACCACCGGCAGCGGGCGGATGAGGTCCACCTTGGCGGAGTTGCGCACCGGCAGCACCAGCACGCGGCGGTACCACACAAGATAGTCCATCCCTGGAGGGAGGGGGGGGAGTTATATAAGATACATGCAGCAACTGGGGGGAGGGGGGGGGAGGAGGAGGATAGGGGAATGGAAGGGGAAGAAGAGGGATGAGGCGTAAGGGGGAACTCTGATGCATGCAAGGCGACTCCCGACGTTCAACACCTGCCGCTCACATTCTCCGCGTGGAATCTTCTCCAACCGCTCCCAGGCCTCCGCTCCATACTTGGCCTCGTAGTACGACTGCGAAAATACACATGCGTGTGATGAGGGCAGTACGGAGGCTGCTTTCGGAAGCGGCAAGGATGCGCTGCCATGCCTATTCAAGAACAAATGCTTAGCCGGGTTTGGAGTTCGCCAAGATGACAACTAAACACAAGAAAGCTTGCAGGGAAAGATAACTTTTGAATTAACTCAGCCGCACCTGGAAGGTCAGGGCCGGGATTCCCAAGTCAGGGCCTTTGGAGGGGCAACAGGGGAGGAAGAGGGTTTTCGCGTCGGTAGCAATGCGGTTTGACAGGGCCTTTGGAGATAAGGTCTACCTGTAAGCGCCTTGTTTGTGCGCAGTGTTACCATTCGCGCGTACGTGATCCAGGGTCCCTCTTTCCCGGGCTCATTTTCGTCGAGGACCTGCGAATGCAAGGAAAGGTTGGGGCGCGTTCTCCAGGGCAGCTATGGGGTCAAAGTCTGATGAGTACTTACCAATATGTTCGTAACCTGGTCTCGCATTAGCCCAAATGCCGCTGTAAGACCGCACTGACCACCACCAACGATCACGACATCATAACACTTGCTGCCGTCAGGTGCGTCCACACTCTTCACCCAAGGCTTTGCAGGATAAGCAAGCTTATGTAGACTGTCCTTCACTTCAAGCTCCAGCTTCGCAAGCCCAGCCATTGATTCGTCTTCTTTGCCAAAGCTCTGAAAATATATTATCCCACTTCGCCCAATTGTAATTTAAGAACTTTGCGGTCCCTAGTCCCACTTGATAGAATGGAGCCGCGCGGTCACACTTATGTCAAAGCCCTAGACCTGATGAATGTACAACCGTTGCCAGCACATGTGGATCTCAAGACCCCACGTGACCCTATCTGTACCGTGCGTGGTATTGCTTATTTCACATGTAAACTATTGGTAGGTATAGTTTACCTAATACCTACCAATAAGCTATTGGTGCTGTTCAAGATCGGGAAGCTGCTACACGGCTTTGTTGCGCAAGCCGATACCACGCACACGGTGCTGCCCAGCCACACGACCCATTCAACGGAAGGCATTTTCCCTAGCGCAAACATTACCATTGCAACTCCCAATCATAGGCGAGGGCCCATGGATGTGCGAGGAGCTAGCTAACTCCATCGCTGAACTTGTCTTCTGGAGCTTTATCCCTGTAAGCTGTAACACTTTGGCCATTGGGCACCTCGCAGTGTCTGTGGCACGTATGCCCCCTGCATAAGGGAGCACACATAAGCTTGAAGAAAGCCCCCCACGCTGGGGCTCCTAGACATCCCCGCTCATGCTATAGTGTTAGACATCCCCGTGCATGCTAGTGTGTTTGCCTGCAATTTCCTTCTGCTAATCTGCAATGAACAACAAACTGGATTGCGCGGCCATATTCTAGGCTGACCCTGACTGCTTCGAAAGCCACCCCAGATACCGGTATGTGCTTGGAGATTCACCCCTGCTACCTCCAGCAGCGCTAGAGCTGCCGGACAACACCTTTCGCAATATTCCGCACACACCGCGTAGTAGCGTTTCAGCTGAATATACAGTTATAACCGGCCTAACTGCTCTGTCTTCCCAGGTATTCCAGTGACGCTCCCACGGTACCCATTCCTGAATCAAAGTTCAATCTTTTCATGCAACAAGGTTGCTGAGCAAACCTATACCAAGAATGCATGTTCTGACCCTCAGTGCCTTACCGCTGCTGACATCGGATGTACCTATAGATGATGGGCGGGCGCCTTGGAGCACATATGCATGGTCACTAACCACCCCAGGGCAATGACGCTGTGTGTCATCACACATCCAGGATCGATATCTCCTCGCTTTTACCAACGGACAGTGTCGATTCGCTTGGACGCAGAGGTTGGAACACATCCGCGCACTTCTTTACAACACCTTACTAAAAAGACTGTATAATGATAGCATGTTGAAAGAGTGCTCAGCCCATAGTCAGGGGTTTGGGGCAAACAAGGCCAGCCTTCTATCTACTATGTACTTAACTCGTTTTGAAGGAGACCCATTTGTTTTCGCAGTTTTATAGAATAAAAGGAAGCGTTTTTACTAAGAGTTTGGGCTATGTAGTAAGTAGAAAGCTTCTGCGACGACGCGTGACCAACAACCTGACGTACTCCACTTACACTACTAGCCTAGTAGTCGCCGGTATTGGTTGCCTAAGCATACATACAAGTCATTAGAGAGGTTTATCTAACTGTTACATTGTTTCTCGGTCCTAGTGTTACTCAGATATCCCTTAAGGCTTTAATGGCTACACTCGCATCTACAGCATCCTGCTGCCCGCACTGCAATTAAAATACTCGTTAATGAAGTGTGGCGTCACTTGGGACACATGGGAGCCTTCGGAACCCAACATGCTCGGGAGTTCGCAAGCAGGATGTCAAGAAGATGTTTCAGCGGCCTACAATATGACACGCTGGTGGGTTACAAGTCGTATCCACTTTTACTATTTACTCCACAGTAGCGGCCGCGAGAGTTCGTCTAGCCTAGCTTTCGGATGGGTGTACATGTTCTGTAAAGGGCCAGTTGCCCCTCCAGCCATACCGTCTGTTACAGGATTGCCTGTCCAAAAAGGGCATGTCATCGGTGGCACGAAGCTCCAGGTTTCTCCTCGAGCCGTCCGTCTTCTAACCCTGCTGGGTTGGCGTACTTCGCTAACAGGCCTCCGGCCGCAGCGCCATCAGTGTCTACATTCTGCCCAACCCAACCCCTAACGCCCCTCCCTTCCCTACTGCAGAACCTCTTCCGCCTGATCGCAAAGCATCCGTGGACGCTGGCGTATCCACTCTTGATGATGGCGACACTCCTAGCGCTGGGGGTGTGGGGCGTAACCCATGTGGCGAAAGTCGACATCCGCGGAAACAAGGTACGGCAACCGTGATTCACTATAGCCGTTGTAGGACTGCCTAAGCACACGGCTGACTGCAGCTAATCGAAATCCCTGTTTCCCATGTACCCCAGTAGGTGGCATGGGTAAAACCACTACATGCTGCCCCATTAGAAACCCCACCTCACCACCTGCCCAGCGCCCTACCCACCTTCTCCCTCCACTCCCCACCCTCCTCCCCCCTATCCGCCTCCACTCATCCCAGCCACTTACCCACCCACCCACCCACCCACCACCTCCCAACCGCCAGGCCCAGGCCGGCGCCCTAGCAGTCGAGGTTGCTGCCGCCTACCGCCAGCAGCTCACGGTGGCCGCCTCCCCGCTGCTGTCTCTGGCGGCGCTGGTGCACCTGCACCCGCGCTACGAGTACCTGCAGAGCGCCTTTGCGCCCTTTGCAGCAGACATGGCGCAGCAGGTAGGGGGGTGGTAGGGGCTGGAGGCTAGGGCTGGGGGCTAGGGGAAAAATTATAAATAAGTGCAACAACGCAATCCCAATCCCTAGGCTAGGGGAAGGTGGTTGGAAACCAGCTGTCCTTGGAGGCAAAATGGTGAGACAAAGCAGCCGAGGAAGATGGCTGGAAGATGTGCTGGGCATGCAGGCGTGTGCCTAGCCTGTGTGTGTGTGTGTGTAGATGGCCTGGCTAGGCCACACGGTTGTTGCGGTTCTGCCTGCGCCCCCTCTCGCCCACTCACTCCCATGTTCGCGCCCGCTCAGGTTCCCGGTCGGCCGCTGCGCAGTCTTCAGCTGGCTCCCGCGGGGGTGGTGCGCCTGGTGGAGCCGCTGGCGGGGAACGAGGCGGCGTTGGGGCTGGACCTGTTCGCAGGTGAGGAGGGAAGTGGGGGAGGTGGGAGAGGGAGGTAGACCTGTTCGCAGGTGTCGAGGGGGGACGAGGTACCCGGTAGGTGTGGCCAGGAGTTGCTGCGCATGCGACAGCGACATGCGCCCTCCCCTCCAATCACCCTCGCCTCTCTTCCTTTTCCCCGTGTGACACCGCGCTCCCAACCCCGCCCTTCCCTGCTGGCAGACCCCTGGGAGCGGGAGGGCGCAGTGAGGGCGGTGGCTGAGCGGACCCTCACACTGGCTGGCCCGCTGGCCTTCAAGAAGGGCGGCTCGGGGGTGCGCATGCGGCTGCCCGTATTCGTAAACGCCAGCAGCAACAGCAGCAGCAGCAGCGCTGGTGGTGGCAGCAGCAACAGCAGCAGTACTAGCAGTGGGAACGTTACAGTGGAGGAAATGTCTTTTGGTGGGCCGGACCCGCTGAACCCCTACTGCGGGCAGCCCTGTGCCTACGACGCCACCACGGGAACCGTCTTTTGGGGCTTTGTAAGTAAGGGCTGCTGGCCCTCAGCATCTTTGCGCCACCGTATCTGCTGCTGCACGCAACCACATCGACCTCACGCGGCACATTTATTCAATACGCGCACGCCCCAGATGCCTACCAGCTGACCGCCCTGCGTCAACACCCGCCTATGTCAACCAAACCGCGAAGTGCAACGCCCCATGCATGCACCCCCACGGCACACCTCCAGCCCCCCACCCTCCCCTTCTGCTCCCCACCCTCCCCTTCTGCTCCCCACCCCCCCCTTCTGCCCTCAACTCTCCCTGGCAACCTTCTGCCCCCCACCCCCACCACCAGGCCACCGCCCTCATAGACCTGGCGGCTCTGGGCAACTCCAGCAATTCGCGGCTGCGGGGGCTGGCGGCGCAGGGCTACCGCTACCGCCTCAGCGCGCCAGCAGGGGCGGCGGGGGCGCAGGCGCAGGCTGAGGCGGGGGAGGCGGAGGTGCGGAGCGTGGTTGTTGCAGGGAGCGAAGAGGCGTTGGAGGAGCCGGTGGAGGCGGTGATAGAGATGCCGAACACGCAGGTGAGCTGCTGTGTGTGTGAGTGAGGGGTGGGTGGGGTGGGGGGATTTAGGAAACGAACGAGCTGATGCTAGGTGGGGGGGAATTACCGCGCTGGGAGGAGGCATGTATTGGTGTGAAGCCGACTATGGGTGCTAGCGCCCTGTCCTCTATGAGCCCAATCGAACGAAGTCCTGCCACACCTCCCTTCCGTACCTGCCTTCCTGCGTTTCTAACCCCGGCCGCCCCTGCCTATCCCTGCTCCCTTTTCGCTGCCTCCCTCCCCCTCCCCCTTCCTCAGTGGCTGCTGCAGATATCCCCCGCCAGCGGGAGCTGGAGCCCCAGCTGGTTCGTGCCCGTGCTGGCGGCTGTTGTCGTACTCGCCGTGGCGCTTGCCGTACTGCAGTTTGGCGTACTGGTGTCCAGGTGGGTGGGTGCCGTACGCGCGTACGGCATGCAGCAGTGGGATGGTACGGCAGCAGCGGCGGTGGCTGTGGGTGTTCGTGGGTCCTTGAGGGCTGCAGGAGGCCCCTTAGGATGGGTGGTACCGGTACTACTTTGTCTGTCCTTCATTAGGGGGTTGCTGCCTCTCCGCACACGTCACACATGCGGGGCACCGCACCAGCACCCTAACGCGCCAACGCCCTCACCACGTTTCCAACTCCACCTCCGGACCCCCCACCAACCCAATGCCTCTCCGCCCCCGCCACCCATGTGTCCTTAATTTTACCCCCCTCCCCAAACTGTGCTTCTCATATATGTTTGAAACCCCACATGTACATGTACGACCCCTGCAGGCGCCAGCACCAGTCCGTGCTAGAGGCGCTGCTGCCTCGGGAGGTGGTGCGGGAGCTGGTGCACCGGGATGCGACCACTCTGGGCCCACGGGTCATTCAAACAGGTGAGTGGGGCCCGAATGAAGAGCCGGAAGAGCCGAGGAAGCGAGAGGGCCTTCACGGGCTGGTCTGTAAACAATCTGATTGCATGGGTGATTGCATGGGTGGACCACGTGTAGAGCGCGACGTAGGGCAAAGACTTGCTGGAGGGTTACCGTCAATGCGTAAAGACGCTGGTTGTGCCTTGTGCGTAAAGATTTTGGTTGCGCACAGAGAGCACCTGGCCTCGTGCAGTTACTGCTGAATCCCATAGCCACCCGGTTTACGGCCTGTGCTGCCCCCGCTGTCCCGCACCCCGCCTGCACCCCACCCCACCCCACCCCATGCGGCCCAACAGACACCCCCGCCGAGGTGCTCCTGAAGCTGCTAGGCCAGCTGCTGGAGGGCGGCCGGCCCCACCTGCGCGACATCATCATGGTTCGTACGACAGTGCTACGAAACCTGGACATCTACCAGCCGCTCAACCTGGGCAGCCAGATCAAGGGAGCCAACCTGGACGTGAGTAATGCCACGAATACGGCAGGGTGCAGCGAACCGCGATGCCGCCCATGTCGTTTATTCTTGTGGATCGTTGCATGTGATTCATCCTCATTACCGTGTGCGAAACATGTGCTGATGCCGCTCAAGCCGCTCCCTGTGCTTAACTGCGGTGTTTTCAGGATGACGTGGCACGCTCGCTCATGCGTCAGCTGGGGGGTACACTGGAGCGAGTGGATTCACTGTACGACGAGATCCCGGAGGATGACGTCATTCAGCTGCAAGCGGTGGAGGAAGCGGAGGCGGGCGCCGACCTCCAAGGCATCCAAGTAGAAGTTGTCGGCGGCGGTGGCGGCGGCAGTGGCGGCATCAACGGCGATGCATCGGCGAGCCGCCGCCTGCATGATTACGGCACACTGACGGGGGCGCTAGCCCTCATCTTGACGCCGCAACCGGCGGCGTGGTACGGCGACAGTGGCGGCGGCGTGGATTCTGCTGACGGCGGCGGCGCGGCGCATTCCGACGCTGCGTTACCTACAGTGGGCATGGAGTGCACGCTGGCAGTGAGTCCGGAGCCCTCGCTCACAGTGACAGCGGCGGCGGGAGCACAGGGCAATGTAGGTGTTTCAATGGCCGCCGCCTCCGCCGTCTGCAGCGGCGGACTACCTCCGGTGGGCCCTTCCGCGACGGCTGCGACGGCTGCGACGGCGGCCTCTGCCGTTGCTCCGATTCGGCCCGGGTTGTCGGCAACGCGCGGCAGCGGCAGCGGTGTGTTGAGAGCAGCGGCGGCCAGCGTCAGTGCCCTCCTGCTGCCGCCGCGTGCAGCGACGCAATCGGGCACTGTAACTCCCGCAGCGGCCTCCGCCGGCTGCCCGCAAGACGACCCCATGACGTCAGCATGTTCAACCAACGACGTCACACTCGAGACCGTGGCGGTTAGGACGTACGGCAGCGGCCGTCACCGTCGTAGCTGCAGCAACGCCGCCACTGCCACCACCAACACCGCCGACGGCGTCTTCCTGAGTGCGCCGCCGTCGCCGCCGCCGACGCCGCTATCACCCACAGCGCCTCCACCGCCACCGGCGCCGTCGTCATCCCACCACCAAACCCAACTTAGCACCGCACCGCCCTCACATCTAGCCCACGGCTCTTCCTCCTCCGCGCGACATCCGGGCTTCATGATCACAACCACCGGCTCAAGTGGGGGCATGCTGCCCTCGCGGTCTCCCCTTGGGGCCGCAGGCGGCAGCAGCGGCGCCGCACCACAGGTATGGCCCTGTCGCCACCCGAAACGCAGCAGTCTGACCCAACAGGGGCACTCCACTGCGTGGCTGCTACTGCCGCCAGCCCACAGCGCAGGCAGCGGCGGCGCCGCCGCCGGCAGCGGCATCGCTGCGGCTGCTGCTGCGGGCAGCGGCGGCGGGCCATCAGCACATGGGTTGCAACACACCCCCTGTCTGTCGGCGACCTATAGCGGCGGCAGCCTAGGAATGCAGGAGGATCGGGATCGGGATCGTGAACGGCACAGCAGTCGACTGTTAGGGGGCTTAAACGGGGCAGGAACCGGGTTGCTGCAGTCATTAACGGCGCGGCGGCAAGCACTGCCGCCGCCTGCAGCCGTCATTGAGGAGGTAGAGCGGCAGCTGGCGGCGGCAGACGGTTGGCAGTTTAATGCGTGGCGACTCCGGGATGCAACCCAGGGTCACCCGCTGTCGGCGCTGGGCTTCTACTTGCTGCAGCGGGCGGGGCTGATAGCCCGATTCAAGATGAATCCTGTCACGGTTGCCAGGTACGGCAGGGACGTGAATTCGCAGGGCCTTCCGGGAGGTGGTGGATGCGATGAGTTCGCTATAGCCGGGCTATATACCGTCCGACCGACAGCCTCTGACAAATAAGGAAACGACCCTAACCAACACCAAAGAAGTCGCACCGCCCGTCCCATGCATGCCCGTTTGCTGTGTGAGGGAATGTGACGTCTTCCTGACATGCCCTAGTAAGGCACTCCACAACCCCACGCTGCCACAATCCCAGGCTGCTCCGCCACATCGAGGCCGGCTACCCGGGCAACCCCTACCACAACGCCACGCATGCCGCCGACGTGCTGCAGACCCTGCATGCCATCGCACACGGAGGGCAGCTCTCAGCCCACTACCTGGACCCGCTGGGGCTACTGGCGGCGTACTTTGCGGCGGTGAGGGTGGGGTGTGGAGGGAAGAAGCAAATCGTGTGTGGAAGGGGATTACAGAGAAGCCAACCCGTACTGGCGGCGTACTTTGCGGCTGTGAGGGGGGGGGGTGTAATGGGTATGGGGTTACTGGCAACGGGCTGCCATTGGTATGTAGAAATACCGGTTCGGTAGAAGACACGGTGGGCTGGGGAAAAGGAATGGAAGAGAAGGGAAGGAGATAGAAGAGAGGGTGGAAAGGGTGGAGGAGGAAGCATGCGCAAATGAAGTGCCACCCATGCAAGCGCTGATCCAGCTCCTGGACCGGCCTCCTAGATTGCCAGGTATCCGCGCACGCACAGCGAGCCACCAAGCCCCGCCAGCCAGGCATGTGCGCATGCGCAGAGCACTAGGACCAGCCGAGATGCACGAACGCTACCGGTAATTGAGTGACTCCGAGTCCTGTTGGATGTCCGTTTTGCGTTCCCAACCCATGACCCATGACGCATCACCCATGTCGTAGCCTCTCCTCTCAACCCCGCACCCCACCAACCTCCACCTCACGACCGTACCCCTCAACAGATCATTCACGACTACGGCCATCCGGGCCTTACCAACGACTTCCTAACCGCCACAAGCCACCCGCTCGCGCTGCGCTACAACGACCGCTCCCCCCTGGAGAACCACCATTGCGCCGCCGCCCTCACCGTCATGATGCGGCGACCCGAGCTGGATGTGCTGGGGGCGCTCAGCAGCCAGGAGCGAGCAGCCTTCAGGAAGCAGGTGTGAAGAATGTGTGAAGAGGACGGGCCGCAAGATGGAAACGTACTGTGATTGCGTGTGTTTAAGACAAAAGTGGCCAGTTATCTGAACACACGCCACCCGCAGGTGATTGAGATGGTGCTGGCAACCGACATGAAGCAGCATTTTGCGCTGCTGGCGCACTTCAACACCGTGCACCGCCTCACAGCCTACTCGGCCGCAGCGACGGGCTCCGGCGCGGCGCAGACTCCCACCCAGCTGCAGAGGTCCAGGTGGGCAGATGGAGACAGGTTGGGCGGCAGGGTTGGGTGGGGAGCCGCAGGGTGAGTTGGGGCAGGTTGGACCGCAGCGGGATGGGCGGACCGAGGGGTGCTGGGGAAGGAACGAGCATGCACGGGTGTGTGCGGAAGAGAACGGCCTGCGGGCTTCGGAACGTGTGGATCTCTTGTAGGCATTACATCGGTACCCGATGCACCCCTGTGCCCCCTCTCCCCGCCACCCCATCACCCTCTGTGTTCCCCCCCCCCCGCCCCAACCTCCATCCACCCCTTCATCCCCCGCCCAGTCGCACACTGCTGCAGCAGCTCCACCCCTCGGGCCCCTCCGTCGTGAGCCCGCCTCGCCCCGCGCTCAGCGGCGATCTGGCGCCCCGGCCCCGCGACGAAACGGAGAAGCTGCTGGGGCTGCAGGTGAGCTAGCGAGCTAGTCGCAGCAGCAGCGAGGGGGCAGCAGGAGGGGATGGGCGAAGAGGCTTTACCTAGCGTTGCTATTGTAAGCTACTACTAAAAAGCAAACTGGAGTGGGGTCTGCAGCTCTATTCGAAAACCGTTTAATACAGATCCCTGCGGTACATGCATGGTCGGCGTTTCTGGCCACACCGGGCGCTCATCACCGTGCACCAGTCCCACATCACTCCTGGCATGCCCATGCCGCCCCGCTCGACCTCTGCCGGCTCACTACCCCGCTTACGCTTATCAGTTGCCGTACTTGCCCCCCTGCATGGATCGCGCCATTTGCCCCCCCCCCCCCCGGTGTACGGCATATCTCCTCCCAGTACTCCCCTCTCAACCCCTCCAATCCCTACAACCCCTCTCAATCCCTGTCAACAGATAGCGCTTAAGGTGGCGGATCTGGGTCACCTGGGGGAGGAGCTCGAGGTGCACCAGAGGTACGGTAGGGGGGCAGGGCGGCTGGGGGGCGGGGGCGGGCGCGGGCAGGCAGGCTGGGGGCAGTGGCGCATTGTGGCTGGGGGCATTGAGTGCAGTAGCGAGCGGGAGGAGGCGGGGGGATTCCCGGGGTGCTTGGGTACGTGGCGGTGTATGTGCCTTGGATGGCGGGGGCACCGAATGTCCGAGCGGTGGATGGTGCTGTGCTGGTGGTATCGGCGCAAAGCGCCCCACGCTTCCACGAACGCAGGGTTCATACGTCGTCATGAAGCAAGGGTGGTCCCTTAGGTCGCGCAACCCATATCCTTGGCTGCGCAACGCATGCCTTACCCCCTTCCTTTTTATTTCCCCTAGACACCAGAGTCTCCCTCTGCTCCGCGCCCCCCCTCCCCCCCCTCATTATCACACCACACTTTGGAATTTCTCCCCCCCCCCAGGTGGCTAGGAGTGCTTGAGGAGGAGTTCTTCCTGCAGGGCGACCGGGAGCGGCAGCTGGGGCTGCCCATCAGCCCCCTGTTCGACAGGGCCAAGCAGGGCGTCAGCAAGAGCCAGGTGCGTGGGGAGGAGGGAAGCGAGAGAAGGGGGGCCAATGGGGCGGCCGAAGCTCGGGGGTCAACACACCGTAGGCTGTATACAGCCTACGACGGGGCCTGCTGGTGTCTACGAGGGGCGGTGGTGTGGTCGATGGACAGGAGAAGCCTGGGAGTGTGGCAGGGGTGGCTTTGGTTTTCGGGCTTCCCTCTTCACTTCTCGGGCTTCCCTCTCCACTTCTGTCCCTTGAAGAAACAAATCTCATTACGTTTTATGTCCCCTTTCTCTTCACATTATACAATTCCAGGTCGGCTTCTATGATTTTGTCGCTCTGCCGCTGGTTCACGCCCTGAGCAGCGCCTTCCCGGGTTGCCAGCCTCTCATGCGTTGCTTCCTGGCCAACTACAATCATGTAAGTTACCGATAGCAAAGCGTTAGTGAACATGCTTCGGTATTTGAGTTCAAGAGTAAGATGCTGCATGCTAGTTGGGAACGTTTAGAGGAAACAAAGCTGCTGCTAAGGTTTTACTAAGGGTATTATGTATTACGGTGGGTACATTGTGTGGTGGGTACATTGCTACCGGTACCTCGCGATGCGGGGGGCGCTAAGATACCCTCTTGGCGTTCGGAAGCCTAATGGCAAGCCATGCAACGCCGCTTGCTTCCTCTGACGGGCTCTTCGCTAACACCCCGGCTAAAACCTCCCTTAACTTATGCATCCCATCCCTCCTTCTTACAAGTACCCCCGCCCGTTCGCGCCTCCCTCTTGCATGCCCCATCCAGTGGCGGAGCGCCGAGGGACAACCCCCCGCCCCAACACCCACCTCGTCCACCGGCCCCAAGCCAATACCGCCGCACCCTCCCCAGAGCCCCACACCTGCCTCCGCCGGCGCCGCCAACCTGCCCTCCGCCCCCACCGCGTTTCCGTCCGTACCGCCCACACCGACAGCAGCAACCGCGGCACCGGCGATAACCACTGCAGCAGCGACTGGCCCTGCAGCAACTGCAGTTGGGGCCGTAGCTGCTGCACCAGCCGGGGCTAATCACGACGCCCTGCCGCCAAATCCTTTCGCCAGCGCTTCTGCAGAAATTGAGCAACCTGCGGATGATGAGGCCTGATGAAACAAGCCAGCTGATGAGAGGTCGCGCCACAGCTGTCGACCGCTGCCGTGCGCACACATTTGAATTTGCTACCGTACCAGCATCATGTCCGTCTTCATACTTCTCGGCAGCGGACGCCATTTGAACAGCAGACAACCAAAGCAGCTGCTGCCACTGCCGCGGTGCTCGTCCTCATCACACATGCATGCAAAGAAGAGTGCACTGCGCCGCTAGCATGGGCTGCCTACGCGCGTCGTAACCGCTGGAGAAGAAGGTTATCTACCGAAATCCACCATCGTCCGAAGTCGGTGCTGGGTCATGGGTATGTGTTGCACTTTGCAACCACGGCGTGCCCGTTCGTTGGCCTGTTCGTGACAACTCCTCATCCAGCTGCCTATTGTGTACATCAAACACCATCCTGCGTCAGACCTGCGGGGGCCACTAGTAGCATTTGACGACCAACGCAGTTTGCATGGCGGGCTGCATGGAGGCCGGACGGGCGCCTACAGAGTTTGGAATGTTGGCCGTCTGTTGTGCCATCTGGGATGCCTGCAAGTTGCGTTTCTGACTGCGGTGTACTGGTGTTGGTATGTCGGCAGCAGCTGTAAGCCCAGCAACAAGCCTTCTTTGTTGTGCGATGTGCTCACTTCGCACACCACAACGCATGCCCGATCAAATCCTATGTGCGACGCAATGCACTGCAACACCATTCCCCGTACGGCCAAAGCGGATGTACGGCGCTGTACCTGTGACTATGCATGGACCCTATGCGTGACTATGCATGGACATTTTCTTTCGGTTAACCACGTCCGGGTTCGGGTCCAACTTGCTCACAACATGTCTGCTCGCATGCCTTTTCGGCGTGGAGATTGAAGCACGCTTTTTAATCTGTTGGCGGAGGCAGGCGGTTGTGGTACGTGGGACGCTATGTCCTTCCTGAGGGTTTTGGGCGCAACGTTTTGTGACTTCCAACTATTGCCGCAAGGCAGAGCGGTCCAGTTTTGATGCACATCGATGGTTTTGTAGTGCTGCAAGCCACGCACCGCATGCGGTCTGCTGGCTGGTCCGTGCGCTTTCCGTACAGGTTCCATAATCGTTGAGTTGTAGTTAATATTCATCATCCCGAGCAGTTCGTGTTTCACCGTGTGTGTTTTTTTGCTTAAAACAAAGGGAGCTTAAAGAGGCACCTGAAGCCTCCTGCGGCTGTTCGTTCCTGAACCCAAATGTTTTAAAGGCTTGTATGCCTGGGAGCTGCTTGCAACTTGCCATGCAGTCACCCCTTATCGTGCGAGGGTGGGTGGACTGGGTGGCCAAACGGATGTGACACCTGCCCCAAAGCAGAGGGAGTAGGAGTATCACCATACTTGTTGAGCTTTGCAACGTTTTCGCCCCTGTGGCCGTGGCGGCCAGGTCATACATACAGCCAGAAGGACGGAAGCGTGCGGGTTTGTAGGGTTTGTAACGCCACATGACTTGTGGCCAGGCGGCTGGACGTAATAAAGTTGTCGTCATCAGTTGCGGTATCCGACATTTTACCCGAAGTCTTCACAGGTTCCCGTTCCCCGTGATTGATAGGAGCTTGTTGGTATATGCGTCTATCTTTGAACTACTAGGGTAGCAATATTCCACTTGCCAGGAGGTGTGCAGTGTAGAGGGGGACACACCCAGCTTGGCGGGGTTTTGTGGGTAAAGACTCTACTATGATATGTAATAATGTAAAGGCCCTACCGATATGTACGGCAACATCACGGGGGTGTCCGGGCTGTAGTGGTGCACGTAATGTGCCGGTTGACGGTGCATGTAGCGCATATACCGGTATACTCCCCGTATTCTCCCCTTTATCAGACCACACGACGGCACTGACACCCACGCGATCTCTACGGGACCAAGACCACGAAGGCAAGGGCCGGCGATGGTCAGATCTGCGGAGGAAGGAAGGAGGGAGGTGAGGGATCGAGGAGACGGGCTGTGGGGCACCTGTGGCCCTCCTAAAGCCGCGAGCAGAGAACGCCCATGCATGCATGCATGGCGAGCTAAACTGTTAGTGGGTGTCCAGATCACCGGTACAGTGGCTTTCAGGAGTAGGGGAGTCCTGAATGAAACCACACGACAGGGAAAGACGATAGGGGAAGGGCGGCTTCCAGGGGGTAATACCCGCGTGCGTGGGGGGGCGGGACTACACATGATGACTCTGCAGAAGGGTCCTCATCCAAGGCGACCAAGTCACCCGAGAACACGCAGCACCCGTAGGCGAGTGGCAGCCATCCCAAACCGGAGAATTGAGAGTGTACGGGCAAGACCAGGGCAAGAAACCAAGTTGCCATTCCAGCCTGCCGGTGCCACATGGTTACAAGAACGAGTACAAGGCTGGCATCAGCCTGCAGGGGAAAGTCGAACCCAAGCAGCAACAGCGCTACCGGGAACTGAAAGAATGACAGTTACAACAATAATGGTTCCCAGCAGGCAAGTGACGCCGAGCATAAGGCAGCCCATGCCCCATGCAAACACTCGGTCGCAGCTGGAAAGGCAGATGGAAGCCTTTTCATTATGGTGGTGAAGTGATGTGACATGGTGGGCCCTATGAGGGCTGTCACAGACCGTGTAAGGTTCAAACAGGCCGGAGACCCATAGACCTGCTGCCTCCTAGTGTGACAGCCCACCCCCGGCTGAAACACACCGTCCTGGCTCACCCACCTCTACCATGCCGGCCCCACACCAAGTATGCAGGTAATGTATTGAAGAGAGTGCATAACAACAGTGCAGGAAAGAATATGCATCATGACCCAGACGCTTAAAAACCGCAGCCATACCAGTGTACCTCCCACCGGCTCCCCAGTCGAAACATCTGCCAACGTATTCAGGACTCTTACCGCCTGCTACGCTACCCAACCCACCAACACGGTAGTGCCTCACGCTCACGTAACCGCATGCACGACACAGTCAGGTGGGTTTCCCTCATGCGCGGGCGGATTGCAAGGCACGCTGATGCCAAAACACCGCAGCCATGTCCTAACAAGAGTGGGCCATTCGTTTGAACTACAGCCTCTATCTACCGGTGGTCTCGCTTTAGCTTCGTCCCTTCAAGCAGATCCCGTCAAGGGCCGGCACTGCCGCCTCCGCCCCAGCGCTCCACCGCAGCACCCCCCGCCCGAATCTTAAGCCCAAACATTCCAAGGGCTGGGCTCACGCGCAAGGCCCAGAACATGCAGGGGACGAGGTCCAAAACCCCTCCGAACTCCAAACCCGGTTCCTGGCAATCTTCTCAGAACCCACCTAGCCGCCCAACTCAACCTGAACCCCAGCTCTGCCTCCTGCAGCCACCCACCAGTCCCAACAGCCTCGCACGCTACCGCAACCTTTTACCCCTCTCCCACCCTCCCACCCTGCCTCCCTTCCACTCATCTTCCGCTCGTCTTCCTATCCTCTCCGCCTCATCAGCTCATAACGACATTTCCATTGCCCTGCTCCCTGCCCACATCCGCCTCTCCCGCAGCCGCCTGCTCCTCCTCCTCCCCGCCTCCCCCACACGTCACCTGCTGCGGCGTGCCCTCAAAGTTGGCGGAAATGAGCTCGTCGCTCCATACGCTGAACATCTGCGTCTCAATGAACTGCCGTACGAAGGCCTTGTCCTTGGGCGGCACCACCTCCAGCAGGCTGTCCTTCATGAGCACACCTTGGGGGAGTGGGGTGGGGCGGGGTGTGGCATAGGCACAGGGGAGAAGCTGGAGAGTGAAGCGGGAGAGTGAAGAATGTCGTTTTTGCCGCCGCATATATACCACAGACCCAGGAAACCCGCACATACCATTCTCACCGTGTACCTCGATTGGCGGCATGCCGCTTCGCCCTCTCGCCCTCTCACACATCCCTCTGCCCCTCCTGCCCAGTCACAACAACTCACACCCGGCGCAGCCCCACATACCTGTGCGTGTGTGCAGCCCCACGTTCGTGAAGACGTGCGGTCGCAGGTCGCCGCACAAGGAGGCCAGGTGTTGCGAGAGGGTGGAGAGGAAGGCGGAGGCGGCGGCCACCTCTGCAGGGCTCAGCGAGCGATGGGAGCTGCGGGGGGGAGCGAGGGGGCAGAGGAGCAAGGAAAAATGAACCAGGTTACCAAATTAGAAAAGGAGAAGAGGTAGGGCAGCAAAGGAAAGAGCTTCCAATCGCAGTACCGCACTCTTCGTCAAAGCCCTATCGCATCTCTTCAAGTCCCGCACCCTCTCCCTCTCCCTCTCACCGCCCGCCATCCGGCAGTCCATCCACGCCGCCTCCTGCTCCTCCTGCCGCCCCCGCTGCTGCCCCTGCCCCCTCCCCCCGCTGGCCCCCTCGCAGCACCGCGTGCATGGGCGCCAGAGCCGCAGCCAGCCGCTTCAGCCCCGGCAGCTGCGGCAGCGGGGGCCCCGCGTTCTTGACCTGGTCCTTGTACACGTTGACACGAACCAGGTGGGAGCACCTGATGCAGGGAGCGAGGGAAGGGAAGGGCCTGATAGGTAGATCGCTCACGCCTGCTAACCTGTATACCGTGTCCACCTCCTGCATACCGTGTCTACCCCCGTGTCCCTGCGCACCTACCCAAGGCAGCTATCCCCCTCCCTCCCCCCCCCCGGGCGACCCCCCGCACCTGGCCACCACCTCCGCCGTCTTGTACTGCACCCCCAGCACGAACGGCACCGGCGCCTCCAGGAAGCCGATCATGCTGGCGGGCGTGACGGGCATCAGCAGCGACTGCCAGCCCAGCGGCCGCAGCAGCGGCAGCAGCCCCAGCACGCAGCCGGACAGCACGCCGATGTGCGGGCACAGCACCACCAGCTGCCGCTCCAGCAGTGCGGCGGTCAGCAGCAGCAGCAGGTTGTCCAGGGAGAGCGACCTAAGGAGGAAAAATATAATTAAGTGAAACAACGAGGAGGAGGAGGGGCGGGGGGGGGTAAATTAGGGATGAAGATTCCGAAAGAAGCTTGATAGTTGGGTTGTGGAGGGCGGGGGGTTAGAGGGTGGGGGGAGCGTTAGGTGGGGGGTAGGTGGGGGGGGGGGCGTTAGGTGGGGGGGTCATTAGGCCGGTATAACAGGCTCGGATGCAGAAGGAAAGGGAACGTGGCGAGAGCAGGCATGGGGCCTTTCCGTCTCCTTTTCGCCGTCAAGGTAACCGCCTCTTTTTAACTGCGCAGTCGCAGCAGCAACAGTGCCATCCGCTCTCCCCCCTAACTTGCGGTTTCCTTAGTCTCTTTGCAGTTCACTCACTACCCCTACTTGCCCGATGCGAAGAACCCCCCCCCCAACTTGTGACTTCCCTATGGTTCGGTGTGGTCTTTGACCCCCCTATCCCCTCCCCTCCCATGCCCTCCCCCCCTCCCCCCACCTGCACAGCACCGCAGTGGTCCAGTGCTGCAGCCCATCCGCCAGCTCCGCCTCCGCGTACGCCTGGATCGCCCGCGGGGGGCCCACCACCGTGAAGCGCCGCGGCAGCAGCGGGCGAGTGAAGCTGAGGCTGGTGAGGCCGCCGAGCTGGAGCGTCAGCTGCTCGCCTGGGGGCGGGGTGGGTGAGGGCGGGGTGGGAGCGGGGTGGGGTGGGGCCGGAAGTTGAAAGGGTCATGGAGCTGTGATGGGGCGTACTGAATATCGGAGGTACGGACTCCTTCCACCTAGAGGTAGGTGGTTACCCGCATGCAACACCTTCCCTTCCAAGCGCGTTCCTCACCGACCAGTGATGACCCGCGCCTCCGCTTACAAGTGCTACCCCGCACCCCTCACCTGGGTTGATCATGGGGTGGTTGTACAGCTGGTCCAGGGCACGTCGCGGCGAGAAGTGGTACGCCAGGTCGGCCGGCGCCAGGGGGACACCCAGTGGCGGCGGAGGCGGCGGCGGTGACATGAGCGCCCCGCCGCAGCTGTTGTGCAGGGAGGACATGATGGCGGCAGCGACGGACTGACTGCCTTGGTGAAGGGACTGCTGGTGGTGGTGGTGGTGGTGGAGGCTGTGGGGCGAGGTGACGGCGGGACAGCCGCCGCCTCCGCCTCCGCTTGGGGAGCGGCTTCGGACGGCGGCAGCAGTGTACGGAGATGCGGCAGCTGGGGCGCCATCGACACTCCCGCTTTCCACAAGGACGCCTGCCAGAGCAGCAGCAGCAGCGGCAGCAGCGTTGTCACGGCCAAAGCGACTGGGTCGCATTGTCGCCACCGCTGCCGCCGCTGTCAGCACCGTAGCCGCCGAGGATGCAGACGCAGACGCCGCGGCGATCGTTGCTGATGTTTCGGTTGCTGCTGCTGCTGCTGCTGCATCGCCGGCAGTGGTCTCCACAGCAGGGCTCCCCGGTTCATCCCTGGCCACCTCATCCGCTTCGGCATCCGCCTCCGAGATAGCAGCAGACCCTAAGGGCATCATGGACGCAACACTGTCATGAGCGGCACCAGCAACACCGCCAGCACCAGCAACGCCAGCAGCAGCAGCAGCAGCAGCGCCGCATGTGTCATGGTCGACGGCAGGCTGCATCGGCTGCGCACGTACATTGGCTGTGTAAAATTGGTGTTCCTTCTCAGCCGTCTCCGCCTTCGTCTCCTCCGTCGCCACCACCTCCGCTGTACCATCCGCCGCCGCCGCCGCGTCCTCCGCCGCCAGTTCCGTCCGCTGCCCCAGTCGCGAGGGCCCCGACAGCGACCAGGTCGCTACTGCAGCAGCGTGGTATGTAACGGCGAGGGCCTCGTCCATGCCCACTCGAATGATTCCCGCCGCCGCCG